ATGCGCTGAGGGTATACTAATGGGTTAAACATCCTTGCTCTCCTTTAAAATAACTGAAGGATTTTATAAATCACCTCACTTGGGACCCATTTTATTGCACATTTTCCCACTCCTTACCGACAGAAACAGGTGACGGTCTCCTCGACGTCCAACGGCAGCGAGAGCTGTGCCGCTGGTCCGGAACCCGTGCCACCTGCTCCACCACCGCCCCCGCCAGCACCACCTGCCCCGCCTGGAGCACCACCACCACCACCCGCGCCCGAGGAATTCCCCTTGCCGCCGTTCTGGCCATTGGCATTCTGGCGCGGCACAGCCCGCCCGGGAATGTGGCGCGATGAGGCGTGCAGGAAGGTGGCGGCGAAGGTGGACGACAGCGAGGAATGCGACGCCGAGGGGCGTGGCGTGGAGGCGGTGGGCGTTTGGGGGGCCGTCGAGGATCCATCGGTGGTGGCGTCCGCCAGGGGAACCGACGAATACCGGACGAGGATCGCACGGCTAACGCGGTTGCCGCCCGTCAGATTCGAGATGGCCCAGTTCATGGTTAACCTCCGGAGATGGTTAATGGAACGGATTTTGGCCAACTAAACGCTTCCGCCGCTCGACTGCAACTGAGCTGTTGGCCAGGCCAGATGGGGTAAAAAACTAGGATGGTTCTACTGCTGCTGCCACTGGTGGTTGTGTGTGTGTGAGTGTGTGTGTGTGTTGCAACCTTCTTCGCACATACTAAATATACACAATCTTGGGGCTGCAAAAAAATTGATTTTGTCTAGTGATTTTCTGATTTTCTGCCACGCCCCACAACTTGGACTCGACCGGCGCTGTCTGTCAATCAATGAATTCCCTCTAAGGCTGCAAAAAACGGCCAAGTGTCGCTTTTCTCTCTCGCTATTTATGCCTTTCCCCCGGTGCATTTGTTTTTGCATTTTTGTTGCAGTTTATTTGTAATTTTCCTTTTTTTTTCCTGCACTTGCACCCGTTGCCGGCTAATTCAATTAGAGTTGTACTAAGTGCGCTTCAAGGCTGTCGGAATGCACACGCCGTCGTCGGAACAGCGAGGGTTGCTAATGAGGTATACTACAAATTTACGGGTGCCAGCTCGAAATTACCTTATGCACATGTCGCATTTTCACCTGTGCGAAAAATTAATTTCCTGAAACGGACGCTTTAATTTCGAACAGCAAGTGCGCAACAAAAGTTGCACAAATTAAAATAAAAAACTTGCATGGATTTTAAATTCAAGAAATGTTTGAAAAGTAATTGGAATAATAAATGAGATCTAATTTTCTTGGAAGAAATATATTTTGAAATTGTTCTTTCAACAAAATTTAGCTTTAAAATGATATTTATTATTTTCTTACTATAAATACCCCTAGAATTTCTTTCCAGTGGATGTAAAAACCATCCTCGCTGTGAGAAAATCGATAGCCTTTCTCTTGCCACATTTTTAATTGTTATGCTAGCTCTAATGAAACCCCGCTCCATTGGAGGGCGATGACGTCCAGCCCAGTCCACCCAAAAAAAAAAGTAAAAACCCTTCTGCAGATATCTCCGCACTCGTATGATGTTGTCCTCCGCTGGCAGTGCCATCAACTGATGTGTACTTTTCCCCTTTTTTTTGGTGTATGGGGTGTGACATGTGACACAATTTGTTTGTTCTTTGTTGCTCTCACATCGTTTGTTTTTTGTGTTCCTTTGCCTATTTGGATGCTGTGACAGTCCACAAAAGATTGGCCCCTGTATGTACATATATATATATATATATATATACGTACCTACATATAGTACATATTGTACCCTGGTATATAGGTTTTACTAACGACTTTAGCATCTGGCTTTGTAGGCAAAAAAAAGAGACACACGTAAGCATCAAATTGTCAGTGGGATGTGCGGACTTAATTTATCCAGTCGACCAGGGAAGCTTTCATTATGTATACCCTCCAGCCAGAACGTCTGTTTCTGTCTGTTTCTAATCAACTCGATTTCCGCATTTTGCCACCGCTCGATTTGTCTGTTTAATCACTAAATTGTGCTTAATTGGCTGTCTTTCCGAACTTTATCCCTTTAATTTGCTTAGTTTTCGAACAGATAACGTGCAGAAGTCATGGACTTACGACCCTTAGTTTGGTGCTTAAGTTTGTTCGTATATCTTAAGAGTCAAAAGTGAAAAGCAAATGTCTATAAATAACTGATTAACCTGAAAGGTAGTTAGGATTAGGATAGCCAATAAGCAATAATATTTATAAGCAAAATTTATGATATACGTAAAATCAAGTTAGGAGTTCTGAAATGACCTACAACGTACAAAATCAGACTAGAATGCTAAGGGTGATTTTGTCTAACAAGTCTCAAAGGTAAAACTAAAGAGATTTTCATCCACCATCTTCACAGGTAGACCTAATATTTTATATCTCTTACCACCCTTTTGGTATTCGTGAATCCTTAAGGGTTCGAGCATTGTCCCTTGCAATATAGAAATTCCTATTAACATTTTGTGAATGCCTAGCATAAGCTTCACTCATAAATAATGGATGATTGTCTTGGTAGACTACGGATATGGTTGTAATTATTAAAACAACATTTACTAGTTTTAGGAAAAAGGTAACTTTGAAGGGGCTAATATTCTTTATTTTTACAATTATGTGATTACTAAATAAGATTTTAAAACGTAGGGTTGAAGTACAAATGCTGAATTCTGAATAAAAGCATAAAACTTAAGTGTTGTAGATATTTAAACATGTTAAAAATTAGATTACACATATGTATGTTAGTTAAATATTTCTCATAATATGAAATGTGGTAATCTTTGGTAATTGCGCAATCTGCTCAAAACGTACTTTGAAAAGTCGGCACTGTCGAAATATAAATTTGTTTGTGTTTCCTAAACATGATAGCGAAATGGTTGTGTGGTCACATTCTATAGCTAAACCGACACCATTGTGGTAATGAAATTGGCAAGTTCATTAAACCTGCTCTTATCTCCAGAATTCCGACCCTGCTCCAAGGCAAAAACAAAGGGCGAAGAAGAAGAGGAGGAGAAGGGGCACCGCAGACGGGCGCAAAATAAACGCAGTGCAATCAAAGTGCAGCGATGGCCTTGCGACTCCGATTCCGTGGGAAGAAGAAGAAGCAGAGGATGATCACGCACACCATCACACGCTGGACACACACACAGACACATACGCAGGCACATCACAAAGGTCATTCGAATTACTGGGAGTCCGGTGGGCAAGTAAATCAAAACACTTGCGACTTGGTAACCACATTTGAGAAATCGATAAAATGCCCATTGATTTTCATATGCCGCAATCACAACAAAGAAATGCCTGTCATGTAACTGGTTCTGAAAGTAATATGTCGAAAACTTCTGCCTGAGTAATTTATCAAATGGGAATAATGGAACTAGTGGAGCAGGGAATAAATTTGGTACTTTGAGTTTGTGCAAAGAAAAAGATATTTATTGAAATGGGAATCGTTCTGCAAGATATCACGAGCTAAAATTTTAGATTATATAAACAAACAGAAAAGTTTAAGTATTAGTAACGCTAAAATTGTTTGTCAAGGTGTCAAATTTAGTAAACATTACCACTATCTCCTTTGTTATGTAAACACCTTTAAGTTCTTATAGTTCACGGATTCGAGAAAGTACTGTAACCAAGCTTTAATGCTACAATGGGAAGAAAGTAAAGGGCTTTTTTCGTAGGGTATTTCAGAGGTTTACATTCCTGTGGGAAGCAGCGACGAAAAAAGAAATTTCAGTCAGCGAAAATGCGAAACGAGGCCAATTGGCAAGAGGCCAAATGGCGACGAAAAAGAGCAGCAGACGAAATAAAGCAGAGGACACCGAAGACAAAAGCGACGCAAAAGACCCACCAAGTGGCCAAAAAAAAAAATATACCCTGCATGTGTATGTTTTTCTTATTGGGACGAAAGGATCGTGCTAGGATATATTATATAGTGGTGTAACAACTTACCCCATAAGCCAATCGACCGTGTCGCGTAGATATTCCGGAATTCGCTCCAGCTTGACGGCTGTTTTTCCTGCTACCTGCTAATTTTCCAAAAAGTTTTTCCCCAGCTGAGGAGCGCACGCACACACTCTCGCCGAAACACTCACGCTCACGGACGCACACACATACACGGTTAGCGGTACGCTCACGGACACGCACGCACACCACCACGCCACCAGGATGTGGAGGATCACCAATTCGACACTTTTACTTTCGTCAATCAATATTTGGGTGATTTTGGTTTTGAAACTTTGCACATCAAAATTTTTCCTGCTTCTTCTTTGCTTGTTTGTGCACTTTGTTGAGTCCCGTTATCGACGCGGTACGATAGTAATCGATAGGCCCGACCTGCGCACTCTTTCGATTGCAGCTGCGCAGCGTTTGCAGGGAGGGTTTTATGAATGGTTTAAAATCAGGAAATACCTGTTTTGGCTCACCTTTCAAGTTCAAGGAATCAACTGCAGGCACGCAATAGAATTTACGGGCCCATCGATAAGACAGCTTAGATTTTAAGCATGCATCCCTGGTTGTTGACAATCAGCTGGGTGGTCAACAGAGGCGTAGACCCAAGCAAAAATAAAAGCAATGTAATTTAAGAAATCGAATTAAAATTTGACAGTCATAAAATTTAATTCGAATTGAGTATCTGTTACTTCATCTTTATAAGTTTATGCATGACTTAAGAAAGTAATCCCCTTTAAAGTTTTTGTGACTACGCCGTTATTGCGCAGTAACAGCTACTTTAAATTGAGAAATAAACACAAACATGACTTTCAAGCTTATTAAAAAGCAGTCAAGGTTAAATTACACATAATCAGGTTTTGTTTTAGTTAATACAATTAAAATAAGTTTACAATTGTTTTAGAAAACAGCTTTCGATTACACCATTCCCCAGAACGACTACCCTATGACTATCGATTACCCAACAGCTGGCAGCAGGCCATGCAGTTCCACAGATTTAACAGCTGTTAAAATTACATAAAAATGGTACAAACTTAAATCACATTGTTTTTGAAGCAAAAACAAACGTAACTTATTCCGAATTTCCTCCATTCCATAATTTAAAATTGTCCGTGCGATGTCGACCAACTCGAATAATTTTACCCCGAAGGCGAGCTCCGTGATTTTGGCCGGACTTGGAGTGGCCGCCGTGGGATTCGCCGGCAAGCACCTAATCCGCCGGATGCCCCAGATGACCACGAAGTTCAACGAGGCCCTCAAGAACCTGCCCAAGTTTGATGCGGAGTCACTGGCGTCCTCCAAGTACTACAAGGGTGGCTTCGATCCCAAGATGAACAAGCGGGAGGCTTCACTCATTCTGGGCGTCAGTCCCAGTGCGTCCAAGCTCAAGGTATTACTACGTTCAATCTTTGGAGATCTCGTTAGATACATAAATATATACGATTTTGTAATCTAAAGTTTTACAAATTGAACTTAACTTTTCATTTATTTACAGATCAAGGATGCCCACAAAAAGATCATGCTGTTGAACCATCCGGATCGAGGGGGTTCCCCTTATTTGGCGGCGAAGATCAACGAGGCCAAAGACTTTCTGGACAAAGCCAAGTAGACAATAAATCCCGCCTTAAAGTGCAAATAAAGTAATTTGTGATTAGCATGTAAGCTGAAGTCTTATGCGTTTTATTACCGCTTTTTAATCGTTCATATTTTAATCAACAGAAAGATTGCATTGGCTGAAATAAGTCCATCACTGACAAGGATCAAAACAATTGTCTAAAATTGTAATTGTGCTAAAGGATTTATTACTCAGGAATCAAAAATGCAATAGTTTCATTTATATATTCATGTATATACGTTAATTGAGTTGTTTGCGGGTGCCTTTTATGGAAAATAACAGTTTTAAAGGGCTTAATAAAATAAAAAGGAATAAGCCTATTGTTTTAAAGCAAATATTTATTGCAAACGTATACAGCAATTAATTTTGTAAGGTTTTAAGTAAACTTTTCATACAGGCAACCCTTTCCGAGTCCCAGGTAAACGTGTTCCGGAAGACAAACGCAATTGTACATCCAACAGTAAACAATTCTTAAGCTACATGTCCGATGTTCTCCCAAACTACATTCTAAAATACAATTTATATTAATATTGTTCATTAAATTGACTTAGGGAGCTTACTTGGTCGCAGCATCGGATTGAGCAACCCAAATACGTCGAGTATTTTTAGGTTTAGGCAGGCAACAACTAATATCAGAAACTTCAAAATCAACGACATTCTTGGTGTGAATGATTTCCAGTAATAAACTACTGTAAAAAATAGTACTTAAGATTTAACAAAGAAACGCTTGCAGCCAGCAAGTGTTTATTTAAAAGTAAATCAAATATGGCTAGGCATGATTTCATTGGAAATCTCGGTTTATACTTATAGTTACACCGAACAAATGTTTATTTTTATTAAACACTAATCGCAATTGATCTTGCTTGAAACATTCTATGTTGTGAGGACTCACTTATTTTTATTCCAAACTAAAAATAGTCTAATTAAACAAGTCCTTCAATGGCGCTCGTGCAAGTAAACATAAAGTCTTTTTTAAGCCCAGACACTATTATTAGAAATACTATAACCAACAGCTGAACCCCAGAATTATTTAAACAATTGCTCTAAGCTACACTTAATTTTTCGCAAATTTGTGTGTTTACTCGACCCTGTTTTACCTGCAGTTGTGATTAAGTGACGTATTAGCTTCTCACGCTGAAATCGAGAGCAAAGACTACGGATTTCAGATGTTTGGTAAAACCACTTGTTGCACTCCAATCACCGAAAGGAGTATAAATAGCGAAGCCCAGACTCCAGAACAGCATCAGTTGATCGCCTTCGTTTAGGAACCATCATCATGAGGTATTTCTGTGTCCTGATCTTTTTGGCCACCTTGGCTATTTGCCTGGTGGGTCAGTCAAGTGGTGCCAGTTCCACAACGACGACGGAGGCAACCACAACGACCACGACCACCACCACCGCGGCCTCGTCCTCGTCGTCGGACAGCACCACCACCACAGAGGCAAGCACGACAACCACCACAACCACCGCCTCCTCCGCCAAGTCTTCCTCCTCTACCAAGAAGAAGAGGAGGACCCACTGCAAACGCAAAACAAAAAAACCAAAAAAGATAGTCAAAAGGCGCAAGCACAAGAAGAATAAGAAGAAGAGTTGTTAGGCTCCAGATCGATCCCCCAAATCCCCAACTTCCTAAAACTCAAACCAAAAAAAGATTTATATTATTTAATTTAACCTTAGTTTACGTAATAGCATTATAAAATAAAATAAAAAAAAAAGAAAACAACCTGAAGATCAGTGAAAAAACCATTTTAATTCGTTATTAATTTTTAAGTAAAAGCCAAGTTATTATTTGCTGTTATTATTTTAGGTAAATGGTCTAAAATTCGAATGTTTTCCATCCCAAATAATTATCAATAAATCAAAACTTAATCCTTTTTTCTTTTGTAAGACACTTTAAAACAGGAGTATAATTTTTATTTAAAATATTTGAGAATATTTTACTGAGAATAGGAAATATTTTTGCCATTCTTATAAAGCTCAACTCCAGGTTAAATTCCCTTCTTCATCTCAGCACGAAATTGAGCAACGGATGCCATATCAACTTGATCTCCTTGATCTCCTTGATCTTTCATCAGACTTCGCCAAATCGATTCGAAGTCATCTTTGGAGACAATGTCCTTAAATATTCGTTCCATTTCGTCCTTGCTGCGTAACATTTTGAAGTCACTTGGCCAGACGCCACGTACAGTTGGCAGATCGGGATTCATAAGGTCCTTGACATGGGTATTGAGTAAGTCCTGCTGAATGGGTGTTTGGTTAGGATGTCGAAGGACTCGACCTTCGGCAGGTTTCTTCTTCAGATCGGCACACAGCTCGCGATATGCTGTATCCTGATTATAAACAATATGTGGCACTGGTGATAGGGCTCCAACCATTGGCAAGGACTTCAATATTGAGAGGAGTTGGCACAAATCCTCGTATTTAACTCGTTCCGAGGAGCAGCCCTCATCTACGATTAACTTATAGTGTGAAACGGCGGTGCGAATTTTCTCCGCATCCGCGGGAATATTCATCTTCCGCATCACAAGGATTATCTCTGGCAATGGAAGCATCTTTGTGCTTTCTTTATCCCTTTTTGCCAGCGCCTGTATTAATTGGTTCATATTGAAATCGTCGCGTTCCTGAAGCAATTTCCGTATCATATTGAGGTGACTAATGGCACTGGCCAACTTTTGGCATAAGACGCTGGGCGAGGTATTTTCCAGCAGCGACTGCATGTCCATATCATGGGGCTTCACTTTGCCAAAGGTCATGTCTTCCGGGATCTGGTAAGGGTACCAACTGGAAAAAAGAATAGTTAATAACATTTATAATAAAACCAAAAAGATATTTGTAAATGAGAGAATAATGTAGTTAAAAAATCTATCGTTCAGAAGGGTAGTTTATATTGTTTGACTGAACTTACATGTACTTTTTACCCAATGGCGCTTTGGTGCGATCATCCAAGTCCTTCTGGGGCTTTTTGACTATCATCAGGTGCTCCTCGCCTTCTTCCAAGCAGCGTTTTACCCTAATGCCACTGTGTTCGGCACAAGCCGGTAAACCGAAAGTATTTTGCCGATTGAAATGCTTTGAATATCTAAAACATAAATTGGAAATAATATAATAGTTCATTTGTATTTCTTATCTGACCTTCTATTAATCTGCTCCGAAGGAAAGTAGTGATTGTGGCTGGTGATGTGTTGATTGTGAAAGTAGGCATATTCGCGATTGACCTGATTGGGTGATTTTGGCGGCATAACCAGGCAGTATAGAGAATCTTCGGCATTGGATGCTTTGCCAAAAGTTCGGCTTAAATTGGTCACAGAGTCCGGCTTGGAATTGGCCCCCTTGGCCTCACCCAAAGCAGGTTTCTTAAAGAACATATTCTCGCGAAACTTCTCCTGGAACTCGGCGAAGAGTCCCTTGCCATTTTTGCCAAAAATTTCTTCGATCCTATTATTGGGTAGCTTGGGTGTTCGCTTGCCATAAGGTTTGGGTATGTTCCTCCGGCAAAGTGCCCTTATACGATTCTCCGCCTCTTCTTCTATGTGGTTCATTGGTAGGCACTCCTTGGTGCCGTAGTTGTTCGCAGGATCAGGAAGTGATGTGAGTCCTGCAGCCCGCAGTTCGGGATTTCTGTCGATAAAGCGGCCTATGTTTGCCATTTGTATTGTTTTTTTGGTTCAGTTTAGTGATTATGTTATATAGTAAGTTATGTGAAGGTATTTGAAGTATGTGAATAAGACGTCTTCGATTATATATTTAATTGCATCAGTTTATGGTTTTAAGAACCTATATTAAAAAGTTTACTAAAAACGCTAAAGTATGGTACTTTCCAATTATTTTTTACCTTGTGAAGTTATTATATATTCTCCTCAATTACTTAAGAAGTATGCGATTTATTTTAATTCTGCTTAGCTTTTATTTGTATAATAGTAAACTTGTGATATTATATAAAAGAATTTTTGATTCACAATTTAAGACGGGGGAGCAGTTTTTTTAAGCACTTCGGCTCGAAACTGAGCAACGGAAGCCATGACCTTTTGATCCTGTTCTTTGTTTTCCCCCATCAGCCGTTGCCAAATGCGTTCGAATTCCTCTTTGGATACAACTTTTTCAAATATTCGCTCCATTTGATCTCTGTTCCTTAGACAAGAGATGTCACTGGGTTTAAGACCAATCTTCGTGGCGACTTCCGGTTGAATCAGATCCTTAACATGCATGTTGTCTTCAAATCGATCCCATATGGCTCTTTCTGATTTACCTTTCTCAAGATCTTTACAAAGAGTTCTATAAGTAGTATCCTTGTTGTACATATTATCGAGAACTTTGCCAATGCAACCAACATTTGGCAGCGGTTGTTGAGCAGAAAGTAACCGGCAAAAGTGATCGTAGTTAACTAGCTCCGTGGAACATCCTTCGTCAGTGAACATCCGGAAATGGGATAACATGGTGCGGATTTTGGCCTCTTCCACACGGATGTGCAACTTGTGCATGGTCTCCAGAATCTGAGAAAGTGGCATGTGCCCCGTTTGCTTTTTATCGATCCTCTCGAACACAGCAATCAAGTCCATCATGTAGAAGTCAGTCCGCTTGTGGAGATTCTCACGCAGTCTGTTCAAATAGGATAGCGCATTTACCAAGGTGTCGTCCTCTTCGCAGGGAGTTGTGTTCTCCATTAGCATTTTGACACCACATTTATCTTTCTCGCGTTGACCAAACGTCAAGTCGGGCACTTTATCCAAGTATCTATAAAAAATATATTTTTAGTATTTTGTGGAAAAAATTATAAAATTTACTTATGATTTTTGCGACATTATCAACGCTTATTAATTTACTTTCTTTTATCCTCATTGTTCAAATTTACCTATTAAAACGTGTTGTATTATTTTTCTTGTTTTCACAAAACCATGAATAGAAACTTCAAAAATGAGGCCTTAGTATCTTAATAATTGCGACTTAATTAATAAAATGCCTAGGCTTGAATGGCCACTTGAGCAAACACTTGAGTAAACCTAAGTTAATATTGCAAAAATGACTTTCTGCGTTTTACTTAAGCGTTAAGAAATATAAGTAGAATAAGCCAAAGAGTTTCTTGAGTTATCAAAAGAGTGGTACATTTTTAATTGCTGCGAAAAGAAAAGAACATAAGAAAAGCTGCAGGGTTTTTTGTGCAACTTCAATGGCTACTTATTAGGGATCAATCTGCACTCACTTTTCAAATTTCTTTCCCAAAGGTCCTTTGGTGCGTTTCATGTAGTCCTGCCAGGGCTTAGATACCACAGTCAAGTGCTCATCTCCTTGCATTAAACACTTCTTCATAGTCGTTCCTAAGTTATCAGCGCCAAAACGAATTCCAAAAACTCCAGATCGATCGAAGGGCTTGGTATATCTGATTGAAAGATAATATCGCATAATTAAACATTTAAGAAACCATAATAAAAACGTAAAACTTTACCATAACTTGTTATTATAAAATTAACAATAAATTAAGGTTTGTATTGACTTGTTTTGTACAATAAACACTCAACTAACCTGCGATTGATCTGCTCAGAAGGAAAGTAATGATTGTTACTGATGATGTGACCCTCGTGAAACTCACTATACTCCCGATTGACCTGATCGACTGACTTTTTTGGCATTATGGTGCTATATAGAGATTCCGATTCGGGATTGGCACGTCCGAAAGTCTGACTCCAGTTGGTAACGTGATTCGGTTTCGAATGGGTTGGCTTAACTTCTGCCAATTTTGCGTTTTTGCAATACAAATCCTCGCGGAACTTCTCCTTGAAGGTTGTCAATCGTGTTTTATCACTTTCGCTGTCGAGAACATCGGCGATTGTGCTTTCCAAATTGAATGGCGGAAGTTTTCCGAAAGGCGGCGGCTTGTTTTTCCTACAATTTCTTTCTATATGGCTGCGAATAAAATCCTCCGGATGTGCAATAATCAAACATTCCTTGCAACTCATCTCAGGTCCATTGGGATCAGAAGAAGGCAACCCGGCAGCTCGATTGGTGCCATTTCTCTCTATAAAGTGTCCTCTGTTTGCCATTGGTTTTTTTTTCTTTTTTTCCCACTTTTTTTTTTGTTTTGTATAAAGTGTTTTGTGAATGTTTTTTTCTTTTATGAGTTAACTTAGTTTTTTTGACATTTAGGGGAGCGATCAATGTTGACTTGGAGTTTCATTTCAAAAGATTACATTTTATATAAGTAGGTATAAGTATAAAAAATAATCAAGTATTGTTAGTTGAGATTAATATTATGGGTATTAAGAAAAAGGAAATGGATTTAATTGTATTATTTTCCAAACAAATGTGATCTTAACCTCTATTTCGGAACTCTTTCTTATTAATGCGCAAAGGTAGCATTAAAATATTTACAAGCTTTAAGAAGCATTGCCAATAAAATGTATCCAAATCTTTCCATTTCATAAAACGATACTTTTAAAACTGGAAATTCCGAAGGAATGGTAGTGATAAGGAATGAAAGCAAGGTCTTAATCATTTTAAGATATTTATTTCGAACATAAATTGATATACAAGTTTTGGTAATGGTCTTCAATTCTTCCTGTGGGTTACAATAACGACGGTCTTGTGGCACCTTCTCGGGTGCTTGCACTTCTTGTTGGGAATCCTGGTGTGGCACCAGTTGTTGCCCTTCCAACAACGCTTCTTGTGGGTGGAAGAAGCTGTTGTCGTGGTTGTTGCATCTGTGGTTGTTGTTGTGGTCGAGGCAGCGGTTGTTGTAGTTGTCGTAGTTGTTGCGCTTGCGCAGTAGGCACACTGAATGGCCAAGGCAATAAGGGCAACGACGAAAAGGTACTTCATCTTGAATTATTCTTTAAGCTTTAAAAACTTCTGATGTATTCTATAAGAACTCGAGTTGTGTCTTATCACAGAAAAACTGTAGCCTTTTATAGGTAAATTTATGCTTTTGTTATGTTTGTATTTGCCAAACACTAACTCTAGAAATGATTTCCTATAGTAGGCCTACTAAATTATATTTCTATACGATGTCAAATATTAAATTAAATAAATATTTGAACAGCCATAAGTATGCCTAATAGATAACTGTCTAGGAAAAACAGCTGTTGAAAGACTAACCCGATTAAGCCAGATTGTATTTAGGTACTTTAAGTGGTGGGTGTTTAGTTCAAAAACGTATATGGCTTTGAGGCAAATGTTGGACCTTTTTATTTTTTGCCGTTTTTTTGTAATAATTATTGCTCTGTTTAAAAGAAAACTCTTAAAATTATTCTTACGTTACGTTAAAGGAAAAGCCATACCAGCTAAATAATTATTAATTCTAAATACTCTTAACTTCAAGAAATAAAAACAATTTAAAATATTCTTTAAAATGACTGTAAACCAATATATTTTAGCAATTGTAAATTACAACAAACAGAGAAATTTAGACAAACTGATAGCTTATGTTTGCTAACCTTTCTTAGGTGGCAAAATAGCCACATTTAAATGAAAATATTGCTCATACGCAGTGTTACCTACAAAGAATAGCTTGGGTGGTAACGTTAAAAAAACAATCCTAAAATAAATGTTTAATAAAATTTAATGATAAATTAAAAATCATAAATTATTTTTCTTTTGTCCTGCACTATGTTATACAATTGTCATAAGTATAATTAGTTTTGAGACTACAATATCATAAAATTCAGAATGTTTTAAATGTCGGTAGAGTTTTATTTTTTTTTTTAAGAAAGCTTTATTTATTTTTTATTTTTGGATTTAGTTCTTCCTGTGGGTTACAATAACAACGGTCTTGTGGCACCTTCTCGGATGCTTGCACTTCTTATTGGGAATCCTGGTGTGGCACCAGTTGTTGCCCTTCCAGCAACGCTTTTTGTGGGTGGAAGAGGCGGTTGTAGTGGTTGTTGCATCTGTGGTTGTTGTTGTGGTCGAGGCAGCGGTTGTTGTAGTTGTCGTAGTTGTTCCGGTTGCGCAGTAGGCACACTGAATGGCCAAGGCAATAAGGGCAACAACGAAGAGGTACTTCATCTTAATGTTTTGGGGTGTTTAAAAACTTCTTTTGATGTCTTATCGAATTGAAGTCAACCAATGTTGTGATTTTTAAAAGTAGAGTAAGACTCTTTTATAGGTCTTTTATAGGTTCCGTGTTCCCTAAATTTTTAATAGGCTGTTTCTAAGATTTGGCAAATAAAAACTCAGGAAAAGATTTCCTCATTATAGAATGATTCAGCCAAAATAACACATATGTATACAATGGTGGGAAGTAAAATATTTGTATAATATGAGGGTGCCTCTTGTTTATTAATACGTGCTGACAGCTGGGCAAATACTAATTTATTTTACCAGCACGACGGTATTTACCTAAAATTATATTTCGTGAACCTCAAAAGTATATTAAATAAATAATTTTGCCCTTGAAAAAGGTAAAGTACTACGAAGAGGTATATTTCATCTTTAGCTCCAGCTAAAATAATAAAAACATTTTATGTAACCCAATGAAATTATTTGAAAATTAATACTATGGTATAGTTTATATCGTTTCAAATTTGACGCATTTCTCATTATTATTTAATTACATAATTACATAAAAAAGGAAGTAGTCAATAATTTATTTACATTTCATTAGGTTTGTTTAAATTACGACTTGCGAAGTCAGAAGCAGGTACAGAATATAATTTAAGATAGGCAGCATATATTATCATAAATTAATATGAATAATTATAATTTTACAAGTAACGAAGAAAAAATCTTAAATATTTGTTGCACCCAGCCTTTTCCGCCAAAACAAAATTTTTAAGAAATTCGTAAAAATTCGTGAATTTATTGACAAATTTAAAACAAAAAGTTTTGTTATAGTTCTTAAAGTGAGGTAAAATAAAGAATATGATAATATTAATGACACTGCCCAATAGTAATCGCTCCATTAAAAAAAGAAAATATAGTGCTCATATTTATGTATTTATTTCGATATTGTATTAAAAATCAGGTAGTGGTCTTTAGTTTTTCCGATGGGTTACAATGACGACGGTCTTGTGGCACCTTCTTGGGTGCTTGCACTTCTTGTTGGGAATCCTGGTGTGGCACCAGTTGTTGCCCTTCCAACAACGCTTCTTGTGGGTGGAAGAGGCGGTTGTGGTGGTTGTTGCATCTGTGGTTGTTGTCGTGGTCGAGGCAGCGGTTGTTGTAGTTGTTGCGGAGGCGCAGTAGGCACACTGAATGGCCAAGGCAATGAGGGCAACCACGAAAAGGTATTTCATTTTTAATGCTGCTGACAAGTTGAAAAAGGAGTAAATCCGGTTGAAAAGCTGCGATTGAGTGTTGTGATTGACTAAAGTTAAAGTTACCTCTTTTATAGCTGTAAAGTTATTTCCGGAACCGATTTGTTTTTCTTGAGTTGTTACTAGAGGTTTATACCTTACAAATAGCACTTACTAATTATTCAGCTGCCGAAAGCTAAATATTTGCTAGTCACAGGGATCAGCCCAAAGTTATGCTATAATTTATGAGAAGATCGTCAGTCTTAAAAACATAGACAAAACAAGAAAGGAAGGTAACTTCGGCGATTAGAAGTTTTCAATGTGTTATTAATAGGTACATATATTTTTTATCATTTTATTATTACATTATTATAGGGTATTATAGTATATTGGGCATTTAGTTTTTTATTTGGTTTTTATTTCATTCAGCATGCTGCTACGAAACTGGTTGACTGATGCCATTTCATTCTGATCGTTGTGCTCGACCATTAAACTCTGCCAAATCAGCTCGAATTTATCCTTTGTTACAAGCTTTCCGAAAATCCTTTCGATTTCAGCCTTGGGACGCAAACGTGTGAAATCGCTTTGATTTAAGCCACGCAAAATGGTAAAATCTGGATTTATAAGGTCCTTCATAGAAGTTGTATCCTCTTCCAACTGCTGGTTATCCTTTGGCTTCCCCGTATCCTTAGGCTTCTTATGATAATCGTCACAGAGTAAACGATATGTGGTATTCATGTCATGAACTTCCGAAGCTGAAGCCAAATTTCCTATTTCGGGAAGTGGTTCCTGAATAGACAGCAGTCGAATGAAATCCATGTAATTCACTCTCTCTGTGGCACATCCTTCATCAACTATCATCTTAAAATGTGACAAAGCATCACGAATTTTCTGTGCATCCAATTGGAAATGAAAGTAAGCGATGATTTCAAGGATTCTCCTCAGCGGAAGATAACCCGTTTTATCCTTGTCGTTTCGCTCCAGTAAGGAAAGAAAGTTTTGCATGTCAAAATCAAGACGCTTTCGCAGTCTTTGCCGATTTTTGTTTAAATAGCTAATGGCATCTAACAAGCGATTTGTTTTATCGGAATCCACGCTATTATTTAGCAGCATTTTTACATCGCCATTGCTGCGCAAAGGAATACCGAACGTGATGTCGGGAACTTCATAAGGATACCTATGTTATTAATTGAAATATTATTTATTAATTTAAATAAATTTTATAGAAGAACTCCTACTTTTTGAATTTGGATCCCAATGGAGCTTCGGTGCGATTCATAAATTCAACTTGAGCCTTTCCAATAACCTTCAAATGGTTTTCACCCTCCTCAAGACAACTTTTCACATGATGTCCAAAGTTGTCGATGCCCTGGATTTCTCCACAAGGATTTTTACTATCAAATGGTTTGGAATATCTGAATGGAAATATATATGAAAATAAATTATTAATTGGGTAATCAGTTATAAATATAGAATTGTAAGAGATATACCCTCGATTGACTTGCTCCGATGGAAAATAGTGATTGTGGCTAATGATGTACTTGTCGTGGAACTTTTGGTACTCCTGATTTACTTCTTTGGGGGATTTGGGTGGCATTATGGTTGTGTATAGGGAATTACTACCATGGGTTGGATTGGCTGCTCTTCCGAAAGTCTGACTAAAATTTGTTACGCTTTCCGGCTTTGAATGGGTTTCCTTAGCATTACCCAATTTGGCTTTTTTGAAGTACAACTCTTCGTACAACTTCTCCTTGAAGGACACGAAGAGAGATTTCTGCAGCTCACTGGTCATCAAATCTCGGATGCTGCAACTGGGCATTACCAATGCACTGGGAGAACTTTGGGATTTTGATAGCTTTTCTTTGCATTTGGCTCGAACGAAACTTTCGGCCAAATCTGCTGGGTTTTTAATGCTGAGGCACTCGGCCACATCTCCCTCGCCATCCAATCCAATGGTGGACAATCCTGCTGTCGGAATATCTAGATTTCTATCTACAAAGTGTCCCTTGTTGGCCATTTTTAATGTGTGTATATTGTGCGATTTTCAGTGTATTCTATGTGTTTATAAAACCTTAACTAAAAAGTCAAACTACAGCTGATTTGACATCATTCTTTAAAGTAACACGATATTCTACACAAAAAGAATTGAATAAAATAAGTGGCACCTAAAAAATTTAGGCTTAATTAAACATTTAATTACATGAGAAACTTGAAGTATTTTATTTTTAAACTTGTTTTTAATCTCTCTTTATAATTACACATTCTCCTACGGCTCTCAAAACAAATCATTTTGAAACCGCATCTAAATTAAAATAAATAAATAATTGTTTTAATTGGTTTTGCAAATGAGTATGTTTACATTTCAAATAATTTATGGCTTAGCACTAGTTCAACTTTAGCTAGGTCTCCTAGTCTATTGTACATGGTACGAGTACATGATTGCACGTCTCTCTGGCCGCGGAGATGGAATGTGGATATTTTTCTCAGTGCAGTGGGTGGTTTTTGTGCAGGACAAAGTCCCAGGTGTCCTTCCATCGCAGCCGGCGCACCTCGCCCACGCTCATCTTTCGCGCTCCATAACTGAACGGAATGAACTTGAAGAAAATGCTGACCACGCAAATCAGCCAAAAGATTAGGATGAGGCGATAGAGGCGCACCAGATGAACTCCGCGTCCGGTGCAGAAGCGCCGCAGCAGATAGTCCAGATGCTCCACGACGAAGCACAGGAGGAGTAACTTGAACACAAAGGCTGGCAAGTAATTGTGCAGGAAGAGTGTGCGATCCACGAAGAAGTACGGCAGGTAGTGGACCAAGTAGCCTACGAAGAAGGTATCGCCGGCAATGAGGAACCTCTGCCACTCCTCTTCGGAAATATCGAAGCACAAACGTTGTCTTCGAACCGCGTAAAAGGCAAGTAATGCGGCGTAGACGAGTATTCCCGCGGTGGCCGTGTACCAGATGAGTATGTTGCCCAGCAAGTAGATCTGAGCACTGGACTCCGAGTCCAGCCAGTAGGCGATGCCCTTGTCCATCAGCGGCCACTCGTGCGGCATCGAGCTGTACATGTGGCTGGGTATTCCCCTTGTCTGGAACAGCATCTTCGACTGCAGCTCCAGTAGCTTGGCCCAGAACGAAAGGCGAGTCCGTTGAGTGGGAATCATTTCGGCGGTCAGCAGCTGGCGTTCTCGTTCCTGGTGATCTTCAGCTGTTTGGAAAGAATAAAGTATTGTAGGTATTTAAAATAATTTTATATAAGTGTGTTGAAATACTTACTCTGTGTATATCGGTGCTCTTCGACATTCCAGATGGTGTGCTCGTTCAACTTCTGATCCCGATCCGCCACCACTTCGTGCTGATTGAAGCCCCAATCCGGCAGTTGATGGCCACTGAACTTGAGAGCGGCTCCCGTGGAGACGTGAATCAGACGAATCTCCGACTTGATGGCATGCCAGCTGTCGCCTTCGGAATCGCGATTCATGATATCCACGCGCCACAACAGTTCACCGGCCATTTTGATCTCGTAGTCGATGTAACAACTGACCTCCTGACATTGTGGCGTCATTGCGGCAGCCACATCGTGGGAATTCAACGCTCGACTGGTGATTCCATGCACCAACTGGATGATGTCACCGTGTCGAATCACATCCGGATTGTCTCCCACCACCAGATTCTCCTTCGTGGGTCGTTTCACCAGCCACCAGTTGTTCACATCCTTGAAGGAGTAGCAGGTGACCTGTTGCTGATGCGAGGAACCCCTCTTGTCGGGATAACGCACTGGATAAACAGCTGCATGCGAATGAAGCCAGCAGGTGCGTCCGTGGGTGTGCCGCAAAGTGATCTGGGATCCGTGCACCACATCCAGTGGTTGTCCCTTTGTAATCGATGCCAGTCCTCCCTCCAGGGAAGCCTGAAACGCACTGGTCATGATGCTGTCATGGGGTCCTGCTCGGTGCAGTGTGCGGAAGTGGACGTAGAAGACTCCTATGTAGACGGCCAATGGAAGACCAATAAAGAGCAGCAGACGACTTATGGCGTGCACCCACAATTGGCGATCTGAAAAAAGAGAAAGTTAATATGGTTTCATTTGCAAATGTAAAAAAGTTAATGGAAGACAAAGAACATTTTAAATAATTTTTGTAACTTTAAATTATTTTTATCAATTTGTCTTAACGTATACGCAATATTAACAGATTTTCAAAAAATCGATCTTATATTTTTGGTAATGCATATTAATTATATAGAGCTTCACAGTTATTAAGAAATCTTTCAAACTTATCTTAAGAAAGTTATAATGTTTCCTACACCAGAAAATGCGTATACGTAATGTGAGCAGAACGTTAAGAACATTTTTAAAAACTTTATAAATAAAATTGGCTTTAGTTTTTTTTTTTTTGTTTTTATATTAATCAATGCAATATACATCCTATGAATCTTGAATAAAATGTTTCGAATGTACAACAGTGCGTATGCGTGACAAGAATTTCAGTTCTTTTCCTTATCAATTCTTACTGGTCAAACTCGCATCGTAGAGCAGTTGCCAAAGCGTGCGGCACAGCATATAAATGGCCAGTCCAAGTGCGAGGTATCCGATGTACTTGATCGTTCCAGCTGCTCCCAAAAAGACAGCGGCCGCTGCTCCAGAGATTATCCATTGGACGCTGCCGAGGCGACTCCTCTGGAATCGGAGCAAAAACGCGATGCCCACTGTGCTGGCCAGCAGCAGCATCGATTCCATGAGAACGAATCGGGATTGGGTGAGCAAGGAGTTGTCCAGGACGACGAGCAGACCACCCAAAGCGGATGACCAGCGACTCAGCTTCGCTTCCAGCAGAAGTTTGTAAGCTGCGGGTGCCAGCAGACTTCCGCACATCGCCGGAACGAACCGGAACCAAAAGATGGGCATTTCCGGTGAGTAGGGCTCTCCGATTCGGGTAAAGTTATGGTCACCTTCAAAGCCAACCAGGCTGACCAGACCGGCGATCAGCTGTTTGCCCAGCGGCGGATGTTGGTCGAAGAAGAAGATGTTGCGCAAGTACATTGAGATGTACTTGCCGTAATGCAGTTCATCGAACCTAAAATGTTTAAATATTTCTTGGTTAAATGTAAATTTAAATTGTTAGAGCTAGTTCTTTATTTATATGCAGGGCTAAAACTTTCCCTTTCAACAGTTGTTAATGAAATCAGAAGTCATAAAATGAGTTAAAAATCGGAAGAGCAACAAAAGAACAAATACAAACTTATTTTCTTTTTAACGTGTTTTGTGATCATAGATTATTTAATGAAGTTTTGAGGGACATACAAATGCATAACAACAAATTGCTTTTTAATATAAACATCACTATACAAACAAAAATATTTCGATAACATTAACCTAATATCTTTTAATAGATCATTTTTGGTTTCTCTAGCTTTGTTATTGTTTTTGTTGATCTTTACTTACACAATATGCGGCGGTGTTGCCAATTTGTAAAAACGCGTGCCAAAGGCCAAGAAAAAGAGGGTCCAGCTGAAGAGATCGATGTTCAGGCTAACGGTAAATGGTGGCATAGCATCGGGATCTCTCTCTTTTGCTGTCACTGATGCTGCTACTGCGCTGCTCTTGTGTTGTTTGTGGCAGGCTGAGAGCGAGCGGGAGCGAGACGGTGAAGCTGAGCGAGAGCGCGAACGATCAGAGGTAGGCGATGGGGAGACTTGTTTTGGCGTCGCTGTTGGAGTAGGCGTCGCAGTCGGCGTCACCGACGGCGTCGTTTGCCGGCTAACGCTGCCGCGCAGCGGCGCATTCAAATGGCAATTCACGTCGACGCAGCAATTGAACATCGTTAGAGCACCGTTACAGCACAGTGGTGAAGGTGAATTTCTCACAGCCGACGCAGTTGTTGTTACTTTTGAGTTTGTCGAACGGCTGCGAAAGTGAAGTCTTTCGTTTGGCTCGCCGCTCGAATCGCTGGCCGCCCATTGTTGCTGTTGTTGCTTCGTCTTGGTCGTCTTGCGGCGCTGTGTAATAGTGTTTGTGTAGGTGGAAGACATAGCGGTTTCCTCGTTTTTGTTTTTGTCTTTTTAGCATGCTATTTGCTCATCGACATTTAGCGGGCATTTCTAGCTCGCATTGTTTTTTCTCACTCACTTTCACTGATCAATTAGCATTCATCAAACATGAGATAATTCAGTGATAATCAAGCGATCACTTATTTTCACTTTGTTTTGTTTGGGTTTTTTGTTGTTGTTTATTTCTTATTTTTGCCACGTTTGCCTGCTAGCCGAAAACCTGTTTTGCACTTTCTACACTCCACTTGTCTCGTTGGCTCTTCCTCTTCCTTGCCTTCTTCAGTAATTTGCATTAACATACAAATGATGGCCAGCTGGGGAAGAAAGTTTCGATACCGAAATATTCCCACAAACACACACTCACGGAAGTGAAAAAACAAACTATTTTTATTTCACTGGGCTCCTTGGCCAAAATCGCAACCTGCACGCTTAAGATCTCGCTACTGAATGGCCTGGGACTTCGACTGAATGGAAATGGATCCGCGGTGGCTCTCTTTCTTCTGCGCAGCCGCAGCTGCTGCTGCTGCTGCCCTCGGCGCACAGTGGATTGATTTCCCAAAAAGCGTAGCAAAAATGAATGTACATATGTACATATAAAACTATTTAAAATACATGATTGTGATTCACTATGGCTAAAAAATTTAGTTTGTGCTATGAAGTTTTCTCTAAACGTTTTGTTTTTAAATTAGTTCCTTTAAGATAACGACCACTTTAAAAAGTCAACAACAACATCATTGGTTTTTAAAATGAGTTTCTGATAAACGATCCACTGTGCGACTGCGCTGTTATTGCCTGGAATGCGGTTCGGCTGCTGCGGCCCTGTCTCTTTCCTCGTCTTATTCCTCTGCGCCTCAGTCTACCTTGATTTTTAACCCATTTCCCGTTTTGTGAGGCAAGAAATGCTCAGTGATGACAGATATTGATTAGGAGAACAGCTAGATTCTAAAAGTCGTAAAACTAAATTACATAAACAAAAAAAATTTCAACGTTAATGCACTCTAATTTACTTTTGGCCCTCCCTTTGAAAAATATGTAATCTAGTGGAGTCCATGTCTTTCTGAATTTTAATCAGAACAACTTTGACAGTCAGTGGACGCAGAGTAAAATAAACTGAACGCAACCTTCAATTTTTTTTACAACGAAGCTATGAAAAAGAATGTATTTTTAAAAATGTGCGTGGGGTCAATAAAATCTAATTTAGTATGTAGCTATTTTTGGTCGAATAAAATCTGAACCTGCAACACTGGGTGAGCATGCAAAAAGATCCATCCTGTTCTCAACCCCTCTCTCGCTCTCGATCTCTCTTCCGTAGGTGAGTGTCGCCAAACGGAGTCTGCAAAAACAAAGAACACCAGCAGTACAATTAAACACCATTTATTGGCGCTGTAAAGAGCGGTTGTTTGGTATTTAGCGGCTAAAGTTATGTGCATATGTATGTCTATATGTATGTTTTGTTAGTATGTTTAAGTGAGGGGAGACGTAAAAGCACGCGTCACAGGTTGAGAGTTGGGAACCTGTTCTCTTGGCTTGCGACCCATTCTATTGGCCATGGACCAAAGATGTGGGTACCCGCCTGACCTATTGGCCTTATTTATGTTTTTTCCTTTAGGCCTCGAAGACATTGTATTAATACATTGTTGCTTTGCATCAAACTTATGACATCAGTTGCCGGATTTTTGTTTAGTCTTTTGGGTTAGGTAAACGGTTCTAAACTGGTTCTACAAATAACCAGAAGTTGGTGCGTTTTTTCTTCCCACAGAGTATAGAAACAAAAACATTTGAAATAGAAATGTGTTTACCTAAAAAAATATACAAACAAATCTGGTTTAAATAATGGTTTACATATGGTATTAAATACTTAAATCTTAATAAGAATAATATTTTAACTCTACAACAAAATTTATTAAGATGGGGAAACGTAATCAACCCCATAAATAATTTTTGCAAAGGTTCTTAAACTATGAATAACGTGTTTCTAGTCTGCTACATTTAACACATTGTTTTCCCAGAGATACAATAATAGAATGAGAAAGTGCGTGGATAAGTTTATACAGGTGAAACTCCAAACCAGAGTCAACATGTTTCAAGCTAAATCTAAAGTCTTCAAAATATCTTGGATATTTGTACAACTGCCTTGTTGTAGGCATATAATTTTTGCGAATTATTGTTTGCTTGCCCTGGATAGAAAGGCCTAAAGATGTGGATCAGCTGGTATTATGCGTAAAGTTCCCACGCTAATTCGGATAAACCCAGATAATACAGATGTTTACTTCCGAAGCTAACCCGCGGGGTATAAATAGTGAGTGTTTCGAACCAGAAAGGCATCAGTTGATCCACTTCAATTACCAATCATCAACATGAAGTTCACCTGTGCTCTGCTCCTTTTGGCCACTTTGGCTTGTGTCCTGGTGAGCCTGTCAAGTGCTGCCAGTTCCACAACCTCAACAGAGGCCAGCACCACCACCACAACAACAACGGCCTCGTCCTCGGACACCACCACCACCACTGAATCCTCCTCGGACACCACTACCACCACCACTGCTTCCTCTTCTTCCTCCTCCGGCAAGAAGAAGCACATTATCCACTACAAGCGCAAGGTGCACCGCCCCAAGAAAGTCAGGAAGATCCACCGCAAGAAGAACCGCAGCGGTTAGACGCCCTTAAAAATCCATCGCTCCTGTTAACCTGTTTCGAACCTTAATCCTGAACCACTGCAAAACTACGCTTTTATAGTTATAGTTCAAAATCTTGTTATTTTTATTATATAAGCACCTTATACATGTTATTTAGTTAAAAATATATCAAATAATTATTCAACCAAAATTTTTAAATTACATTTAAGCCTTCAGCTTTTAAATAATCAAGCACAATAATTTTATTTCTGAACCTGAACCCTAAACCATTGGTAACTACCCTTTTTAGTAAAAGTTAAAAATCTTCTATTATTATTATGTAAGAACCTTATACTTCTTGTTTATATAGAAATATATCAAACCACTTTTCAAATAAGATTAAAATTATATATTAATTTATATTTTACTCAGAGTGCTTTGATTTTCTATACACCAGGAATTCCGAATTAAGTTTTAATTTTCCTAATATATAAACAGAAACAGTTTCGACTTTATAAATTATGAGTGAATCCACAACATTTTTATTTGATTCTTTCCGTTTTTGTAGTTTGTCCTTCATTTGATTTTTTTTATAAAAATTAAACATAACTCAAAAATTTGTTTTTCCTCGATATAAATATTTTATATTTTTTTTTAAAGATCAAACATTTTTAATATGTATTTAACATATTGTATTTACATATCACAACAAATTATATACATTTACATTGTCAAAAATGTCGTTGTCACATAATTTTACAAGTGGCAGTAGAGGAAATGGGCGTTGACAAAACTTGAATTGCGTGGGTAACACACGTGCCACATTTCGAACGCCAATTTGCAAGCCCCTTGGGTGATTAAATAAACATGTTATGCAAGTTTTTTTTTGAATAAAATATATATTTAACAAGCAATTTAACAAAAAAGCGTGTAGTGCTTTCACTTAAACAATAAAACGATTGTAGTAATAAATTAAAACCAAAGTGTGGAAGGGATTCAGGACATCAGTCGTTCAGGCGGGAAATAACGGTAAACAGTTTCGAGGAGGCTTAGGCGCTGCTCTTCTTCTTGTGGTGGATCTTCACGATTTTCTTGGGGCGGTGGATCTTTCGCTTGTAGTGGATAATGTGCTTCTTCTTGCCGGAGGAGGAAGAAGAGGAAGCAGTGGTGGTGGTAGTGGTGTCCGAGGAGGATTCAGTGGTGGTGGTGGTGTCCGAGGACGAGGCCGTTGTTGTTGTGGTGGTGGTGCTGGCCTCTGTTGAGGTTGTGGAACTGGCAGCACTTGACAGGCTCACCAGGACACAAGCCAAAGTGGCCAAGAGAAGCAGAGCACAAGTGAACTTCATGTTGATGATTGGTAATTGAAGCGGATCAACTGATGCTTTTCTGGTTCGAAACACTCACTATTTATACCCCTTAGGCATAGTACCATTTGATCCAAATCTGGGATACTTTATCTTAAAACGAGGTTGGGCAAACAAAACTTTGCAAAAAACTATGCCTACCGCGAGTCAGTTGTTCAAACAATAAAGCCACAATGACGTTATTCTTTAGAATCACCTGCTTATATTTACACACGCACTTTTTACAAATTTAGTAGGCAGTTTAAATAAACACAATGCATTCTGTTAGTTCAATTATATGTATTATTAGCATGCCAAATTATATCATTTCAGAAATACATTTTCTTGTCGTGTTTTCGGATTATTATAGACCATTATATAATATAATATTTATGTTGTTAAAAAAAAATAACTAAGCGAATACAAATTGTATATTGTTCTTATTGAAAACAAAAAAAATTTTCTAAAAAATATTTAAATTAAAAAAATGTTTTATAGTTAAAATTGGGATCAAAACTTTTCTTTATTTAATTATCATCTCCGCACCAACGGTCCACAAAAAAAACATTATCTGATATAATACTTATTTGAAACCTTTTGGCTTTTTGCGAAGGTGAATAAGAATTAAATATTTCTTGAGTAAAAATTATTCCTAAATATTTGGGTGCAGTTTTGTATATTGTATTGAAAGTTGGTTTTAGCTAAGTCCATACACTTTATGGCATAAATACATAGTTCTATTTATAAACGCCAATTAATTAGAAACTTGGTTTAGCATCGGTATTTTTTTTTGTGGGGGCATTAACCTTATTAGAAACTTAATCTGGAGCGCTCAAAAAATATGAATAATATAAAATGAAAAATATAAAATATATTCTGTAATGTAACCATTGAAATGTAAAAATTCAACGAAAACTATCATAAAGATTAGAATGGCAAAATTGCTTGTATTTGTACAATAAGGATTTTGATTACAGTTGTGGAAATATAATATCAGAAGAATTCAGGGAGTCAGATTTTGATATAGCCGGAAGAGGATTGGGGGAGTTCTACTGGCGTTTAACCCCTGCGGCTCCTGTTAATCTTGCGGTGGATCTTCCTGATTTTCTTCGGGCGGTGGACCTTCCGCTTGTAGTGGATCACGTGCTTCTTCTTCTTAGTGGAGGACGAAGCAGTGGTGGTGGTAGTGGTGTCCGAGGAAGCAGTGGTGGTGGTGGTGGTGTCCGAAGAGGAGGCCGTTGTTGTAGTGGTGGTGGTGCTGGCCTCTGTTGTGGTTGTGGAACTGGCAGCACTGGACAGGCTCACCAGGAAACACCCAACTATGGCCAAAAGAAGCAGAGCACAAGTGATCTTCATGTTGATGTCGGACAATTGGAGTGGATCAACTGATGCTTAACTGATTTTATCCCTCACTATTTATACCCCTTAGGTTGCTGAGGGAGTTAGTGTCTGACGTATGTGGGTTTATCCGCAATACCGTGATAGACTTACGCACGATACCTGATCTAATCTACATCTTCAGGCCTAACAAAAACCAAGCCAAGCAAATAATAATTTGCAGAAAGTTATGCCTACTACAAAGCAGTTGTGCTAATATTTTAATATACTTTGCGAACTATTAATTCGCGAAAACAGCAAATGTTTTAATAATGCGAATTAAGACAAACAAATTTAATGGAAAAATTTTAGTTGTTTGATAATAAACAATTAATAATAATTGATAATTCTTAAATCATTCCGATAAAGTAGGTAAATATATATGATATTTTTTAAATTTTATTTTAAGTTGACCGTCTTAAAATCAAATCAAAGTCAATTAACTTAAAAATAAGTTAAAACTCTCCTCTACTTTACATTAATCTCTTGCTCTACACAAACTTAACATAAGTCTCCCCTGTTATTAACATGATGCTGTGAACAAACCCACATGAATAGACTAACGGAAAGAGGGAGATAGAGTCTCGTAGAGTGAAAGAGCAAGGACGAGACACAAACAGATAGAGAGCACACTCGAAAATCCGTGGTGCGAGTCCGAGTTCAGCACAAATCTGATGAGAACGTGAGGTTCGATGGGTTGGTGTGCAAGTGTATTGGTGTGTTGGAGTGCTGGTGTGTCGGTGTGTGGTGCGTTGGTGTGCGGGTGCTTGTGGGTGTTTGTGGCTCGGGGAGTGTCTGCTCTGCCACTGCAACTTCGAGCTTGGAGTGCAGGACAAACGCCCAGGACCTCTCCTCCACCCATTCGGAAAGCATCGGCGAGGTGGGGGTCATGCCTACAGCCAGGTCCTTGCAACTGCAACAATAAACGAAACGGGGCTGAGATGCGGCAAGGCTGCTCTGCTGGCGGCGGATTGGTTGCCGGGCTTAGCGGTGTGGCTGTGAGGTCGCACAGAACTCACAGGACTCACAGGACTCGTGCCCACCTCCCACGCCCACTCCCGCCGTTCGCCTCGCGGCCTGCACAAGTGCAAGGATATTGTCGCCACCGCCTGCTATTGCACGCAGAAAAAAGGATGTTGTTTTTAGGTTCTACAAAAATATACTGTGGGAAACATATGTTCTTATATGTAGGTTTACTTCTAGATTTTTGCGAATCTAGAAAATGTTGTTACAATATGATGGTCAATTAAAACAGCCAACTTATAACAACCATTTTTATATTACATTATAGGATTGAGATCCAATATTAATCGAAACAAGAAACGTTGATAAACTTAACAATATCTTAAGAAATTTTATAATCGTAATAATAATTCTTCTTATTTGTTTTACAAATGTACCTAGGGATATATTATTTCTAACTATAGTTTCAATGATTTTAGGAAAAAGCTAATCTTAAGCATATGCTAACCAATAATGTGGCTTTCTGCAGAGTTTTAGGCTTTTGATTTCTGAACACAAGTAAGTACTGTTTTTTTTCTTTCAGTATGCTGGTGTTCCTGATTCCTGTTCCTCCGTCTGTTCCCCCGTCCCTGCCCCTTCCCCATTCGCTTTCTGCGCCTGCATCGTTGCAGCATCGCTGTTGCTGTTGTGTCTCGTTTTCGCCGGATGGATGGGCGAATGGATGGGTGGTTGCAGGCGGTCTGGCGGGTGGGTGAATGGATGGATGATGGCTGGTGGGTGGTTAGGTGGCTGTGTGGCTGTGTGGGTTGGTTACGGTGGTTTGGTTTGGTTTGCTGCCTGCCGTGTGCCACTTTGGCCATGTTCGTGGCCGTGGCCGTGGCCTCGACTCATGCGCTCGTTCTCGTTTCCCTGCAGCTTCACCACTCAACCAACCACTCAACTCAACTCAGCTCAACTCCAGCCAAGGCCAAGCCGGCAGAGGACGACGTCGCCGGCGATAATGTGGCACAATGACATTGCCATTGAACTAGGTCGAGGACGTGTTCCCTTTTGGCCACCGCCACCGCTTGTTTGGTTAATGTCTGCCTCCGTCTTCGTGGCCTGTTTCTCGTGGGCGGCGGTGGCACCACGAACCACACCAAACCACACCGCACCCCGTCTTGCGGCGAAATGCGGAATGCGAATTGTGGTTGTGGCAAGTGGATGGCGATGCAGACGGTGCTTTGACTTTTTACTGCATGGCGCAACGGGAGTGTTATCTATTAAAGGTTAGCTGTTCACTGTTTTCTACTTTAAAAGATGGCTTTCGAGATATGATGAAGCGAAAAACTTATTAAAACTTAAAGATATATATACCATCTCAATTTAATAATATTAATAATGGTTAAAAGTATGGTATCCGTCTTGAATTTCTCAAAATACTTATATTACTACAAGCGATTGAGCAAATACTTCAACAAATATAGCCACTAATTTTTCGTTATAATTAATTATATGTTATAAAAATAATACTTGTTTTTAGCTACAAAAAAGACCAAAGCTCCTTTAAAGTAAAAATAGAATAGAAATAAAAGATAATAACTGAACTATATTTATAATTATTATATATAATATACAGATAACTATTTCAAAGAATAAGACTTAATCCTTATACTTGTGAAATAGCAAACAAAAAGCAATTACATAAATTAAAAATTCAGCATGCTGTCCAAGAACCGAATGCCAACTAAATAATTTCTTAATCAATTTTTTAGCTCCTTTGAGAAACTCAATACGTCATCTTGTTCGTGCGGAAAGATTGTGAATTTAATGACATTAGGCGCAATGTCCGAATACAGCCGGAGATTAATGGAATTTTGCCAAAAATAAAGCCGACAAAGACGGCTGGCAATCAATTAAAATGCATAGACTGCAGTCGGCCTAATGAAAGCTTTTTCTTCGATGTCCAGACAGCTTCATCTGCTGGCAATTTCGGGGAATTGGGAGTAATGGAGCCAAAAGCGGGGTTCGGGCCATTATGGATGTGTCTGCGCTTTGTCTAAGTTCTTGTTTTTGGGCCGCCGCGTCGGTTTTTGGGGACGAGTTTTATTTATTTTAATTTAAATGAAATTTATTTTATGCACATACGCACGCACACAGATGCTGTTTTTTTGAGCGGCTAGTCAAAAGCTAAGGGTTGATTTTGTACATTTATATATGCACATGGATTATGCACCCACACACGTTTATTCCATTCGTTCGTTTTCATGTGTAAATAGGGTGGACCTTTCAATGGCTATATTAGAAAGTTAAAGCTTACCTTTTGTTTAAGCCTTTATGATAAGATCATGATGCTTTTAAATTAATCACTACAATTTTAAGATATATATTACAACTTAAGGCGGGCAAGTCAACAGATTGTTTTGTTCTTTTTAAAAAAAAATCAAAGAATAATACATTTTATTAGGCTTCTTCGTCTGCGCTGTTAGTCAACACTGCGTATGAGTTATAAAAATAAAAGCAGATATTTCCCATGATAATTATTTTTAAAGCTTAAAAGCTTAATTATTTGTTATATTAAGGTTCACCCTAGATCGCATATTCCATATAGAAAATGCAACTAAAATGTTTCACAGGCAGTTTGTTTTTGCTGTTTTATGGCCAGTGTCTGGCCTGCCGCACCGCCTACTCCCCCCACAAAACCGCCCCCTTAACCGCCCTCATTCCGCCCACTGGTCGTTGTGGCAGACGAGATATTGCAGTTGCAGTTGTTGCAACAACATTTGTTTTTGTTGCTGCTCGCCTGCAGTCTGGCAAAATTTTTGCCATTTGATTGCATTTTGTTGGGCGGCCTTTTTGTGTAGAGCAGAGTTTGTTGCACTTCACCATGAAGTTAGGTGATGCAAGCGCACACACACACACACCTACATTTTCACAGGATGCAGAAAAACGCACTCACACAGGCACACATGTGGCATAGGCCTTAGGATACTACAAAACTTCTACATATGCATTTGCCTAGACATACAAACCAACGCATTTGTGTGGGCCTGGGCGTTATGTAAAGCCATTTTTTTTATTATATATAAATCTCTATACATATTTTATAATATGTATACATAAAATTCCATTTTTTAGTTTGATTTTGCTTGCTAGCGTCTGCTAAAAATAATAACAAAATGGCCGACCAGCCGGTACAGTTGTGTTCAAAACATCGACTAGTGCAGTTTCCTGTGCATGGCATGTATTGCATACTTTCGAGCGTTGCACAAGTAACACACTTTCGGGGCACAAGAAACGGAGGCATTACCCCTTGTTGCAACGCTCCCCAAGGAAGCACTGTAACCAGAGGGAACACCAAAAGCCCCAAGTGCATCACTCCCTTCCATGGCCATTTAACTACAGTCAAACTTCTGTAACTTACATTTCATGGTACTGTTTTCAGAAATTAAAGATAGTTTAAATAGTTTGATTGTTAAACAGTTGCTTATCAAAATATTTGAAATTTTATCATGATAGTATTTCAAATCTAAAATATCTTGAAAATATTTTGCTTACTTAAATCAGATATCAAATATTTTATTTCTTTGAATAAGTTCGGTTTTTAATGAAGTTAAGTTAAGTTGTCAAGCATTTGCATTTGATATTGTTAATAAGTTTCCAAACAAAAACCTTTCATTCATAGCCTCTTCTGTATAATATTTCCCCCTTCAACCAGTGAAAATTTGGTTCGCCAGCTCAATTTAGAACGCGTTTGGTTAGAGAGTTTAGACTGTGGCCAACCTAGAAGCCATCCATCTGTGCAGCACCGAACATTGTGGGTGCTTTTTTAAGCGCGGCACATACACGTATGGTCGTCGCCCAACTGCGGGGCATGCAGCAAGTGGCAGAGGACCACCGGGCGTATGAGTTCTCCTCAGAAGGCCTCCTCCAGCCACGCTGCCAACTGCAAACTGCCAACTGCCAACTCCCAACATTCGGCCGACTGCCGACCGGTTTGTTTAGAATTTTAGATTTTAGCGCGTTTTAGAATTTTATGAATGAATTTTTGGCGCTCGGCAGAGCTCCGCCTGCCGGGTGGTGCCCCCATTTTCCACACCCACTTCAATTTGCCGGAGCACTCCGAATCGTTTGGCTCGATTCACTTTTAGTTTTTGGTTAGTTTTCGGTTCCCCATTTGTTTTTTGGGGGTGTCGGTGTGACCTTGCCGGGGTGTTCCGGTGTTGTTTAGATTTAGTTTCTATTGGGCTGCACTTCAGCTGGTCCCTTTTTGCAGTTGGCACAAATCTATGCATATACATGTGCGAGGCCCTTAGACAAAAGTCGGTCCTGTGCCCCTTTTTTTCTCGCATAAGGGTATTGATTTTATGGGAATTGTAGAGGTTTCACCTCTTTAAAATTACAAAGCAATGAAAACACATGGTTGGCTAATACAAAGATGTGCGTTTAAAAGTTTCAGATTAAAGGAATCAATACAAAACAGCATAAAGGTATAAAACTAAGGTCCAATGAACTAAAGAAATTTAAAATTCATTTATAATGACTTCATTGATTTTCAAAAACACTTAAAATCAAATCATTTTCTGCAAACTTTTGAAGACTGAAAAAAGGTAAACCATTTTCCTCTTTTTTAAGTTGAATTTTTGTTACGATTTTAAAAAGTAAGCTTATCTACTGACAGGTTTGGCAAAGCGTAGATTCTAAATAACTCAAGTATTTTATTTACGATTGAAAATTTAATTGCGATATAAATTATTATCATAAACACAACTTTTTTGGAAAGCAAAGTTTGTTAGCCATCAATTTGGTCAAAGAAAATGTTCTGTAGATAATTTTTCTGTCATGCTGCTATCGAATACTTGTTTCTTCACATTTAAATTGTCCATAGGGAAAAGACAAGATGTAACCCCCACCATCTTTCTTGAGAAAAATAATTCAATTTTTGAATTTGAATGCTTGCAAATAGATATTTACTGCATATGTACAGGCTGTCATGTATACATATATCATCCTCACTAAATTTCAACATGGCCCATACCCTTCAAAAACTGGAATCAAATAAAATGATTTGTAGCCCGCCCTTTAAGCTAAACAAAGACTGCTTTTTGTGCATGACCATATACATTACATAAATACATAAGTGCACTTATGTAAATTCCCATGTACTGCAGTACTTTAATAGGTTTTGTTAGATCTGATGCAGGCAAAAATGCCTATTAAAAATGCGTTTGGAAAAAACTGTTGCATACCTGACGGCGCGCGCTCAAATTAACTAACGGAACATTGAAAGTTGCATTGTGAGCGCAAGAGAGAGTTCGTCAAGTGACGAACGCATGAGAGCGCAGCATCCGAGTGGGAGAGAGAGAACCGAAGCGTGGCGAAGTATAAATATAAGGGGCAAATAGGGAATTTCGGCACTAGATGTTCGGAGGCCGCAAGATGCGGAGGGGGCCGAGAGCATTCGGCACTAAGCCGGCGAGAGAGCAAACACAAAAGCGAAAGCGAGGAGCCGGCATAGGAGTTGTCTGTGTGCGTGTGTGCGGTGATTGGGAGCGGGTGTAGTGACTCTCGTCTGTGTGTGCACGGATGTTCCTATAGATATGTGTGTGTGCGTGTGTCGCTTTGTCGGCAATTTAAAGAGTAAATAATTGTCTGCCGGTGGCAAACATTTGGCCAAACTGCTAGTCCACACATTTTGCGACTGTATTGGTATTGCTACTTTCGTCTGCCTGTATTGGTGCCGAGTATCGGCTCTTCGTCACCAAACTCTACACAATTTTAGGCGCCGGACGAACGCACTTTCAATCAGTTAACTTTATAACGTCAGCGTCGACACTACGTCATCCGGTCGAACGTATCGAATCAAATTGGCACCGGTGTTACGCCCCCGAGAACACAAACTTTGCCCTTGTATTCGTTGCCGCGCGCTGCGATTTTCGTCGCGTTTTTACTTTCACGCGACCAATTCGCTCAAAGTCAACAATTGTCGTGAAAACGTGTGTCTGCAAAGTGTTTTGTAACCTGTATTTAAGCATGCTTTTATCGTGCTTCTCCCCCAAAAGCCGGCAAATGTGACTTAAACGCCGAGCAATTGAAAACCTGTGAGTACATAGCACTTTTCGGTACATGCAAATCACTCAAGGGAACTTAATCAAGCAATCAGAGCTGTTGTGGGCACACAAAAGTATGCTATTTAAAATTTTATTCACTAAAGCCTTATAACAACTCTTGAATGGTGTAACAATAATTCATACCGACACCATAATTTAAAACAAATACAAGGTCCCTGACTATTACAATTAATGTGTACTGAACGATGTCTTAAAACCATTCGTTAATACGAATAAAGAATATTTTAAATATAAATAAGAATTTATTGTAAAAAGCTTTTTATTATGAATCTTTGGTTGAATCAGCTAGAATATTTTATTAACTTTAATTAGTTTTGACTTTATTGAATTTATACGTGTCCCCTAAAAATTTTTTTTTTTAAAGCAGTAATAGTAACAATAAACTTAAATAAACTTTTAGACATATCCCTAAAAAAGGCTAAATAATTAGTTAAAATTCATTGAAGAAAATAGTGGTACAAATTATAGAGTTAAAAAATTTGAAGGCAACCTATTAAGCTTGCAACATTGCTATCTACCTACTTTTACTGCTCAAAATTTTAAGCAGCTTCTTAAATCGGAAAACGCACTTTCATCGGCGAAATGCCGGCCACTTAATTCGCACACAATCGGGCAATAAATCAGCATTTAATGCGCCTGCATCGAATTGGCGACTCAGCCGGCATAACGTCATCGACATCATGTGACCGCGTTTCCGAATTTCCCCGAAACTTGTGTACGTGCGTTGTGTGTTGGCCCCGAAATACAAAATACAAAATACGGAATACGAAATACGAAATGCACGGCGCAACGCGGCGCAGACGACGGGTCATGGCCACGGCCACGGCCACGGCCACGAATATGGCATTTCGGCGACTCCGGCTGCGGATACGGCTCCGGCTCTGACTGCAAACTCCGGCTCTGCCGTGCGTCGCAGTTTCACTTTCACGGCGCATACACACACACTTACACACACTTGCACACACACAGCTGCGAGGGCTGCGAAGAGACGAGATCCGTGGGCGTTGCGGGCGCGACTTGCACTCAGCCTCACAGTTCGTCTTCCCCGAAATCGGCGGCGGGTGCACAGTCACGGCCACGGATACGTTTACGGACACGATTACGGCCCACTCGACCTGCCAATGACAATGTCGCACAGTGGGCGGAAATTGGTTTTTGTTGGGCAATAAACCAAAATGCGCGGGCGGAACTAAACTGACTTAACTGGAATTCACTTGTGCGGCAGAAATGTTTTTTGTTTATAACTTTTAAACCCTTTAAAATTTAATTGGTTATTGTTCTTAAGTGGTTTTGTTCAAATTGATTAAGATTTTCCCCGAAATCAATTACGTATACTTAATATAATTACGTATACGCTGGGCCAAACCAAAAAGGGGGCGGAACTAAACTGAAATTCATTTGTGCAGCAGGAATGTTTTTTCTTTATTTCTTTTGAACCCTTTAACTGTTTGTCAAGTGGTTTTGTTCAAATCGATTAAGATTTTCCCCGAAATCAATTACGTATACTTGATATAATTACGTATACGCACCTCCTAGCATCAAAGTAGGCAATGATTCTTTTTAATGATGATATCTAAGAAGTCAGCGTAGTTGTTATTTTAACTAGTAATATACACCAAAATAACATTCTCTGTGCCTTAAAAATACACTTTCTGACTGGTAAAAGGTGCAAAAAAATGCATCTTAAACTGTTTTTAAAATTCAGTGCCTTTGTGTGCCTTTTGTAACACATTCTGCATCCGTTGAGAACGTGTTGGATTGAAGAAGAGTAAAAGGGTTCTGGATGGCGAAACGGAAATTGGAATGAGATTGTTGACGGGTGGACCGGCAAAATGCGCCGACTTCCGCATGCTCATTTCTGCCGATATCCTGCCGCCATAACGACCACAACGACGATGGCGATGGTGATGGTGATGCAATGCTGTATGCCGGAAAGCCGCCGAAGTGCCCATGCACACAAAGCACCCCATCACAACAGCACACCCACAAAACACCTCACCCACACTATTATGCGCATGGGAGAGTTGCACTTGCCGAACAGCCTCGCCATGAAGCACCCCCTTTATCCCCCTCTATCCCGTTATCCTGGCGCCTCTTTCTGCCGACACTCTCACTCTCCGCTTCACAAGTGTGTGAGCTCTCGGTGTTTACTCGCCGCCGAGTGCAGCATAGCCAACTACACTGGGAGAAAAATGTGAATTCTTGAAGTTTTAAATGACATTTCATTCTGCAGATTAATTCTTATTAGTTAGATTATTAGTTAAATTAGTAAACATAAAATCTGGCTTAAATTGAGCAGGCATAATTCATAACTAAACTATATAACTTTTAGGGTATTATTATTTAACAAAAAAAAACAAGATTCTTGTTTGCATTATGGTATTATACATTAAATGTTCATAACTCATGATAGGTTATATAAGTTACAGTATTTTGAGGAGAAGGGAAACTTATTGAAATCCTATAAAATATTAAAAACTTCAACCTATATTTTTATAAAATTGCATTTATATAGAAATAATGTACTCGTATGTAATTAAGCCTTTAAAAAATGAAAATCATTGAGTTGTTGGCACTTAGATATTTTTTTCCCCTGTAGCATTGAGTGCAGTTACCTCTGCTCCTGGAGATGGGCGATGTTTTCGGAGTGGGTGTTCTGGGTGTCCGTGGGTCCGGGGAAGCCGGCCGTCTACTTTGGTGGTAGGCTGTTTGCCGGGAGCATCGCATCGCATCGCACAGAGCATCGCATCGCTACGTCATCGCCGTCGCCGTCGCCATCGCCATCGTCATCGCCACCGTGCCGGAATTCGTGTGCGTGGCCTGATTTCGTCGATTGGCCTTGTGCGGGTTTCAGTGTCAGGAGCGCAGCATCTTTGTTTTGGTTGCAATTGTTGTTGCTGCTGCTGCCGCTGCTGCTGCTCGACTTGGCCTGCATATATGCAAATCACGCACACACACGAGCTGCACTCCTTGGAGTGGGAACGAGTGGCAGGTCCTGTATGCGGGAGCAGGTCCTTTTGTCTGGAGAACTGTGAAGTGGGCATTTGTGCGCCCTTCATGTTTCAGATGGCCAAGTAAACAGAGTCGAAAACTGGGTTTCAAGTGCTTCACGTTGCAACTCTTTAATTTTTTACTTATTAGTAGGTACTCAAAGAATAAATACTAGACCATTTTTTACTTTTAAATTTTTTCTTAGATAGCAAACTATTTTGTTGTGATTACTTTAAAAAATATGCATTCCTTTGCCTTATATATATTTTTTTTTCCATTAGACTGTAATCTATTTATCTTCAGAAAATTATTAACTAAATAAGTAACGCTGATTTTATGTGATAAAAATTCGTGAAGCTTAAATAATTGCTTTAGTACAGCGATGGATTCAAAGGTGTTACTACATTGTGTTGTGTTATTCAATGTAATTTTAGCACGAAAAAGTTATCACAATGGTGAATAGCTCATGTCCCATTAAAAATTAGGTGACCATTTATTTTTTTTTACTTTTTTACTTAATATCTTTAGATAATCACTATGAAGTTGTGGGAGTAGACTGCAATGAAAACGAAGCAGTCAGCTGTATGCTGATTAAATGCCAAGATACCAAATTTTGTCCGCCGGAGAACTTTTGCTATAACCCCAAGTGCGTTTGCCGCAAAGGATTTCGGCGTCTTGGTAATAGTTGTGTGCCAAAACACAATTCCTGGCTGCTAAAAGAAAGTGCATTACAGTCAGCTCTGCTGGAAATTCCCTATCGGGAACTTTTCTTTTAATTGTTTTTATCTAACTTGGTAAATACTTTTAAATTATATTATTTCAATAATGTGTAAATAGTTTTATATTATAAAAACAGTTTATAATGAACTATAATAAATAGTAAACACTTTTAAATTAATTACTATATATTATATATAAAAAAAAAGTTTAAAATGAACTTTAATAAACATTTTAGAGCTGTGCACAGCAGTTGACGAATGTAATCTTTAATAACAACTTAGAGTAATCGATTTGATCTCTATTATTTGATTAAGTCTGCAATCTATATCTGTGTAAATCCAGCCCAAAGATATTTTTGTTGCCAATCTCTTTTCAAAATGGCAAACAAAGTGTGTTCTTTTTTGCCAGCCACTTTGGGAGAGCGTTTCGATTGTTGGCTCTCGCCACTTATTCCCGATTCATATTCGTTGCTCTCCGGCACACACACCAGCACACACAAACACACACATAGTTAGAGCAACTAATGCAAAAATGGGCGGATTGTGTGGGGTGTATTTTGTATTTTGGCCAGGCCATGCCGGCTGGCTGGCTGGCAGGAAAGAGCCGAGAGCCGAGCCATTATGTCTCGTGGCGGAGAGAAAAGTCGGAGTACTATATAGCGACGGGTATCGGTAGTAGTAGTCAGTAGTCAGTAGTGAAGCTACGCGACACGCCGCCAGGTGGCTTCGTTTGTGGATGCGGCGGGTGTTTAATTCGCATGTGCATGTGCATGTGCACCGCAGACATTGAACGGTACGAAAAGCCCTCCCCCTTCCTCTCTCCCTCCCCCTCCATCGAAGTAAAAACCCCTCCACAACCCGGTATCCCACACAATACATACTTTTTTTTTGTTGTTCTCCTTTTCTGTGTTTTTTTTTTTTGTTGGCCGTATTTTCGCCGCGGAGGAGGTGACCTCCAGAATGGGCTGGCAAATGCAATTGGCTGCACTTTTCCTTTGTCAGCCCGCCTTGCGTTTTATTGTGTCACGGGTTCGCGCGCAGATGGTAAAAATAAACGACCACGGTGTTTTCCCAAGTGAAAGTCTGTTTATCTACCGGCAAAAATGGAAAACTATATATACACCATAGTTGTTGTGCCGCGACGAAAACGACGAAATATATGTGTGTTCTCAATTAGCAGCGACACTAATTTGCGTGCCTAGTGAAAATCGATATGGCGCAGCCTTTGACTTTTGGCACTTGGCGAATCGTTTTAGAATGTTCAACACTGCGTATGCGTTATATTTTGATGTAACTTCTCGATTTTCTTAGTTTGAATTGTATGAGGGCAATGAAAATTGCTCGCACAGGCGGTTTAGGTCAGCCCTAACCTAATCTTAATGTAGCGACATACTAAATTGCCATATAGTGGGTCGTCATCGCCGAAACCCCCCTTTGAAATATTACCCCCCTGGATTTTTATTGTTCCCACCTCCCTGTCTCCCCACTTCTTGCTTTCTCTCTCGCTCTCGTTGTCGCACAGCGCGCAGGATTCGCGCTCTTTTTTATCGCCACCTTTACAGTTGCAAAGTGGGCGGTGGGCGGCTGTTTAGACGAAAGTTAGTGTGTCTGTGTGTGTGTGAGTGTGTGTGTCCTGCGATTCGGCAAGTCAGCTAAAATAACAACAACTGCAGCGGTGTTTTCACTTTCCATTCGAAAGCCTTCTAAGCTTAAATTGTGCTGCAGTTTTTAACCACCGTTTGTTGGTCTATTTTGGGGTTTTTACTGATTTATGGGGTTATTTGGTAATAATAATAATAACATTATTAAATACTCGCTGATCAAGTTATAATTAGGTTTTATTTGTTGAGTAAAGAGTGTGATTGTTATTATTTATACTTATAAGATTATAAGATTATCTTACCAGATTAGATTAAAAAATTAATGGATTACAGGATCTTGAAAATTAAAGGGAATGAGCAAAACTAAAACTTAAACCAAAATGGTATATATTTTAATTGTATATATTACAAATCCCTTAAAAATATTTTATTATATATTTACCGTTCACATTTAAACACTTTTATAATTTTTCTCAACGTTAGTGATGCAACTTAATCCTTTTAAACCTGAATCCTTATCTACCTTTACAATTCTCATTTCAGTAGCCTTACTGTCGACGCACAAGATCCCAGAAAACCTCCCAGGACTCCCCATTTCTAGCTAAGAAACGAACGCACAATGAACTTCACCCCGTTTGGCAACACCTTTCCCGGCAACATTCCCGGCCTGCCGCAGTTCACGACAAGCACGGCGCCCCTGGTTTCCACGGTGACAGCCGCCGTGACGGACGTGACCGTGACTGCCACCAACAATCCGCAGCAGCAACAGCAGCAGCAGCAGCAGGATGCCGCCGGCAGCAGCAATCGCTACCAGCAGCAACAGCAACAGGTAGCGCACTTTGGCCAGGCCACCATGACTTCGGGCCAGGGCAGCAGTGGCAACAAGTTCCGCGACGGTCAGGAGGATGCTCTTCAGGGTGACAAGTACAATGGCCACTTGGTGGCATCCGCCCAACAGCAGCAGCAGCAGCAACAGCAACAACAGCAGCAGCAGACGCAGTATGCAACTGTTGCGTACGCAAGTGCAACAGCCACGAGTGCCGCGGCGGATGCGCTGCAGGCGAGCACTTCCGGCCAGCAGCAGCAGCAGATGCAGCAGCAACAGGTCACCGCCCCGCAGGAACTCACCCAGGATCTGTGCAACGCCATCCTGCAGCAACAAGGTAAATATCAAAGAAATACATTTAAGTAAGGGCATAATACTTTAAAGCTTTACCAACTGTATGAAATTTAACTTCGAGACAGTAGTTTGAATAGAATTCTTTCAAGCAAATTCTAACGTTAGGCTAAAAAGCAAATTAAATAAGTTAAAAATTGTATCCAAATTATTAAACCTTTACAAAACGAATAACATGCGATTATAGATAAAACAATTTTTCACCAGATAAACACTTTAAAGTTTAATAAATTTTACCTTCTTAATCCGGTAAATTGAGATCCAAATCTGTACGAAAATAACTCAAAACATATATATTTTAACCCTTACAGTACTTCAGAATACCTCGTGGCAAACTCTGACGCCGGGCACCACAGTGGCCGACTACCTTTCGCATCTTCCAGCCAACACATTGCCCCTGTCGCTGCACCACTTCCTCAAGTATTCCGCGGAGACGATAAAAAAAGAGAACCAGCAAAATGTGGTAAGGATAATTGACTTTCGTACAGTTTCAGTCGCAGTAAGACCTATGATAGTTAAAGCTGACTTTATTCAAATAAACCATTCCCACGTAACCAGAGATTCTTATGATTTCTAAGGTAGAATTTCAAAAATCTCTTTTACTTGTATATAAAGAAAAAACTGAGAATGAATGTTTGGAAGTAATCTTACTTCTTTAACACTCTTAAGGATGTTAATGATTAGCTTCTCATAAAAGAGCTTTTGCATCATTAAAAACTAAAGATTGACTCTTGCTTTCAGGTACTGCAGGTGCAGACGGGACCAGCCATCGGGATCAACACCCTGGGCACGACAACCATTAGTATACCTCAGCAGGAGCAGTTGACCCTGCAGCCGCAGCAGCAGCAGCAGCAGACGACGTTGCAGGTGCAGACGCAGTCGGCGGCTGTTACGGCGACGGCGACGGCGACGACGGCGGCGACAGGGACGACGGCCGGCGGATCCGGCGGAACTACGGGCAAGAAGAAGAAGCGCAAAAAGCGAAGCAAGGACCGGAAACCGAAGCTGCGACCCGGCGAGATTCGCCTGGGAACGGCGCTGGACGGGAGTCCGCTGTACATGTGCCCCGAATGCCATGTGGCGTATCCGGAACCGGAACTCCTCGAGGTCCACCTGGTGGGCCACAACCTGGAGAAGCGGTACGTGTGCGACATCTGCCAGGCGTCGCTGAAGCGCAAGGACCACCTCACCCGCCACAAACAGTCGCACAATCCGGAGAGGCCGTACATCTGCACCGTTTGCCTGAAGGCCTTCAAGCGGAAGGAGCAACTCAGCCTGCACTTTGTGATCCACTCGGGCGAGAAGCGCCACCAGTGCGGCGAGTGCGGCAAGGGTTTCTACCGCAAGGATCACCTGCGCAAGCACACCCGCTCCCACATCGCTCGCAGGGTCAAGGCCGAGTTGAATAGCCATGTGCGACGGGAGAATGGCACCAGCATGTTGCAACCAGTCGTCACGGAGGCAACGACGGCTGCCTTGCAACATGCCAATCAGTTGGCCAACGCGCAGCAGCAGTTGCAGCAGCAGCAGCAGCAACAGCAGCAGCAACAGCAACAGCAGCAACATCACATTGTGATCACGCAGCAGCAACAGGCGCCGCAGCAACAGCAGCAGCAGCAGCAGCAGACTTCGCAGCAGCAGCAGCAACAGCAGCAAATGATAAATTAGCCAAATGATTTTTGTAAAGTCAGTTAAAGCAAAATTCAATTTAGTCTCATCTGAACCCTCAAATGGGTTTGGCTGCTCAAAAAAAAACATAACTCTCTCGGTCCACACAATTTAATTGACTCTCACAAATCGGATAATACAAACAGGAGGATGTTAGCTAATGTCTTCGAGGATATCCCCCTGGGAAATCTCAACGTTGTACAATTTTAATCGTAAGTCCACGATGATAATAGGGATCGACCATTAATAAATACACACTCATTGGGATTGAAATTATTTTCAAGATTTATGTTTCAAAATGATAGGAATTCAAATTATAATGAAACTAATAACAGATCCTCCGTCGTTAAGAAAAATCATTGTTTTAAAATGATTTGAATTAAAATACAATAAAATGAATAATAATAATTAATAATTTGCAACATCTATGAACTCAAGAACAACGATAAATTTTCATAACAACTTCAATAGATAAATATTATGGTCGATCCCAGGCCTTTGTCCGCCCTAACATTCCATACTTTAATTTAAGACAAATGTGCAAAGGAATAATAATTTTATACGCAATGTATTTTAGTGAAATGTATTTTTCTACAATTAGAATCAATGTTGTATGGTATATATGTCTGTCCATATGTACATACACCTGTACGAATCCTTGAATAACGTTCACTGGCAGCGAACTATATATTTATATACTATGTAAACAAACGCAATTTAGATTTACACTTAAATGTATGGACCCTAAACCCGAGTCCCAAAAACCTTGTAAATATGCAGTAAATTATATAATTTGATCTAAACTGAAACTGAATTTTATTGAAACCTAAATACATAAACAAATTTTAATTTTTGGGGTTATCTATTTGCTTTATTAAGAGTACTCATAAATTACGATTATTATGCACCATTTATTGTAGTAATTAAATAATTAATTATTAGCTTTATCCGTATTATTATCTTTATATATACGTCTGCGTGTTAGTTTTATATCGTTTATTTATGTACGAGCAGGTTTTGATTCACCGTCAATATCGCGTGCGTACCTTTCTAGGCTTAACGTTATGATGTATTACAAAGTAGGCATTAATTTTATGGAAAGGAACGTGGCATGGAGGGGTATTTATTCACGGTAAAAAAGCGGACAGGTCGGGGTTGACGGCTTATCAAAATTTGTGCTTTATACACATTCAAATCAGGAAATTCAATAATGAACCATTCATGGATTTTTTTTTCAATTTCGGTTCTGATGATTATACAACGAGGCCTAATTAGAAAATATATGTTTATAATATTTATAAGGATAGTGTTATGTGAGAGTGAAAATGTGTAAAAGCGGGTGTGCCTCGATTTCCATTGCAAACATTGCAAAGTTCGTTTCACGCCCACTTATTAACATTCAAGATCGTAGATAATTTCTGCGTATTGTTTTTTTCTTTTTGGTAAGTTTTGTGTTTCGTTTTCGTTGCGAAAAGAACTCTTAGATCACTGTACATAGAACGAAGCGCGACGATAATTCAGCGCCTACGGTCCGCAGAGAAACTTTCGCTTTTGGTCCTCCATGTAATCGCGCGTCGACATCTGGATGGCCTGCTGCAGCATCTCGCTCTCATTAACTCCTGTTAAAGGTAGGGAAAGGAATGGAATTAGTTTGACATATATAAAAACCTAAAAGATAAAGCGTGCTCTTCAATTTATAATCAGATTTTAGGTCCCTCAAAAAGGGATAAGACAAACTAGGTTTTATACTTTGATTGTGATAAAAAATATCACATTTCCTTTCTCTCCCTATATCACAATTAGAATACAAAACTCACCCTCATTGGCGTAGGATGCCTCGAGCAACTCCTGGTAGAAGTTGGAATAGCTCTGCTCCCTCGGCGACTTTGAGTCTCCGCTCTTCTGTGGCGAATTGGAGGACTGCTTCGAGGTGCAAGGGCGCTGCTCAGCCTCTGGCGTGTTGGCGCGAGCCACAGAGGGCCCGGAATCGCGCTTCGGACTCTTCCTGAGCGGAGCCTCTAAAGCCTCAGCGCTGCAAGTTAGGAAGGAAGGTGGGGGCCTTAGTGAGCTGCAATACAAGGCATTCGGAAAACCAACCTCTTGCCGGACAGGGGCGCCTCGCGAGTCTCGTGGCGACGCTTCTTTCTGAGGGCAGTTGTGCGACGTTGCGACTTGGTTCCCTTGCTGGAACGCTGACCAGACGCCGTGCTGGGCGACGAGTTCCCGCCGCAATGACCCACCGAGCTGGTGCTGCTCATATCTGTGGCATCGCTGTCGTAGCCAGCCAATTCGTTCACCTCCGGCGGCAGCTTGTGACTGAACTGACTGAGCGTTTTCGGCGACAGGGAGAACGCAGGAGCTGTGGCATCAGCACCACCAGCACTGGTCAAAGTCACGGCCGGATTGCCACTGCTGCCGGTGCCGCCACACGAGGTGTATTTCGAGGGCGAGGCATCCGAATCGGTGAGCGCCTCCGCCGATGTAACCGTAGAGGAGGTGGCCGAACCTGCGGCTGTGTTGCTGCTGCGCGAACGTTGCATATTCTCGCGACACCACTGCAGGTAGGATTCGCGAGCGATTTGCTCCTCGATGGCTTCATTGGTGGCCTCCCAGTCTGTTGTCTTAAGCTTATCCTCGAACATGGTCTGTGAAATGGACGAGTTAACAAAGTGAACTCAATTGAGTAGACAGAAGTACATACCTGCTCAATCTCCAACTGCTCGCTGAGACGCACTGCCTCTTTAGTTTGGATCTCGGGCTTGTAACCAGCCAAGCCCAAGCCCACGCCCACGGTGGCGTTGTAGGGATCTAATATAGCATTGTAGTGTGATCCGCGCTGATAGGATAAACGCAGTGGTGGATAGCCAGCCTGGGACTGTTCCGAGTTGAAGATGTTAATAGGATCTACAATAAAAATAATACACATTTTAAATATTCATCCCCAAATAAGAATCTTTCTGATTTGTTCGTTGTTTAATCAATGCAACTTACTCGACTGGTAGCAGTATACTTCGACGGTGCGGCTGTAGATCTCGGATATGGCCTGGATCTCGATGTGGTTGCCATGAGCATCACGAGCTCGTTTGCGCTGTATATAGCTGTTGATGTCCTCGGTGACGAACTGACCAAAGTACTCTCGATTCTCGTTCTGCAACGTAAACCATTTCAGTTAAAGTAAACTTTATAATATCCAAAATAATTACTTACAATATAATCCATGGTGTGCTGGCGGATCACATCGTGCATTTCCTCGTCGCCGTAGATCTGCAGCGAAATAGAGCGAAAGAGGCAGGCGCCGTCCTCCTCGACAGGCTTCAGTTCGTAGCCGCGCTGCTCCATGCACTTGGCGAACTCCAGATCGCGGCGCTGCCACTCCTCCACCGGAATCAAGCGCTCCTTGGGCTGAAGGTGCTCATCGCCGCTGTTGTAGCCGGAGAAGGTCTCCTCCACAGTTTTCACCAGATTAGCAGCTGCCGTTGCCGGCGACATTTGAACCTGAGCCTTGGGCACCGTGGCACAGCCTAGTCCCAAATGCTCGGGTGAATTCCTGCCCACCGCCGAGGGACTGCTACTGCCGGAAGTGGACGCCGACGGTGGACTGTTGCACTTGTTTGACACGCCGGGTGATCCGTTGCCCGTGACCGCCGCCGGATGGTTTAGTTTCTCGCGCTCCAGACGATCGCGCTTATAGTGATGGGCGTGGGTGTCGTGATGGTCGCGACGCTTCGAACGTGTGCTGTTTGAAAAGAGAAAATCGTCAAAATTCGATTCCAAATTAAGTGTTACAAAATTTAGGATTTTAAAGATTTGAATGGCAACTATAGATTTGAAAACATAGCCAGTGAAATTTTTAAATCAGCCTTCAAAATTTAAAATATAAGTGATGACTTTGATGGCTTTGTCTTAGAAAATCTGGTTGCAATTTAAGATTTTAGAAAAAGGAAAGGAATTCTTACTAAAGTTTGGTCATCCTTTAAAGCTATTATTTCTGCAAATGTTTTTGTATTTCAAGAATTTTAGTGTTTTTTTATATATGGATTAAGAACCTTTCAAATAAAGGAACATTAAATGATCTAAGCAAACTATTTGGAATACATATTTATACTAAAAGTTATTTAGGTTGCATACACTTAATATTTTCTTACTATACTCCTGCCGATTTCCCGTTTTTTAGCCATTAGAAGTAATTATACTAAAACCAAGTTGCATTTTACAAAGACTGCCTATTAACTGCCTTGTCACGCAAGTTAAAAAACCACCAAGAAGGATCCTACCGAAACCCTGTAAATTGCTTTGTAACACAAGTTATGCAGTAAGATTGCCGCCCAGACTTAGGGTAATCCCCTTTCTTTTTGCCCGTAGGCGAGTAACCCAATTAAATGCAGCTGCTACAGGGCGTAGGACCCCACCCCGGGAAATCCAGTGGCTCCCAGCTCCATAACTCACCTCTTGTGGGGGCTGCAGCGATGGGTGCGTGCCAATTCGTCGTAGACCTCGCCACGCCTCTGGGGACTCTAAAAGGTGGGCGTAAAAAATGAACCAAATTAATGGGTTAAGGCGGGGATGCGATATTAGCCCACTTACCTGTCCATGTCCATCGATGACGACGTTGCGGTGGTTGTGCGTGTGGGTATGGGTCTGGTTAACCACCGACTGCTCCACCACAACCACCTGAGCCTCCTTGTTATCCTGATCCACATTGCCAGCAACGCGTTTCGCACTCGGTGGTGCGCTTACTGGCTTGATTGTCATGGTGGTGCGCTGCTATTCTAGTGGTCAGCGGCACTGTGCCCACTTCTTTTTGTTATTACTTAATTTGAATCACTGGATTTAAGCACGTTCTTAGGGAGAAAACTATTTGTTGCTTGCGACGTCTCCTTTTTATATTCGCCTTACACACAAATCACAAAAACTATGTGTTCTTTGTCCCGAGATGTCGTCGCAGAAAATGCGACCTCAGTGGTTCCTTTCACCCACTCGAAATGAAGTCTCCCTTTTTACCGAATAGTGAAAAACGTACGGCTTTATTGAAAGCCGATTGTGTTCTTTAGTTTTTCAATACCAATTCTGACACCAAATCACATGGACTGCTGGATTTGACAAAATAATAAAAAATGACAATTTCCAGATTTTCATCTGTTTGTGCTTGTATGGGCGAGTGTGTGTGTGTGTGGGCAGTGCTTTGGTCACACTGAACGCTGCAGTGTGGCCGCGACATTTCCTCACAAAAATGTTATTAACTGGGAATTTGGTATTTCATTAAAAAAATACTACACATATTCCGTGAATTCAAAAATACGTTTTTATTGTTTTTTGTAACTGTCTAAAGGAAGGAATAAGGAATATACACTATTTTTGCATAAATTATCCAATTATTAAATATTTTAAAGAAGATTAAAGTTTTAATTTATTAAAGAAAATCCATTTTTATAGCTGCCTCCTTTACTTTAAAAACGTTTATAGACATTTAAATTTTACTTTTTAAATAAACAATAAATGTTTGTCTTTAAGCTTTTACGAATTATCTAATATGTATATCTGAGACAAATATGGCATCAATATTCAGACTACTCGTGCACTACGCAGGTTGGTGACTCTATGTGGTTTGAGATTCAACTTAGAAGCATGTGTGCAAATATTTAGTCCAGTATAACATTAGTTAATTTTTATTTTTGTTTTTGTTTTTTTTTGGAAAGGTATAAAACACCAAAAAACGTAGTTTAAATGTTAGTCGATTTTTCAAACATGAAGACAGAGGTTCTATTTTGTATTATTGTTTCGGTGGCGATGATGGTGGGGCTTGCTAACGCCCAAAGTACTACAAGCACCACGGCAGCCCCCACAACAGAATCTCCGTCAGTTCCCCAATGGTCATGGACGGATTTCTTTAAGTTTTTCAACAGTAGCAGCAGTAATGGAAACAAGTTTTACTTTTTCTTCTGAAGCTATTTTTGCGCTTTTATATCCCGAGAAAAAATCTTTATACACCTGTGTGTTGATTTACTTGGCCAAATAAAAAATAAAGACTATTAGAATCATTGAATTTTTATTTTGGAATAAAATTTATGATCTGAGTTTCAATAACCAGCTGAATAAAATAAAACTTTTTTTAAATCCATTTAGTTACAGATTGGCTATTAGCGGTCTAAGTAACGTGAACGCATATACTGAAATTCGTAGACCTTTAAACATACATATGTATATAATTTTTGCCATCCCAACAATTAAATAAACAATTGTATAATATTCAAATGCATATATTTTACAATCGTTTATATTAAAGTCACAAGCCATTTTTACTGGCCCTTTTCAATATGGTCCAACTTTAATATTGATTGCTCCAACCGCCCCATCCGCTTCCGTAAGGACTCCATCCGTATTGCCAAGACGGCCTGGTTCCGACGCCCACCCAACGACCGTTGCCCCACCAGTAGGGATATTGACCGGTTGAGCCCACGGAGCGTCCTTGGATCGTAGCTCCGACATTCTGCCCGTTGACGGATGCAGCTCCATTATTAAAGGTGCGCGACTGTGTGTCAACACCATTTTGGCCTCGAGTTAACCGGAATCGGATGTCTGGAGATCCTTGGACAATTGAACTGTCACCAGAGAATCCCGAGCGCTGAGTCCAGGATTGCTCGCCACGAGATCCGATTGCACCTGCAATAGAACCTGAAACAGATGAGCCATCGCCGTTGTTGATTTCACCATCTGTGGTCTTTCGCTTAATAAGTTTCGACCAGGAACTCGAAGAATCTCCACCGCCGACAGAGATTCCAGCATCAATGGTTGGAACGGTTAAACGGATGGGATCAGATGTCCTCGATGAGCTAGACCAAGAGTATTCAGTCCGAGTTTTAGGAGCCGATGAAGTTGTCTTTGTAATTATAGTTTTTCTTGTGGAAGAACTAGACTTTCCATAAGATCGAGGAACATTAGAGCTATTGGAGGTAGAAGTTTTTGTTGTTTTGGTCGTCGCTGAGCTCGACTTTCCGCCATTATGAGTGTGGGTACTTGAAGATTTGCTTCCTTTGGTGGAAGTAGTTGTAGTTGTTGTGGAAGATTTTGAACTTGTCTTTCCTCCATTAACCGAAACTACTGGCGAAGATAAGTTACTTGATTGCTGATTGCTTCCTACGTTTGTGGTTGTTGTTGTTGTAGTAGTTGACGATTGGCTGGACTTTCCACCATTACTTTGGGAACTTCCTTTGGTGACCTTGACAACAGGAGAAGATGATGCTCCATATTGGCTTTCAGATGTAATTTTTGTTGAGCTGCCATTATCTATCAATGAGCCACCCTGTGCGCTTTCCAAAAGGGGGTCCGAAGATGAGGTAGATTGACTATTGTCTGAAGAAGTCGTAGTTGTTGTCGATGATGAAGTCTGGCTTGATTGTCCGCCGGTGGATACTTTTTTCGATGAACTAGACCAGGAGTGTTTTACTGTTGGTGTAGAGGAAGAGCTTGTCGTTACGGTTGTGGTACTTTCGCTGGTACCAGTGCTGGATTTGCCACTTGATTTTGGAATTTTAGAAGTCTTCGACGAATAAGTTTTTGTGGTTTTAGTCCATTTTGAGCTAGATTTTCCACCCTTTATCACAACACTAGGTTTGACAGGTGAGGATGGGCCATAACTGGTTGTTGTTGTGCTCGTAGTCTTCGTCGTCGAATGGCTAGACTTTTTACCACCTTTGTGGGAGCCATTTTGATTGACTTCGACAGCAGGGTTAGAAGAGGATGTTATCGTGGTGGACGTTGTAGTTTGAGTCGAGTTTCCAGCACTGTCCGAGGAGCTTCCTTCATTCACTGACACAACAGGATCAGAGGAAGAGCTGGACTGACCGTCATCCGATGAGGTTGTCGTTGTGGACTGGCTAGAGTTTCCATCAGCATTCGACGAGCTTCCTTCAGTGGATTCTACAACAGGATCAGACGAGACTGTCGATTGAGCGTCATCCGAGGATGTTGTTGTGGTGGTTGTTGAGGATTGCGAAGAGTTTCCAGCACCGTCCGAGGAGCTTCCTTCAGTCACAGTCACAACAGGATCGGAGGAAGAGCTGGACTGACCCTCACCCGAAGATGTTGTCGTTGTGGTGGTTGTTGTTGTGGAAGAAGACTGGCTAGAGTTTCCATCAGCATTCGACGAGCTTCCCTCAGTGGATTCTACGACAGGATCAGACGAGACTGTCGATTGACCGTCATCCGAGGATGTTGTTGTGGTGGTTGTTGAGGATTGCGAAGAGTTTCCAGCACCGTCCGAGGAGCTTCCTTCAGTCACAGTCACAACAGGATCGGAGGAAGAGCTGGACTGACCCTCACCCGAAGATGTTGTCGTTGTGGTGGTTGTTGTTGTGGAAGAAGACTGGCTAGAGTTTCCATCAGCATTCGACGAGCTTCCCTCAGTGGATTCTACAACAGGATCAGACGAGACTGTCGATTGAGCGTCATCTGAGGATGTTGTTGTGGTGGTTGTTGAGGATTGTGAAGAGTTTCCAGCACCGTCCGAGGAGCTACCTTCAGTCACAGTCACAACAGGATCGGAGGAAGAGCTGGACTGACCCTCACCCGAAGATGTTGTCGTTGTGGTGGTTGTTGTTGTGGAAGAAGACTGGCTAGAGTTTCCATCAGCATTCGACGAGCTTCCCTCAGTGGATTCTACAACAGGATCAGACGAGACTGTCGATTGAGCGTCATCCGAGGATGTTGTTGTGGTGGTTGTTGAGGATTGCGAAGAGTTTCCAGCACCGTCCGAGGAGTTTCCTTCAGTCACAGCCACAACAGGATCGGAGGAAGAGCTGGACTGACCCTCACCCGAAGATGTTGTCGTTGTGGTGGTTGTTGTTGTGGAAGAAGACTGGCTAGAGTTTCCATCAGCATTCGACGAGCTTCCCTCAGTGGATTCTACAACAGGATCAGACGAGACTGTCGATTGAGCGTCATCCGAGGATGTTGTTGTGGTGGTTGTTGAGGATTGCGAAGAGTTTCCAGCACCGTCCGAGGAGCTTCCTTCAGTCACAGTCACAACAGGATCGGAGGAAGAGCTGGACTGACCCTCACCCGAAGCTGTTGTCGTTGTGGTGGGTGTTGTTGTGGAAGAAGACTGGCTAGAGTTTCCATCAGCATTCGACGAACTTCCCTCAGTGGATTCTACAACAGGATCAGACGAGACTGTCGATTGACCCTCTTCCGAGGATGTGGTTGTGGTGGTTGTTGAGGATTGCGAAGAGTTTCCAGCACCGTCCGAGGAGCTTCCTTCAGTCACAGTCACAACAGGATCGGAGGAAGAGCTGGACTGACCTTCATTCGAGGATGTTGTCGTTGTGGTGGTTGTTGTTGTGGAAGAAGACTGGCTAGAGTTTCCATCAGCATTCGACGAGCTTCCCTCAGTGGATTCTACAACAGGATCAGACGAGACTGTCGATTGAGCGTCATCCGAGGATGTTGTTGTGGTGGTTGTTGAGGATTGCGAAGAGTTTCCAGCACCGTCCGAGGAGCTTCCTTCAGTCACAGTCACAACAGGATCGGAGGAAGAGCTGGACTGACCTTCACCCGAAGATGTTGTCGTTGTGGTGGTTGTTGTTGTGGAAGAAGACTGGCTAGAGTTTCCATCAGCATTCGACGAGCTTCCCTCAGTGGATTCTACAACAGGATCAGACGAGACTGTCGATTGAGCGTCATCCGAGGATGTTGTTGTGGTGGTTGTTGAGGATTGCGAAGAGTTTCCAGCACCGTCCGAGGAGCTTCCTTCAGTCACAGTCACAACAGGATCGGAGGAAGAGCTGGACTGACCCTCACCCGAAGATGTTGTCGTTGTGGTCGTTGTTGTTGTGGAAGAAGACTGGCTAGAGTTTCCATCAGCATTCGACGAGCTTCCCTCAGTGGATTCTACAACAGGATCAGACGAGACTGTCGATTGAGCGTCATCCGAGGATGTTGTTGTGGTGGTTGTTGAGGATTGCGAAGAGTTTCCAGCACCGTCCGAGGAGCTTCCTTCAGTCACAGTCACAACAGGATCGGAGGAAGAGCTGGACTGACCCTCACCCGAAGATGTTGTCGTTGTGGTGGTTGTTGTTGTGGAAGAAGACTGGCTAGAGTTTCCATCAGCATTCGACGAGCTTCCCTCAGTGGATTCTACAACAGGATCAGACGAGACTGTCGATTGAGCGTCATCCGAGGATGTTGTTGTGGTGGTTGTTGAGGATTGCGAAGAGTTTCCAGCACCGTCCGAGGAGCTTCCTTCAGTCACAGTCACAACAGGATCGGAGGAAGAGCTGGACTGACCCTCACCCGAAGATGTTGTCGTTGTGGTGGTTGTTGTTGTGGAAGAAGACTGGCTAGAGTTTCCATCAGCATTCGACGAGCTTCCCTCAGTGGATTCTACAACAGGATCAGACGAGACTGTCGATTGACCCTCTTCCGAGGATGTGGTTGTGGTGGTTGTTGAGGATTGCGAAGAGTTTCCAGCACCGTCCGAGGAGCTTCCTTCAGTCACAGTCACAACAGGATCGGAGGAAGAGCTGGACTGACCCTCACCCGAAGATGTTGTCGTTGTGGTGGTTGTTGTTGTGGAAGAAGACTGGCTAGAGTTTCCATCAGCATTCGACGAGCTTCCCTCAGTGGATTCTACAACAGGATCAGACGAGACTGTCGATTGAGCGTCATCCGAGGATGTTGTTGTGGTGGTTGTTGAGGATTGCGAAGAGTTTCCAGCACCGTCCGAGGAGCTTCCTTCAGTCACAGTCACAACAGGATCGGAGGAAGAGCTGGACTGACCCTCACCCGAAGATGTTGTCGTTGTGGTGGTTGTTGTTGTGGAAGAAGACTGGCTAGAGTTTCCATCAGCATTCGACGAGCTTCCCTCAGTGGATTCTACAACAGGATCAGACGAGACTGTCGATTGAGCGTCATCCGAGGATGTTGTTGTGGTGGTTGTTGAGGATTGCGAAGAGTTTTCAGCACCGTCCGAGGAGCTTCCTTCAGTCACAGTCACAACAGGATCGGAGGAAGAGCTGGACTGACCCTCACCCGAAGATGTTGTCGTTGTGGTGGTTGTTGTTGTGGAAGAAGACTGGCTAGAGTTTCCATCAGCATTCGACAAGCTTCCCTCAGTGGATTCTACAACAGGATCAGACGAGACTGTCGATTGAGCGTCATCCGAGGATGTTGTTGTGGTGGTTGTTGAGGATTGCGAAGAGTTTCCAGCACCGTCCGAGGAGCTTCCTTCAGTCACAGTCACAACAGGATCGGAGGAAGAGCTGGACTGACCCTCACCCGAAGATGTTGTCGTTGTGGTGGTTGTTGTTGTGGAAGAAGACTGGCTAGAGTTTCCATCAGCATTCGACGAGCTTCCCTCAGTGGATTCTACAACAGGATCAGACGAGACTGTCGATTGACCCTCTTCCGAGGATGTGGTTGTGGTGGTTGTTGAGGATTGCGAAGAGTTTCCAGCACCGTCCGAGGAGCTTCCTTCAGTCACAGTCACAACAGGATCGGAGGAAGAGCTGGACTGACCCTCACCCGAAGATGTTGTCGTTGTGGTGGTTGTTGTTGTGGAAGAAGACTGGCTAGAGTTTCCATCAGCATTCGACGAGCTTCCCTCAGTGGATTCTACAACAGGATCAGACGAGACTGTCGATTGAGCGTCATCCGAGGATGTTGTTGTGGTGGTTGTTGAGGATTGCGAAGAGTTTCCAGCACCGTCCGAGGAGCTTCCTTCAGTCACAGTCACAACAGGATCGGAGGAAGAGCTGGACTGACCCTCACCCGAAGATGTTGTCGTTGTGGTGGTTGTTGTTGTGGAAGAAGACTGGCTAGAGTTTCCATCAGCATTCGACGAGCTTCCCTCAGTGGATTCTACAACAGGATCAGACGAGACTGTCGATTGACCGTCATCCGAGGATGTTGTTGTGGTGGTTGTTGAGGATTGCGAAGAGTTTCCAGCACCGTCCGAGGAGCTTCCTTCAGTCACAGTCACAACAGGATCGGAGGAAGAGCTGGACTGACCCTCACCCGAAGATGTTGTCGTTGTGGTGGTTGTTGTTGTGGAAGAAGACTGGCTAGAGTTTCCATCAGCATTCGACGAGCTTCCCTCAGTGGATTCTACAACAGGATCAGACGAGACTGTCGATTGACCGTCATCCGAGGATGTTGTTGTGGTGGTTGTTGAGGATTGCGAAGAGTTTCCAGCACCGTCCGAGGAGCTTCCTTCAGTCACAGTCACAACAGGATCGGAGGAAGAGCTGGACTGACCCTCACCCGAAGATGTTGTCGTTGTGGTGGTTGTTGTTGTGGAAGAAGACTGGCTAGAGTTTCCATCAGCATTCGACGAGCTTCCCTCAGTGGATTCTACAACAGGATCAGACGAGACTGTCGATTGACCGTCATCCGAAGATGTTGTTGTGGTGGTTGTTGAGGATTGCGAAGAGTTTCCAGCACCGTCCGAGGAGCTTCCTTCAGTCACAGTCACAACAGGATCGGAGGAAGAGCTGGACTGACCCTCACCCGAAGATGTTGTCGTTGTGGTGGTTGTTGTTGTGGAAGAAGACTGGCTAGAGTTTCCATCAGCATTCGACGAGCTTCCCTCAGTGGATTCTACAACAGGATCAGACGAGACTGTCGATTGAGCGTCATCCGAGGATGTTGTTGTGGTGGTTGTTGAGGATTGCGAAGAGTTTCCAGCACCGTCCGAGGAGCTTCCTTCAGTCACAGTCACAACAGGATCGGAGGAAGAGCTGGACTGACCCTCACCCGAAGATGTTGTCGTTGTGGTGGTTGTTGTTGTGGAAGAAGACTGGCTAGAGTTTCCATCAGCATTCGACGAGCTTCCCTCAGTGGATTCTACAACAGGATCAGACGAGACTGTCGATTGAGCCTCATCCGAGGATGTTGTTGTGGTGGTTGTTGAGGATTGCGAAGAGTTTCCAGCACCGTCCGAGGAGCTTCCTTCAGTCACAGTCACAACAGGATCGGAGGAAGAGCTGGACTGACCCTCACCCGAAGATGTTGTCGTTGTGGTGGTTGTTGTTGTTGAAGAAGACTGGCTAGAGTTTCCATCAGCATTCGACGAACTTCCCTCAGTGGTTTCTACAACAGGATCAGACGAGACTGTCGATTGAGCGTCATCCGAGGATGTTGTTGTGGTGGTTGTTGAGGATTGCGAAGAGTTTCCAGCACCGTCCGAGGAGCTTCCTTCAGTCACAGTCACAACAGGATCGGAGGAAGGGCTGGACTGACCCTCACCCGAAGATGTTGTCGTTGTGGTGGTGGTTGTTGTGGAAGAAGACTGGCTAGAGTTTCCATCAGCATTCGAAGAGCTTCCCTCAGTGGATTCTACAACAGGATCAGACGAGACTGTCGATTGAGCGTCATCCGAGGATGTTGTTGTGGTGGTTGTTGAGGATTGCGAAGAGTTTCCAGCACCGTCCGAGGAGCTTCCTTCAGTCACAGTCACAACAGGATCGGAGGAAGAGCTGGACTGACCCTCACCCGAAGATGTTGTCGTTGTGGTGGTTGTTGTTGTGGAAGAAGACTGGCTGGAGTTTCCATCAGCATTCGACGAGCTTCCCTCAGTGGATTCTACAACAGGATCAGACGAGACTGTCGATTGAGCGTCATCCGAGGATGTTGTTGTGGTGGTTGTTGAGGATTGCGAAGAGTTTCCAGCACCGTCCGAGGAGCTTCCTTCAGTCACAGTCACAACAGGATCGGAGGAAGAGCTGGACTGACCCTCACCCGAAGATGTTGTCGTTGTGGTGGTTGTTGTTGTGGAAGAAGACTGGCTAGAGTTTCCATCAGCATTCGACGAGCTTCCCTCAGTGGATTCTACAACAGGATCAGACGAGACTGTCGATTGAGCGTCATCCGAGGATGTTGTTGTGGTGGTTGTTGAGGATTGCGAAGAGTTTTCAGCACCGTCCGAGGAGCTTCCTTCAGTCACAGTCACAACAGGATCGGAGGAAGAGCTGGACTGACCCTCACCCGAAGATGTTGTCGTTGTGGTGGTTGTTGTTGTGGAAGAAGACTGGCTAGAGTTTCCATCAGCATTCGACGAGCTTCCCTCAGTGGATTCTACAACAGGATCAGATGAGACTGTCGATTGACCGTCATCCGAGGATGTTGTTGTGGTGGTTGTTGAGGATTGCGAAGAGTTTCCAGCACCGTCCGAGGAGCTACCTTCAGTCACAGTCACAACAGGATCGGAGGAAGAGCTGGACTGACCCTCACCCGAAGATGTTGTCGTTGTGGTGGTTGTTGTTGTGGAAGAAGACTGGCTAGAGTTTCCATCAGCATTCGACGAACTTCCCTCAGTGGATTCTACAACAGGATCAGACGAGACTGTCGATTGACCCTCTTCCGAGGATGTGGTTGTGGTGGTTGTTGAGGATTGCGAAGAGTTTCCAGCACCGTCCGAGGAGCTTCCTTCAGTCACAGTCACAACAGGATCGGAGGAAGAGCTGGAATGACCCTCACCCGAAGATGTTGTCGTTGTGGTGGTTGTTGTTGTGGAAGAAGACTGGCTAGAGTTTCCATCAGCATTCGACGAGCTTCCCTCAGTGGATTCTACAACAGGATCAGACGAGACTGTCGATTGAGCGTCATCCGAGGATGTTGTTGTGGTGGTTGTTGAGGATTGCGAAGAGTTTCCAGCACCGTCCGAGGAGCTTCCTTCAGTCACAGTCACAACAGGATCGGAGGAAGAGCTGGACTGACCCTCACCCGAAGATGTTGTCGTTGTGGTGGTTGTTGTTGTGGAAGAAGACTGGCTAGAGTTTCCATCAGCATTCGACGAGCTTCCCTCAGTGGATTCTACAACAGGATCAGACGAGACTGTCGATTGAGCGTCATCCGAGGATGTTGTTGTGGTGGTTGTTGAGGATTGCGAAGAGTTTCCAGCACCGTCCGAGGAGCTTCCTTCAGTCACAGTCACAACAGGATCGGAGGAAGAGCTGGACTGACCCTCACCCGAAGAAGTTGTCGTTGTGGTGGAAGAAGACGGGCTAGCGTTTCCATCAGCATTCGACGAGCTTCCCTCAGTGGATTCTACAACAGGATCAGACGAGACTGTCGATTGAGCGTCATCCGAGGATGTTGTTGTGGTGGTTGTTGAGGATTGCGAAGAGTTTCCAGCACCGTCCGAGGAGCTTCCTTCAGTCACAGTCACAACAGGATCGGAGGAAGAGCTGGACTGACCCTCACCCGAAGAAGTTGTCGTTGTGGTGGAAGAAGACTGGCTAGCGTTTCCATCAGCATTCGACGAGCTTCCCTCAGTGGATTCTACAACAGGATCAGACGAGACTGTCGATTGAGCGTCATCCGAGGATGTTGTTGTGGTGGTTGTTGAGGATTGCAAAGAGTTTCCAGCACCGTCCGAGGAGCTTCCTTCAGTCACAGTCACAACAGGATCGGAGGAAGAGCTGGACTGACCCTCACCCGAAGAAGTTGTCGTTGTGGTGGAAGAAGACTGGCTAGCGTTTCCATCAGCATTCGACGAGCTTCCCTCAGTGGATTCTACAACAGGATCAGACGAGACTGTCGATTGAGCGTCATCCGAGGATGTTGTTGTGGTGGTTGTTGAGGATTGCGAAGAGTTTCCAGCACCGTCCGAGGAGCTTCCTTCAGTCACAGTCACAACAGGATCGGAGGAAGAGCTGGACTGACCCTCACCCGAAGAAGTTGTCGTTGTGGTGGAAGAAGACTGGCTAGCGTTTCCATCAGCATTCGACGAGCTTCCCTCAGTGGATTCTACAACAGGATCAGACGAGACTGTCGATTGAGCGTCATCCGAGGATGTTGTTGTGGTGGTTGTTGAGGATTGCGAAGAGTTTCCAGCACCGTCCGAGGAGCTTCCTTCAGTCACAGTCACAACAGGAACGGAGGAAGAGCTGGAGTGACCCTCATTCGAGGATGTTATCGTAGTAGTGGTTGTTGTTGTGGACGAAGAAGAGCTCGACGGATTCGCAACTTTTGTTGTACTTGTTTCACTCGATTTATCCGCGACAGTTTTTGAGGTCTCATTTGAGAGTTCAAGTAGTTTTTTTCCGTTGACACAGTTCACATAATTTGGATTTCCGAGCAGTTCTCCGTCGTGCAAGAGAAGTAATTTTCCAAAAAGTCTATCCAGCAGCCACAAGCGTATATCCTTTCGTATTTCAATTAGAGTTTGGCGAACACTTTCACAACATGGCTGTGCTTTTATATCAGGGGAGGCCACCGCAGTAACCGCATTAGATTGGGATTGGGCGGCTGCGAGGGCGAGCAAAGCGGCCAAAGTCGCGACGAAAAACAACCGCATTATCCTCCAATTAACCGCGATCGGTTAGATCTGTTGCCAAAATTAAAATTTCGAAACCTTTTATACTCTAGCCCGGGGGCCTTATTATTTTTTGGTTATTTGCGTAGATGCTTGTCTAGCTTGCAAATTGTATTTGTTAAACAACATTTGGTACTTCTATTGTTGCCAAAAAAGAACAAAAACTGATCAAACGTCTGAATTATACTATACGTCAAAGTCAACATCTATTTAATACCTCTTAAAGAAACAACTGTGCAAAATATTTGATCTTAGCTTGGATTAAACAATTGTTAGATATTTTGACTTTACGTAAATCGCTAGCTCGTGTTAGAAGAATACGTCAGAGGTGCATTAAACGATTTTTGAACAATTGTTTTGGGCCACACGAAAACCATTTATTTGGTTAGCCAGCTCTATAGAAATTATAGAACTTAAAAAACAAAGTCGTAATTTAAATGTTTGTTTATTCGTACAATTTAAGATTAAATGATTATGTAACAAATTATAAATTTGAACTGTGGACTGTGTTGGCTTCTAGTATTCGTCCTTCTCGAAAGGGTGGTGCGGGTGACCGTACTGGCTGTAAATATTAAAATAAAACATTTATAAGTATATCTCGTACAAAAGTATTTCACAGCAACAACTTTTTAAAACAGCCGCAAGGCAAATAGTTTCTAATGGAACAACTGGTTAGCTATAACAAACTAAAACTATTTTCAAGCTTATAAATTCACTTCAGTTATTTCACAAAGCAAATATAGAGTGTTAAAACATATGCAGGGAAAGGTAAACTAATATTAAAAGCAAAGTTTATCAAGCTTGTGTAAATATCAACAGTCAGGAGAAAAACACGTTTGGGTTTAAAAACATACGTTAACCTCGTGTTCATGTTTATGTAGATCTGCGGTATATTTGATTTCTTTCTTCAAAGAGTTTCAGTTTTCAATAGGTATAATTTCTCATTTGTAGGAATTTTTCTTCATTACTTCTCGCTTAGCAGATATCGATTCGATAAAACCTAATACTCGTCGTGAAATGGGTAGTACTTGTGGGTACCAGCATCGCTAGATAAATATAAATAAAATGGCAATTTATAAAACCAAAAAAATGTTTAAAAATATCCCAAATACACCCAAATTCCATGAATAAAGTACAAAAATAAATATTATTTTTAAAGAGCTCTGTATACTTACTTGAGCAGGGGCACCAGGCGACCATTGCACTCGAAGCTCTCGATGGTTTTGATTTCCTCGGGTGTCAGTTCAAAGTCAAAGACCTGGAAGTTGGACTCAATGCGACTCTTGGTGACAGACTTGGGGATAACGATGTTGGCGCGCTGAATCTGGTAACGAATGAGGATCTGTCCAGGAGTTTTGTTTTTCGCGGCTGCGATCTCCTTGATCTGAAACAGTATTATATAATTGAAATTAAATAAGCAAAATAATTTCCTTACTAAGAATTAACATACCTTAGCCTCCTCGAGGATGACCGGATCGCCGGCCTTGGCCCATGGGCGATTGGGGGATCCCAAAGGACTGTAAGCAGTGATGGTGATATCTTTCGACTTGCAGAAGTCGATCAGTTTCTTCTGGGTCAAATATGGGTGGCACTCGATTTGGTTGGTTACCGGCGGAATGGTGGCCACCTCCAGCACGCGCTCAATCTGCCTCCTGTTGAAGTTCGAAACGCCAATAGACTTGACCAGACCTTCCTCGACCAGCTTCTCCATGGCCTTCCACGTATCGACGTAATCGACCGGCGAGAACAGGGTCTTGCCCTCCTTATCGGTGGGGAACAGTTCGCAGCCCTCCTTGTAGCCCATGGGCCAGTGAATAAGATACAGATCGAGGTACTTGAGCTTCAGCCCACTCAATGTGTTCTCCAGAGCAGTCTTAACCAGATCCGGACGGTGGAAGGTGTTCCACAGTTTGCTGGTGATGAACAGATCCTCACTGAAAGTGGTTGAAGTGTAATTAAAACAATCGAAGAATGTTAAATTTTATTTTGGACTGACCGCTTGACAACGCCCTCCTTGATCTTGGCCTCAATGCCCTCACCGACCTCATCCTCGTTTTGGTAGACATAGGCACAATCAATGTGCCTGTATCCGGCATCGATGGCCACCTTCACGGCCTCGGTTACTTCTCCCTTGGGGCTCTGGAAAAATAATCGCGTGAGATTGTTAATAATAAAGTAAGGGAAAATCTAATGCTTTTATGCAGAACAATTGTAGTAGTTACTAATCAATTGTAGTTATCACCAGTTTAATTATCAAAAATTGCTTCTTGCAGTTTCCATGTTTAATAAATTGTCGGCATTAAATTTTTGCAAGTAATATGCTTAATAGTTAGTTGATAAGTACGTCACTATGGAATGTTCGATGTTCAAAAATGAATTTCGCAATTCGATGTCAAGCGAAGTTTCAGTTAAGAGGAGCGTGATCTGAAATCTATAAGTTTGCCAATCTGACACTTGACGTCACTTATCAGGCCCCTTAGTTCCCGGTTTATGAAAATGTACCCCGAAAAATCGGAATTAGTTCATCAATTAAAATTAATTTTAGATTTAAGCACGTGAATTTTAAAGCCTAAAAAGGAAAGATTAATATTTCAAATTGTGCGTTATCTTTCATGGAAAGGAAAGGTCAAAAACTTTCATTTCATTTTGACATAATAAGTACATATTACGAATACTTAATTTGTTTAATTTATGGGTTGGGACGCAATTCCCGTCCAATCGTGATGTACAAATAGTGCACGTAAACTAAACAGATAAGACCTCTTTCAAATTACCCTTATAATACCCTTGCTTATTAAGCGCTGCTTATCAGCGACTTTCCCAAAGTAATCTAAAAAGCTTTTCTATTAGAAACTATTTTTAACTTAATGGTTTGAACGCAGCTTTCTATTAAAGGGGCACGTCTTTCATGAAAACTTCAAACGTCTCCATAATGAAAAAAAAAATACTTAAAAAAAACTAAAGTATTGTTGTCAGGAAATCCTCCACTTCAGATAAGAAAGTTTATCAACTTCTGTCTGCGAATAATACTTGTAGAACCACCTAGCACCTAGCTGCCCCAAATATATGATTGTTTGTGGGGGTATAACAAGAAGTGATGTGGCAAATATTTTCTAAAAGTTTCCACTGCCATAAGAAGGTAAAAAGGGTCACCTTGGCAAAAAGGTCACAGAGATCCTCAAATTGAAAGCCATTTCAATAGGGTGTTAAAGTGAACAGTTGCTAATTAGCATAAACGCTCTAGAAAATCAGTTATTTTGGTACTATAGCTGCCATTTTTGACACTCCCACAGAAATGTGCAGAATTATATTCTGTATATATGGTAACTATGTATATAAACAGATTGGCCGGCAAAACATAGCCGGCAAACTATCAGCAATACGACGCGTGTCAATTTTTTTTTGTATCCCCCATTTATTTAAGCATCAGTGCAAAAAGAACTTGGGGAAAAAACGGGAAGTCGTGGGCAGCGGAAAACTACCCGATTATTATGTCCCACAAATACATTTGCAAGCATTTTGCAAACACTATAAAGAGATTAGTGCACTTAGTTAATATTCTACTTACGCCCCAAGTTCCCAGTCCAATGATTGGGATTTCCTTGCCGTTGTTGAACTTAACGTTTGGTACTTTGGCAGCCATTTTACACTTTTCTTGCTCCTTTTGTTTACTTAAAGGATTTAAATAAAATAATAATACAATTGAGCACCTTTCGACAATTGCTTCTTTTCTACAAAGTGAACAATCCCCCCAGCTGATTGCCGGTTTTATACGACCCCAAAGCTTTTTTAATATTCTAAAGAGCTTTCAAAACAAATCAGGGCTGCAATATTATTGGAGCAGGTTTAACAGCTGAGCGATCGTCAGTTTGATTTAAAATTTATGTATTTCAAAGTTTGGTTTTTTTTTTGGCATACCTTTAACAAAAAAACAACCAACTCATGAAAAAGGACATTAATTGATGTACAAAAATGTGTTCTATTGCTATTCGTTATAAATTCAAAGAAAGAAATTTAATTGCAAACGTTTATTATTAAAAGCGACAAAACAAGAAAGGTTGGTATACAAAGAATTTTCAATTCAATTTTTTCTTTCTCTGCTTCAACAATAAAGTAAAATTTAAACTTTTTAACACACATAGATTTGAGTTTGAGATGGAACTGCATTAACTCTAACGCTGATATGCGTAAACTTTTTAAAGCTCTATAAGTGCACAATTGTATTTTAATCATTTTTTTCTAAACAAGTTTTTTTCTTTCAAAATTCTTGTAATTTAGTTTTAAAAATTTTAGATAAGGATATCATGGCAAATTTGGCTAGCTTAATTAGGTGTTCAAATTCTACTTACGTTCCATGTTCCAAGCCCAATTACTGGAATCTCTAGGCTGTTCACGAAAACAACTTTGGGAACTCCAGCATACTCCTTCTGACACCTTAAAATATGAAATTAAACTTTCGAAGATTTGTTGGACTTCCACATATAATACCACATAAATCGCTCCGCTTTTCCATAATTCCTTAATGTAGATCGAAAAACAGGTAGAACCCGTTGGATTTTCAATACAGTGTTCATAATAGTTGGTGGATATTTCGGTTATTTAAGTAAACACTATTTTTATGCTTTGGAATGCAAAGCCTTCTTGGTTTTAAATTTTTTTTCTAAACAAAAAATAGCAAAACAAATGTGTATATGAAAATAAAAAGCCACATTTTACCAGAAATTTAACCTTGACATTGAAGTCTAAAGCTAAGCTATAGTAAATATAATGTTACACATTTTTATTATATAAACACTTAATACAGATATTGGTTAACATTGGTTTATGCTTGCATTGATTTTACACGAAGTTTGATTATCTCCGATAACAATTTCACTGCAAAAAAGGCAATTCTGCGTCTTTTGACTTGTTTTTGGTAAGAGTCGTCTACCTTCTTTCCTCCAAATCCAGAAAATGATGTATTACGGCTGAACTGGCTCAAAAGGATGATGAGGGTGTCCATAGGCCCTGTCACAAGAAAAAATTCAGGATATTAATTAAAATAATAGAAATTGCAGATGTTAAAGAAGTTTAAAGGCCCAGAAAGCACTAAACAAAGTGGATTTAAACCAAACATATGGTATCAGGATAGAAATCACTTACGCCTTCATGGTCATAAAACGACCATTACAGTCCAGATCATGAATAGCCTTGATATCATCTATGGCCAGTCCAAAGTCCCAGATTCGTTTGAAATTATCCTGCATGTGATGTTTGCTGACGGATCGCGGGATAACGATAATACCCGACTGTGTCTGATATCGAAGAAGGACCTAAATAAATGTAAAGTAAAAATTTAGTATAAAAATAATTTATAAAATAAATACTTGTGCCGGTGTCCTTTCGTATTTCTCAGCTATAGCCAGGATAGTCGGGTGCTGAAGCAAAGGATACGCGCCGGGCTTTTCGTAAGGCGTGTGTCCTGATCCTAAGCAGCTATAGGCGGTTACAGCAATGGCATTATCATAACAGAGAGTAATCAATGGCTTCTGACTCAGGTACGGGTGACACTCGATCTGCAGAACTACCGGCTTTAGCTTGGCTAAGCTTAGCAGCCTAGTGATCTGTTGTTCATTGAAGTTTGACACACCAATGGCCTGGCAAAGTCCCTCATCAACCAGATCCTCCATGGCCCGCCATGTGTCCACGTAGTCAATGTCCTCGAATACAGCTTTATTCGTATCCGGACAGGTGGGATATAGGACATCGCCCGACTTGTAAGCCATGGGCCAGTGCATCAGGTAGAGATCCAAGTAGTCCACTCCCAAGTTTCTCATACTTGTCTCGCAGGCAGGCCTCACTAGCTCTGGTTTGTGGTGCGTATTCCATAGTTTGCTCGTAATGAAAAGCTGGTCCCTGAATAATTTAAATTTTAGAACTAAATTACAAAGAATTAAATTGAACATATACCGCGTCACCACACCCTCATCTATTTTCTCCCGCAGAGCAGCGCCGACTTGGGCCTCATTCCCGTAGATATGGGCACAATCAAAGTGGCGATATCCTATATCAACAGCATCCTTTACAGCTTGAGTTACGACCTCAGGGGGACTCTAAAACGGGGGAGGTACTATTAAAAGCTAAAGTGCAACTAAAGCTTTTGAGCTTTGACATTGACCGTGAAAAAAAGCATTGTAAATGCGAATTTCAGCAGGTGAATTATTTAATAGCCATTTATGTATATTGAAACACTTACCCTCCAAGTTCCAAGACCCACTATAGGCATATTTTTACCGTTGCTCAAAAGAAAATTTGGCGTCGACATCTCTATTTTTTAAATGGAGTCCTTCCGCTCCTTGTGAAATACTGGAATAAGTTATTCTTGTTTTGTAAATCTATAATTTATAGTTTACCAAATGATTTAAACTGAAAAGCCGATTAAATTGGCTAGAAGCAACATTTCTCGTGACAGCTCGTGGTATCACAACTATATATACTTAAATTGTTTAATTTTAGAAACTTTAGGCAAGCAAAAGACCTTCACTAAACAAAATCGATTTGCCGCTAAGAAGAATTTACACATTTTCAATTTTGCTTAATACAAAAGACAAAAAGTCCCAGCTTATTATGATTTTAAAATCATAAAGGTAAAAATTATTCGATTCACTGGAAAAAAGGTTTTCTTCAATACTTTGTTGCCTGCTAATAAAGATGCAAGTTCCGGTTTTGGGAATTTCCAAAAAAAAGATGTTATATTTTGAAACCTTTTTAGGGAGATCGGCTTAAAGTTTATTTTGTAATTTTTTTAAACATTGTTAGAGATAAACACTTTTAAAAACCTATAAATCATGCGATTCTACCGTGATAGACAATTTTCCCAATATTCCCTTGATATTAAGAAAGTTTCAAGTAAATTTTTATAAATAAAACAATAAAATTAATTTTTTAATTTTATTTTCTTAAGATTATGAGCGTAAACTCGTTTAAATTTTGTACAGTTTTTGTCCAATTCAAACCTGAAGCACTATCGATAGCGGTACCGACATACCCATAGACCTTATCGATAGTTTCATCGCTGTTTTACCATCACCAGTTTGCCGCCTGTCCAAAAGAAAAACAATGTTTGGCACCGTAAATAACTATTTATCCGGCGTGCTGCACGCTGCCCAGGACTGCGATGGCGAGTTTTTGGCCACCCATCTTTCGCTGCGTGACGTTCACGTGCAGAACCACAACCTCTATATCGCCCAGCCGGAGAAACTGGTGGAGCGGTTTCTGAAGCCACCACTGGACGAGGTGGTTTCCGCTCATCTGAAGGTCTTGTATCACCTGGCGCAGGTGCCGCCCGGTTACATGGAGGCCTACACCCAACAAGCAGCGGCTTGTGGAGCGGTGGTGCGTCTGCTGCAGCAACTGAAGGATGAGAATTGGTGCCTGCCTTTAATGTACCGTGTCTGCTTAGACCTGAGATACTTGGCGCAGGCCTGCGAGAAGCGTTGTCGTGGATTCACACCCGGCCATGTGCTTGAGAAGGCCGCTGACTGCATGATGGCCTGTTTTCGAGTCTGTGCCGCCGATGGACGCGCCTCCGAGGAGGACACCAAGAGGCTGGGCATGATGAACCTGGTCAATCAACTCTTTAAGATCTACTTCCGCATCAACAAGCTGCATCTGTGCAAGCCCCTCATCCGCGCCATTGACAACTGTGTCTTCAAGGACTCCTTCCCGCTGCCGGAGCAAATCACCTACAAGTATTTCGTAGGCAGACGGGCCATGTTCGACTCCAACTACCAGGCTGCCGTGCAGTACCTTTCGTATGCCTTTAGTAACTGCCCAGATCGGTTTGCCAGCAACAAGCGGTTGATTCTCATCTACCTGGTGCCAGTGAAGATGCTTCTGGGCTACCTGCCTAGCAAATCCCTCCTGCAGCGATATGATCTCCTCCTATTCCACGATCTTGCACTGGCTCTCAAAGCGGGAAATGTGAATCGTTTCGATGAGATCGTCAGAGACCAGGAGTTGGTTTTGATTCGCAGTGGCATCTATTTGCTGGTGGAGAAGCTCAAGTTCATCGTATACCGAAATCTTTTCAAGAAGGTGTTCATCATTCGGCAGACCCATCAGTTGGACATGGGAGACTTTCTCTCGGCGCTTCAGTTTGTGGGCTTGACGGACGTTTCTCTGGATGAGACGCACTGCATCGTGGCTAATCTCATATACGAGGGAAAGATAAAGGGCTATATCTCACATGCCCACAACAAGCTGGTCGTGTCCAAGCAGAATGCATTCCCCTCCATATCTTCGTAAATCATTTTATTGACTGTAAAGCATTTCATGATTGTGAACTTTTAAGGGTAAAAGTCTGGCTTAAAAACCCGTATTTTATATTTTTGTTGCTGAGGGATCAAAACTTTTTAAAAATAATATAATTTAAAAATGTTTACCTCTAAAATACAAAAGAAGATGTAAAATACAAAAGAAGAAATAAAATATTTGTTTTAAAGATTTCATAAAGACCACCGTTATAATTTATTTATTCGATATTTAAATAGAAAAATCGACTACACTGATGTATCGAATGCCGAAGGTACTTCCATCTCTTAGCAACCTACGGTCACTCAGAAATTTTTAGGCAGCTTCGTTGAATTGTCGTAGTTTAGCGAAATTAAACATAATAACACAAGACTTTCGCTATTACTTGGTATGTGATTCAGATCCTGAACAGAGCAGTATGCACCATAAACAAGTGTCGGCAAATAAATCGAATTAGTTTTCAGTTTTTTCTCAGCCGGCGACGTGTTGTCATTTTGCTATCGTAAAATCAATATTACTAATTTTGCTTTGCGTTTACAACGTGACATAACTAATTCGCAAAATACGGTGCGTGGTTGTTTTCCATTGCTTTGCAGGAATCCGCTGAGACAGCTTATAAAACACACGGAAAAAGCGCCAAGTCGCCAAATCGCAAAGTACCTGGAAAAGTGCGTCCACAGTAGAGGCTAAACTAAATAGCAGGCATGTCTGCACCGGTCATTGTCGAGGCCACGGCCAAGCAAACCGCCACGGTGAGTATCCTGGCGTAGTCCCTTTCACAGAGAGGATAAATCTAATATTCATTTTTATACATTCCAGCTGATCTTCATGCATGGATTGGGAGACACGGGGTGAGTGTTTTCTTTTGCTGCAAAATAATAACAATTAAAACAAGAATGGTATTTTGGCCATGTTAAGAGCACTAGAGACATCCACTTAATATCAACATCTTAAAACATTTCTTATACAAAATCAAATCAAAGGGGGTAACTGAATTCCCCAAACTAATTAAATGGTTTGTACTGGGACTGAAGATTGTTATAATGGTTATACAAAATAATTTTTACTGATAACAATTACATATCAAAATTTAAATGTTAATGTGGTTTTTATTCGATAAGACCTCATAACACATTTCTCAAACTGAGTTTGCCAATTAAAGTAAATGTATAATTTAGTTTTAAGCTATAGCAGTGCTCAGAGCATATTTTGAATAACATGCTTATACTTTTAATTCCAACATTAATTTATTTATTTCTTTCAGCCATGGTTGGAGCAGCGCCTTGGCCGCCATCCGACCACCTTTCATGAAGGTCATCTGCCCCACGGCGCCCACACAGCCCGTTTCGCTGAACGCCGGCTTTCGGATGCCTTCGTGGTTCGACCTGAAGACGCTGGACATCGGAGGACCCGAAGACGAGCCTGGCATCCAGGCAGCCCGCGACAACGTGCATGGCATGATACAGAAGGAGATAAGCGCGGGGATTCCGGCGAACCGGATTGTCCTGGGTGGATTCTCGCAGGGCGGAGCTCTGGCATTGTACTCTGCACTTACCTACGATCAGCCGCTGGCCGGCGTGGTGGCCCTTTCGTGTTGGCTGCCGCTGCACAAGCAGTTCCCCGGCGCCAAGGTGAACAGCGAGGATGTGCCGATATTCCAGGCGCACGGAGACTACGATCCCGTGGTGCCGTACAAGTTTGGCCAGCTGAGCGCCAGTCTGCTCAAGTCGTTCATGAAGAATGTGACGTTCAAGACGTACAACGGGCTATCGCACTCGTCGTCCGACGACGAAATGGATGACGTCAAGGTGAGTGCGGCGCTTGGAGCGCCATTATCGGATTCCATTGGCAATCAAAGCGCTAAAGAACTTCATAACGCTCGCTCTGCTCTTTTCGATTTCAGGACATAATCAGTAAATGGGTAAACTAATTTCCAATGAACCTTAGCACTCTTAGAACGTACGAAAGCCCCCGACCCAGCCCGTTGCATTCCAACGACCACGAAATACGGAGCAGCTGAACATGATTAAAGCGTATTTAATAAAAATCAAAGCGCAGTAAGAGAGTCACACTGAGAGTTACACGAGTAGGCTCTCTATAGCCCAATTATGGAAATTATCACTGAAAATCAATTCGAAAAGCAATCAATTATACACACGTAGCTATACCTAATGAAATGCCAAAATACAAGCAATTTGCGAGGGAAATTCAACTGCGCGAGACGTTTCAGAGTACAGACAACTCACTTTGATATTTGTTCGCTGCTAATTATTTCGGTTTACTTATTTGGGAGTTGTTCGTATTTAAATTGAAATTAATAAAGTTATATAATCCAAGAAAAAACGAGAAAAAAAACTGTAAGCCGCAATCTAAATTGGATTACTGTTTTAACTCAAGGCCCGCTTGCCAGCGATTTTGTTTTGCTATTCAACTGGCAATCGGGTGCAATTTCAGATATTTTGAGGCACTACCTAACATTTGTTTGTTCATTGTAGCTAACATGAAACCTGATACTTTTGATTCCATTTTGATTTGATTCTTTGTTTCTCGTTTTGTTTTATTTCGCACAGCAACAGAAAAACAATCATCTGTAGAGCCCGCGGCCCCACTGGCTACGATTTGAAATTTGCATCCTTCAGTTGTTAAACCAATGGCAATAAACAAACCGGTTGTTCAGATTAAACGGGGCTCCCCTGGGCCCTCAAGTATACTCTCTCTCAGACTCTTTACGAACTCACATGATTCACCTGCTAAAACCCGTAGTCCTGCCGCACCACTCACCATCTCTCATCTATATATTTGCAGACACATTGGGAAAGCCAGAACATGGCTAGAAGGGCGCAATGCTGCCAGATATCATAGTAGCATCCGAATGCTAGTGTAGTGAAGGTTCCTTCCGCAAATCAAAGCTCCTCACCCTAGTCAAGACGTCTCGGGCCGCACGAGAATTGTATTTTAGTAATTATTTTGTATATATACACGATGGACTTGGTGTACCATGAATGGCTGTCCTATCACCTGGTGAAGTGACAAGAAACTGATTCGCTAAAGCGAATGGCCAATAAAGTTGTTTGAAGCTCTCAAGTGCAAGACGAACTTAATCGAAGGTGAAACAAGAACTTAATCGACAAAAAGGGCTTCCGTTACACCTAAGGCAAAGGTCAATGTTTTTTTTCGAATTTGTAAATGTAACAGTTTTGTTTTTTTTTCAAGTTTAGAACCAGTGCTGTACAGCGTATGATTGCAAGCTTTGATTTTGCCAAACTTTGTTATCGATAAATCTGGCGCGGTTTCAAGTCAGATTTAAATTTACTTAAACTGTAGTGATTTTGAACTTTTAAATTTTGTTGCAATTTTGAACTTAAGTATAAATTTATATAAACAACGTAAAAACTTAAAGGTTTCTTTTTGTGCATTGCGTATTTTAAAATTGAACTTGTGTATATCACTGTTCGACCAATAAGAATAATAACGTTCTTTAAATTAACTTAGTTAATTTAAATGTGATACTGGAGTGATAGCTAAAATAAGATTGAAAAAACCTTCAAAAGGAAATTATATTGTTATTTTTCAATATTCCAATATTTGTCTATTTAAATAATAACAATAACAAGGCAGAAACTAGTCATATTTGGTGTTACGTTTAAATTATCTAGACCTTAGGACAAAAATGTAACTTTAAAACAAATGTATAAAAAAATATATGTTTGACATTGTTCATGGTTAAAATGATGTCAAAATATTTCGTTGAATTTTTTTAAACTATAATCGTCTGTGTACTGCGACTGACCATTTTTATTTGGGGAACCCGTTGGATGTCGACTTCAAGTGCCGACTAAGCGGCAGTTGTTTTCACGCCGCCGTCGAGAGTGGACGCGTTTTCGCCAGCTCTTCGATAATACATTTTACGCCGCCATATCCTCGGCTAATTCCAGTAAAGTTTTCGCGGAGAAATATTAAAAAGCATTACACAACGAATTCCAATGTAAGGAGTAAACAAGAAAAATCAATGCTATCTAATTTAACTGCAGTGCAAATGCCAATCAAAAAATATTTGGCGAACAAAGCGGTTTATTTAAGGTTTCGTGTCTGCGGCTTTGTTTTGTTTTGGCTTTGTTTAGAAAATAAGAGCCTTTTGTATTGTGTTTGACCAGTCGGATGTGCAACAATGCGACAAGAAGTGCTGGCAATATAGCACACAAAAAATATAATCTAAATATGCACCCAAATAAGCAAGTTCTATAAAGTATCATTATGTGAAGTACCATTAAATAGAATTTCCGACTTTCGTAATTTATCTGAAAACATGCAGGAAACTTGGATTGCAATAAAGCTGATAATAATATAATTTTTATTACATGTTTGTGTACATTTAAGTAAGCCTGAAAACAACGAATCAAGAACAAAAGTTTCAGAACAAGACTTTTTGTTCTAGATTATATTATAAAAAATAAACAAATTTATACGTTGTATCAAATGAAACAGAAATATTTCGTAAAATGATATTGTAAATTATTTATACAAATGTTTTTTTGTTATAAATTTCATTCGGCTTGGCTTTTTACGATAGCATTGTATAAAAATGTACGACGTATAAAATTTATGAACGTAGTTTACTTTTCATGGGAAAAAACTCACGTGCATTTTAAACACCAAATAAAAACTGATCCCAGCTTAATTGATCGTCTACGTCTTGGCTTAAAATATTTGTCGATGTTATAATATAAAATTCGACACATGGAAAACAACAAGAATTATATTTTGTTAAAGTAGTTAAATTTATAAATGCTAAAATGATTCATGTTTATAGTACTGCTACCTGAATTTCCCCCTCGAACCATCGATTTTGTTTTCTGTCACTGACCTATAAGTCCAATGAGTAATTAAACTTAAAAGTGGTTAACCAAATTGCTCAAAGTACATGCGTTTCTTTGTTGATTACTGAGTTGTATGGATTGCGCTCCTACGTGACGTGGATTTAATCCAAAAGTTATAGGAGATTGCTTTATAATGCACCTCCCTTAAACGGTTGGGTGATTTGCTTTAGATCTGGATTCGGATTTGGGCATGCAATATATACATATAATAAAAAGTCATAAACAGCAACGCTAATATTATGTAGATTGAATCGCCTAAAGACTTTTTAAATAACTTTCAAATTATGTTTTTCTGAATAAATTAAAGTGCTTTCAAAGTTATAATCATAATTTGTATTTTGTTGATAAAAATTGCAATAATTATCTTTTTTGAATTGTTATCCAAAGACTTCTTCTAAAAGCATTTATAATGATTTTAAAAATAAGTCATTTGTCAGAATTTGACTAATGGTTTTTGAAGTGATTAGCTGAAACTCAATTGCTAGTTTGCCGGTTTCCTCGATGGTTGTTTTAGCTAATGTTCTCTGTATGCTAAACTATTCATCGGGGGTCAAAAGTCTAACCAAACCGATGAGCTTCTGTTGCCACCTGACGTCACAGAATAGACCGCAAAGAATAGAAAATAAATCTGACAGCCGACGAGGAATTAGCATAAGTTGCTAAACTGAGTGTAGATTGGCATGCATATTTAAGCTTTCAATTAGCCCCTCTTAAATTACCACCTTACTCATTTTCTTGTCGGGAATTAGTGTTCGTTCGGATGCATTTCTTCTTTGTTCGCATCCCAAAGAACTTAATTCCAGGTTTAAATCTGAAAATGCCTCTTGTCCAGAAACCAGAACGGGTTTCTCGTTTGCATTTAGCCAGTCGGCGCCAGTTAATTTCGAATAATCCGACGACGCCAAAAGCATTAAAAAAGTAAATAAGACAAAAACAATTCCCATTTGGATTTGGGGACACAATGCGGCGAACTCTGAAGTTTTTAAAGAATCTTTACTTGTCCGACAGGAGCAGATCATCAGGTTATTCGGAATGCTTTGAATAAATAATAAATAAATACTAATTTGTATTGAAATAAAATAAATTAATCACTGACAGTTGATGGGGAATTAAATTACTGATCGTTGGAAAAGATGTTTTATGCGGATAGATTTTCAAAAGAATTAAATAGCATTTTTTGTTGTAAGTAATTGTTTAATTTAATCGCTGGCGAGCGGAGCGAATCTCAAGTGTGAAAACGTGATAAATCTGCGATGTCAACACAGCTCCGCCTCGAAAGCGGAACGTTCGTGATCCGTCAGTCAGTTAGTCAGTGGTGTCATCGATCTAGACTCGTTAGCTGGTGATTACCGTAATACTCTATGAACTGGCTTTCTGACCTGCTTATTGTAGTTATTAAAAAATAGTGCATTATAAGGTAACCAGCTTTTAGTTTTTATTGTCTCGGTTCAATCTTTAAGGTTTGATTTAATAATAGTTCCATATCGAGCACTTTGTTTAAATTTTAATGTTCTCACAATTCACATTTCATTTATCTAATTGTGGTTGACTTGCATTTTATAATTTAATACTATAATTATTTCCGCGTTGTTATATTAGTGAGATACTTTTTTGAACTTTGAGTTTGTTTAACGTTGTGAAAGCGCTGTTTATACAAAACTATGAAAAGATAAAAACTGGGGAACATTAAAAAAGTTCTGGTGAAGTCTCATGTCAGATAGGTTATTTTTACCGATGATATCTGGTTATTATCGAACTATTTGCCATATTCATTATATAGTTTTGTATATATGGTGAAGAATGTAAGCAAATGTGCAGCTGGGTAAAAGGGTATTAGCAATTAAGATATTTATCACTGCCTATGATACCTGTATATAGTCAATAAATTGAAAACATTGATTTTTACTCCATAAGCATTGACATTGAGCGTTGGTTCTGTGGGTGCTTGTTAAACTTGAACTTGAATAGGATCAATGCAATTAGAATATTACTACTATCTTCAAGTTTATTGGCTAGTTGAAAACTGTAGTGCATAAACAATACCGGTTCCTACAATAAAAATAAAAATGTGATGACTAAGTAAAAATAAAATTAAGAAACCAAACAATTGTGCAAACATTTACCCCAAAAAACCTTTATCAGGTCGACCTGTTGGGCGTTAATTTCAAGGCTGCCAGAAGTTGATAAGTCGTATTTACTTATGTTTCTTTTAATTCTGACACGCTCCTCCTTCCTCCCACACATGTCAAAGTCTATAATGATTAATTTCTTATTTGCAGCGCGTAAGTCGCCAGCGTGATCAAAACAAAACGGGCAATAAATCTGCAATCACACGAGCATGCGTGCATGAAGAGGAACAATAACAAAATCAACAATAATAATCGCAGCGCTGGCAAAAGTACAGAAAGAGAAAAAGTGTGCAAAATATATAAATAAATAAGTCCGGCACCCATTCCCATTCCAATTCCGACTTTGGTGCGGTAGGTAATGACACATTCGGCAAGCGGCGCACGTATCTAGATGCGAACGAGCCAGCGAAAAGTATCTGAATCCATCAGTGAAAATCCGCGGAGCCACGACTCCGCCTTTTGCCACCCGCGTAGTTCACTAATATATGTGCTTTTGAACGCCGCATTAAATAGCAATAAACAAATTATTTGAAAATCCACCATGGAGCTGTCGCGAAACCTCCTCGCCAAACAATCAAAAGATGTGGAGTTCCAAGATGTCTTCTACACAGTTAAGGAACGCAAGAACTTCTGTAAGTTATACAATATTAAGCTTATATATAATTAACCTGTAGTTGGTAAGCCATTAAATTAAACTTAATCAAAAGAATGTAGTTATCATGAATTATTCATTCAAAAGCACATTTTCTCCCTTGAGTTACTATGATAAATAATCATTATTTAATCTGCACTTGAAGGTTTGCATAAGTACAAAATTATCCAGTAACCTTTCTGTTTCTAATTTATGGTAATGGTTAAATTTAGAACGGGTTTTACATTACTTAGAATCTAAGTTTCTCCAGTTAAAAAAATATATATAAATATTTGTTTTCTTTAAATTTAAATTGTGGTTAAAGGTAGCTGGTAACCTCTTTAAGACTTTAGTAATTTGACTTAACTTTATGATCCCTTGTATAAACATGTGGGTTAATAATAAGAGCTACTTAAAGCATATTTAGTTTAATAGGTTAAGTCATATTTAGTTTAATGGGTTAATTCATATTTAAGCTTAATATGTTAATATGGTATCGTCACAAGTCCTTCATGGCTCCATTGCCAAACGTCTTCAAAGTGCCAAATATTTGTACGAAATGTGCTTTTGGCTTGCGGAGGTTTTTATTTGCATTCGAGTACATCAGACTTGTTTTATGTGCTGTGTGCAATGTTTTCTTCGTCGGCGGAGGCAATGGTCATGTAATAATGACCAAGTAGTCATCTGGCCAGCACTAACTACTCCATAATTGAAGTGGGCCAGCCGGTTTGCTCTTTTGGCCTTTTCTTTGCCTCTATTTCTAATGTCAATTGCACAATATGTTACAATTTCTTAAGGTTTTATTCGACATTACATGCGACACACTTGGCCGAGATGGTCTTCGTTCTCGGCCACGTTTATGGCCACAACCTCTGCCTTTGGTGTTGTGCCAAAACAAGTTTTTCCATCCGGGGAATCAATTGGATTTTCTAGGCGAAAGTTCAACTTAAGTGCGGATTATATTGCTGTAAATGCCATTGACAGAGAATCGAATGGATTGAATAATGTAATGGATTGGCAGACTGTCAAGTTTGTTCTGGAATTGAGTAGTTGATTGAACCGAATGAATGGAACTTAAACTGCCCACTGCCGGAATCGGATAACTATTTGAATAAATTTGTTTGCACTAATAATGTTCTTGTTATTTTATTTATTTAAAATGAAAGTTCAAGGCTCAATGGCATTTATATAGAAGCTGTTATATGATAGTCTTGCGTATTAGGTATGTTATTCAATTGAGTCATTATTTTAACATATATCAACTAGTTTTTTTATATAAGCTTATACTAAGAAGCTTCTGTAGATATTATGTAGATTTAACTATCCCGTGCCATTTCGAGTATTAAAACGCATTTGATTTGTATATATTTTTAATTACAAGTACTGGTAGTAACAAGTAATACATAATACAATCACTTATTTATAATATGCCCTTGAAATTTTTTCTGCATCATTTATATTGTAATTTTAACTTCATTGTGTAACAAGCATGATGGATTGTAGCTATTTACTTAATTTTTTTTAAAAAGTGTTTTTTGCAATCTGTTAACTAAAGCAAGTGTTCGATTGATTGAATTTGACATCTGTTTGACAGAAGGAGAAAAGTTTTATAAACTACTCGCACCTAACTTACTTTTCGCTGCTACCTGCAGCTTGAAGTAAAGCTTCCTGATTGAAGAGTCAATCTCAAGTACAACTGGTGATTAATTATTGCTCATACGCCATGTGCAACGTGCAACCAACGGCGTGATATCGCCTAATGTCGTCGCCATGGGGAATAAAATAATGAACGACGGGCATGAGAATGCATGCAAACATGGCTTCACATAAATGTAAGGCACTTTGGAAATATTTTATTTCATTTATTAAGAATTTATTTGAATGATAAAATAATATATTCATTCAATTTAGTTGAAGTGCAAAATTAACTGAATGAATCAAATTGAATTTTCAAACTCTCAAGCCAAAGAATTATAATAAAAGGTGGTTGAACTGCGATTGAGTGTAGTGGGTCAAGTCAATATTATGTTTTCACCGAAATCACTACTTTATACCGCACTGTACGAGTAAATAAGTACCCAGAGTTTAGTATGTGAGCTTAATATTTTGTGTACACATTTATCTCGGCGCACACACACATTCACACATCGTGGATACATTGCCACTTCCTCGATGTGTCCCGCATCAATGAAAACTACAGTAGTACTGCTGCGACAAAAACATTAACAACCTCATCATCATCATTACCATCATCAGCAATCATCATCATGATCGGCAGCAGCAGCAGCAGCAGCAACAGCAACAGCAGCAACAACAATTGCAGCTACAACAGCAACATTATGTTGTTGGCGCACAGTGAAAAGCGAAAATTGCCCAACATTGATTGAATAATTTTCCCCTCCAAAAGTCGCCAAAGCTTGGACACGTTTTTGTTTTTGTTTTAGCCTTTTATTTTTCTGTTCCGCGAGAGAGACCGCGCTTTTCCATTCCAAGTCCCCAGGGCAATTTCAGATTAGTCTGCCAGTCAGTCAATGTCCGGGTTTTTATTCAGTCTAAGGGGTTCAGTTTGACTATTGGGATGCCAATTAAGTGGCATGCAACTCTACTTTTGCACTTAAATCAGGCACTTGCACATGGTTAATTCAATTCCAGTTTGCAGATCAGTGTAAGCTACTTGTATGCATAAATGTTTGACCAAATACCAATTAAAGATTAAAATTCTAGTTAGGGATACGGAAGTACTAATTGCTAGGTGGTAAACCAATTAAAATTAATTTACTATCATTGAATAACTACTAGAAATACCAAGCTTTCTACACTTTAATTTATAACGAAATATTTTTTATGCAGCTTGAATAATTCAAACTTGGTTATTATTCTATGCACTGCTAGATTATATAACTTGAATGATTCAGAAGGGATAGGTACGCCGAACTTGGTTATTATTCTATGCACTTCTATCTTATATAACTTGAATGATTCAGAAGGGCTAGTTAGAAGATCAAAGATCACACAATTTCACTGAATCAGTCAGTTCCCATTTCTATTGTTGTGCCGCATTGTAAGTCGCATTTGTCGGGCAAACGCGGTTGGTATGCTAATTAAATTGTGTTAATTAGTTGGAGCCAATTCAATTGCATCAATTAGCGAGCACGTCCCTTTTCCCACCTTTTCAGCTTCTAAAAAAGTGACTCAGCAGACGATCTGGCTAGAATTCACAGATTCGTTCAAGCAATTAAAGATTTGTGTTTGTTTGAGTCGCAGTTTCTATTTTGGCTTGAACCAAACAAATCTGAAATTAAGATTAACAATTTCGGAATGTTTTTGTTGATATTAGTAAAAGTTGTTCCTAGTGAATAGTTTTTGTTTTCGTTCTGGTGTTATTTTCCACAGATAAATGTTTTCGATATTTACGATATGTAAACTGATTATTTATTATGCTGAAGATGTTTACCGATATTATGTTACCTGCTTTTTCTGATTTAAATTTTAAAATTTCCGACAAAAGGTAGAAGTTTGTAAAAACAAAGCATAAATCTGACCCAACAAAAAGTGAAGCGGCAAACCGGGTTTCCGTATTATCGTCTGTAGATCAGTTTCCCAACAAATTGTCACGCCTCATTATGTGACTCACGTAGAATCGTGGGAGCCGCGGTTTACAATGTTTGAGGAGGGGGAACGGTCCGATAAATCAGCCGAGCCAACGTACTGTTGATTATTCGTTGTTTTCGCTGACAGTTGATTATTTTTTTTTTTATTTATTTTTGGTCTTGGCCGCTGCGCGTGCTCAGAACGTGGTGGCCAGAAAGCTGAAAAGGCATGCTCGAACAACACCGGTTAATTGATATGTCGCCAATTGATATGGAGACTGGTTGCCGGTAAACACTTTTTGATAATAGGATTTGTGACAGAAGCCGACTTGTCAGTGACCTTCTTGAATTGGTTCGCGAACTGCAGCTTAATTGTGGAATGAATGTTGATTGATTGCAAGGAGTAACTGGGTCATAAATTGGCAAAGCAAGGGATTTGATTCAACGGAAATATTAGTTTAGCAGTCAGGAAAAACTAAAACATTAAACCACTTTTTAGTTGTTATTAAAATTAGCATCTTTATAGTGAAACAAATTCAATTCGTATTGTAGGTAAATAATAAAGACTTCTCTTCATTAGTAATCTTTGAAGCCAAGAGGGGAACAATTTTTCTTATTAACCATTCGCCCTGTTGGCAACCGAAAACGAAAGTGAATCCCAAGAATCATTTATTGCGTGAGACATTTGATTCCGGCCTTCGGTAACATCGCTTGGTATATAACAGCTGCATTGCTGATAAGAATTCCAGTGGCATTGGCACATATTCAACTCATTTGTGCATTGAGACTGACAGATCGTGAAAAATGCAGGTCAGGTTCGTACGCGATAATGATAATTACTGGGAAAGTAAAAGCCTTAACCTACAGATCTTTGATATTAAAAACTTCCTGCGATTAAGAATTCTTCACCCAAGCCAAATTTAATTTGGAATAAATTATGCGCGTGCGGACACCTTCGAATAATTGTAGTTTTCAGACAGTCGAATTGAATTTGACAGCTGGTTTCAGTTTTGCAAGTCATGTAATTTACTCAAACACAATATTTGTTATCTTCGGAATCTTTTTGCTTCGGAACCATGACTTGATAATAATTATTATTATTTGACTTTTTCCCAGGCTATATTTAACAATCAGATATTCTGAGCTGTAAATATCTATGAATTCCCCAATGAATGAAACTGAAATAATGTTTTCCATTCACAATACTGGGCTGATAATGAAACTTGATATGTTTAATTTATTTCTCTCCGCTTCTTAATATCTCATGTTCTGCGTTATAAGCAATCCGTCTGGCTAAACCAGAAAACAATTTATTCAGACGTAATAAATGGAATATATTAAATACAGAAGACGTTGTTTTTTATGATTCACTCAAACTATCAATTTTTTGTGGATGGTGCTTAGCATATTCGAGTTTTCAGTTAGATTTAATTTACATTAATTTAAGACACTTTATTCTAAATAAACCCAAACAGAAACTTTCCAAGACAAACATGTCATTTGAATACATCTTTTTGAGTAGTGATAAACTTTTCTTATAAAAACAAGTTAATAAGTATTTAATAGATAAAGAACCTTTTCATATTTAATATATTTGTTTAATATAAATTTTTATATGTTATTTTTAGGGCGCGTAACCGGGGAGCGTCAAATTCTGAACGGAGTCAGTGGCAGCTTCCGGAATGGACAACTTTCGGCGATCATGGGACCCTCGGGAGCCGGAAAAAGCAGTTTGCTTAATGCGATTTCGGGTTTCAGGTGAGAACAAAAACCAAACAAACTCGACTGCAGTTAACTTTATGCTTTAAACGTCATCGGTGCTCAAGTGTAACCAAAAAAGCAATAATATTTGAGAGCCGAAAGTTAACCGGTTCTATGTTCAACAAACTGGTGATAAAAGTCATGTTCTTGACTGGATTCTGACTCAAATGCGAAAAGTCAAAAAAGTTCTTTAGGGTTTGAGGGGTTGCAGACAGGCAAACAAATGTCTGTAGTCATTTGATTCCATTCTGGACCAAAATAACCTTGAGACTAATGCTTTGTCAGAATATGTTGGAAATTTACCGACTTAAATAGAGTTGAAAAATCTGACAAGTCACGGATCTACGTGGTATATAAATAGTTCTGAAAAGGTTGTCCAGTTTGTGCTGGAAATTTTAAGATTTTGCTGGTCGTCAAGCGAAATTGTTGTTTGGAGTCTGAAGGGAAACCAGACAGAAAAAACAATAGAACCATCAAAAGAATTGGAAAATCACTTATGGAATCCAATCATCTGTTATTTGTCTATAAACTTTATATAGTTTATTAGTTATTTTTTACAAATTTATTTTATAATTACAATTTTTAAACTATCGTTTGTATTTATATTAAAAAAAATATTTAAAATCCATTGATCATATATTAAGATATATTTGGATAGTACTTATATAGTTTTAAACAATTCTTAATGAATTAATTTTTTTTTAGACGCGATGGAGTCACGGGAAGTATTAAGATCAAGAGGGACAATGCCTGTTATATCACTCAGGACGACCATCACCAAACTCTTTTAACTGTGGAGGAGCTAATGAATCTCGCCTGTGATCTCAAACTGAAGCAGCGCCACAAAAAGGCAGAAATCATGACAGACATCCTTGAGAATCTCAACCTGAATCACCGGCGAAATGTTACAGCGGAAAAGTTGAGTGGCGGAGAGCGAAAGCGATTGTCCATCGCCTTGGAATTAGTGGACAATCCCAATATATTTTTCCTGGATGAACCAACCAGTGGTCTGGATGAGGTGACCGCAGCCCAGTGCATCCGATTGCTGCAGGCGATGGCCTACGAGGGTCGCACGATCGTATGCACCATCCACCAACCTTCGGCGACAATCTACAACTACTTCGATAGCATCTATGTCCTGGCCAAAGGACACTGCGTTTACCAGGGCAGTCCTCGGGCCACCATTCCATTTCTAAGATTGGCTCAGCTCGACTGTCCCATACATTATAGTCCCTCGGATTACAGTGAGTTTATTTCATTTATTTTTAAAGAAAACAACAAATAAGGATAATAAGTATTTATCTCAAACTAAAATCTGTTTATTTTGTGTACGTTTTAATGTTTGATTGTGTTATAAAACTTTAAACTGAATTTAAATAAAAGTTCTATTTCTATTTAATACTAATAACGACTTCATATTCCTACAAATCGTACCAAATTTAATAATTTATATAACTCTCCCTTAATATTTTGTAGTTATTGAACTGGTGGATGCGGAGGATGGCCACCTGGTGCCAGGACTCAGCGACCTAACCGAAAATGGCAAGCTGATCTACGCGGTAAATGCGTCGGATCAGTTGGGAGCCACGCTGACATCTCAGCAGGCGGTGACCACGATGTTCGTGGAACAGCAGAAGCGTCCGTTCCTGCCCTCCTTTTTTGCCGGCAGTGCCGCCTCCACGGATGGTTCACTAATTGGCGGCACGAGTGCGCTTGTGGAACAGGTTAAGGCCTTCTCCCGGCGACTCAACTCGGATCGACGGGATGTATCTGGAGTGCGGCAGTTCATGGTGCTCATGAGGGTGATGCTGCTGCGGATAACCCGTGCCCGTTTGGCCCTGACCATCCAGCTGTTCCATCATTTATTGTGTGGCTTGTTCTTTGGCTTGATATTCTTCCAGTTGGGCAACCAGGGTGCTCGGATGTTCGATCACCTGAAATTCTGCATCGGTGCTGTTCTTATGATTGTGTACACCCAAGTGATGGTGCCCATTCTGAGCTGTAAGTTATTCAAATCCCACTCCAAAGTATCTTACTTATTTCATATTTTATGCTGAAGATCCCGCTGAGGTGAAGGTGGTCAAGAAGGAGACCTTCAATCGCTGGTACACCCTGACCCCTTACTATATGGCATTGACGATATCGCGTCTGCCACTTCAGGTGCTTTTGAATATCACCTTCATGGCGGTCACCTACTATATGTCCGGATTGCCACAGCAGTTTTGGCGCTTTGGAATTTTCGTGGCCGTGGGCTTGATGATCTCTCTGGTTGCCGAGGGAATGGGATTGGCCATTGGAGCCACCTTTAGCATAACGGTGAGTTCATCTTCTTAAGGAATTGTACCAGTAACCAGTAACATCAGTTTTTTAAATATTTTCCCTTCAAAAAGTATACTTTTGGGCTCAAGCAATCTTGGCTAAAACTTTCTGTTCTCTAATCTTTGCAGAATGGCAGTGTGGTGGGTCCCATGATGATAGCACCTCTTATGGGACTGGCGGTCTACGGATTCGATTTCGCACCCCAAATCTCCGGAGGAATGCAACTTCTGATGAAGTTCAGCTACGTGCGAGTGGGCGTGGTCTCTCTTGTTTTGGCCGTCTTCGGATTTCATCGAGAGGAGCTCGACTGCGATGAAATCTACTGCCACTTTAGCGATCCCCGCGTGCTTTTAAAGTTTTTGGACGTGGAAAAGGTTTCCATGCTGCACCAGTTCGGGCTGCTGGCCATGCTGATGCTCTTCTTCCGGGTGATGATGTACATCAGCCTGCGAAAGAGATGCTACACCTGATTTTGCAACCAAAACACCAGATGAATCTTAATCTCTAATTGTAGCCAATGTCAATGCTGTGATGTTCGATTTTAAACAGACAGATAGATACTCCCTGTACATATGTGAATATACACCATTCCCCTGACAAGACAAATGTTAACATAAATATAAGTTAGTTTTAAGTTAGAATACTAGTTGACGCCTGCAAACATATCGAAATTAAAAATAACAGAGCGGAGCCTAAAATCAATGATGTCGAAAACAAGCAATTATCTTAAATGAAATTTAGTTAGCCGACTTATTTTTTGATCTTGTTTAGAAGGCGACCATATTTTGTATAGTTTTCGTGGGTAAAGTAAAGTTATACAAATTTGACAAGAATAAAACTAATGTCTTGGATATTTAATATGATTTATTGCGTCGTTACAAAAAGTGTTATAATCTAAAGGCCAACACAAATGGAGATATAAAAACCCACATTATTCGTTTTCTGGTTTGGGATTGGCTTCTAGAGTATTACTCCGAATGGCTTTTAGAAATTCCAAATACTGTTTCTTCCGCCAAGTAACTTTGTCCCACGAAAGATCCAACATGTTGGAAAGGCTAGAGAACAACGTATAGGACATTTTGTTTTTGAAAACAGCTTTCAGTGCGTAATACTCATCTTTGGTGGTCACCTCGTCAATGAACGGAGTGAGAATGTCCTGGACTTCCTTGTTGGAAAAGCTAAGAATGGCTTGTTAATTATTCTCTATTGGATAGAGTATTCATTTAGCACCCACCTGCGCAGGATTTCCTCCATTTGGTCATTCAAGAACTGAGTGCCCAGGTGATGACCCAGTGGGGTTCTCAATACGGCGGTAAAAAGACCCACGACTAGTGATTTGGGAACCTTATTCTCGTCGAGGGCCCAGTTGAGCAACTTCTGCACAGCCCAATACTCCGTGGTGCAGCTGAGGGAGCGCAGTAGGATACCCTTCTCCTTCTCCTCCGTGGCTTCAAGGTACATGTCCCGCACTGTTATCCAATCCTTCTCCAAATTGTTACGGATACCCCTGCAAAGGACTATTTCTCGTATGTCCTCCGGAATCGAGGAGCTGGATTTTTGATTTATCGCCGACTTATAGAGGTTTTGTGCATCGGTTACGCAATCTTCAATATCAAATTGGCACGCCAAGCGGTAAATAATTCCTGGCAATTTGTTGTTTGTCTCTGATTCACTTGATTTTGATTCAGGGTCACTCGGTGTTTCAGGATTTGTCCTGGCTTTCGACGAAAGGGATTTCACTGTTGTTTTAAAAGTAGGCTCAACTAGTTGCTGCATGAAAACCTGGAAAAATAATTTATAAAAAATCTTTTTACTGCATTGATAGTAATCAAAGTCACCACCTTAAAGATGCGATATCCAGTACTCAATCTCATGATGTTGTGGATTTTTTCGAAATTCTTTATTGCCATTTGCCAAACGCTAACGCTGGTCTCGCTTTTAAGGTACTTAATAACTCCTATGGAGGTGTTATATTCCATTTGACCTGACCAGGCCAACGCGAGGGCATCGTCAACCAACTGGGCTCGCCCCGCCTCCGGAATCTGGTTGTGATCGTGGAGCAGTGCCTCACTGATCAGCTGCCAGTTGTCCATGTCATAGAGGACACGCACTGGTGCTGCAGCCCCTGTGTTCACCAGCAGCCACTCGTTCGGTTTGGGGACGTTGGTCAACTTCAGTTCATTCGGTTTGTTCCTCTTCCCACAACCGAGCCACTCAACTTGATACAGCTCCACACTCTTGGTGATGTAGATGACGGGCAGCCACCAGCATTCTTTGCCATTAGGCGGGGATTTACCCTGATAATAGCGGCTCTGAATGGTGGTCACCGTGTTGGACTGATCGTCGCGCAGGACGGTGAGCAGCGGGTATCCCGGTTGATTCAGCCAAGAGTCCATCACGGTGGTCAAGTCGATGCCGGCGGGCAGTTGGTGACCTCGGCGCCCCGCTTTTTGGAACTGCTCCCACAGTTGCTTGGTTGTTGCAGCCGACCCGCTCCACTTGTGAAAGAAGTCTTGCAGTCCCTCGAAGAAGACCTTTTTGCCGACGGCCGAACTAATCATGTGGATGAGCAGGCACATCTTATCCTTGCGCAGCTTCTGGTGTCTGGATGATCTCGAGTCTGTTTTGAGTGCCATCGTGTCGTCTAGCGAATCGTAATGCATAACATCCAGTCGGGTTGTCAGCAGATGGGCCATCTTGAGGGTGTCCTTGTTCTCCATGGCCATTACATGGAGTGCCAGATAGTAGTTCAAGCCGTCGCTGACATAGGATGTTTCCGATTCCGCAGCGCCTACCAGAACTCCGTTCCACTGACGAGCCAAGAGCTCGGCCAGCATTGCCTGCATATCTTCTGGTCCTTTATCGCTTGAGGTCACCTCACCCTCGCCATAGATCAACAGACCCTTGCTGCTATCCACATCCGTGTACTCAGGGAGGACGACATGATCGTAACTGCCGCCCCAATCAATTTTGCCTGACAACGGACGGTTGAGCAAGGTTTCATAGCTACGGAGCAGTTTTGTGGTTAACTCCGCCGCCTTTGATAGCTTCTCCGTCAAGTGCGGTCTTGCCCACACAGTCACATTGCCGCCCGTTGCAACTTTCTGAAGGCGGTGTAGAGTCCACATGACCATGTGAGTTGGCAGTGGCGGTGTCTGCATGAAAGTAGTCCAAACATAATCATTGATTTCCGCACTGCGAGGAAACAAATAACAAATATAGATTTATAAATATTTAAATACATTTAAGAGAATATACTTACTGTGGTGTCAGCTTAATAGCGGGCATATTGCTGAGGGCAACATATTTTTGATTGTGCACAAGGGTAATGTTGAAAGGGGTCCGGTAACGCGGGTTTTGGAAGCAGGGAAACGCGTAGTGTGCGTAGTCCGGCGACAAGCGAGTTACTCCGTACAACTCCCTAGGTGTTTTATTGTATTGACCGACAAAGAAGCCAATCCGCTCTGGTCGATTCAGTCCCGCAGTGAAGTACATGTGCAGCGTGTAAACCTCGCCGACGTTGAAAAAATGTGTGCATGTTAACATTACCTCATTGGGTTTCTTCGCGGTTCTTTGTATTTCCCTCACATCGATTCGCCCCCACTGGCATATCGCACAATCCAGGTTTTCTTCACATTTAAGCTCAACTCTCGGGGGGCGTTCAAATAAATAGTATTGCTCCTCTGCTTCGACAACATTTTGATGGCCATCACGCCCTCGTACCGACTGTCCGAAATTGGGTTAAACAAGTGCGCGAGAATGGTTAGATTGTAATGCAGCGGTTTCATCGTGGATTCTGCGACATTTCCCGATGACAAACTCCAGCACAATACAAGTGTCCACAGCAACATTCTGAACGCGAATGCATATAATCCGCAGCAGCTTCAGTTTTGTAGTGTCTCCGAGTAATGCCAAATTTCACGCATCTTGGTTCTTAAGAGAGACCTAATCAGTAAGAGAACTACTTCCGTAAAAAGAGGAAATATTGTGGGTGAGAAACTACACTGGTAAATGCGATTACAGAAGTACCTTGCTGGCATTTTAATTCTTTTCTTTACAGAATAACTAATTTCACAGAAAATTAGTTTATTTACAGGAAAATGATCTTAACCTAAAGTGCACTACGGTTTTTATACGGCAATTCAAATGGTTAAAAGTTACTTGAATTATTGGGTTACAAAAATAACAACATGTTCATATTAAAATTTCTCTACGAAGCAATTAAGTTAAAAAGAAGTGAAATTATAAAAACTAAAACTCACTGAAATAATAACTCTATTTAGAAATAGATATTCTACTTCTTCATGCTGCCCATTTTCTCCTTGCGTTTTTTCACGTGCTTTTTCACTTTCACCTTGCGCTGCTCCGCCTTTGCATCTTTTACGGCCTTCTTCCGCGCCTTCTTGCTGTCCGGAGATTCCTCCCTCGGTCTTGCTGAATTCTTAAAGCGGCTGCCATCATCGTCGTTTTCCTTATCCTGCGAGTCCTCGTCTTCGCTACCGCTGGTTTCTGCATCACTACCCTCCTCTTGTTTGGAAGATGCAGGTTCCAGGACATCAGGCTGCTGCTGCACATCCAGATCCGATGTCAACCCGGTGATCTTGCCGTAGATGAGATTTTGCTGCACACCCTGTTTAGCCTTTGCCACATCGCGCTCAAAGTGACGAACCTATAAAAAGGGTTCTATTTAAGAAACCGACTTTGGGTAAGAAACTGAATGGGAAAACCTACCTCATCCAAGCGCTTGGGTATGTATGTGTTTTGCCACACAGCCTCGTCGATTTTTTCCTGAGCCGAGATGGCATCAAAGTCACGGTCCTTAATCCGTTCTGAGATGCGTTCCAGGCACTCCTCCATGTTGTCCACGGTAATAGTTTGGTCGGTAATAAAGTCAAACAGTTCCTTGACAGTCATCGTGGCCACCGCTCGCTTGCGGAAGAACTCAGATATATTGGTGCAGTCCTTGCGCAGGAAATCAAATGAATGTGGATGATCGTGCTCCACCGACTGGCTCACATCGATAATCACCAGCTGGCCGTCCTGCAGCAAGATGTTGAACTCCGAGAGATCGGCGTGCACCAAGCGGCACTGATTGTAAATGCGCCACATGATGACCACACAATCCCTGTACAACTCGCGCGCCTTTGAAGTGCTCAGCTCAACGTCCTTCAGCTTGGGAGCGGGCCAGCCGTCTCGACCGCAAAAGCGCATTACCAGGACATGCGAACGCAGCAGGATTGGCTCCGGCACTGGAACTCCAGCGTTGCGCATCCGCAGATAGTTACGCATCTCCTTCTCCGCCCAGGTGCGCACCATTTTGCGCGGATTGTGCTTGCAGTAACCGTGCCGGAAGCGGAACTCTCCGGACACATACTTGTCGCGGTCCTTGAACACCAGAATCGAAGTCTTGTAGATCTTGATGGCGAACTCCTCGTCACCGTTTTTAGACACAGCATGGTAGACGTTGGCCTCCTTACCGGTCGAAATGCATCCGTTGATCTCCTGTATGAGGCCACGATTGAGCAGCTTGAAGAGTATCATCCGGGTGCGCGGATCCATCACCTGTTCGGCGGTTGCCCGATCGTGTTTGTCGCGCACTTGCGTTCGATCGCGCCGATCGAAATTCACCAACCTGTTGGCCGCCTGGGCGCTCATATTCGTGGTGGGATCATACTTCTCAACGTTGATGCGAGCAGAGTAGCGGCGCAGCAGTTTTTCGTTTGGCTGATAGCTGCTGACGCGTTGTGGGCCACCACCTCCTCCTCCTCCGGATCCGCCACCACCTCCACTAGCGTTTGTTAGCTGCGGTTGAGTGTGGAGCTTGTTGAAACCCGTGTAGGCCTCCTCGTAGGTATCGTAGTCATCACCCACATCGTCATAGTCTTCTTCATCGTAGTCCTCGGCCTCATCGACGTCCTCCTCCTCCTCTTCGTTATTGGGTTCTATAACTTGGGCCAGGTCATCGTTGGCCTCCTTGGGCGTCAGCTTTATGTCCTTGAAGATTTCGTGTTTCACTGTAAGGTTCTTGAAGTCCTTAACCCATTCAGACTGCAAAAATTAAAATAATAACACGGTGCTCCTAACATTGGATAATTTTGCTTACGTTCTGTAGGTCTTCTTCATCTTCCTCGGCGTCGCTGTACTTGTGCTGGTCGTCGTTCATCGTAGACATTCAGAAATTAATTCAAGTTTATGAGGTATTTATAGCGCAGAAGCTTGAAAAGCCACAAAACAAATTTCGCAAACTTCTAAAAGCGCTAAAATTTCACAAATGTGTTCAACCGCACGTGTTGCGATTGCCATTCACAGTAAAGCGTTGACATTGTTTTGGTATTTTCCACCCATTCGATATCATGTTTAAATATTGAAGTAGTTTTTAGTATTATTTATTTGATGGTGTGACCGCATACGCACTACACATGGTAATTCGCATTCAAAACAATGAACGACCATTAGTTTTTAAATCTTTATTTAAAAAAATTGGATGATATGTTCGTGCTGGCCGAGCTGAAGGACAATGTGCGAATTGCGCCGGACCAGTTCCACTTAAAATTGGTGGACGCAGTGCGCGACGAGATAGACCGCAAGTTGGCCAACAAGGTGGGTTGAATGGGAGTCCCATTTGAGGAGGTCCTAATTTCTCGTTTCTTGTGTACTGCAGGTCCTGCTAAACGTTGGCCTGTGCATTGCGCTCAAGGACATCGTCTCCCTAAAGGACTCTATCATCCTTCCGGGCGATGGAGCCTCACACACTGAGGTGCTCTTTCGGTACGTGGTTTTCCGACCGATGGTGGGCACCGTGATTACCGGAAAAATACGGAACTGCAGCCGAGAAGGTGTCCATGTGACACTCGGCTTTTTCGACGACATCCTTATCCCACATGCCGCCCTGCAACATCCCTCCCGATTCGATGAGGCCGAACAGGCCTGGGTTTGGGAATATCCACTGGAGGATGGCGCCAAGCACGATCTCTTCATGGACGTGGGCGAGCCCATCAAGTTCCGGGTATCGCGAGAGATCTTTGAGGAGACCTCACCCATTGGACCGCCCAAGGCAGAGGCTCAATCGCAACAGGGACCCAGCACATCATCAGCAGCTTCTGCCGCTTCACAAGAAGTCAAGACACCGTACAGGATTATTGTGAGCTACTTTTTGTCTTATAAAGGCTTTATCCTTATACGAAACCACTTGCTTACAGGGTGCCATTAACGAATCCGGCCTAGGCGTACTCTCCTGGTGGGATCAGCAGGGCAAGGACGACGAACAAGACGAAGAAGACGGCGACGAGTATGACAACGATGAGGATGGTGAAGGCGCTTGCGAGGAATGACCCTGACGTTTACTCAACTGTATGATAATTGCATCCGGTTTTATTGTTAAGTTGTCGATTTCCAATATTAAAACAAACAAATGTTGGACCATAAAGTTTTATTTAAGACTGACAAGTCATCAGACTTTTTTTTATACCGCTTCAAAGTTATTTTCCCAACTTTTTCCCCATTAAAACAATTCATTCAAATTCATTTTACCATTTATTTATTTTATCATGTACTTGTTGAATTGTGTTTGTTGTTGGTTTAAGACTGCAGTTTCCAATCTTCATTTGCTTAATGTTCATGATGAAACTCTCTCACATTGGAATTAAAAACAAAGCATTTACATTAGGTTTGAATGTGAGGGTTTTGCTTAATGAGGAGAGCAGCTTTAACGTAAGCTAGATATATAGAGTATCTTTGACGGCCAGAAGTCGATTGTTTCATGATTCGCACCTTGACAACAATTTACTAAACATTGTGTTAAATATTGACTTCATTGCTAGCGTGCATTTTCTGTCACCGAATCCTTGCTTAAAATACTTTCAGTTGCCGTAAGTTAATTACAGATTAGTCATATGGTACAATCGAAGTAAGGTTTCTCTGGTCAGGGGCTGCAAAAGTCTAGGATTTGTAAATTTCAATTGCAAATTCAATCAAAAGCTGTCGGCAACATTTGCACGTTTCCGCAACACTCGTAAATATTTTTGAATTTTCTTCTTTTGTTTGTTTTGCTTCTTTGAACTAATTTAATTTAATTGCATATTTTGATTCACTTTGTATTTTGTGTTTTGTATTTCTATTTGTTGTTTGTTCGTCTTTTGGGCGCAATGTTTTGTTTTAAATCTTTGTGTTGTTTGTTTGTTTGTTTCCTTTTCTCAGTAATTTACACGTAGACTGCATGTTTAGTTACAGCGAGAGTAGTAAATAAAACGTTCGTTAAAAACTACAATAATATAAATAATGTATATTTATAAATATAAATATATATAATTATGTATTTGTATATTAGACATATTGGTATTGCATGTAAATAAATATCATCTTCGGGTCTTTTGTGGTACATCATCGTCTTAAACAGATCAACTTAACTAAGTTCCGTATCAAATCACAGCAGAAATCAAAAAAAGTCTAAAACTATAAGGGATAGAGTACAGTGTTGAAGGAAAGTTAAAGTCACATAGCACGCGAGGAACTTGCCGACTGGAGGTTAAGTTAACCAAAATTAGCATACTCGAATACTCGAATCCAAAACGAAAATCACTGCTCCGAGAGCTCCATCGGGATCGTCGGTCCGGTCGGTCCATCCGGTCCATCGATTATTCGATGATCAGGCAGCGGGGCAGGTGTTCCTTCAGGTAGTCAAACAGTTCGTGCGACGCCCCCGGGCAGTTGGTCAGCTCCAGCTCCTGCAGGTGCCTCAGCTGGATCAGGCTGGACAGCCCCGAGGAGGTGAGCAGCGGGCACCCGGCCAGTGAGAGCACCTGCAGGTTGCGCATCGAGCAGAGGTGCTGCAGCCCGAAGTCGCGCACCTGGGAGCACCAGCGCAGGAAGAGGGCGGTCAGCGACAGCATCGTGGAGATGTAGCCCACGCCAATGTCCGTTATGTGCACACACCTGAAAAGGACACGCAAGAGGATCCATCGATTATTATTAATTATTAATAACATAAAAGGTAAGAAAATCATTACAAATTTAGTTTTTGTATTTATTTAACCAGTAATATTAAACGCTCTTATAAAACTTCTTTTCACATCATTGATATTATTAAAATAATTAAGCTTGAACCCATCGGTCAGTTTTAAAGCTTTCTGTTGATATTTTTCCATGAGTCTGACATAAAAACAGATTAATTAAATAAAAAACCGATGACAACGCCTGAAAAAAAAGTCCCAAAACTTTATTCGAGGCATACAGTCAAACTTCTAACACTGAAATAATATTTATTTAATATTAACTATATTAACTAGTTCCGCTTATTGGTAATTAAAAATATAGTGTTTCACTGATTTATAGAGTGGTAATAATTTCCAAACTAAGGTCGTTTCCTTTTCAGAGGTACTATCAACACAAAACAATTAAATATTTTCTATGTGTACTGATAATGGTTTCTTCGAAACAAAATGTCATGAAGATCAATTGCGATTCAAGCTCTGCGTTAAACTTGTGATTCATTCGCTTCGTGTATCTCCTAAGATGAAGACGTTCTCTGCTTGGATTCCTTTGTTTGTTTTGTTGCTCGGCCACCAGGCTGCTTCCCAGTTCCTGGAGCCATCCTGTGGATTCGTACTCAATCCCAATAAGAATGGTGGAGTTACACAACCTTCTGCCTGGATGGCATCCATAAGTAATGCAACACAATTTCTATGTGGAGGCTCGTTGATTCATAGACGTACGTTATTGATTATGGAATAAAAAATTGCTTGATAACAACTAAGAATCTTTGCAGGCTTTGTTTTAGGTGCTGCTCATTGCATAAATGGCCAAACAAGTCTGTAAGTAACACAAACAAACTAACTAACATAGATCTTAAATGCCAGAGTTTTTTAGTTAAAAACTTTTCTTTTAAATGCGAAAATAAGATTAAAATGTTTTCAAATGTATTAATACACAAATGAATAATAATAACTGAACCGGTTTTATTTTTCACAAAAAAAAAAAAAAAACTTTTGAGGTTTGTTTTATCAGCAAAGTATGCAATACTGAACTGAATTTAGAGTATTTTAAATTTTGTTCATTAAAGATACGTAAATTTGGGAGATGACACTACTACGCAGGAAAGGCATTCCTATACAGTAACATCGGCTATAATTCATCGACTGTTCTCCGAAGAAAATCTCGAGAGTGATATAGCTCTGCTAAAGTTGTCGCACAGCGTCGACTTTAGTGGTAAGTAAATGATCATAAAGAATGTTCAGTTGAAAAAAGATTATTAACATATTTCTTCACAGACAAAATTTTTCCAATATGTATAGTGTTGGACACCTCTATTAAGAGCTTTGTGCAGATGACACTAAAGTTCAATACCTATGCAATTGATCCAAATAGTAGTGGTGAAGATTTTTTAAGAATTACCATCGATCATCTAAATCCAAAGCAATGCAAACAAATAATGGCTGTTGGTCCCAATTCGAATCAGATATGTGTAGCTTATCCGAGTCCGCAGATCGAAAATGTCGATTCCGGGAATCCGTTAAGTCAACTTCTAATTCTTGATCCAAGCACAAACTCGTATCGCGAAGTTCAAGTGGGGATCGCAAGCAGAATCAACTCCATTGGAACCGGTTTTTATACTGATGTGGTAGGCTACGGGGCCTGGATTTCAGAAAAAATAAAGGATGCTGACACTGAGGACTTGCCCGAGACAGTCCAACCAGGACCAACAAGGCCAACTGAAGCTCACAATTCGAGGAGTCCATCAGTGGCTCAGAATCAGGGAATCTGGTTGTATAGCGACTGCGGTGGTTACAACTTAGAATCGTACTTGATGGCAGAAATTCGTGGAGCTAACTACTTTGCCCACGGTGTCTTTATTACAGACAGTGAGTGCCTTTTCCTAAATTCTAAACTACTATTTTCCTTATTTCTGAAACTACATATAAACTCTTTTTTTGTTTGTAGGGTTTATCATTACAATCGCCAACGGTTTGCCGAATAATATGTAAGTAGCATTGCACTCTGAAACTACTAGAATTTTTTGATAGCTTTATTTATTTAGCAGAAAAGTGATTCCGATGGGAGTTAATACATATCCATACCCTTCCGTAGCCGTTGACTCGATCAATATTCATCCGAGTTTTTCAGGCGATTACCAGCACAACATTGCGTTGATCAAACTGAGGCAACCAGTTAACATAAGTAATATGTTTATTTTGTAATCCAGTCATTTTGACCAACTAAGAATTCTTTTGCAGATGGCTTGAAACCAATCTGTTTGATACGAGCAGCGAAGAAAATGTTTCAACGGGGCTTAGAATCTTCCCCGCCTTTTGCATTCCATGATGCCGTATTAACTGAAACAAAGCAAATCATATCCACCCGGAATGTGGAACTCGCAAATCCCGCCGATTGTTCAACTAATCAAAGTGTTCTCGGAGAAAGTCAGCTCTGTGTGCCATTTCCTCCCGTAATGAATCAACTTTATGGATACCGAGGCGACGTATTGGGCAAACAGATGATGTATTCGGGAAAAGAATGGTTTGCCTTGTTTGGCCTGGTCAGTTATACTACGGATAGAGCTTTCGTTCTCACAAATGTTATGAAGTATTCCGATTGGATAGAGCATGTTATAACGAATACTTAATAACTGCTTACAAAGTCTTTCTATTCAAAATATTTTATCAATTCTTGTTTAATCTATTTTTTGGATTTTTAACAACAACAACTTTGCTTCGGGAAAAAGAGAAGATTTTAATTGAAAACAAAATAATTGCTAAAACATTTGATATTATAAGTCTATGCTATCCCTTTCTTTTCATTAATCTCATTCATAACTATGCTTTTTAATTAAAAATATATTATATTTCACGTATATATAAAATATTTGTGCAGTGTATGAGTGGAAATATTGATGATATATACTATTATTAGATTAGATTAAAATCACTAACATATAATGGGACTTTTAACAGGCCTACGGATTTTTAACAAATGAGTTCATATCTTTTTCCTAATTATTCTGAAGGCAGTTCAATAATCAACAAACTTTAGTTAGTATTTTAAAAGGCGATTCTAAATAGTAACTACGCTATTTATTTAACAGACAAGTGAAAAAAGAGTACAACTTGTTTTTGGTAAGTGCAATTGGCTTCAGTTTTGGCCAACTAATGGTTTGCCGGCGGAGATGAGGTTGAGTCACTAGGCGACGGAAATTGAATTTTTCTCATGAATAATTAGGGCCCAAAGGGGACATTGGAGCACAAGAGGGAAGCACTCACCTATCCAGCGTGAGCTCCTCCAGCTGGTTCAGATCACAGGCGATATACTCGAGCGAGGCGTCCGTGATGCGGGGACACCAGGAGAGGTCCAGGGCTCGCAGCTTCTGCAGGTTCTCGGCAATCAGCTCCACGCCGTCGTCCGTCAGTTTGCTGCACCCGGAGAGGCTGAGCACCGTGAGATGCGGCAGGGAGTGCACTGCAATCGGAGGAGAAGAACGGCAGTTTGGCATTAGTTTCGGGCCCAGGCATCAGCTGGGGAACTGGCTCCTCGGCTGCGGAGAATTCGCCTCACGTAGCCGGCTGCAGATGCTCCACTTTGTAGGGAACACGTCCCAGGAAATGGGGTCTCTGCAGTCGGCCGGAGAAGTGTGTTCGTGTGGCTAATGCCTCCCAGGAGTTGGCCCCATTTAAACTCAAACTTTAAGTAGGCATTGAGTATGAAAACTTAGTTGTTCGCCCATTAAATTAACGCAGTAATCACCCAAATAAAGTTCGGCCAAAATTGAATTCATGTCCCCTGGGTTGCGTAAACTTTAATTATTTTTTGGTTAAATATGTGTTTCAATTTTAAAGAAGTCATGTTTTCTTTATAAAAATATATACTTTGTAGGTATAAAATCATGTTTTCTTTATAAAAATATATACTTTGTAGGTTAGGAACTTTAATGGAAGGGAACCTAATAAAATCTTTTAAGAACAAAATAAAAAGAGTTTTAAATCTTGTCAATGAAACTCATTAACATATATTTTGTTGGATTCTTAAATCAAAAAATGTCTTGAAGTAAACTAGAGTTCCTTCAAAAGTAAGTATGTACATATATAAAACCCGAATGCAATATGAGTGGTAATTAGGTTTTGTGGTTATTCATAAGATTGCAACACCAAGAACCTATTTACATGAAGCTATTTACTTGCTCCGGATTTGTTGCCAAGCTCTATTCTGTCTTGAGATAGACTAATGTGTCATGTATCTAATTACCACGGCTATTTAAGGCCCACAGAGCCAACTGCTGTTCTAGTTAAACAGAGAGGCTGTTTCTCAGCTCGTTCCATTTGTGTCGACTTCAGTTTACTCTGCTCCACATTTCGCCTTGTCACTTTTGGCTTGTTTGTGCTGCTTTTCCTTTGCGAATCACGGATTATTTGTCCTTTCGGGGGATAAAGGCACAATGCCCTGTTTACTTGGATAAGCTTTGGGTTTGGAGCATGTGGGGAATATTAGAGGACAATTGAAGAAGAATAATGGCACAAACTTCTTTAAAGTTTAAAGAAAAGTCTGATACCCTCTTTCAATGGTACGCGCAACGATATTTGGGCAAGAAACCATGTTGTTGTTGTTTCATAAATTTTAATACAATTTTAAGATTCTAATTTTCAAAAGGCAAATATTCATGTAAAGATAAATCCGTGACAAGTCATAGTTGTCAACTCATTGCCTTTATTTGGCCTCCTTAATGATAGTCAAAGGTAAAAACCCCAAACAAATAAATCAAACTCAATGGTTTGTTGATGACGTCAATATTTACATTTCCCTGTGTTGTGGAATTTCGAAGAGTTGTTTTGTGTTGCTTTGTCATTATGGATTACCAATAAATGATAATGTATAACTTATAATGTGTAATGGAAGCACACAACTGCAATTACCGTTCGTAAGCCGCTTAGACTTTGCTAATGAGAATTAGGCATATTTTCCCTTGGTGAAAAGCGAGAGGTAGTTGGGTTTAAGGCGGAAGAGGAGGCCACGTGCTGCGGCTGCGTAAACAGAGATAAAAGCACCCAAAGAAAACAAACTCCAGGCAATATAATGCGCTGTGTGTATATGTGTGTGTGTTTGCGGGAAACTCCCGACCCCATTATCATCCCCAAACACTTTGTCCCCATTCCAGAGTTGAAAGAAGTCGAAAAATGCAGGGTCCGGTCAACTAAGCCGCTTTGTATTCACTTAGAGTCACTCCATATTCACCTTAGAATCACTCAGAAAAAATATAATGACAACTAAGGCATATTAAATAGAAATATAAATTGCTTTAGTTCGAAATAAACAATTACTGTGGCTGTTATTAAACGTTAATCATTTTCAGTTTCTAATCATTAAGCTCCTAAAAAAATAATAATATAACAAAAAGTAGTACAGCATTCCCTGACTAATATTTATATAAATGAATTATAATAGTTTCCAGTTTGGCCAGTGCACTTCTATCTATAAGTACGCAAGTAGGTGGGTGTGTGCCCCACTTTGGTTACCGCCACATACTATACTCACATACTCAGAAACTTAGATACTTGCGAGGAGCTGTGAAGCGCTCCTCTTGTTTGGCTTCTGACCAAAAAAACCACAAGGCCTACGAAAAGCGATTTGAATTACAAAATATTCGCCAACGAGCGAATCCACGCAAAGATAACCGCGATACTAGCTCCTGGGCCAAATGGAAAGCCAACGCAAACAGCGATCTGAATGGGGGCCTATGAAAAATTAACACAAACAAATCGCTGTGCTCAGCCTTTCTGTTGACTAACCCAGCTGAAGCGAAGCTTTTATGTGCTCTACATAAAAGAACCTTTATTTTTAGAGTTTAAATTTTGAATTTCAAAAAGTGAATCGAGAACGAAGCGAAAGGAAATTATTATTAGTCCATGACAAAATGTTTTTATTGTCTGAATTCGTTTGTACCAAAGATTACTTAATATTTAAAAAAAAATATATATTAAAACTTACTTCACAAAATTAATAAATAAGTGCTGTTTACATGGGACTTAAATAATAAGTGGGAATCTAATTTTAAAGTTTATATAAATAACCCACAGATAGTTACATTCACTTCTGATAAAGTTCCCACAAACTGTCTCTTCAATTGTCTTAATCAATTTGAATGTGCTGCTTGGGTATCTGATTTGGAGTATAAATTCACCGCCTTATCCCTCCATTTAAGGAATAGCAGCATTTGTAAAAATCCCTTTTTATCTGGATGATTGTGAGCGAAGGAATTGCAAAACCATTGCATATTCAGTTGTAATCGAGGGGGCGGCTGGAGGCGTTCGGCGTTCGCCGTTCGGGGAGAAGCCACAGCAGTGACAATAACCGTAACGCTGACGACCAACTTGGCTAACGCGGGAGGGCTCTTGGCCAAGTTACCAGGCGACGGCAGCTCCTCAAGGAGCTAACTGTAATTGTATCTATCAAGCGACGGATGCAGTACAATCCGCAATGGCAACGGCGACGCCCCAAAAGCTAAAAACCGCAAAAAACATCCAACGACAAAGGCGCCTCTGTGCACACAAACATCTAGTGCAGGCAGTGAAGCTTCATTAAAGGGAACTAATAACAAATAATTGATAAATAAATAAATCTAAAACGCTTAATAGGTTACAACATAATTATTTCAAAATTTAAAAATGATTTTTAGGAGAACTTTTTAAATTGGGAAACAAGACTTAAACACCAATATTTTTACCAAAATGCTTTATGAGTAAAAACTAAGTATACTTTTTAAAAAAAATTATTGTGATATTTCTTTCAATAATATCTACTTTAAAGCAAATAATAATATTAATAATAAATACTGATTATTATATAAAAGTATTGTTTTTATTTAGCCCTAATAAACAGGAAGATCTTTATTTAATTTTTGGTGGTTAGTGGCTTAGAAGTTCTACTGTACATCTGTGTATTTATACCATAGACAGACGCATATACAGTTACGATGCACTAAGTCGTGATGGCAACTGTGATTAAGAGCCGCCGGCGACGCAATCAGACCACAATGCGATAGGGATAGGGATAATCCGGGGATCGGGGAACGGGAAACGGGGAGCCGTGTTCGATCGATAATGATCGCAGCCAGAGTGACATCGATTGAATTACACTCGGAGCGAGTTCGGAGCATTAGCGTTAGCGTTAGAAGCCCCTCAGATCGACCAGATGCAGCAGATCGCATATTTATCACGCCTGCAATCACCGCTGAAATTCATTTCGTTATCAGCGTTGCATCGGTGCACAACTATCTCGTGATTCTCGACTCGAGTCCCGATCGGAATATTACTTTATATTTGCCCAGGCTAAAGCCAGTGATCAGGAGTTCCTATCCTGTGTTGTTGTTTCGTTTTGTGACCGACACTAACGGGTAATTGATCGGCCCCCAAAAGCCGCCCACCGCAGGATTACTCGTTTTTGCGATCACAAATCCTGAAATTTCAGCAAAGAGCAGCAATTCAGGGAACCAGTGAAAATATAATATAGTATTGAGTGCTCAAAAGAAAATAAAAAATGGCAAATAGTAGCAATTGTTACAAGAATTTGTATCCATATTGACAAAAAACATATTTAATCTTTTTTTAAAAATATATGTTATGTGAAAAGGAATGTTAAATAAATTGTTTTTAAATGCGTATTATCAGAATTGCAGAGAAGATGACTTCTTCACACGAGGTGGGTATAATTATAATTACTAACAACATACATTCATTAAAAAGTTTCATTATTATTGTTTTAAAATTCCACTAACTTAAAAGAAGATTTTTTTAGTCGAAAAGCAGCACTCATTTTATTATTCTATTTATATTTTGCACACTGCGTTTTATTGATAAGGAAATTCAATGCCAGACTTGCAAATATAACTTAATCTTGAAATTGTTAGCCTCACGGGAGAGTTGTAGATTATATAAGAGGTCGTCACTGACTGTAACCTCTATATATTTTATTCATTTCGTCAACTTTTTTGCTCTTAACCATTTGAATTCCTGGTAGCTGGCTTTCCCAACATTGACTCTCTCTTTTTTTTTTTGGGTGGCTGCCCCGCAGGTGGGGAAAAACAAATTACTAGCCTGCAAAGTTCGGAATGATTCGTTCGTTCTATGAATAAATTGGGTTCATTTTCCGGGAATTTCCGGCGGATTACGAGTCAGGAGAGTTGACGAGAGCAGAGCAAAGTCTACCTGGCTGCTTGATATGGAAATGGGAATTCGCGGCTGACAAGACAACGGCATCAGAAATAGTGTCCCAAATCGTGGGCTTCTATTCCCCCAGCACACGCACTCGTTGAGACAGAGACAAGTGTCAATAGAAAGGACTTAAAAAAAAAAAAAATGAGAAAGGATGGGGGGCACAAACATGTCAGGCAAACAACTTGTAACTTGTGTATCTGTGAGATACATTTACATTTCCCAGAACAACTAGCGTCGTTTATGCGAGGCTCGTTTGGCATTCAGCTTGGGTTTCTTGTTTCCCAGAATTTCACACAATAATGTTTGGCCTGTCAACGCTTGACAGCCATAATTTAATTTGCTCATTAACAAAAAGTTTTCAACCACAAGGCTTCGATTCAAAAAAATGGCTGAATCGCATATTTTTATATATTTCTGTAAACTTTTGTTGTCATTTCTTCGAAAAGAGCCCCTGTCAGTTTGAGTATCTTTCCCGGGACTGGGACAACTCACAAATTCCATGCTTATTGACAGTTCATGGCTCTCGTCATGGCTTCCATTCTGCTCCCTTTTGGCGTGCCAACGATTTTTATTGATTTTTCGAGCTATTACACACTCACATGTGGAAAGTTATGCTCACAGAACGGTTAGCATTTGTTTATGACATTCATTTGATGATTGCCGATTCTTTCAAATTGCCTCGTTTTGGGTTCAATCGGCAGAATTGTATTTGCTCAAAGTTTTCCCATTCAGACAGTACTTAATTGTGATACACTGCGTATGAGTGATGTAAATATTACGTATACGCATTACTGATATATATATTGCAATTTTTAATAGCTATAAAATAGGAGTAAATAACTGAACTTAGTTTTTAATATTGGATATTTATCTTCCTAAAGGTTGTTTGATGGTCTAAGAAACTTATAACAAATGTAACCACTTAGTTAAGTTAACAACTAAGAGAAAGAACCAACTTTTCTGCCCACCAGAAGTTAAAAGCGATTAATTCTAGTCATTAAAGGCAACTGCCAGTCGAACAAAAATCAATAAATTAAGCTGGTCTTCAGGATTTCGCCGAGCAATGTGAAACTCATTCAAGCAAACTCCAATAAAGCTGCTTAAAGTTTAGGTTCAGTTGCCTGCCAGTGGCAGTAGATGGCAGTCATTATGCCAATTACTCAACTGTTGGGCAGAGGAATGAAGTGAGGGGAAAACGCCATGAAATTTCACTGTGGCAACAAAACTTTTACGAGTATATTAAATAAAGCAGGAGCAGCAGCAGCAGAATGAAAGCATTTCAGCTAAATCAGCTCATGCTAAATCGAAACGTACCAAAGTCGCCTTTCAGTTTCTTTGAAAATAATATTCAAAATGGTTTCTTAACAAATGAAATGCCTTCAATGGCATTGCAGCCGCAGAAGTTACCAATAAATACCCCATTGTGCGAATACCTTGGCTTGGATTTAATTTCCACGTCAATAAACACTTTGTAACATTTAGAATTGTTTATTTACAATTATTTGAGGCATAAATAAGAGGTCTGGAAATAAATATTAAATTCCTAGAAGCTATTCCTTCTAAGAATTCAAAGGAAAATGAATACAAATTTTTGGAATTTCGTAAAAGAGATCCCAGAATTTCTTTGAAATCAATTAATGAGAATCTCCTCAAAGTTTTTCATAAAATGGTAAAAATGTGTTAAACTGTAGAAAGCTGTAAACCAATTTTAAGTTGGCCAAGGAAACTTAAAATTTTACCGCACAAGGAAAGTTAATGAAAGCCTGCAGGAGTATTTTAGTGCTGAGAAGCCAGGATTCAAGTTATTTTAAGTTACCTCCGCCAAGGATTTGCAAAAGCTGCAGTGTTAAAATAAATCTTACCCAATTTCCCGGGCTGCAGGGAACTGAGGCTTAACCGCTTTAGGGTTTAAGTGGCCTGTCAATTACCGGCAAACTTTGAGGCCAAACAATGAGTGCGTAAATGAGCGGGGAAAGGTCGTCTTGGGGTTAAGAGGTCGTGGTTCGCGAGTCTAGTTCCCTCGCATAGGCAAATAATGTTCGAAACGTGCAGGCCTCATTAGGCTTCCCCCTCATTACAGTTTCCATGGCAAATGGCAATGAAGTGGGCGGAAAATGGGGGGAAATAGCGGAGTGGGCGGAATGAACTACCGCGAATCGCGATGAGGTTGCGCAATGCCAGATTAGCTCCTCCTGGGGGTTTGGGTTATGGTGGAGCCATCAGGTCCTGACAACTCAAGATTCCAGGAAAGTTAAAGCAAGCTCCTCTTAAAATCCAAAGAGGATTCGCCAGCTAAGTATTACAAATTAAATTAGAATTTGTTACTCTTTATGTAATCTTTATGAGCTGAAGTTCTACAGAAATCATTGGCATTTACTAAAATCATCTATAGAACAATTGGATACTTTGCTTTTCAACAAAGTAAGAGAGCTTCAAATAAATAAATCTCTTTAAAAGGTGTTGAAAACTGAATAGAGAACTAAACCTAAATCTAAATAAATCTGTTCAAAAGGTGTTGAAAGCTAAAAGTCTAAATAAGTTTTACAGTGAATGAATGTCTTGTTGACATAGCACCTGAAAACAAAATCATTATTTAATTTCTTACAAGACAATTCTGCATAAGTCAAAACCAGAATCGCCAACCTTGAAATATCTGAGTGTATTAAACTAATGTTGATAAATGCATGTGCTATGTTTTTATTAGGTATATACCTATACGTTTATTCTTCTTATGTCTTGTTATACCATAAATCGTGCACTAATTTATGCAAATGATGCGATACAAATTGCCAAAAAGACAAAAAAAAAAAAAGAAACGTTGAAAGCGTGCCACAAAGAAATCGACGAAAATAAGATTTAGCTACAATTACGATTCTTTTGGCAGTTTGACAGAATTCACTGCAGGCAAACAGTTTCAATCAGAAATAATCTTGTTTCTTTTCTTTCGGCGGGGATTGCTTGTCAAACTGGTAATTGAGATTACTATGTTCGGGGAATTATTTATTTATTTGAGAAGTGATAGGGCATTTGGTTTAGTTCAACTAAGGACACATAAGTACAAAGTATTTTAATTTCCTTAATCTTATATGCTGCCTAAAAATACCAAAATCATATGCTTGTTTCATAAAAACACCCTTAAATTCAAAGATTATATTATTGCTTATTGTTTAATCCGTAAATTTTAATTTTTAGAATTTTTAAAATATTTTATAATATTTTATTAGTTAGCTAGAGTCCATACATATAAAACTGGTTAATTGGGGGGCTAATTTCCCTTACTACCTTATACTACCTTATTTATTAATGAGGTGGCCCAACTTAATAATTAGTTAGTCTTAAACTGATTGACCCACTGAGTCCTATTTTGTATTTCTCCTTGAAGCGACTTTATTAAAAATGCATTTTAAATGCTCAGGTGAATTGTCGTCTTATGGTCCCCGTGCTCTGGATCTTTCTGGATACACAAACATACATATATTATATATACACCTAACAAGTCTGTCTGCGAACGTAGTTTCCCTGCCTTTCCCACATTTTCCTGCGTTTTCCACGCGTTTTCCACATCAGATGGCGCGGGTCATTGCTTGTGTGTGTGTGAGTGTGTTTGTGAGTGTGTGAGTTTGATTGGCAGTTGGCAGGAGCCTCTGGAGTCCTCCCTTGTGACTTGGCTCACATCTTTTCCAGGCATTTCCGCAAGCAAAAAAAAAAAGGGTAAATTGTTAACCCAGTTTCGTGTGCTGTTGTCTGTTCTTCTATTGGCCAACGAGTGTTTTTTGCAGGGCTTTCCGCTCTGCTTCTTGAGCATTTCCACTGAAAACTTTAATGACGTCAATTACTCCTCCCCAGTTAAAGTTAGATTGCGCCAGTTTGACTCACCGATTGCTTTTTAATTGCTGAGAATTGCTGCAGCGGTTGTATTTTGCTTTGTTTTGCTTTTTTACCAATTGAAAGATTTTTTAGCTTATATAAAATAACTTTTGCCAAAAGTTTGAAGAATGGAGCAGTTTAGGTACAGCAAAATCAATAAAGTTTTAAGCTTTATAACGTGTTCAAATATATGTTACATGAGCATTTATCTGTTATAAGCAAAATAAAAAACTTTTTAAAACATTAAATATTTGAATATGGTTACGATTTTTAAATTTTCTAAATTTTCAGAGAAAATACTACGACTGAAATATTGGTTGTCAAATGTTGAATGTTTTTACTTAACAAATTCCTAACTTTTGACACCATTTTAATAACAATTTTATAAGTGTGTCAAAAAATGACACAAACTTTTGAAAGCAACGTGTTTGCTCTCTACTTTAACATACATATATAATAAGTATAAAGCTCTGCCTATGCCAAAATTAGCAAGAAGCTTATGCCATATCTTGCCCCAGTTCGAGTTTTGTGTACCATTTCACTTGACACTTTCCTCACTGTCCGGCGAAAGTGACAGAAAGTCCCCACAGAAGTCACTTTCTCCGGCAAGTGGAGAAAAGGAGGGGGAGGTGGGTGGTGGGTGGTGTTAATCCTGAGCTGCAGATGGGCGCCTGGTGCCATATATACGATATAATATAATGGCCAGAATAAGTAGGGACTGGCTAACTGTTTGGAGCCCAGCTGTCGGCCAGTGACAACATCATCAACATGAAAATCAGCATCTCCATGATGCCCCAAGTGAATATGGTATATGTGTGTGTGTGTGTGGGTGTTTGTGTGTGTGGAGGGGGAGTGGGTACATTTATGCATTGGCAGCTGGCAATTCTTCTGCCTCTTCCTCCGATTTTCCGGCGTGCGTCATTGCGTGCCACTATTTCCGCCGTAATTCCGTGTGCGTGCGGCTGTCTCAGCTGCCATCAAATGCAGTTAAAATTGAATTTCACTCTCCCACGCGCCCGCGCAACTTTTGCCTTTTCACAACGCCGTTTTTGATATTAAACTTGCTGCATGTGGCAGCCTCTCAAATCGCATTACATGAGCCAGCAATTATGTTCCTTGTGGCCTGGCCCTCAACTTTGAACTTGCATGTTTGCATTCAAGTTGACGTTATGTGCGTATATATATGTATATAATATAGTTGCACTGAAATTGGAGGGGAAATCTCGCCGGCGAAGTGCAAAGCCAGTTTGTCCTTGCCCTCCATCTGCTATCTGACATTTCGAGCCTCGAAAGCAATCTGTGTGCATTTTATATTGCATTTATTTAAGGCCTGCATTTGTCAGTTTTATTATTTATTTATTTCTCCTCCAAGTGCCATTCAATTGCAATTTCATATTGCTTTTGCGAGGACTTCATCCGTTTAATTGCTTTTATTTGAGCGATTTTTATTGCACGTTTATTTGGAAATAATAAAGTCTGCAATTTGTTTCTGGTAGACCGAACTTTTATAGTTTTTTATTTGTTATTTCGAAAAACATTTCGAAATAATTTCTAAAATATTTATTTAATAAATGTTATACATTTTATATCTTTATCGATGTAATTCATAGTTTTGTTTACTTGTAGGTTCGCATTTAAATGTTCATTCCCCAGGAAAACCTCTTTTAAAAGCCGTGGGAAAAGGACACAATCTCAACCCCGTTTATCCCACCTTAAAAGTTAAGAAGCTGCCTTTAATTAACTCAAATCACTGGGGAGTGCACTTTCCATATCGCTGCACCCATCGCACTTCAGGTGATCTTTAAGTCGCGCAAGTTTGTTGGCGATTTACATTAAGTTCATGGTCACCGCCAGCTGACAATTGATTGACAATTTGGCCAAGTCTCCGTCGCCGATGCAGGGGAAAATAAGAGAAGACAATGCGTGTTGGGGGAAAACGATGGCATCGCCCCCCGAAGAGCTTTTGTAAAAATAAAGTTAATTAAAAATTTCTCGGCGAGAGAGCGAAAAAAACACGACGGCACGGCAGCAACCTCGGCTGCCAGGGAAATGCAAATGTAATTAAATAAACACGACACCCGAAGGGCGTTCATCATCAGCATCGTCAGGGAAATGGGACCGACCGCGACTAGGATTCGATGGACGAAGGACGAAGGTCGGAGGATGCGGCAATGCCACGCCCCTTTTTTCCCGGAAAAACCGAGGGAGTATATCAATTTTTGGTCTCGGGGGCGGACAGCTGAAGAAGATAAATTCGATGCCTCGGTGGACAGGAATTTTGTCTTTGCCAAAGGAAAAGGAAGAGGACAAGGGAATCCAGGAAAGGTAAATACAGATATTGCCTCAACGGTGTATAGTTACAGGTTCAACATAATCAGCATTGGGTGGTCTTTAATTTAATCTTGAGCTCAAGGATCTGGAAAAAAATTATGAAATTGAAGGGCAGACTAACACAAAATTATTCTTAAATTTGTTTTCATTTATGTTCTGAAGTAAATTAAAATTGCTTATTGATGAAAAGATAAATTGAATGTATTTCATTTTGTTGGAAATATTATTAATAATTTAACCATAAATTAAAACTGGTTTTTAAAAGCAGTAAAAATACAACCAATGTATTTTATTTTACGCTCCTGCTCAATCAAATCACATTTTCCTATGCACTTTGTTTAGTCGATGGGTTTGAATCCCACTGCAATTTCATCATGTGCATCCACTGAATGGTAGACAAACAGATTGGCTGGCAAACCCCTCTAAATTTGGGGATGCCTGAAAGGGAATCGAGCGGATGATGCCGCGGGCGGAGTGCAGTTTGCGGTTAAATTGATGGACATGTCGCATTCGCGTCGACAAATGCAATTGTTCAGGCGCGAAACGAACCGCAACCACTTCATTAGCAGTTTACCCAGCGAATCAACCAGCATCCCACTATTCAGCTTTTTGGCAATTAACAAGCTTCTAAATATTGGGGTGTTTTTAAGGGGATATGTCTCATAAACAAAATTTTAATAATGATTATGGCTTTAGTGTGCAATCAATTAATTAAAAGCTATTTTATGTATGCATAGGGGTTATTATAATAATCCTAAAGAGTATTAACAAGATATTAATTTATTTGGATATCACTTATGATTTTGGATTTAAATTCCAAACCAACGATTTTTATGTTTAAAGGTGTAAGATTTTTATAGGAAATGTACTTTCTCAAACATTAATAATTGGTCAAATAAATGTTATTAGGTTGGTTAAAAATCGCACTCTCTTCTTTCTATTTTTATTTATTTCCAAGAAACCCCTTTCTTTACCCAACACAACGCCCCTGGTTAATTCATCAGCTGCGAGTGCTGCTCACAATGAGTGAAAAGCTCGGTGGGCCAGGTAGAGGAATTTGATTTGTCGCCCGGCAAGATTTGTAGTTGCCGCAATTCATTATTTCTTTGCTGTGGCTCTGCTAAATGAAAGGCGACATTCCTGATGACACTGCTAATTAATGGGAGATTAACTTGTTCATTGTTTCGCTTACGATTCGCCACTCGCCACTCGCGATTCGCAATTCGCACTCGCGATGCTTTCTTGTTCACGTGCGAACGCATAAATCACGCATACGCCCGGTTGAACGACCTCGTCGGCAATTAACGACGCGGCCAGCAAGGGCGTCCTGTCAATGTGTCAGTCAGTCATTCAGCCAGCCATTCAGTCAGTCAGTCAGGCAGCCGCTCTTCCGGTTCCGCCTGCGGGACGGATTGCGTGCCAAATGATGTGTCACCTCGCATTCAAGTCCCGAAGTGGCAAATAAAACGGCAGCCACATAACACGAGCCAAAAAGAAAAGCACCCATTTCACGGAGAAAAACAGCTCATAAATTGGTCAGCTGCTTACATTCGACAGCTCGCATTTGTTTTGGAATTCTGTCAATATGTAACATAAAATATAACTTCATTGCTTGTATTAGAATATGAAACTACGGTTCTCATGTGAGTGCCACATCACAATTATTTATATTGAATATTGAAGGTCAATTCAAAGTAAATACATTACAATAAAATGTAGTTGCTTCTGGCAATTCTAATTCAATTTCGTTAGATAGGTTGTTATTTTACAGAACAATAATTTAATCAAGGCAAACTTTCAACTTTTTTTTTGACCATTATGAATCTTCATTTATTTATATAACTACCTAAAATACTACAAAGTGAATTAGTTTAACGCCACATACAAAAAAAAATCCCTTGCTTATAATATAAACATATATAGAAAAATATTAAATTTTAAAAGTACGCACTAAAATCTAATTTTGAATTAAACTTAACAATTTTCGAAGATCTATTGATTCTTTTTGAATTTTTTGCTTCTCTGTTTTATGTACAATCTGTTACATAATCAAGACTCGAGTTTTTCCCCCAGTGCTGCTGACACGGGCCATAAAAATGGAGCTGGCCGAGTGCCAAGCGAGTGGGCAAGTGGGCCCCCGTTGTCTCCTGTGAGCGGAGCCATCACTCCGAACCTGGAGCCTGGCCCAATTCAATTAGATGCCAAATGCAATTAGCTAAATGGCTTCTCGATGTTGTGATAAGCACCCACCGGAGCAGACAGTTGAACCTGCCACGGCAAACAGCAGTTTTCATGGCCGCCGGGCAGCGGAAACGAACTGGGAGTTGTTATTAAAAGTTTTGCCACCGACGGGCCAAAAGTTCAACGCCAGGCAGCTGAAAACAGAAAACTGAAAACAGAAAACTTTAAACTGTAAACTGTGAACGGGCTTAGCCAACTTTTGACATCGGCTTAGACTACAACTTGCCACTAACTGTACAAGGTTGCGCTTTAAATGCTAGTTTTAAACTTAAGCTAAACTTTGGATAGCATATTGCTTCAGTGAGGCAAAAAAGTCCGATTTAAGTGCAGCACTTTATAGACATATGTTATGTTTTAAGCCATGAACTCATTTTGTTTTTAAAATGAAGTCCATTGAATATATTAAAGCTATATTGATTTGTACAATTAAATGAAGCCCATCTACCTGAAAATTTTAATTTCAGCTTGCACTGGCACTTGAAAAATGGGAAATGACAGCATTAATTATGTTCTTGGATTACTGTGAAAATAAATGTTTAAAATGTCCGTCCTGTATTGAGTGTTAAGGGTTTTCGAGGCCTTTGAATGACCATTAATTATTCATGTTTTTTCGGAATGCGGTCACTTAAATTAAATCGTAAAATAAATAATTACGGGCTTACATTTTCCGATGGCTTTTTCCCGTGATCTGTCTCTTTTTTGATTCGAATTTTCTGTTGGCTTGTTTATGCTTGCTGGGCAAACAGTTTATGATTGGGCTGCAATTTACACAAAATGCCGCCATTAAATATGGCGCCTATTTGCTTATGTCCTTACGAATCAAAAGCCCATCGCTCTGCAAAAAAAAAAAATAAAAACAGACACAGACAAACACGCAGACAGAGGGAAGCCAATCTTTGTTATACGGGGCGGATGTGTAATATGCCTTTTATACTTTTGTTACTGGCTGTTTTTGGCCTTTTGGTGCTCCTTCATCCATCAAGCTGTTTGCAGACGCACAAAATATGCTTAACACAGCGGGTGCTCGACTGTGTTTTAATATTTTATATATATTTCATTTTCCCTAAGCTCTAAAAGTCATGTTTAGTTTGTTTATTTTTCAGCTTTTTAAGGGAAATGAAGGGATTTACGATGGAGCATTTTCTCTCTTATTTTTAATAAGTTTACTTTGAGGGCTTTATGGGCGAAAGTATTGATTTTATTATTATTATTATTAAGACTGCTTTTAATATTTTTATTTAAGAGTATACTTTTTATATATTTTGGTTCTAATTTTTTAAGCTTTTATTTTTGCAACTTCAATTGAAGAATAATAAGAACTTAATAAACAAATCTTTTATTTAATTAACCTTAAGATAACTAAATATGTTTTTAATTTAAAGCTTCTCTAGAATATTTTTCTGCTTAATCTTGTTTGGTTTTCATATCTCCAACTTTAATTTTATTCTTAATACCTTTGATTTATGTTTACTAATGATCTTATATAACTCAGCTGAAGTATTTTTCCAGGAGTATCTGTGGAAATCAGTGTCATAATGCCACCCACCACCTCCTCCTCAAAAAACCAGCGACTGCAGCCGCGTCGATGATCAGTGAACTGCGATAATTCGATTTCGATGCGCAGCTCTGCAGCCAGGAATCTGGCTGGTTAACTGCCGAAGCCGAAGCTGAAGCCATTGGAGCCGGGAAATGCATGGGAAAAGCGGAGGGAAACCCAGCCGGGGGAAGCCATCTACCATCTACCTGGGCGCCTGCAGCAACTTGCTGCAATCTGCAGCTTAATTTGTGGCGCAATGTGTGCCGAGGATAGGGAAAAGGCAGCCTTTCGCCTTTCTTGATTGCCAGCTGGGGGAAATGGCGGTGGGAGGAGGTGCTGGTGGAGGTAGTTGGAAAAGAAAATGACGTGCCATGAAATTGATTGCAAAGTTTGCCCCCAAAACTCAGGCCCCCCGGAAAAGAGGAAAACGACTGAAGAGGCAGCTCCTGGAACTCGGGACTCAGGTGGGCGTCGTCAAAGGTCAAAGCAGCGTGCATAGGCAAAGCAAAGAGTGTGCCAGCCCCTCGACCTCCGACCCTTAACCCTCGAGTGGGCCGGGGGCTTATGTTTGCCAGCTCTGTCGATCGCATATTAAATGAGTTTACCGCCAGGCGCCTGAAAAAGCCCCTAAGCACGCCTTAAAATTGCTCAGCTGCGAGGCATTGTGGCCGTCAATTAAAGTGGTTTATGGCCAAGTTTATCCGGAGGATGTGTTTCGAGCAAAAAGAGCAAGTTGAAGCCGCTTTTGACTTGGCTAAACTTCAGCTTAATCGAGTAGTTTACTGCGTATAATAACGAAGAACAAGGGCTACCGCAAAACTTTGTGCATATTTGTTGCCTCAAGTTTTTTTTACCCAAATTGTTATCTTCGATAGAAAGAAATAAAAATCATCCTTTATTGTAAATTTGGAAAGGGGTTATAAATTAAATTAAAAAAAAAAAAACAGATAAAAAAATAAAAATATTTCTAATGATGCAGTTTGTTATAGAATAAGAAAACAAACATTTAGAGCTATGCCATTTCTAAATCTGATTAAATTATGCACTTAGAATAAGTGAATATTGGTAAATTTTAAGAAAATTAAAAAATTCTAAATTCTAAAATATTCTATAATACCCTCTGAAAGAGTATACAAATTATATAAATAGTTATAAAGGTTACAAAATCCTTTGTTTGGATGTTTTATACCACCACCACAGAATTGCTTTTCCATAATATTTTAAACCACTTTTCCAAACAAATTCTGTTTCCGCGACAACAAAGTTGTTCCGGAATAGACTGTCTTATTCTGGTTTATTTATTTATTGGTTTGTTTGACCAGAAACCTATTTATTCAGAGGTTTTTCTAAACCTGTGGTCAGTTACGTATTTATTTAGATTTTTTGTCGTTGGCAACCGTGGAATTATTTCCGAATAAAACTTTTATTTGCTTTCATATTTTTTGTTTGCTCTGGCCAGTGGAGAAAAAAGTGGACTTCTTTGGCCTGGACCCTGCCAATTTGCAAGTGAAAAGGGTTCTTTTGCGCCGTGACGTCAAAGGATGTAAAAATAGCTGCTTACTCTGTTGGCCAGGAAACGGCATCGCACAAAAAGTGTCCCACAAAAAGTTTCAATTAGTTGAGTGCAATGTTTAGACATGATGGCGAGGACCCAAAGACACCCGTTTTCGGAAGCAGGACAGACCCGTGGGGCAAAAGGATCCCTTACTCTCAACACGGGCATTTCATTAGCCATGTTATGTCCGCAATTCTTCTACAACTCGGGCTTCCATTGGCACACTCCCGGCGGATGTCCTGCACAGTTTTTTCGGATCACAATCAGCACGGATGCGAAGGACATCATTACACGCGTCCACTCAGTTATCCGCATTTCTGAATAAAACATTACAATCGATGGAAGTGGATGCCAGCGCTCAATTATTCTGATTGTCAGGCGAAACGAAAGCTTTTGCTTTTTTATAAGCAGTGAGAAATAATTGTCAAACACTTCTTAAAATTGTATTTAATTTTTTAAATAAAAAAACTGTATACTGAAATACTATGTACTATCATCAGAAGAAAGTTTCTATGTTCAATTGCATTTTGAAATGTATTCTTGAGATTTCTAGGCTTTATATTCATTGTTTCCAACTTTCGGGAACCACTTCAAAGGTAACTTGATTTATTGTATTTTTTTCCCTGTGCAGTTTGCGGAACAAATTGTATCCGATACGACCCCTCGCATTCGTTCCACATGTTATTTGATTAATTTGCAGGGGGCAAAGTGTCGCTTACCGATATTAACGATGCCGTGGTTGGTCAGTTCCCAGCAGGACTGCAGTCGCAGGATGCTGAGGCTGTGGCTCTGTTTGGGCGAGAAGTAGCCGAGTGCCGCATCCGTGACGTGGTAAGCCTGTTGGGAGCGAGACCAGATTCAATTAATCCAATGAAGGGTAAAGGGGAACAGTAGGGAGTGGGGAGGGGGAAGGAGTATCTCCCCTCCCCTTGGATCCCCATCAATCTGAACTTGCCTGCAGCGAGAACTCGTAGAGGGAGGGCAACAATTGGGCCACCGCGCCCACCGCCTCGTCGGCGATATTGATGCAGTCCGCCAAGGAGAGCGACACGATTCGGGGCGTCAGACACGCCCACAGTCCCGCCTCGGTCACCTCGTTGCAGCCAGCCAGCTCCAGTTCAAACAAGCTCTGCAAATCAAGGGGAGAAATATTACAGTCCATTCATAACAAGCATAAACTTTATTTACAGCGAGGCATAACAAAAAAACAGGAATCAAATGTTTCTTTTATATATAAACTCTCGTAAGTCTGGATTTTATTTTATGTAAAATATATTATTTTTTTTTGTTAGGATTGTTTAAATTTTTAAAGCAAAGTTTAAACAGAGAAACCCCTCAAATCAAAAGGCAATTCATTTTATGGGCCTATAAAGCAATGTAATAAAAGTCAAACTTATATACCTCACAATTTCAAATAGAAACCATGTGCAAAAAAATGTTTCGGCAAAAATATTTGTAAATTTGATTTAAACCATATTTACTTTACTTCAGTGCGTTCTTTTTCTTGGCAATGAACTTGATTTTCTATTCAAAAGACTAAGAAATTCCGAATATTCCTAAGTTTTGTTGTGGATTTCTTAGTCTTAAATTTGCTATATTCGTCTAAAAGGGTGTCATAAAATCGTCAAAAGTTTTTATGATCTGCCGCCCGATGTATTCTAAAATACTTTTGGACATTTTTCACAGCGTTCATAAGCGTTGACACTTGACGAGCCGAAAAAATAAAGGCCAATCGCAGGCCAGTGAAATTATCGGAACGAAAATACCTCTGCGCATATATTTTTACATAAAACATATATAAAAGTATATGCATTGGTATGGTATAAATACGTTTAAATCTCAGGTGATTTTATATATTTATCATCTGCTAAAGAACATTCAAAATTACCACATAATTATACGCAACTTTTTATTTGCCTTGACGACCACGAAAATTTCCAAAAAAAATTTATATCTATACACTTTTTGGAAAAATATAAAACCAATTAAATTGAAGTTCAAAATATGCAAGTAGTTTCCTTCTGAAATGTTTTTTCGCAAAGCTTGAAACTTAATGGAATTTTTGCATTCACGGCAGTCGGTAAACAAAACACGGAAAATTGCATTCTGAATCGCTCCGTGGATTGCGTAGAATGCGGTAAATTGAATGGAAAACTGGACCACACAGATCCAAACAAATTACTGATGCCACCTGGTGGTTACGACCATATTACCGACGATATATAACACAGAATAAAAGTGGGAATGAAGTAAAATTAAATTGCATTGGGTTGAACTTTTTATGCAAAAAGTAACGAGTCAGCAAATTGGCAAAACTTTTCTACTAACCCAAAATAATTTATCCATGCGTTGGGCGAGCCATTTAATTTCCTATAACTGGATAAACTTTGACCTTTTCAAGTGCAAAACATTGTCGACGAAATAAAAACAAACCTCTCGATGGTGGCGACCCGATTCGAGTGGCAGACTTTGTGTCGAAATGTAGTAGCCATTGTTGTTTGTGGACCCTCGATTTGAAACCATTTTCCATTTCCCCTTTCCCGGGAAAACCGGAAACAAAGAAACAAAGGCGATAAACAGTAAATGCAGCCGGAAGCGCGATATAAAAATGAAAATCCCAAGGATGGTCACACACAAAACGCATCAAGCGCGAAAAATTCCAATTCTCGTAGCTGACGCCAAACTGGAGACTGGGGAAGAATAACAAAACGTAAACAGCTAAAACAGCGAGATACCAATTTAATCAGAATCCTGCTTAATGCGAATTCCCGTGAGTTCGTGTAATAAATCAAAATTAATCCATTCAACCTCCTTTTCGGATTAATTTATTTTCTCAGCACGAAAAACCAATAAAATTCTGGCAAAAATGTTACGTAGAACATCAAAGAAATACCTTTCTGTTGTTATTACACAAAATCTGGTGAAGCATAGGGAGTTTTGGGTACTCTATGGGGTTCCCAACAATATTTTTAAATAGAAAAAACAAATCAAGGAAAGGATTTAATGACTGAAAATTGGTTTCTGTTTTGTCAATTCAGAAAAAAGGATTCCCAAAACCATTTCCAAGTCCTTTTCTTGATTTTATCTTGGCTTTTCATTAGTGTCCGATGAAACGTTGCATAAATTAGAACTAAGGATCCAACTCATTAGCGAATTAAATGGTCTAATTGCGGATGTGTTGAATATACATGGCCAGTAATTGGATTCTGTACATCGGTTAACTTTGCCAACAATCAGCAGGGAAAACACAACAGCAGCAACAAAAATACCAAGCCTTTTGGCATGACTTCATTATGAATGGTAAATGCTCGGTTGTTGTTTAGATTTTTCCTCTCTTCGTGTTCCGTATTTTGTTTTTATGGACAATTGTGGAACTTTTTCCCCCCATGGCTAACTCACACTCGAGCCGCAGAACGGAAAACACAGAGCAGAAAACACGTTGCCGTAGCCAAGGGAAACTTTTTTTCGGTGCCATGTGTTTTCGAAAATCGATGGGAAAAGTCAGCCACGCAAAGCAGAGTTCCACAATGAAATGCTAATGGTGGCACACACATGCCAGGATGTGTGACTATTTAGCCGGATAAAGTTTTTCAGTGTTTTCGCCTCGGTTTCTGAGGTTTTCGTTGGAGCGACGACAGTTTTTGGTCGGTCTCGCCCAGGAAAAGAGATAAATTTAACATAAATTGGGTAGATGTAGTGTACTTTATCTTGGCTTTCAAATTACGAATATTTCTGCTTGCATAAACAGAAATATTTATTTGACTTCCGTGGTCTGTGTGGAAATAGAATTTCCTTTTCCTTCGAACTTTAAGCCTTTCATTGCAATAAAACATTTTATTTGATTGGGAAAAAATATTTTGAACAAAAATGCATAAATTAAATTCCACAGACTTGAATAAAAATGATACATTTCGCTTTATATATTTTTTTTTTTATTTACGTTTTGAATATAAAATAATTTAAGATAAAATGTATTTTCTAATTGGCCGGATTATATTCTAAAACAATATTTTAGCTTTCTATTTAATCACTTTCAGCAGTGGCATTTGCAGGCGCATTAAAAAGAAGTATTTTCCCACAAAAGAGAAGTGAAGATTGTATTTAAATAAATTGGCCAATTTAAATTCGCAATTGCAGCTCAAACGGAATACGAATTTGAATGGCCGAAGGTGCAAGAGCGTAGCATAATTTTCTGGGTCAACGCAGTTGGGTTCAACGTGCTCCGGAGCCCGGACCCACTTGAGGCCCCCCTCGGAAAAGCGAAGAGTGGAAAGTTCGGAGCGGCAATGCGGAAATCGCATATATTCGTATTCGCCGGAGGCGACTGCAGTGTATTTGCCATTAAATATGTATAGGAATGCAGGAAAGTCACCGCATTTCCGTCGCATTCAGCGCCAGTAACTAACATTAATTTCGCGTTGCATGTTGAGGTTTTTCCGGGAAGCTTACGAAAAGCGGGGAGTTGGGTTGGGAATTCCATTTGGTTAGCTCGCATCCACTTTATGCCGAGTCCCCAAGGTCGAATTCCTGAGCCCAGTGCGGTTGATCCTTTCGCATCATGGCGAACCCAACTTGTCCCCAGTGTGTCATTGTTGTTGACATTGCCAGCGACAACAATTTGCAATCAGACCATTTGTTGGCGCTTCCTGCGCCCACAAACTCGCATTCATCGGAAAATTTCCAAACTGGGGAAATGCTACTGGCTACTAGGTACGAGGTACTAGGCTCATAAACATGACGTGCATTCGCACTGGATTAATTCTGACATCAGCATGTGGGAGTGACGTATGCACAAAAGGGTGAGCCTGTTCTACCCGGAATTCATTTGAAGTTACAGCCCTTTTTTATTTAAAATCCAACCTTTTCTACAGGTTAGGAATCCAGGAAATCAAAGCGTTTCAAAAGGTTAAAAGTACCATTTATAAATTATATGGTATTCTACCCTCTTTACTTTTATTCATTATTTACAAAGTGTTGGATTTGGAGTGCGTTTGAAGTCAAATTTGCAAAGGCTTTTATTCATAAATGAATTATTAAAATATTGGAAAAAAGCATAGGTTTAAATCAGCATCATACGCAGCGTTGACCCTTGTGTAAAAACAAAGTTTATCAAACAGAAGCTTGGCATAAATTCTTGAACGAATTTAAAGTTTTTAAACTATGTTTTTCATAAAACATACTTTAAAGTTAAAGATTTCCGTATATATGAATTGGTATGCATATTTAATCACGAATATGGGATTACAAATTCTGCTGTTATTTATTCAACTTTTTCCCAGCGAGGGATCACCCTAACATGAAAATTCCCTTAAAATCAAGGTTTTGGGGAACAGAGAAGAGTGATGGCAGTCGACTCAACGAGTGTGTGACTGACTGAGCTGACAGGACCGCAAATTCATGGAGAACGCTGCTCCACAGAGGACTTGGCCACAGTGAGTTCACCAACATTATCCACTTTACTGGCTTCTCCCCAAATGTGTGTGTTTGTGTTTGTATTTGTGTTTACTTAGATGTATGTGCTTCGGTTTGTGTGTATGTGTGTGTGTGGTTGTTTGGGGGATTGTACCATTTCCGGTGCTTCATGCTGGGCCCCTGGTGGATTAAGTTCCCAGATTGGTCGGGATTGGTCCATGAAATGAATGGATTAGTTCGCCCGGGGCCCTCCACACAGTTGGCCATCAATTAAGCTCCCCACTTGTTCGTCCAAATTCGATTTGGGCCTCCCTGGGATTGTTGGGGCAGTCCGGCAAACCGAAAAAGATGAAATCGGTTGGAAGGCCATAATAAAGACAAAGCGTGTGGGGAAACCAAGGATGAAGTAATGGGTTATTATGGCTATTCGAGATGAGAGCGCTGTAAGTGAGAGCTTTTGCCAGGATTTGGATTATATTTCCATGACAGAACGCCAAACTGGGTAATTAAGATGAGAAGATATTGTTTAAAGCCCCTTGAAAGTATTCAAAGCAGAAAGCATCATGCTTTAAGCTCACCAAAGTTGGATTATATTTTGGTTTTGCAATTTTGCTGCCTTTATTTATCATTAAAGTAAAGCCACAAAAATGTAATAAAATATTTTAAAGCATTGCTATTCAATTACAATTTTGTAGTTTAAATTCATTGCTGAGGAGTCCTCTTAAATTGCTGAATTATTTTAATTAAATTTGGAATTTCCCCTCCAAACAAACACTAATAGTCCGGAACTGGAGTGCATCTCATGAAAGATTCACCTGGCGGAGCGTGGAAATTATGAATGCACCCTGAGTGCTTTCAATCGAGCCACTCGCACAGTTCGCTCAAATTAGCGCAACAAAATAATAGGCTAAATTAAATGAAATTTATGACGGGGCTTTGATGTGATTTGCAACTGAAATTGATCGCATCAATTCATTATGCTGGTCGTCGAGTGACGAAAACGGGGATTGTGGAGGGGGGGTTGTGTGTTTTTAGTTTTTAGCCATTCGCGAGGCGATGACACACTTTCAGCTTTTCAGTTTTCAGCTTTCAGCTTTCAGCTCTGACACGTTTCATTTCTCTGGCGCGCGGCACAAGTCCCGAAATAAAATCAAAAAATAGTTTGCTTTAACCATTGCCCAGATTCAGATTCGTGTGCGAATTTATTTCGGTTTTTTTGTGGCCCAAAGCGGGACTGACCACTGTCAACTTGCCGCTGGCCAAAACGCCCACGGCCCAAATACTTATGCTCTCTCAGCCATTCTCCGATTCCATCTCCGTCGGGGTCCCCCCCCCAAAAAAAGGAACACAAAAACCAAACAGACAGCAAATCAAGTCGGATGTTGCGCCAAATGAAAGTCGTTTCCAGGGGCCAGCTGCTCCCCAAAAAAAAAGGGGAGCCATCGAGTTGGGAGCAACTGCTTTGGGTTGGCCTTCAGGGCCAGATTTCCGGACATTGCCGTCTGCCCCCGGGCCAAGTTGTCTTGCATTTTAAATAAACGACAGCCCATTACTTAGACTTGTGTGTGAATACTATATATATATAAATATATATATATATGTCTAGTGGAAACTTGTAACTCAAAGGACGAAGGGATAAAATCGAGGCTTGCCAAACATTTTCAGTCTGCTCTGTTACATTTTCTCAGTGATTCATCTTAATGAGCAAAACAAATTTTCAGCTTCTGTTGATTGTACGGGCTTTTGAATTTTTGAGTCTGCTTTAAACTTTGTGTAAGCTTAGAAAAATGAGTAATTATTAGAGTTGCCTAAACTTATATTTGACCATTAAATATATTCAAATTAGTTCTTTGAGTAATAATTTGATTTTTGACTTGGCACATCAATTAAATAGTTCTGTGATATATTATATTTAACTATTTATCTGGATATTATCTAGTAAAATGTAATGATAAGAAATGCATAAGTGGATCTCTTGGAGACTTAACAAGTTTAATACCCTTAATTTATGAAATTTTTAAGGTGTTGAATTTAATTAAATTGTTGGTACTCAAAAGATTGAATTTCAAATGACCTTTAAAACTTATTAAATCGTTAACAGTTTCTAATTCCTTGTATTTTATCCTTGATTAAAGTAATAAATATTTTATAGATGCAAACTCACCTGGAGATGGTCGAGCAGGGTCTCCAGCCCCCGGTCGCTGATCGAGGAGCAGCGCAGGCTGAGCGAGTGGACGTGCTTGGAGGCGAGCGGGAAGGAGTGGACCACGTCGAGGGCGTCCTCATCCGAGGCGCCCACCAAGCCGAGGGCATGGAATCCCCGTCGGATGAGCGAGTTGTAGAGCTTGCCGCGATCGCAGCCGGGCATTTGGCGCAGTTCGCGGCACTGCAGCGTGGGCAGCAGGCCGCTCCAGTAGCGCGGACTGCGGTACAGTGTGTCCCGCCACTTGATGCACACCTGGGCGAGCACCCGCCGCTCGTACGGCGAGAAGTACTGGAAGAATCTACTCAGAAAGCGGTCGTCCAGCATCAGCTGCTCGATGCTGTGGATGGGCGGCGGGTGGAGCTGGTGTTGCATGATCAGCGGCGAGGCGGTGATCCCGCCTCCCATGCCGCCGTACGGATGGTGCAGGTGCGGATTGGGCAGCTGCTTCCTCAGCTGCAGCGGAGTGCCCCCGCTGCTCGCTGCCACCTTCTGGGCGGCCACCATGCCCATGGTGCTAAACGTGGGCGATCCCGGGTTGACTCCGCCACCCGGTATGGTTATGTTCATCTGCTTGGCAATGGACTTCACTGTGGGCGTGGGCGGGGCGCCCAGCGGCATGCCACTGGGCGGGGCAGGACCCACCATCACATGGTGGTTCGAGTTGATAAGCGTGGATGCCTGCAGCTGCAGGTGTTGCTGCTGCGACTGCTGCAGTTGCAGGTGTTGCTGCTGTTGCTGCTGCTGTTGTTGCTGTTGTTGCTGCTGTTGTTGCTGTTGCTGCAGGAGGTGGTGTGTGGAGTTCTGGACCTGCGACTGTCCGCCGGGCATGGCGATGCCCCCGGGACCGGGGCTACTGCCGCGGGAAGGCTTGTCCGGCGTCTGGGGAGGATTGGCGTTGCTGGCGGGCGAAGGAGCAGCGGCCGCTGGTGCAGAGGAGTTGCTATTGGAGCTGTTCGATCCGGAACCCGAGTTCGAGTTCGAGTTAGAGTTGCCGCCGCCACATAAAGCGTTCGTCACGCGCTCCATCACCGATGTCTTGCCGCTGGAAGCTGCCGGCGGGGGCGTGGCACCCGAACCGGGGGCGGAGGAGTCGCCACCACTGCCCGCGGCGGCGGTGGAGCTGTGGTGGTGCTTGGACCGCAGCCCCAGTCCGTTGATCCGCTTCGAGAGTTCGGCGGAGGCACGCTCGACCACGCCCTGCGCCGAGATCGATGACATCGTGTGCTGGAACAGATTCACCTTGCCTTCCTTTGGAAGAGCCCGTCTCGGAAAAGTGACCACCCTCGTCCTCCTCCTCCTCCTCCTTCCTCCTTCCTCTTTGCTGTTTCTCTTGCTTCTCGTCTGGTTTTGGCTCGTCCTTTACATCCTGTTTGCACTCTGCATTGTTGACCCTTTTCACCGGCAGTTAGCGATGTCCACCTGAAACGAGGAAGGTGATATGCGAAGGGTTAATGCTTTGGTTTTAGGTTGCAAAGGTGACTCGTTAGGACAGCGGAGGAATTTCATTAAATTAACATATGTGATTTACTGGGCAATGACTTTATTTTTGTCATAGCCTCCAGGAGAAATACTCTTACATTTAATTACAAGAGCAATCCTTATTATCACAGTAAATCAATAAATATGCAAACTTGAAAGAAGCAGTCGATAATACAAATAAGTGGTATATAGTAGTATCCACTATTTATTTCTTTGCATTTACTATATTGAAAAGTTGAAGAACACTTTAAACTTTCGCTGAAATCATTGTAGGAAATTAAATATTTTTTACTTCTACTCTGCAGTTTATTTTTAGAGGCATTTGAAACATTTATACTCCGCAATCAGCAAACCACTCGGCAATTTGTAGTAATTTCCTTCAAGAGCCACTGCAACTACATGATTTATAGGAAGTTGCCAACTGCGGTTTGTCACTCCCTGTCGATAGTTTCGCTGCGACTTGCCCCATGTCGAATACGTGGCACTTTCGCGTGCCTCAGCACGACATGACCAAATAAAAAAGAAGGCCACCACCGTCCAGATTTATGGCCCACTTTCGTGGGGTTGGCGTGCAGGCCGTAACCTTCGACCTCGATTCTTTCTGCGACTTGTTGTGGCTGCAGAAAGTTCGCCGATAAGGCAAACAATGTTAAAACTGCATTCGAAGTAAGCCAAGGTGAGGCGCCACCCGGTGCATTGCCTCCTGAGTCGCGATTTCGGACCGGAAGTACCGAGTCCTGCGAATCTTGGGCGGAGCCATTGGTCCTTGAAGTCTTTTCGAAGATTTACAATCGAATTACCAAGACGGATACCGTGTGGCAAAAGCTTATAACTTTATTGATGACTTTGATTACTATCTCAATTATGGTAAAATAGGCAATAGGTTGCTTTGGATATCAAATTGTATTTTCTAGCACGTGATTTTCAAGAACTAAAGAGCTATAACTTCAGTTATAACTATTTATTTGGAAAAGTTTTGTGGATTATTGAAATCCTCTTCATACTTATATTTAAGCTGGCTTCTATTTTGATGATATTTATTTTAATTTTAAATAATACAACCTCCATCCAAGAAAGTGACACTTTTGTATTAATAGATACAAATTAAATGAACCTTTTGTGTCGATATTGAAAACGATAGCTATTGCTTTTAACCTTAAGTACATAAATAAAAACTTAAGTGCTCAATTAACCGAGGCCACCTCGAAAGCTCTTCGCCGAGGATGCTTTATCGAGGGGATATTTTGCCATTTTACGGAGAGGCAAATTTAATTGCCATAAATGCGCGGATTCTGTTCCGAAAGAGGGGCCTTAAGCCCCGAGTCTCAAGGTGAGCCCCCTCCTTTCGCAGAGCGCTTATCTTTGGACCGCCTGGCTGCATCGACATCCTTCATCCTTCGGTGGGAAGGATAAGCCATCTGGGGGTCCTGTCCCAATCTTTGCAACCGTCGCTGCCTTTCCGTTTGGACGTGAGCCCAAACAAAAGACAGTCATCTCGCCGCCCAAGGAGGCGTGGCAGCGACATTGACTGAGCTTTCTCTGTCTGTCACTTCCGGTCGGTTCCAAATGAGGAATGTTCCCCAAAAGCACACTATTATAGACAGGGTATTCTGCTATATATAGCAGATGTTACCAAAAGTATATTGTCAGAAAAACAAAACCAAAAGAATACTAAAAGCATTTAATTCTTGATACCAAATTTCGTATTCTTTATTAATAAAAAATTATTTACTATCCTCCGATGTGTTAAAATTATATGAAAATATTCAGTCATAACCTTGGCAATAAATCTTTCTAAACCAATTATTCATTAAAATCATATATCATATCATATTATTTTTCTATTTCAATTTTCAAATTGAAAATTTATAAGAGTATTTAACCTTCGGCTTGATTGTAATCGCATTTTTAATACGACTGGTTTTTATTGTTGAGATTTGATTGTGCGACAAATGCAAATACAAATTTGGTGCACGACACAGTCGAAAGTTGGCGTTACCCAAGCAGGCTTCCTCGGTCCTTTCCGTCTGCTACAAGTTACACAATCCTCCTTGACTTTGCCAAAGGACTCGCGGAGCAGAGGAAGCGGAAATGGAAGTGGGACGGGTGAGGGGGGAGGGGGAGGTCCTGGCGAATTCTCAATTGGGTTACTTCAAGTGGAAGCGAGTGTCTCGTCGGTTGGGTGAAAATTGGCTTGATAATTTTACAAATCACTGTGTATGAGACTCCAGCCCATACTTTTCTGCTAACTTGGTTAATTTAAAACAGCATTTTAGACACCACCAATTTAAAGGCATATGTACGGCTTGTTTTCCGTAATGAAATGAGGTGTAAAGCATAGAATTTACATAATTTATCGTCGAAAGGAAGCTGGTACTGTATTTGTTTGTTAACTATGTTGTTTAGCTTAAAAAACACATTTGTTTGCATATCAACGTGTGTTTTATATCCAAATGACTAAACGAAATCCTAACCATCACCATTTAAATCTATCAGTCACATATAAAACCAATTTCAATTGTTTAAATTGGAAAGAAAAATCTAGATCGGATATTGCATTTCTTTTCTATTTTCTTGTTTCAGAATATTATTTCAATTTATTTTAATTGTAATATTACGTTGTCTTGAAGATGACCATGCTTAACTTTTAAATAACAAAATTATGCATCTTGCAGAAATGTCAAATTTACGTAAAGCCATTTTCTTTACGTTTTAAACACATTTAGTTATCCCCAAATTGTTTAAATTAACCGAGCTTTCAAGAGCAATTTGGCGAGGAAGTGCAGACCCACATCTTTGCCCTGCCCGAAAATGTTTAATTACAAGCTAAGTAATTTGATTAATATTCCGGAAAGTGCATTTCCCCACCCACTGCCACACCCACCGACCTCCGACATGCAACTAAAATTTTGAGAACCTTTTGCTCTGCTTTCGGCGAGCCAGCAGTAAATGTGCAGCATACTGAGAGGCGCAGTTGGCGCAGGGAATAATTAAACTATGTATGATAGCATTATCTCAAAGAGAACCAAAATGTCTTTAAACAAAATATTAAAATGGTAACTATTCATAGGAAATTCATAATTTAAGTTCATAAATGTCTAGAATTGGTAAAAATCCTTATAAAGATAGGAAAAACATTATTGTTTTTGTTCAAAAAACCAACAAACAAACATAAAATTACGCAATTTCGTTAATAGTTTAAGAAAGGTTTTTTTTAATTAAAAAAAATACTCCTGCAATTTTTAAATTAATTTTATTACAACCATATTTAAATATGATTTTTTCTATACATATTTTTAGTGCTCTTATGATTTTCTAAAAAGAATTTTCCTTTTTTTCTATGAACCACTAAATATGGGTCTTGTTTAGAAAATGCGTGCTCAGTGTGTTCGAGTGTTTGGGGGTGGTCGAGTGGGCGGCTGGGCTTGCCTAGTGTGTTTCTTTTTTGTGTGCCCTCCGTTTTGTGCGCATTTTCCGCAGCTTGGCTCCGAGTCTATTTTTGGAGTTGGTTTGAGTTCGAGTTCGAGTTCGCGTGCTTATTGGATTTTCCAGCGAACCCACCCCCCGCCACGCCCTCCTGCCTCCCCGCCTCTCTGTGTCAGGGCCTGCTCCACATTGCCCGTGCACTCCGTCCGGACTTGAATCCGGGTACTGTGCGGGTATATGGGTGTACGGGTGTGTGGGTTTACGGGTGTGTGGGTCTACGGGTCCGGGTCCAAGCCACGTATCCATAAGCCTGCGTGCTGCCAGCGCAGCAGTATCGATTTTCGCCACTCCGCTCTCTCCACTCCCCACTTTCCATTCTCCGCTCAAAACAAAACAAAGTGCGGAGACTGAAAAGAAATAGTAACCCTACCGAATAGCGAATGTCAATATTTCTCCTCCGCTTCCCGCTCAAGTTCAGTGTTGTTCTTCCCATCAGCTGGGAAAATGGGAAAATGTGTGGCAAGAATGGAGCGAACAAAACACGGGGACTGCAAAAATGTTGCACGTACGGATTTGGTGGGGGACAAAGTTATTTAGTTAATAGTTGCGGCAACCAGGGAAACCCTTGGGATTACGTTTGGCAACACTTAAATAATTACAACTATGTTGCTTTGTAATATCTGTAATAGTGGGTGTAAAATGTTTCTCTTTAACAGAATTTCACCTTTAATACTAACTTTGATGGTGTATATAATATATTTTGAAAAGCCAGCATAGGTAAAATGTCTATAAAACGTTTAAAACTCAAAACAACGATAAAGTATTTATTTACATGTATCTCAAAACGTTTTATTTAGTGTATTTTTGATTTGTTTTCAATTAAAATCAAACCAGTTTCTGCTCCGAAAACCAAACTAATTTGGTTGCATATGGAACACCTTTTCGCAGGATTGAATGTGCCACGTGAATTTCAACTGGTTTCGATTGCAAATGAGTTATTCTGGATGCATCGAGGCTACTCGTTTCACATGCAAATTGAACTTGGTTAACACAATCTCCATCCGAACCATCATCCCAATACGAACCCCAATCCCAGTCACGATTCGATCCCCCACAAGCTATAGCCAAGCAGTACGTCAGTGTTCGTTTCTGGGTCACTATGCAACTTTGACCTGATTTGTGGAGTAGGCCGACTATATACACATTAAGTACATGGTATATAGTCCACATGCAGCCGTGATAACGGATGATTTTCCAGATATCGAGCGTTATGCAAAGGAGTCCACAAAGAAATCCGCAAATCAATGAGCTCAATGAGGCGCTCATGAGAGGAGGACGCGCCAGGATGTCTAAGACCATTATTGCGATTATGCCGATGGGCGGTGGGCAGTGGGCGGGGGGTGGTATGACATCACAGACGAGTGGGTGGTGCCACCCCCTGGGGGGCGGTTAGCGACCGGCTCTCTATTTTTCGAGGGTGAGCACTACTGTTTCCACACAAGAGGGTGAAACTGGCTAACAACAAATCACGTGCAGCCACCAACAAATGTTGCATTAACTCAAGTTAATATCTCTTCTTTTTTAACATTTTTTTTTAAGTTTGTTTTTAGAACGTTTTCATTTTTTTGGGTATTTGGGAAACCAACCTTTTTCTTGCCTGATTCTTTATATAATGCTTGAACTCTGCGTCTCATACAATAAAAATCAATTTGGCAAAAGTTGCGGCGCCGCGTTTTCCCAATTTCCCTTTGTGCTTATCGTGGCTTTTCTTTGGGCCCCGTATTCGCAGCGGAAACACACAAAAACATCGAAAGAAAACACACGCGAACGGAAAAACCAAAGCCGCAAAAGAAACCCGCTGTCTCGCAGACAGAGAAGGAAATTGCAGTAAAACGTTCGAAAACAACAAAAAAAGTGTTTGCACGCTTTTGTCGCCTGTAATTGTTGTGACCGCTGTGGAAAATTGTCGAGCGGAAAAGCGAGGAAAACGAGCGTTAGCGCGCACGACTCAAAATTCAAACTGCAGACGGATGCCACCAGCGAAAGTGGAAAAGCCTGATTCTGTTTTCCCCGCGACGAAAGAGAGAGCCTGCGCACTCGATAGTGCTCTCTTTTGCTCACGCGGAAAAGCTTTTCCCATGGACGTAGTGCCTCAGGGATTCGATGGTTTAGTTCGCGGAAAAGCGTCCAAACAACCTGGGCCTACTCCTCTGTCCATTTTCTCCCAGAGTTTGCGCCCTGAACTTCGGTGCAAGGTAAACAAGCTCAGGTGGAGTTTCCGATGGGTGACCCACCCCACGGAAAACTCAGGCTTTTCCAAGGAATTCAGCCAGCCGCTTAGGCTGATCGCCCGTGGGTGTTCACGTGCAGCAGTTAACACTGTAAAGAGTTGTACTTTGTTTCAACAAATTTTTATATGAGTTAATATTATTATTTAATCATAAGTAGAAATACAAAGTGATCTTTTGGATAAGATTAAAATCATTATTGGTACTTTTAAGTGCAGCACCTGATTATAAAAAATCCCACACTATTTATTTTTGTTTAATGTTGACCATAACAAATGAAATAATTGTAGTAAAATGCCGGGCCTGGTTAATGTCGCGATAAAGCGCTTAGATAGTTAACATAACGTCCTTGGCTTTTGTTACCGAATGTTGTACGAACTTTAATGTAGGGTAAGATGGGGTAAAACCGCCAAAAATGTATATTTGACGATGTCAAGCTTTCATTTATAAAATGATCAATGATCCAAATCATATTTCTGAAAGTTTAATCCCTTGGCTACATAATTCATTTAGAAAGTTTTTATGTAGCTTTTATTTTAAAAGAATTGTGATCGTTCAGAAGAAAAGTTTAAAACGGCGGTTTTACCCCACCTAGTGGGGTAAAAACGCCATTCTGGTTTTAGTGTAGTTAAGTACCCAAATAATGTCAATAACTTCTGAGAAAAATTTTTATTCAATTCAAATGGATATTACATGTTACAACGAATATATTATATAAAAGTAAAAATAAGAAATTGAAGCGAAGTCATAAACAAGTCGTCGAACTGCTGTCCGAGAGAAACCAAGAAATATAGCTGATGCTTTTATGAGATATTTCTCAAGCGATGCCTCTTGGTCGTCAGTAAAAATCTGTAAAATAAGAATTACGTGGTTAAAATAGTTTTAAACTAAGAAGAAATGTCGCATTAACAAAGGTTTGAAACTGAAAATTAAAATATTCTTATTTAAAAGATAAAATCATTTTATACAAAACTGTTTGCAATTATCTGTTCAAAAAGAAAGGCTGTTATTTTTAAATTGAATTGAATTCAAAATCATGACATTACATATTGTTTCAATTGACAAAAATTGTGAATATTTGACACTTTACCTGGGGATGATGGCCATAATAAGCGTTGTGCGCTTTGTTGACTCGGTCTCGCAAAGTCTCTCGGGGAATCCCATATTTTTCGGCAACAACTGCCACCTTGCTGCCCTCCTGAACTTCCTCGATTGCCCGAAATATATTTTCATCAATTTTTGATTTTTTTCTTGCGTAATTGCGAGGCATGATGCTGAAAGACATTCATTCTCGATTAAAACGAGTTTTTCCGTTATCAAATTGTGTGGCGTTTTTACCCCACCTTTTCGCGGCGTTTTTACCCCATGCGCCAATTTTTTTTCGAGGTCACTTAGTTTGTACAATTTTGGAAATATTGACTAACTTGATACATGTACATCAGTATCAAGGTTCGTACTATAAGCGGACACTTACCTCTTTTTTTAAGCCGTTCACTTACACTTGATTGAGCAATCTTTATAACAAAAATTTTTTGGCGCCATCGAGTGAAACAAAAATGGCGCTATAGAAATTGTCACGATAAAGCTGCAGTATTCCGACCGACTTCAAAAACCGCGCATTATCAATCAGAATCTACATTATCAACGGTTAATCGTTTCGGCGCTTCATTTGAATTTGAAATCCAAATGGCGGTTTTACCCACCGGCGGTTTTACCCCATCTTACCCTACTCCTAAACAACTTATTGTTCCGGGTCAATAACAATTGTGCCGAGTAGAGAAATAATATGGAGATCGAATGCTAAGATTATTATAGCCAAACAAAAAGAATAATTGGAAGAATGGTACCCGAAATACTATCCCGAATTAAAAATTCTTCAAGTAAATACATTTTTCGTTAGCTAACCTTTTAAACATTCTCATTAACACGTTTTCAAACAAATAAAAACTCATTGGCTATTTAGTGAAATGTTCTAAAAGCCTTCGTGACCAGAATACTGTTTCCCAATAATTACTCCCATTTCTACTTCTTGGCCGATAAGTTTCACTCCATTCTGTCTGTTGGATTTGCATTTGTAAATAACAAGCAGCTGATTCGGACGTTGGCGTTGTGTACCCAATTATATCCATGACATTCATCGAGGACAACAGAAGTGTGTTGGCAGCCAAATAAACACGCAGGAGGACGTCTGCACCCCCGACCTCTGACCCCGGGAAACGGTCCACCCCCTCGGCGGTGGCTGCTTTGTTTGTGTAACTAGGGGGTTTTCGTGTGGGCGAGCGTCGTTCTGGGGGATTACACCGGAATGCACTCGAACGTAAGGCGAAGTTCGCATTAAAAAATAGACGACCCTAGACAGCGGAGCATGAAATATTAAGCACTTCGGCTGGATAAACAAAGGCGGCGAGAGAACGACTTGTTGGATTATTTTCACTTATTTGTGCGGCCAAAACCATTTGAGAGCAAATAGCGCTCATATGCGGAGTCCTCGGAAAAGCCAGAACGCAAATATGGAAATTAAGTGCACACAAAAAGGATTTTTCGGCTTAAATCTGGGAACCTAAAATTTAATACATTTTTTAAAGCTTAACTAAAATTAATAAAGTCAATTAACATAATTTATTAAGATCTACTTTGAACTTAGTTTTATATTGTAATTTGTATTTATATAAGTCAAAATCTTTCTTATATTAAATAAAAATTAAATTTATTACTTAAAACTATAACTTTTGAATTATAATACTTACCAAATAAATGATTTCTTATAAAAGTAAATGCGCCTTACCTTCAAGGAACTGTTTATTTCAGATAGCTTAATTTAGTAATGGCATTTTATAAATATTTTTACCTTTTCGGATATCTGCGCATAAATTGTTTCTTCTTTTCAATTTTATGTATATTTCAAAGTATTTCGTTATATTTTTTCAACCGGTGATGTTTAAATTTAAATTGTTATATGTTAGATGTGGCAATGCCGTTAAGTGAGAGTATAATAATTGGTTACAGGGATAGCTGAATTACTAGCTAAGTTTCCCACCTAGCCGTGCAGAAGTGTTGGTAAATTTTAGCGTTCGTGTCTTGGTAACACTGCTACACAAAAAAGAAATTGGCGGCGGAAATTTTATATTTTTGCCGTTGAAAAGCAGGAAAAATACGTCAAAATCGGTTACAGATGAGTGCCGCTCCACCCATGAATATACCTGGACCCACCGCCAACTGTGAATAACAGAAAACAACGCTGTTTTTTCTGGATAACAAAGCCGAGAGACTGGTGAGTAGCGTGGAAGTCGCCAGGTCAAAACGCCATTCATTCTATATATACGACCGATCCTACAGATAAACCTACGATGTCATCGACGTCGGCGGCTGCCTCGAACTCAGCGCCCGCGAAGACGGAGGTGCGCTACGTGACCGAGGTCCCCAGCAGCCTTAAGCAACTGGCACGCCTCGTGGTCCGTGGATTCTACTCCCTGGAGGACGCCCTCATCATCGACATGCTGGTGCGGAATCCGTGCATGAAGGAGGACGACATTGGCGAACTGCTGCGTTTCGAGAAGAAGCAACTGCGAGCCAGGATAACCACGCTACGCACCGACAAATTCATCCAGATCCGGTTAAAAATGGAAACGGGGCCTGATGGGAAGGCCCAGAAGGTCAACTACTACTTTATAAACTACAAGACCTTTGTGAACGTGGTCAAGTACAAACTTGATCTGATGCGGAAACGCATGGAAACGGAGGAGCGGGATGCCACCAGTCGGGCCAGTTTCAAGTGCTCCACGTGCTCCAAGACATTCACGGACCTCGAGGCCGACCAATTATTTGACATGGCCACGCTGGAGTTCCGCTGCACCTTCTGTGGCAGCTCAGTGGAGGAGGACAGTGCTGCGATGCCGAAGAAAGACTCTCGCCTGTTGCTGGCCCACTTCAACGAGCAACTGCAGCCACTGTACGATCTACTCAGGGAAGTGGAGGGCATTAAGCTAGCGCCAGAAGTGCTTGAACCGGAGCCCGTGGACATCGATACCATTCGAGGACTGAACAAGCCGAACGCCATGCGACCGGATGGCATGGCTTGGTCAGGCGAGGCGACGAGAAACCAGGGCTTCGCCGTGGAGGAAACCCGCGTGGACGTCACCATTGGCGGCGACGACACCTCGGATGCCGTGGTCGAGCGCAAATCGCGACCGATTTGGATGACCGAGAGCACTGTGATAACCGACACGGATGCCGACGATGGCGCAGCCGATGCGGTGCAGACGGCCAGCGGATCCGGCCATCGGAACCGGAAGGAGAACGAAGACATCATGTCTGTGCTGCTCCAGCACGAGAAGCAGCCTGGCCAAAAGGAGCCGCACATGAAGGGCATGCGCATGGGCTCCTCGAACGCCAACTCCAGCGATTCCAGCGACGATGAGAAAGACATCGACAATGCCAAGATTCGTAAGGATTCAATATACATTTCATATTTCAATCAAATAGTAATTTAAAATTCATATCCCATCTACAGCCGATGTTGACTTCGACAATTATATCAACTCGGACTCCGCGGAGGAGGAGGACGATGTGCCCACTGTACTGGTAGCAGGACGACCACATCCGCTCGACCAACTGGACGACAACCTGATAGCGCAGATGACGCCGCAGGAAAAGGAGAACTATATACACGTATACCAGCAGCACTATAGTCACATCTACGAATGAGGACCCCTGCAATTAGCCACGTTTTCCCTTAATTCCCCATCTCACGCATAGGTCATTGTAATTATAAGTTAGCCACTAGTTCGAGAGAAACTGTACAAATGAAGTGCGTATATAAATGTGCATAAAGAAATTTAATTTTGTATAATCTTCTTGATTACCGAACAACGTAGCGGTTGCTTCATCCGAAGTCCTGAAACGTAGTTCACTGAGATCCCCTATTTTATGCGTACTATTTCCCGTTTTTATCAATTTATAAAATATAAGTAGGATTTCAATTTTGTCGTACAAACATAATTATTTTTAAAATTTGCAAAAGCTCGTGAGTTTTGCGAGATATCACTTGCCATCTCTAGCTCGAGCCGCTCCCATCCCTAGTCGGCCCAGTCAGCTGTGTTTGCAATTTATGTAGGTTTATTTTAAGTTTATTCTGGTAAACCGACCGGCCCGGCGCCTCTTCACGTTCGTCGGTGGGCGTATTGAGTTTATAATAATTGGTGTGCCGCAGATAAGGGGAATTCGTAAACAAACGACGGCAAACGCAAACAAACATGTTGACACTCGGCTCGAAACGCCCGGGGTTCCAATCAGTCGTGTTGTGGATGTTCGCCTAGCCGGAGCCCTCGATTTCTGCGGATTGTGCGTGGTGCGGGTTTAAATTAGTGCTAAAAATGCGACAAGTTCCCAAGCCTTCTAATTAGCTGACATGCGAAATTGATGATTTTTTTTTAACAAAAAAAAAACGCTAATGTAGCAAGTTCCAATTGGAAGAGAAACGTGATCTCGGGCACTAAACACATGGATACTAAAAACACTTGCACTTACAGCCGTTTGCATGTGTGAGTCAAACACATGCTTTTTTGCTTGAGTTCGCATTTTTTGTGAATGAACTGGAAAACGCGGTAATTTAGCACCGATAAAACGCAATTAGTATTGATCTTTGTGGCGCGGTTAAACGTAATTACGGCAGAATGAAGGCCACCATCGATAAGGAGCTGCTGCCCATGAAGGCGCACTATTTTCTCTTCAATGCCGGTAAGTTATATGCATGCTACTCCCCCTAAAAAAAATACACCCACAAACCCATTAATTTAAGTACCGCGCATCGCTTACATCAGCCGATAAGGTTTTCCCGTTTTTAGACGCACGCACGTGCTAGAGGTTAAATATTGTGCTGCTAATTGCGAACTTTTGATCTCTCGCTTCGATTTCGTCATTCAGAACACTTGCCCTATGTTTAGAGATAAGAAAAACACCCGGAATATAGAACAAAAGGCAATGGCGATCGGAGAGTCCAATAAGCTAGCGATAAGCTAATGCAGGCCGATTCGGGTTACAATTCCTAGCGAATGATACAGCACTTTGCTGCGTTTTAATTGAAATTACAGTAACTTATAGGCAATTTTTTTTTTTAAATGGTCAGTAATTTTAAACCACATTCAGAACGGTAATCTTGCTTTGGCGATCTGGAAATGTTTGTGGGGTCTTATTAATTGACTTTATTTGATTAATGAAATCATATCCAATGAATAAATCATTTTTCTGTGAAATCACACTAAACAATATAAAAAGTATATGGTGATACATATATGGAATGGAAAATTCTGACCAAAAACGTCTGAGCTCTAATTAAGAAACTCTGGGTTTTGCCCGCATGGAAACCAAATTTTCGAATTTTCAATCTGCAGTTAACTGACAAAATTCACTCACTACTCAATTGGGGTAGCTGAAAAAGGAACAAAGGCTGTATTTTTCTATTTTATTCTAGTAATTCTAGTAAAGAGAATAAATGTTTACGTAAGTGATTAATACATACTTTGCACTTTGTTCACTTGCTTAATTTTATTTACAAGATAATAACGTTATAAAGTAGTACATTCTTTAAGATGCAAACACAGACACGAGATAAGGTCTTCTCATAATTGTTGGTAGAGCTCCGTGACTAAATGCCGAACCAGAAATATCTGAAATTCAGACTTGGTCTCTCCTTCAATTTAGAAGCAGTTTGTATAAGAATTCCGTAAAAACATTAAGAGGTATTTCTCTATAACATCAGTTTAAATTGGTAAAGTTATAAGCTTTTTGCCACAAATGTGGGCAAAGGTAAAAAAACGAGATTTAATAACAACCCCAGCGACCGAGTGAACTGCCGCTCCCCGAAACTCATCAAAAGTTAAGACGTGCCGACAGCCAAACCACTTTCAACAATTAAAGCTTACTTTTACTTTTCTTTTCAATTACCATTAAGTTCTACTTGGCAGCGAGTTGACGATATCTAACTTACTTGTTTGCGATAGACGTTGCTTATCAGTGAGGGAGAAACACCCACAACTAGACGAAAACACTGAATATAATGATGTCAACTGCCCATATGCATATCTCCACCCACTCACTCATCCACTTATCAGGTCCAACGCATCTGAAAGATAATCTAGTGTTTTTGCATGCTCTATTATCTAGGTACCGCTCCCGTCGTCCCCTTCATGCCCACTCTGGCCGGACAGCTGGGATACTCCCCCGCGGTGGTGGGCACCATGTACATGATTCTGCCCATCATTGGAATGCTGGCGAAGCCCCTATTCGGCTACATTGCAGACCGGTGAGATGATCTTCCTAATCTGTAGACTTACTAAACCTATTTATCAAACGTTTACTTTAGAGTTGCAAACAGCTACAGTTCCCATTTCATCGTAAAACGTGCTCACTTACAGTTTCTATTTACACAAACCTATTTATTTATACTAATACCCATTTAGTGCCTTTTACGAGCTACATTTTTTTCCCGAAACTCAACACATTTTTTAATTTTTAGGGTAAATATACCCTTGTTGTTCAATGAGCTTTTTAGTTTTTATAAAAGCTGTAATAGGTTTGAACTTGGAAATAATATTAGCGCTTACTAAAGAGTATGACAAAATAAATCAATAAGCCTTTTTATAGCCTCAGTTGACTAATTGAATAACATGGTAAATAGAGTTATTATCAGTTATCGTAAAATTGTATTTTATTAGCAATCGTTTCTATTAATTGGTTGAGTTGACGTATTGATATTATTTAAATTGTTAACGTATTTATTATATAAAAGAGCTTTCAATATACACAAACCGTTTTTTGGCCAGTAAATTATTTCTACAATATTTAATATTATTTATATATTTTTACCTATATAAAGGTTCCATCGGCATCGCTCCCTCTTCCTTGGGGGCCAGGTGCTCACCGGCATTGCCTTCTTCCTGATCATGTTCGTGCCGGGAATGGAGAAACCGCTGCCCAAGGTGGAGTTCCACTGCCACTCGGGTGTATCCAACGTGCGATTCTGCTCCGGCTTTGGCGAGTGCGTGGAGCGGAATCTAGAGCGATACTACGGAAATCAGTCGCTGAACTGCCACCTGAACTGCGAGGCTAAGCCCTTCATGTGGGACATTGTGTGCCAGGATTGGTTGAAGAACAATACGGACAACTGTGCCGCAAATCGCACCAATCCTCAAATGGAGTTTGGAACGAGCATCAGCATGGCGGAGATTTTGCCCGAGAAGGAGTGCTTGTTTTTCATGATTCCCCATGATCGCGGCCAAATTGCTGGTCAGAATGTAACATTCAATTGTCCAGCGAACAAGGAGTACTTCGCAGCCAATTGCACCATGGACTGCCAGGAGGAGTACATCAAGGAACAGCTGGCGGAGAGTGCGGTGATCAACACAAGTAGTGCCTTGTCCATGCCGAAGTTCTGGCTGTTCTTCGGCCTGCTCATCTTCAGCTGGATTGGCATGGCGGTGGTGGTCAGCATCGGTGATGCCATCTGCTTCGGCATCCTCGGGGATCGCCATCACCTGTATGGCAAGCAGCGCCTGTGCGGCTCCCTCGGTTGGGGAGTCTTTGCCCTGTTGGCCGGCGTCCTCGTGGATCACATGTCCGTGGGTGAGGTGAACAAGAACTATACGGCCGTGTTCTGGATGGCGCTGATTATCATGGGATTCGACGTGTTCGCCTCATCCAAACTGAGGGTGAGTTGAACGTAATACCACAGTCATTTCAAAGAAATATGATGACTGTCTTATTAAATAAAAACATTTATAAAGATTATATTTTAATAAACCACTGCACAATATTATAAACTTTTTTTTAGCACACGCAAACCCATTTGTCGTCCAACATTGTCAAGGACGTTGGTCAAATGTTCCTCTCAGTGCGCTGTGTCATCTTCTTCCTGTGGTGCGTGGCTATTGGACTCGGAACGGCTTTGATTTGGAACTTCCTGTTCATCTACTTGGAGCAGCTGGACAAGGCGTTCGAGGGATGTGACAGCTCGATCAAAACCCTGGAGGGTTTGGTCATGGGGATTCAGTGCTTCGGCGGAGAACTGCCGTTCTTCTTCCTGTCCGGATGGATCCTGAAGAAGATGGGGCATGTGAACGCCATGAGTCTGGTGCTTTTCGGATTTGGAGTGCGATTCATTTTGTACTCGATGCTGCAGAACCCCTGGTACATTTTGCCCATCGAACTGCTGAATGGCGTCACCTTCGGGTTGTTTTACGCCACAATGGCCTCATACGCGAGCATTGTGGCTCCACCTGGAACGGAGGCCACCATGCAGGTGGGTTTCTTGGCCCTAAGAAGAGTGTCCATCAATCCATTATCTTTTTTCTTGCTCTTTCAGAGTCTGGTGGGCGCAATTTTCGAGGGTGTCGGTGTGTCCATGGGAAGTCTGATTGGAGGCCAGCTCTTTGAGGCGGTCTCGGCACGCACGACCTTCGAGATCTTTGGAATAGGTGCCTTCATTATCTTCGTGATCCACGTCTCGATTCAACTGTACCTGCAGCGCAACAGGAACATTGACGAAAATGGTAAGGGTAGGGTCTCTTCCGCATCCGCCACTGCCACTGCCCCAGCCACTGCGTCCTTGGAGACAGACAGGCCCAAAAACACTGACCATAAAGACGGTGACGGTTTCCGCGAAGTCGACTTGAGTTGATGCTGGCCAAGGTCCCCCCTTATAACATTTTTTATTGAACAAACGAAAAGGCTAGCTCCCTGAATTTATTTAAGTATTAACCGTTTAAAATACAGTGTAGATAGATTTTTATCTATTTGAATTTTTATTTGGCAAGTGTACTTAAAATGCCCTCAAACAAAGGAAATCGACATACTATTACCACTCGAAAACCATCCTATGATTTTTAAGATCTGCCATAGATTATATTGTAGATAACTGACTCAAAATGAATTTAAAGCTCACTTGCCTGATTAAGTAAAATTGAATGAATTTAGCAAATCACAACGGAACTTGATATTCTTATCATTATTTTTTTAATTTAAATGTATGTGAACTGAAATCAAACAAATAAATCGACTGTTCATATTCTCTAATGAAGATGAAAAAATAATTTAACTAAGCACAATAAAATATATTTGTGGGGAAACAAGAAACGTTATTATTATTATTAGTTGGACTATCAATTTTCTAGCGACCACATAGCCCTTATTTATTTTATTATTTTTCAGTATTTAAAATATTTAAACATTTTACTAACTGTTCTGAATATTTTTAGGCACTGTCAAGTATTTCGCACCGACAGATGCAATGCACATGCTGAATGATCAGGAGTATAGTAGAGTTAGCTAAACGATGTTTGGTTTGACCGCATCACCCACACCACCAATCAATCACCAACGAACCAGCAACAGCGACCACAAGAGGCCACGCTTCTACTGACCAACTGAATGCTCCACACCAACATATTTCTACTCTCGAAGCTGCATGTTGATTCGGTGTACTACCTATATTGTAAACGTGCTTTATTTAAGTAGTAACTTATCTTAGTAGCCCCACACTCTCACACATTGCCACCTACGAGCATGACGCGCAAGCGAAACCCTTCCTCATTTACCTTTCAATTCAATGTGAGAACTTAATTATTTGTAGAATTTCAAGCGCAGCAGGTTGTTTGCATGTTCTAGTAGTTACAACCAATGTTTACCGTGAGTTTTAGTTTATATTATATAAGCCGCTGCCTTGGCGCTGTGATTGTTCAACTATTGTTTCTCCACACCATCTTAATGTTTAACGAGTTTGTATATTTATATGTAATATTGGTAGCTAAATGTATCAACGTAGTCAATGGCTTCCCCTGTTCCGGGTGCATGTGTCTCTTATTTTTGCGAAATCTCTTAAGTATTTACTTAACTATACACAATATACAATGTAATGTTTTTCGACTTATCGCAGGCATACGATAGCCAGTTCTTATAACGTATACAATAATTATTATTATGTATCCAAATGGTTTAACTTTTGTTCAACTGTTATCTTTGTTAAGTTGTTATCGGGAATCCCAATGTAAATGCGCCTTTACGAGGTGTTGAACTTGTAAAATCCCAGATCCACCTGGTCAGATGGGATCTGATAATCTAGTGCTTCTACTGGCTGCCGATGAGCGACTCCTCATGCTGTTGCTTTTCGAGTTTGCGCTGGTAGTCGCGCTGCTTGCAGGCCGCCACGTTTGCGGCGCGTTTCTGTAATCAGCAATTAAAAAGCTAATAAACGTTTTAATCAACACAGTTTTTAATTTTTTTTATTGCTCCCTTTACTCTTTTACCACGGGTTTTTTTTCCTTAAATCATTTCTCACCTTCAATTCTTTGGTGCGCTGGTAGACGCCCTGCATTTCCTTCTTGATCTTTGTCAGTTTTTCTTTGTATCGCTTCACATCGCTCATCTACATAAATGGAAACGGCAATAAAGGCTGTTACTTTGTAGTTTGTAATTTCGAGTTGATTTATATGCTCATTGTTTTGAGATTAGATAGTGATCACAGACGTTTGCCTGCACCCACAGATAAGATTTACCAACCTAATTGGCCAAGCTTTTTTGTACTTGGCTATTGTGCCTTATAAAATGGCCCTAATTGTTCGGAATTAGTAATTACACAATTGACATGATATACATATGGAAAGCTCGATCGGAATGCATTCCTAATCAATCACGGCATTTGTAACTAATAAAATAACAAACAAGTCAAGAAAAGCGAAAGACTAGCTATATCAAATTTTGTATCATTAATAAGAATTAAATATGTTCTGACATTCGCACATTTTATAAATGTAGCTCCTGCTACAATATTTTTTAAAAAGTCTACAGGAAAACCAAGAGAAAATTTGTTTTGTGGATTTATAGGAACATGAAATGGTTCTTACCATGTCATTCAGTCTGGCCACTTCGCTGCAATCCAGTTTGTATTTCTCCTTGGACAAATCGATGTATATTTTGTTCTGCCTTCCACTAAAAAGGGATTTTTTTAACATTTAAGGATGGGGTCCTGAAAAAAACACTTACATCAATTCCCTAAGTTGTACGCGAACATGTTCTAGCGGAGGTTCCGCTATTTGCAGTACCCCAGCGGACAATTGCAAAGCGGCTAGACTACCCATAACATCCTGATCCTTGGATGAGCAACAGGTTTCCGCTTTCTGTTTTTTGTTTCCATCGGGGGAAGGTGACACTGCCGGATCCCTTTTTGTTTGGTCAGGGATTTCATTAAGGACACTATAACGAACATTTCGGGAGTTACATTATGGGAATATCAATGTTTTACTTGATGTACCTATTTAAATTGCTGCTCTTCAACATAATAACAAAAATTGGCAGGAAAATCAAAACAAACCAACAAGAGATTAAAACTGAAAAACAGCTGATTGATCGGTGTTGGAAAACTTCAACATTTAATACCGGTACATTGAACACAAATCAGAAATTTAAATGATATAAAAAACTCGGTTCCTGTAAACAAAAATTTACTTTCTTTAACCTCATTATTTATTATTTTTGTTTTACTTTTGTTTTTTACATTTAAAAATAAACGTTGTTTTCTGCTCGGATAACGAATAGTTTTATCCATTATCCGTTTAGTAGAGTTTTAAGCCAGTTTAGCGGCGACACCTAATACTGTTTTTTAATCAGCTGTTCGTATATTTTCAACAATAAATTATTATTGCTTAAATGCGCTGCGCTGTGAATAATTGCGGAAATAATAATCGCAATTGCAATAGAATAAAATGGCGATACTTTCATTTCCCCAAGGAGAAACCGGTTCTTCAAAAATGGATAGATTTCTGCCAGCGAAAAAGCATGAATCCTGCTACAGGTATTATTTAATGACAGTTTAAAGAGTAAACAAATTATTAAAAAATATCCATGTGTATATAAACAGCTTGTATTTGCAATGAGCACTTTACACCTGAAGATTTTGAACGGAACATGCAGTACGAACTTGGGTTTACCAGAAAAAATCCAACTAAACTTAAGCCCGGCTCATTTCCCACTATAAATAAACCCCGAATGCTGAAAAAGCGTGGAAAACCAAAAAAGGATAATTTTAATGTTTCTTCAGCTAAGTCTAAGAAAACTCAATCTCTAGATGATGATGATAATGAAACCATCGAAATCCAACTATGCGATTTTGCCACTGATTTGCAGCATCTCAGAGAAAATTCGTCCAGCAATGAGGATGTGGAGCTAATCAGCGAATCTGATTTAAATAAAGACCCCAAGAGACTGAAAGATTATATGCATTTGGAAGTGGAAATCCTGGATCCTTTAAATCCGCAACCAAATGCCAAGGATCATGTGGAGATCGTCGACTCAGAGGGCGACAATTATGTCAAACATTTGGAGCACGAAGTGTTAGTTTCTGCCATTAAACGTTATGATAACATTTTTTTATATTTTTAAAAACATATACACTATTCCAGATGTTCCTTAAAACGAGAGGTATTTTTTCTTAAGGAGGAACGCAAAAAATTACTGGAAGAACTTCGAATCCTCAAGGCCACTTTTCAAAAAACGGAAGTCTAAAAAAGGCTGAAAAGGCAACTCTTTGTCAATTGCAGCGTAGTTGACACTTTTTCATCAACATATTTTATACAATATAACTGATTTCACCTTTTTGTAATGCATTAAGAAGTAATAATTAATTATAATTAATTTTAATAACTAAGATGTATTTTAAAAGTAAGCAAATACTATTAATTTGATGTCAACATATTCACTTGTAAATAAATTCATTCAAATGAAAAGCCTACATCCGTTCTTTATTTAAAACAATCGTGTGTTTCTGTTTTAATTTAATTAATCCTCGATGATGATATCTTAAGTAGCGAGTAGCAAATGTTTTACATTTTTAAGAAAAACCGTACATTTGTTTAACATGTGGCATGCAGGCGATAAGCCATAGGCAAAATTTTGGAAAATTGGCCTGCTACCTATTTTCCGATTCTATCTACTTAAGCACTTTCCACTAAATCAGCGGGTACTCAAAAACATTTTCTAGGTGTCCGCGTTATCTTTCTCAGAAATTTTTGGGTAATCGCGGTTAGGTCGTTTTTGCCAAGGTCAAAGTCATTACAGCAGGCAAGGAAACCTTACCCGATAATTTACTTTACTTCGCCTACCTGTAGGAGTATAAAAACCAGTGGTCTATTGGCAATCGATCTGCACTGCAAGCGATGTCCTCAAACCGACTACATCCTGTCGGACCGACGACAGCTCCAAGAAGTTCAGGAAGTCAAGGACCAGCAATTCACCTGAGGACACAATCAACCAGCGCTTGCGGTGTTAGCAACGTATACAAGTTTAGACAATTGTAAATTCTAGTTAATTTGATAGATCAATTGTACATTTTAGTTAATCTTCTAGTTCAATTGTATATATACATCATCAAAATTGTATATACCAAGCTAGCCAATTTAGTTTAAGTAGTGCATTTGTATATAAAATCCTTATACCAATTTTAGTCAATTCAATAGTCCAATTGTATATACAGACAAATCATAGCAAATTATTTAGAACAATAACTCCAGTCTTTAAAGTTCTGGAAAAAATGTGATGATCGGTCTGCACTGCAAGAAATGTCCAACAATCCGACAACATCCTTTTTGGACCGACGACAGCTCCGCGATCCATCGATGTACTTTAGTGGAACTTCAGGATCAGATGTCAAGGACCAAAAACTCGCCCATGGACACAATCAATCAGCGGTGTTATCAAATAATCCGAATTTAGACAATTTTAGTTAATTAAATAGATCAATTGTACATTCTAGTTCAAATGTATATATACATCATCAAAATTGTATATACCAAGCTAGCTAATTTAGTTTAAGTAGCGCTTTTGTATATAAAAACCTTATTACAATTTTAGTTCAATTCAATAGTCCAATTGTATATACACACTAGTCATAGTAAATTATTTAAAACAAGAGAGGAAGCAAGCTTCCCTGTTGATTGTCGAGAAATTCGAATAAATGTTTAACAACATCGAAGTAACCAATTGTCTATTCATTTTTGAATAGCTTCCCTGGGGAAGCTATGTATGTATATGACCAAGAGGAAAAGCTATTTTCACTAGAATTAAGTATGTCCTCAAAGTTAATATCATCCTCATATTTGGCCAATATATCGCAAAACTTTGCTTTGTACCAGCTGCAAGATATTTACTTCTGTGGGAAAGAAAACCAGGAGTTTTGGCATAGCACATTTCATATTTTCATCACAGTACCAATTATTCAAACAAAAGTTTGAAAACATATATGAATAGCTGTGCAGTCTGTTTTAAACATTATTTTAATGTTAAAAGTGGTGTACATTGTTGCTGTTACTATAACAATTGCATCTCTGTCAAAAATATAGCTATAACTTAAATAAAGAACGACATAGCGAACATGGAAAATACAAGCCTATCTGTGATGAACACAAGAGATGAACTAAAAGTAAAAACTTAAAAAGCAAATTTGTACTAACTAAATTATATATATTTGGGCAGACGACCGTCGCTAGTCGCTTGAGATACAGGCTCTGTGGGCAGTTGGAATTGTCACAGATAGAACCCTTATCCTTTCTTAAAGTCAAGGAGGTCGTCCAACGCCGCCGCCTTGCCGGAGTCGTCTTTCTCCAGTTCCGCACGCGTACAGCGCCCACAGCAGTCGGCCGAGGGTTTGTTTTCGCACTCTCCCAACGCTGGTGGCTTAAAGTTGGGAGTCCAGGGTCCCAGGCTGCCACTGGCGTAGAAGTCCATCGGATACGCGTTGTTGCGTGGCGACGTGTTGTGTGGCGTCCACTCAACATCGCCCAAAACCACGGATAGCTCATAAGGATTTAACAGCGGTTTTGTGAAGGCAGATCCCCAGTCGATCGAAAGTCGCGGGCATGCAATCTGTACGAAGGCGTCGATGTCCTCAAAAAGTGCCAATTTCTGCGGGAAGATCTCCGATAGCAGCAATGTGGTAGTCTCGATGCCTTTGGCATGCAGTCTTTTCTCCAAGAATCGATGCACCCTGGAACTGCCCTGTCTGCCGAGTGTTCCCAGAATGATGCCGATGCGACGAGCCTTCTTCGAGCGCTGTACGGCATCCAAGCGAATATTCTGCATAGCCGTGTGGTCGTACTGCTCTATGGTAAACTTCTTCTCATACGGATCGTACTTGTAGGCCTAAGAAGGTAAACAAAAATAGTTATTGACAGTGGAAAACGCATTTTGAAGCTACCTACCTTCAGCAAAGGGTTGGCAATCATGGCGGATTCCAGGTGGAAACGCCCATCGCCCAGGTAAATAATCATCTTTGCAGTCTCTGGCAGCTGCGGCGACGTGCAGCCGAGAATCTCTCCGGGACTTAGGGGCTTGGCCTGAGGCACTATCACATCATAGCCGGCTGCCTTCAGCTCTGTGGAAGCAGCCTGCAGCGTGGTCACAAACTGTATTGTGCTGACCAAAGCAATCTGGCCCACCTCCGGGCGGAAGTTCAGCTTTACAGAGTCCAGAAAGTGCAGCGGGTCGATTTTGATGTCCACAAATATGTATAGCACCTTGATGCCGCAGGTCTGATCGACGGGAATGAGGCAGCTGTGGCCGTAGTGGACCAGCAGATCCGCTCCCAGAGCCTTGGCTGTGTAATCGTCCACACAGCAAGCTCCGTAGGTTACATCACCCATTATGACGGTATCCGCACTGGTGAAACGCTCCACTATGTCGCTGATGACCATGGCGTACATCAGCAGACCCTCCGGCAGCTGCAAAGCCACTCGCTTGGCCTTCATCTCCCGTATCCGCCAGATGGTCTTGTGCATCTCGAAGTTGTAATTCGAGGGCAGGCGGTCAATGGCCTGCTGCAGCTGTGGATCATCGAGGAGCTCCTGGGGAATCCGATTAATACGCGCCTTTGGCTTAAACACCTTTTTGGGCCTGGCCCTGACCACCACTACTTCGGTGCTCTCGCTGCTCGGCAGGTTGCTGTTCGGTTGGATCACGTCCAACATGGTGCTAAAAAGAATACAGTTAAATCAGGAAATGAGTGTACGTTCAATGAAAAACCAGGCCTACTTTTGCTAACCGAACAGAACATAATTGCTTGGATTTAAGTTAGATATTAAGTTTGTGATCGCTTATTCGTTTTTCATTATTAAATAGTTATTAGAAATTTATAAAAAGTTTTTTTGTAATATATATTGATATTTTTTAACGTAAAATTTTAGGAATTAATTTAATACGCATTAACGTTAAGCTATCAATTCCTTAAACCAGACATGTTAAGGTCAAGATTGTTTTGATTATTAGACATTATGTATTCAGTTTTCATGCTTTTTTTGTGGTGATAATTTCAACAAACAAACAAAGAGACAACGCACTGCATGGATTTGGTTGCTGAAGCTGGCGTACGTGACTGCTGAATGGAATGGAAAGGGAGGACCGGCCCCTTTGGTTGCAGTAAACCGGAAAAGAAAAACCCGAAATCTTATATTTAGCTTTTGCCAGGTGGTGAATCATTTAATTGACAAGGCGGCCCCACCTTGGGGAAACACTTTTAAATGAGAACTTTCAAATCAAAGCCGCGCCAAGGTCTGAATTAACAATTGGCAATTACAAAGCAGAACAAACTTGTGTTTTGTATAGTAAACTACTAATTAAACCAAACACTGATGAGTAAACCTTTATTTTTTTTTAATCATGGACACTTTGAGTGGAGTTTTAATATTACGAATTGGTTTTCGAAACACAGCACTGATAATTTAAAATATTTGCATAGAAAAACAATAATCTCCAACCAAAACTAGTTATGTATTTATATGTTTACATTCAACACAAATTGAGTTCACTCTAGAGACTTTGTCTTACCCGTAGTATTTGTTTAGTTAACAAAACTAATTTTATTTAATCGTATAATACACAAAGTGCTCGGCTCGGATCGTTCGATACCTTTATCAGTTGAACGTTAGACGCGGTCTGAATTTCAGGGGTTGCGTTTTGCCTTTGGCTGCTGCACGCAGAAATTGGTCACTGAACTTTCCGTTTGTGTTGCGCCATTGATAACTGTTTCTGAGTCACGTAGGCCGCACACCATGCAACACGAAACGGGTTGCTTCTGCTACCTGATTTCGGCAATTGCCTGACCCAAAATATCCAAAATATGATACTGGTTCTAGTTGATTTCACTGCTCTTTGTTGCCAGGTGATTGTTTTTCTTTCGCGCTAGCTATTATATCACTTGCACAATTAATAGTTTGCCCTTAGCGCTTTAGTTTGTAGGAAAGTGTAATTTTGGCACGCTTAGTCGCACAGCTGATGCAAAATTGTTGCTTCGATTGCCTTTCTAAATGCCACTAACTATTATTTTCTTATTATACGGGTTTTCACTTAGTTGTCTTTTAATGTTACTTACAATTTCTGATTTATAAGCGTCTGTTGTTAAAGTTAAACTTATTTCCTCGCAATCCCGCGTGTAAATGTAGAATGACAACAGCTGATTGGACTGAATGGCTCGTGAACTTGTGAAACACGTTTTAAGCAAGTTCCAGTTGAGGAACCAGTTGTATTGAACACTAAAATTGTATAGTGTTGAAAAACGATGGATGCCCTTGTTGGCGGGATTTTAATAAGTTTTAAATTTTATGAAACCCTTAAGTTAATTACCGGGAGTAAATTATATCAACTGTACAAGAACGTTTTAACTTTGATTTTAGAAGGATAATCAAACAATTAGTTGAAGGACTCTTAAATGTGTCGTCTAACTTTAATATTTTTAAGGACTTCTTTATAACATTACAGCTCCATTGAAGATTTACAGCTTTGAGCTCTCTGCCTCGGACACATCAGCCTCCTCCGCATCCTCTGTAAATAAATGAAATATTACAAAAATAAGTGGGAATTGGCGGAAAAGCGTTAGAGATATAAAACCGCCTTCGTTCACCTACGCTTTCCGCCGGGAAGCCGCCTTTGGCGTTCCTGTTCCACGGCAGCAAAATATTCCGAGGCTGCCTGTTCACAGGCTCCCTCAAATGGAGCCATATTGATCTTTCCGTTGATCATCATGTTGTCCGCCTGATCCTGTCCGTGATTGGCCTTCACCTTCAGCTTGCTCTCCCGTGACTTGGCCTCCAAGATCTTCTCACGGCGGTTCTCACGCTCAAACATCTGAAGAAAGATTTTTTTATCAAAGGGTTTTTGTATTTAATTACTAAGAACTTACCGCAGTTAGCAATGGCTTATCGTTCTTGGCCGACATCACCATGTTGTCGGATACTTCGATAAGGAAGGTGGCTCCCAACTGGCTGCCACAACTCACAAACTTGCCGTTCTCATTGGTCCGGACACAAAAAAGTGGCTCATCACAAACCTTCACCGTGAGAACCGGCTCATTTTGCTGCTGAAGCAGATCCCAGGTGTCCAGGACACCATCCATGCGGGTAATGAAGAACTGGGAGACTCTAAAAGATTTATTAGTAATAACCCCATTAATCTCAAAAAGATATATGTATGTAAACTTACTTGGTGTAGCTCCAGGCACCGTCTGTCAGCATGGAGCTGCTGCTCTTGGTCCAGATAATGGAGCTCTCTCGGCAATCCTCCGACCAGATGCGCGCACACCAGTCGCCCACGGTGAGAAAGTTCTTCACAAAGGCCGGATTCCGGGTGATGGCGTACACCGGACCCAAGTGGCACATCATCTATAGAGGAGAAAATAATATAAAATGAACAAAACCCCTTACCCAACAACCATCAGCCTACCCTTATTTGAATTTTCTCCGTGGGCGTCTTGCCCTTTCGATTGCAGGAGAAGAGCATGCCCATTTCGGTGCCAGCCATGAACCGAGTGGGAATGGTGGTCTCGTATTCCAGCACCGAAATGCCATAGGATCGGGATAGATCCTGATCGTCACTCTTGACTGGATCCATTAGCAGGCGATCCAGGGGCTCACTGAGTTTCCGGGTATCCCACCACAGAACCTGACCGTCGGATCCGCCGGAGAAGAACTCGGTGCCACTCTTCGAATTGTTCCACAGCACCGAGTTCACTGGATCCCGGTGGCAGACCTCCCTTTCGCTGATCATCACCGGGTGCTTTCCATGCCGTGTATCCCAGGCCGCCACCTGACCATTGTACATGCCACTCACCAAGCTGGTTGGATCCTTCTGATTGTACTCCAAGCACACGCAGGGAACCTTTGGCTCCAGGGTGAGGAACGGTTCGTTGGGGTTCTCCACCTCCCAGATGTACGAGTTGCACTTCTGGTTGGACTTGTCGCCCTGAAACCGCATGTCGCAGTGGCTGACGGCCATCTTGATGCCGCCATCCGGGGACCAGGAAAGATGCTTCACCGGCACCTTGACGGGATTCGGATCCCGGTAAACGTTCACCGTTCGCGACTTACAGGGTTCGGGAAGTGGAGCCGGGTCGAGATTCTCGAAGTAGTTCTCATAGATGTTAACCGCATTGTTCTGATGGATGTAGTGCTCCATCGGCTTGGTGAGGTTCATCACCTGGGTGATATAGTTCTCATCCTTCTCGATTTTTCGCTTGTATCGCACCGTCTGCTCCGGATCGTGCATATTAATATCCTTTGGCCATCCTCCCTCATTGTGTGTTATTCCCGTACTTTTGTAGGTTGCCCTTTCTGTATTTGCCACACTCAGCGAAGTTTGTCCAGCGTATTGCGTCACCCGATCCACGGGATTCTGCAGGATGTAGTTCTTAACCAACTCCGGATTGGAGTTCTCGCTGAACACCACATCATCCTTGTCCTCAAAGGTGACGCGGGCACCAAAGGTTCGTCGCTCCTTTTTAAAAATATATTCCATTTTTGCCAGGAACTAAATGTAACCACTCCTCAGTTTCAGCAAATAAGTCTACAGACAATTTTCTGGCCTATAGATGTTCGATTTCAGCCATGGCAACTGATTGTTTGGTCAATATTATCATGTCGCAATCAATGGGTTTCCGGATGGGAATAATAAAACTAATTTATACCTATACATATTTATTTTCCCAATCAAAACAATCAAAAATGATCCACAGATATTTGCAAGTTTATTTTAAACATAAAATGAGAGATTTATTTCGCGTAGAAATGTTTGCAAACAAATGATTGAGAATGCTAAAACTTTCGTACTTACAATAGTAATAGTTATAGTAAAATTAATGTTATCGAACTGGTATTTTACAGGTAAATCATGAGGCTGGGATCGGGGTTTCTACTAACGGGTATCTATACACACAAACATTATCAATATTTCTGTTTTGTTTCGACAAGCACCGATCCATTAAAGAGTGTTTGGTTTGGTTTTGGTTTGGGAAACACTTGGCTTCCGATTTGTTTGGGGGAAAGGAATTAGTATCTGTTTCCAGGGCAGGTATTCCATAAAATTACTCTTAAACTGGCGACGGTCTCTAATATTTGTATATAGCATTGCCTAGCGGCAAATCGCTCGAAGATTTGTTATCGTTAGGTAGGTGTATTCGTTTCTAGCTTTGCTTCCTGCAACATCACATGATTTCCTCCACTCGGCGTCTTCTACTCGGAACTTTAAATCGAATTGGATCGCACTGGGGACGGGGTAACTAGAGCTGGTTTTTTATTTCATTTCACTTGATTGGAACTTATAATAAGATTTAGCACCAAAAGCAGCTGGTTTACGTAAAAGAAACTACACTTAACACCTACAATAGATCGCTCAAAAGTCATGCATAAAAGTGTATTTCTCTCGTTTGTCTTAAAATGAACAAATCGGCAATTATATATACTGGTACGTTAAAAATAGTTTTCTCCATGCACGGTCTCGCAATAATCAGCTTGACAAAATATAATCGCTTATTCTCGTTTTGTGGCAGTTCGTTTTGCGTGTCCTAAATAAGTCTATAACTGCTCCGATCTCAAAAATTTGGCGATCCAAAATTGGACCCTGGCAACTGACACGCGAGTCGATAAACTACACAACTAATAGTAATCTTCGGTCCTCCACAGCTAGTAATTCACCGGAAGATGTCACAATACAATAAGTTGCCAAATAACTGAACTAAAGCCACGCTGAACTAGAATCTGAACCTTAATCTGGACAAACTGCAAACCAATCGAAACGAGTCTGGCGGCCTACGCACATACATATATGTAGTTATAGATTAGGGATTTCTTTATCACTTTGCTTTTTCTGATCCACTCCTCGACTATCCAGCCATCCATCCATCCATTCCGCCTCTCTCCAAGGGTAAAACTTTAACACACACATAAAGACTTTCATTCGCAGCCAAACAACCAATCCTGCACGCCTCCGTAAAAATACTATCGATCTATCTCTATCTCTCTCCCTTGGTCCGGTCCGCTTACAACGAGAAGTACTTGAGAAACTGGGCCGGAGGCACCGGCTGGGCCAAAGCCAGCTGTCCGCCCGCCTCCTCCAGGCGCTGCTTGTAGTCGGGACTCTGGTCCACGATGCACGGATGCCCGTCCGACGGCCAAAAGAGGCAGCAGCACGAGCGGCACAGGGCCAACACCTCCGCGAACTGGTAGTCGTCGTTGACGCCGTACGTGCGTCGCAGCTGGTGATAGATCTGCTTCCAGTCCTTGATCTCGCCCATCTGCTTGAACTTGTCCAGGTCGAGGATCGTGTGGATCTGGCGCTGGTTGAAGTGGAAGCGGGTCAGCTCGCGCCAAATCCTCTGCTCGGAGACCAGCTTGGCCATGGTCTCCCAGGCCTCGGCGGCCGACTCCAGGTCCCGATGGTCGGCGATGCACAGGATGATCTCCCGCACGCACTCCTCCGGCAGCTCGTGCAGTTTCGGTTTGGCCTCCGGATCGGGCTAAAATATGCGTATTATAGTTTTTTGTTGACATTTATGTAGCTCCACTCACCTCTCGAATTTCAATTTGGCTGGCGACGCGCTGGATGCGCTTAATGGTGGCCATGTGCTCCTTCCACAGGTAGGTGCTGCCCAGTGGCTTTCCCCAGCACTTCTGGTTCTCCTGGCTGACGATGTTCTCCAGCTTCAAGGCCAGGCCACGCAGCACATTCGGATGCTGCTGGCTGTCATTTACTAAAATAATTCAAATAACTATTAAGCACAGTTCAGTATGTTATAGTGCATCACTTACCATGGGAGGCAACCTCCTCGACCATTTGGAGTAGCTGGCGTTGAGCACTGCCCGGCAGACTAGCCAGTCCCTTATTGGACACGAGCAGCAGGAAGGCGCAGATGTAGTGGAACCTTTTCCGATCCCGCACCGATCTTTGAAAGTTTAGACGCTTAACGGCCTCGCTAAAGCCATTGAATCCTGCTATTTCTCGGGTACACCGAATAGTGATGTGGTAGTGCGGTGGCATCACCGCGTCCTCCTCCGAACTGTCGCTGCCCGCATCCTGGTAACTGCTACTTCCCTCCGAATGATGCCTGCAAGTAGAAGGAAGTATAACTAAGTTTTGATTTTGAAACACGATTTCAGCAGTAATTAATTTAAAAATGTTTATTAATTAAAAGTTAACTATATTACTCATTCTATGTTGTTATTTTGTTCAAATGCAATGCCTTATTTTACCGGCAGTGTAAGGCCAAATAAACCATTGTCAATGCAACATTTCGGAAGTGATTCGGCCCAACTCTCTGGCACTCCTAACAACTTGGGGGATTAACCAGTTTGTCCAGTTGTGTGTTATGCCAACTCTAAGACTGCGATTGCAACTACCATTTGGATTTGGCGGCTCACAAGTGTTAAACGTTTTTGAGCCATTTTTCAAGAGGCGGAAGCTGGGCAATTTCCCACCACCTGATCTGCGGACCTGTTCGGTTATTAAATTAAGCAATTCAGAGAGGAAACCCAGCGGAGTGTCAAGTTTTTAGCCATGTTTAATGCAATTACAAGCGTTGGGTCGCGTAATTTGTGAGATTGTACACATTTACAATTCAATTTTCAACTAAGCTGAGTGTCATTTGAGAGCAAAGAGGAAATGAAAGCGTTTAGAAGATGGGTATCTTGTGTAAAGATTTATAAAACCGGCACTATCAGATTTATAATTTGTTACTGGTTATTTGTTGGGTTCCGTAATTTAACCATTGTATTTGTCTAAAACAATAACAATGGTAAGTATTTGCTCTGGATTATACCCTTTCATTTGCCAGTCTCCGAGACAGACTCAATTCAAAAAGGCATTAGGCAAAGAGTGAAACCCATTAACGACCTTGAAAATCGACATTTGCAGCGTTTGAAAGTTGTGAAAAAGCCCGATCTAAGAAAATGTAATTACGAGGCAATTATGGGGGGGAAAACTTCAATTAGACAAAGTGCAGTCCCACGAGAGGCGAGCGCAGTTTGACCCAGTTTGGGGGAAATCAAAAACAATTTTCCGGCACCCAAGGACAGGACGTGTCCTCGCCGAAATTACAAACCGCAAATGGTCAAGGCGCATCGATTCGGCTAGCAGGGTCTCTTCTCAGGTATGTACATATGTATACCCTGCCTTTCGAAAGTAAAGTAAATTTAATTCTGACCCGGAATTAGGACCGTAATCAGTGGTAATCCACTCATGCTCCCAACAAGAGGAACCGAGAGGAGAAAGAAGCTCCAAGGAGAGCAACAATCAAAGACAGGACGAAAGTGGGACGAGGAACAACTGAAAAAGAAAACGCACAAAAGCTCCTCGCCCCCAGCTGAGCGAGTCGAGAGCCGAGAACAGACGTTGGCCTGGTCCACAAACTAGGTCACCGCTTTTATTGGCCACCACTTCGTATACGTAATGTGCATTGTACGGCCATATGTTGCTGCCATGATTTGTTTTTGTTATGGTTTTCTTTTCTAGTTTTGGCATTGTATTTTCGCATTTCATTTGAGTGACACTAGCGTATGCTCAAGAACAGAAACGATGATATTTAAAAGCAACTTTAAAATACTATTTCTTAGAGAAAAGAAGGTAAATGTTGAAAATGAATATTAAAGGAATATGTTCATATTACACTGTGCGACAAAAAAATGTTTGAGTTGATTTTTTCTTATTTTTCACTTCTACTAGTCAAAATAAGAATACAAGTTTGTGGATTTGTTAATATCAATAGCCAATCAGCTTCTACGCACACTCAAAGGTCCCAAAAACGCGTGTTTTTGCATATTTCACAGCCTTATAATACCATATTGGGAAAATATTTTTTCACCGTTATAAGCGTTTTATGCAAGTTCAATATCTATTAATTAAAATATATTAAGCAAATATACCGTTAGGCTTTTATAACAATGCTTTAAAATTTTTTTCTCCCAGCTCTATACTCTGGGCGACTACGTATGGAACTTGTTACGCGAGGATACCTCTGAAAAAGCAAAAAAAAATCAGAAAAAAATTTCACTTTTAAAAAAAATAATAGTTTATTGGAAGTAAAAAAAAAAATAATATTTTGTGTTAAATATTTTCATAATAATAATTTCATAGTATTTATCATAAAAAAAGAAATCCTATCACTTAGAAGGTGGCATAAATATTTTTGTGCATAACTTATGCCCCTTAACCGAAAACAAACAAAAAAGTAACTCAAACAAACATTTCGTTAAATTTTGTCGCACAGTGTTATTTATTAAAATGGTATTTTTGGATAATCTATTACTTAAACTATGTATTTTGTCTTTGTTTTGATATACACTTTCTTTCCTTTTTACCAGTTTAAATGCAATTAAGTTAATTTGTTGCTCGTGGGCGTGGTTAACTACAATTTAAAAATACAATTTCAAAGCGACTGAATCGAATCGCATTACCGGAATCAGATAAAAGAAACAAAGAATTTTGCCCATCCCAGTCAACACTTTATTATTGTAATTTTCAACGCCAATTATTGTGTTTTGATTATTTCTTTGCATTCCGTTTTCTTGCCCGAAATTCGTGATGTTGTCGCTGTAGTGGCTGTGTTTTAGTTAAATGTGCAATTATCTGCGGATCTGTGTAAAAATAGCTGGCGAACAATGAAATCACAGCGGCTCTTGCTCCCTGGATGCCTCCTCCTGCTCTGGATCTCCGATTTCGTTGGAAAAGTGCGACCCTGCCCACAGCCATCGTCCCATCATCCAGCCAACAGAGCATGGAGCAGCCGACGACCACGTGAATCATATAAATCACTCAACGACGTCACCATCAAGCGTTCGTTTACCTTTCTCCAAGCGAATTAAACAAATGATTCGGAGTGCGAGGCCCTTTTTGACTGGCAGGCGCAGCGGGAAAAACTACGAGTTGCAGCGGAAAATCGCTTTTCTATTTATACGCCTGTGACCTTTTTCGACATAAATAATTGGATTTGGAGTTGAGGACCAGCGAAGGAGCCAGAAAGTGATTTGAATATTTCTAATTTTAGAATCAGAAATTGGAAGAGATCACAAATGAGATGCAGACTCTCATTCGTAATGAAGAAACTTCGGTTGCAAAAGATTTAATTGGAATTGTGAGCAAAGCCATGAATATTTTTAGAAAATAATGAAACAATTTTAAGCCATACGAAAATCAACAAAAAAGTAATTTTAATGTTTGAACATAAAAACTTTTCCCAATTAACTTGAACTTCTTAAAAAAAAAACATTAAATATCAGTCAAAAGGATTTCTACCGGTTTCAATTTATTTTCTCTTGCCTCCGCGATCTGCTTGATTTTTTGTTAAAAGGCAATTTTCGAGTGCAGATTTTCGCAGTCATTAATCAATTTTAAGCAACTCTGAACACACGAGTTTATTGTATGTGTGTGCACCCATATGAAAAGCCATTTTCCGCGACCTCATGCATCTTGATCGAGTGGAAAAAAAAAAAAAAAAAAAAAAAAGAAAAGAGAAGCGAGGCGAAAGACGGGAAGGAAAATCGATCAAAAAGCGAGCGAGCGGGCGATCGTTGGTCCGCAGATGTGCAGCGAAGAGTGCAGTGAAAGTGGGTCCGATTCCAACTCCAACTCCAATCCCAATTCCGACTCTTTGACTTGGACTCCATATCCACCAAGTAGTCGTCGGCACGTCCGCTCGTGCACCACGGATTCGCTTTTCCATACAATCTGGCATTTCTAATTATTGTTTTCAGGCATTATCTAATGGGTTCAGTGCCGGGCGACGGCCATTTGAATTTTTAATTGACCAGAAAGAAAGTTGGGTAATGCTCGAAATACGAGTGCTTAACACGGTTACGAAATGCACACGAAAGTTTGGCAATAAACCTGGTAAATACGCTTTATAATCGTTAATAAAATTATGCACATTGTAAAACAATTTATGGATTTCAGGAAAAATTAAGTCACGAAAGTTAGACAGTCGAAAACATGTGCTCCACTTCCCCATTAAGTTTTCAACTTGAAATAAAGCTTGGAGCTGTCGTTTTAATCTAAAAATTGGAACCCAAAACTTTGGTATGCTGATTAGAGAACATTAAAACGTAAATTGATTTTGACCTCCTAAAACTGGCGAGTTATTTTGAGATAAGCCGCGGAGTTACATAAGACAGAGCATCGTAAAACTACGGAAATAACGCAGACGCGGAAGATGTCAGGGGAAAAGGAGAGAACTTGAAGTGCACTTTTGACAAGTCATAAAGAACGAACCAAACTCATGGAGGGGGCGGTTATTTTTGGTCTTTCGAGTAGTCGTAAATGGGGAAAATGCGGAAATAACGCCCCTCGTGATCTAGTCGTTTAGGAATATACAGTGAAGGTAAAAATCCTAGTACTACTACGACAAACAAACTAAATTAAATAAGAACCTCTTTAGACCTTGTGTTTAGAAAAGAATAATACAAAGTTAATCTGGTTTATAAATTGATGGACCTATTGGATCGACCGTGGCTGTATGACAATAATGTGTTCCAAAAATAGAAATGTAAGAAAGGTGAGCCACCAAATGCATATAAAGCCCCATTGTAACTACTTTATGTGGTGGCTAGACAGGAGAAATTAGTCTTAAAAACTTCAAAAACCCCCGAATTTACCAACTGTAGGCGTAAAACTCGGTCAAGTTTAGGCCAAAGTATGGGATTGTGAGAGAGCTTGCAACGGCACAAAAAGCTCAAGGTTCCGCAACGCCCACTGCCGCCCACTTTCGACCTCTTAACTTCCTTTTTCCACCCAACTTCGCCTTTGAATCGATTCGATATATGTCAGTCATCAAGTAGGAATTTTTTATACTAGCTTACCGGAAATCCATCATTATGTCAAATTAAAAATAAATAAACGTAAGAAGTGCAATATCGTAATTAAAAATTAGAAGGGGATAGAGATGATTGAAATACTTATTTAATATTCAGAAAGCCCTTGAAAATCAACAAGGCTTTACACAATTTTTACTTTCATTGTAGCAAAGCATCTTTAAAGATTAAAGTCGAAAATATATATAGTTTTTAAACGAACATGAACATTGTGAGCGAAAAAACCTATTGTTTTTTCGAGCTATGTTTTCACTCTCACCCTCAATGGTCTTAATGTTCGTAAACTTTTTGTTCCACTTGCATTTTCCAATTGCAATCGTGCGAACAATAGCAATCAATCAAATGAGCAATCGATCGGATGACAGAGATATAAAAACCAAGCCAGACAAACTACAACCACTCGAGATACGGATATCGGTGGAACTTCTGCTACTTTCACAGCCATTTCGAGTGACTCACCCAAACGAATGCTAAATTCTGGCCAGAACTAGTGCCCCACGGTACACTAAATAAATCAAGATATTCAGCACTGATTTGCTGATTTTTTAACGTATATATTCAACGGCACAAAACACAAACATTGATTGTCACACACTTGATGATGTGTTGCTGCCTCGGGCTTGAATTTGAGAAATCATCGATTCGGACATCGAAGGGAAGTGGGTTCCATTGTGTGAGCCACAACAATTATTCGCTGGTTTGCTTTGGCCAACTTCAATGGCACCACTGGGCATTGGACCCAAAAGCGAGTCTATTAAGCTGAATGATTTAAAGGTTTCGGCAGTAAAACTGCTAGACAAAGCGTCGATGTGATTGCCAATATTTAGTATTGAGTTTAACGGATTTTGATGTTTGTAAATATCGGAAGTGTATATATAACATACGCCTACCCTCAGACTTTAGATAAATACAGAATAGGAATAATAGATATTCATCAAAATGGTGTCGAGGCCGATTCATATGGTTCAAGGCAAAATGTTATCTTTGCTGATAAGAATTTTGCAAGTAGACTTTTATATATAACCTTGCTATTCCCAAAACGTAAACATTTCAAAACTGAAACCCAGTGATAAATCACGATACGGAAATCTAGACATTGCTTAAAACATTTTTTTTACCTATGGGAACGAGACTAGAATATATGACTAAGCAATTATCATAGCAAATACAGTTTAATAAAGAACATTTTTATAAGTTTTCAAATTCACATAAACATCATAATAGTGCGTTAAAAAATCACAACCACAATCACATCAATTGCTTAATAAAAAATCGATCACGAAAAATTTTTCTTATCGGGCTCTCAAAAAGACGACGTAGTTTTTTATTGGATGAGTACAAGATTGCCAAAGCAACGATTCCATATAAGGTTCGACAAACAAAGCTGCAATTACTGCCAAATACTATTGTACACTTCGTAGCTGCCAGTCAAGCTTTTATAACTAAAACATTGACTAAATTATATGCGATAAACAAATATCAAGTCATTCATTTTAAGTATCAACTTTTTACTTTCAACAAAAAAAGGTAAGAGCATTTCAAAGAAATGCATTTAACATTATTTCCTTTGTCTTTAAATGCGTGTATGCGTTACAATGGTTTATAAAAGGGAGTCAGATTATATCAAAAAACTTTACAAATGTAAATACTTTGTGTGTAATTTTTGGAGATTTAAATAATTTCGAAATCAAAATCATTGTCTATTATAAAATTGTATCGCTGATAAGGAAAGGGGGTAACTTACCGCTTCCGTTTGCCTCCGCATTCGAGCACCTTGGAGCGCTCCCAGCCGCCTTCGGTTTTAATCCAAGTTTCCCCCGGAGATCGAAAATCTTTCGAAATGAACGCCATCTTTTAAAGATTTTAATTCGGCGGAGTTCGCGGTTTTTATTTTTATTTGCCCAACGATCGTTTGGTTTTTGCGTGAAGTTTTAGTTATGTATTGTTTACTGTTTACGTTTTAAGCGGACGGTTGACGAAACGCGTTTGATTTTGCTGCAAGAGGGAATTTCATAATTAGGTGCAATGCTTTGTTTACAGCTCATAAACTAATAAATTCGTTCAATTAGCTAGAGATCATATTAATTTATTTTGAGGTAAAAAAAACGGGAAATTAGTTCGTAAAAAATATTCATAATAGAACATGAAGATTTACAAGTATATTTGTGCAACTTAACAACAAAAATACGCTTTTACTTTTAACCTAAACTAAAATCCAATTGGATTAGAGGCGAATGGCTCGCAACAAGCGTTGAGTAAAAATCAAAACAAAAACAAAAGTCAGTCCAAATAAGGAAAAAACAAGTGATGAGCTAGCGGGAGAACGAACAAGAGAGCGAGAGAGAGGCCTCCACGACCAGCTGTTGGGTTTCTATGGTCGGTGGAGGAGCGGGGCGATGGGGTCTTTGGAGCGTCGTGCTCCCCGCCCCCCTCTTTCTGGGGCTCTAGTTCGTCCGTAGGTACACAGCTGATTTCTGCAATTACGCGTTTGTTTTGCCTTTGTTGTTATTGGCCGTAAAATTTTCAGAGCAGTTTCCCAAACACGCAACCGAATTTGTACTTTCATTTCCGCATTTCAAAGTCACCGCCGAGGCTTTTGTTGCAACGCTAAAATCTAGGGATCACAAAACTCTCGAATTTACGTACTCGTGCGAAAATGGGGCAGGTTCTGGAAATGTGGAAAACGCAGTTTTCCTCCGAAGCTTTAATTACGCACTTTGCAGTGCAATTACCGATAATAAGTTGTGGCTGACTTGCAGGCAAGTAGAAATGGCGCACTCTGCCTGGAAAAGCGTTTTCCGCTAAGCACGTCGCACTCGAGCCACCAACGAAAGTGAACTGTTAATTTCAGAGGGCCCCAAAATAGAGGAAAACTAAACTAAGCACTCGTTGTAACGGACGCAAACGCGCAGCTCCCGTTAGAGTGACCGCCGATGGGGGCGCCAAAAAATACTATAGGTCTTTGGCGCTGCCATTTGATTGTAATGCTATCCAGAGTTGCCAGAGCGGAAATTTTGTTTAATATAATATAAAATATTTTAATATTGAAAATACCATGTAGTTAATTACATTTCTGATTTACTGCACAATCAAAGCCAATATTTTTTAAACAAAGCGCAAGAAGTCAAAGGATTTAAATATTTCAGACTGATGTGGGGTTAATAAGTAGGCGTTCAAAAAGCTTATTAGTCAAAACACACTGTAAGACGCAAGAAACATTATCAGTGTGGCCATATTCTCTTTAAAGTTTAATGGTAACACCATTTGTGTAAGAGATTTCATAATTCCTGCTGTTTGGCGAGAGAAACGCGAATAAAACCTTATTTAGCAGCGATTATAATGTCGGCGTCGGGGCAGGGACCTAAGATAAAGTACGGGGAAAGCGCTCCGAAGCTGGACAAGGCGCAGCTGCAGTTCATGAAGCTAATTGAGGAGCAGAACTTGGACCGCGTGCAAAAGTTGAAGCGCGTTCGCCGCAACAATCTCCTGACCGCCGGCGCCTTGGGTGTCTCAGTTTTGGCTATCTACGGCTACTCGATCTTCTCAGTGCAGCAGGAGAAGTTCCTGGACGATTTCGAGGAGCCGAAGAAGGTGTCTTCTTAGCTCGATCAGTTGTTAGTTTTCACTAGTTTGTAAGCGTTTTCATCATTTTACACACCGTTTTACACTTTCGAAGTCGTTGCACAACAGGGTAAGTCATTAATTCGGCCTTATCTGCCCAGTCTTATAGAACTTATTCTTCAGATGGCTCAAGCTAGTGCTCGTGTGCTTCAAAGCGGAATGCGTCTGCCTCCAATGCCCACGATTCGAGAGCTAGTAAAGCTCTACAGACTGCAGGCCAGAAAACAGCTTAGTCAGAATTTCCTCATGGACGAACGGCTCACGGACAAAATTGTCAAGTCGGCGGGCCGAATAGATCCCAGGGACTTGGTTCTGGAAGTGGGCCCTGGTCCCGGTGGCATAACCAGATCTATTTTGCGCCGCCAGCCGCAGCGTCTGGTGCTCGTGGAGAAAGATCAGCGTTTCGGAGAGACCCTACAGTTGCTCAAAGAATGCGCCAGTCCGTTGAACATTCAGTTCGACATCCACTACGATGATATCCTGCGCTTCAACATCGAGCAGCACATACCGGACACGGCGCAGAGAATCCATTTGATTGGCAACCTGCCGTTCGCCATCTCCACCCGGCTGCTGATCAACTGGTTCGAAGATTTGGCTGCAAGACGTGGAGCTTTTCGGCGCATCGACACCTGTATGACTCTAACCTTCCAAAAGGAGGTGGCAGAGAGGATTTGTGCTCCAGTGGGAGGTGAACAGCGCTGCCGACTTTCCGTAATGTCGCAAGTTTGGACGGAGCCCGTGATGAAGTTCACCATACCGGGCAAGGCATTCGTTCCAAAGCCGCAAGTGGACGTGGGCGTCGTTAAGCTCATCCCACTGAAGCGCCCCAAGACGCAGCTCCCCTTTCCTCTCGTTGAACGCGTGGTACGACACATTTTTAGCATGCGGCAGAAGTACTGTCGCCGCGGCTATGGTACTCTGCTGCCTCCTGAAGATCGAGAGGAAGTCACGCAAAAGCTCTTCCAGCGCGCCGAAGTGCAAGACACACTGCGTCCCTTTGAACTGTCTGTGGATCAGTGCTTACGACTTGCGGAAGTTTACTCGGAGCACTTGGTGGCCCATCCCGAGGTGGCTGCCTACGATTACCGGGCGCCGAAAAACGTAGAAATCCTCTAAAGCAACGATTTCACTCCTGTTTATAAATGTGGTAAAATGTATTTAATTAGTTGATTAAACACAAGACTCTAAAAAGTTGTAGTCATGTAAAAAACTTGTACACAAAAGTGCGGACGGAATGTTAGACGAGATTCGTCGTTGTCGAGTTGGTTAGTAAGGCACTTTGGCTTTTCACTTTTGAAGATATTCTAGCGGAGAAGCAGCGCAGCGAATGCGGTGAGCAGGCCCATCAAAGCGGACATCTTCAGACCACTGGCGCTATTGCATCGGTGGTCCAGGAAGCAGAAGCAGAACGTTGTGTCCGTAAAGTAGTCCCGCCGCACATCGTGCTCCTTGATCGTATGGTTGACGTAGTTAGCCAGCTTTAAGTCCGTGGCAGCAGGACGACATCCTTCATACTTGTCGGCGGGAATGTCTTTGCGGAAGTTCAGGGCGCTAAGGCAATCGCGGGTAATTGTTTCCCTAGCTGAAAAGGGATTCGAATTTAGGTCATGTGATTGGGGCGACCAAATCTCACTTACAGCCGCGTCTTTCGGTCACTTTAACGCATATGTCGTTTGGCTCCGGGCAGTGCTCGCCCAAAAATCCTATTCCCCGCCAGTTGAACTTTTCCCCGCAGCCGGGAGTGGCCGAAGTGCATCGGTAGCACCAAATCGCAGAGCCTGTCAACAAATTAGTTGAATGATTACACATGGTAAGTGGCTTCTATTGCTGAAAATCGTAATTACCTTCGTGGATCAATGCTGCCAGCAGCAGGATTGCTATGAGATTCGTCCGGGGATCCATTTTATTACAAGTTCTAGGCTTGTAAGCTAGGGATTCTTAACAAATTAAGAGGAATTCACAAACGTAAATAAAAACTACGAAGAAACGCCCTGCTAGAGGTGGTACAAAAAGCGATGTTTGTAATCGATTTTCTAGGCAATATGGCATCACTGTATGGAAAATATTCAAAACAAGTGTTGCCTAACGCAATCAGATGATTATTTTGGCGCGCTAAGCTAATAATTTAAAAATATTCATTATAGTTGGTAATGTTTGAATTGGTAAGAAATTAGTATTAAAAAATATTTTATAGTGATTATACAAGTTAATCAGAAATTATTTCAATTGTTTAAACTTTTAAACTAGTCTTACATTTTATACTCGAATGTATTTAAGTATTGAAATGTTTAAAATGCAATAAACACTCGGGAGCTAGAGAATCTAAAAAAGCGTAACAAAACCGTATGAAGTAGTATAATTGTAATTTCTGTTTTTTATTGCTTTTAAAAGTTTAAGGACAGCTTCTATTTCGGTAACATCCACAGCTGAAAATCGAGTTGAGTGCCGAAGCACCGGCATTTCCTGTTGGCTCTAATAAACCTGGCTATAAACTTAACATTCGCATCAGGCGCAAAGTCGGTAAACCGTTGGACTCTCCGTGCAATAAACTTTTGATCGTATTTGGAGCCAAGCTGCGGATCGTTTCAAATGCGGCATGTGCGATGTTTGCCCAACGAATGATCCGCAGATGAGTCAGCCGGCTATAATCCCATGGCTTATTAACAAAGTCCCAAAAAAGAAGAGCGCGTAATCCGGTGGACTGCGCAAATAAACGTTCAAATTTGGAAATGACTCTGCCAATCACGTTTCCAAGCCAATACGTTAAAGTAAACATTTGCATATTTCAGATTTTTTATTACTTCGCTTAAACCTTATGGACTAAACATAGTTGGTTTTTGTTGTTAGTCATTCTTGCAAATATCGCATACAGGGACTTTTGAATAAATCAAAACAATTTGAATTATGCTCACGCGTGAAAACATGACATGGGGAAAGGGGAGTTATGCAGATAATGTGTTATTTACAAATTAAAATAAATAAATTAGGAATGAGTCACAGGCACGCACACAGTCGCTCGATTTCATTCACTCTTCACTTCATTCAAACATTAAAGTACTACGAATACATTTCATGTAAAATCACGTTTCATTTGCGCCTATACTATATATAGGGGATATATAGCGGGCGATTTACAGCGAGACGATAAAGTCCTTGCCGGTCTTGAAGTCGACGCACTTGAACTGCGGACAGCACTTGGGGAACCGCCAGTTGGGATCGCTGGGCAGCTCCTCGCAGCCAGGGGCCTCCACATAGGGACAGGTCTCGATGCTGATTTCCCGAGCCTCCAGGCTGCAAGTCATCGCCGCACAAATGCCCTTCGGCTTGTACTCCTTGTCGGGCAGAAGGGCCTTGCGGGTCAGCTTGTCGAAGCACTTGCCGGGATGTGCTGTAAAAAAGAGGGGAAATGCGATTTAGTACACAGCAAATAAAAGAAGGTAATAATAAAAATAAATTACTGATCAGAAAGTTGTATTTTTCAAAAATAAAATTATAAGCTTAAAAAGTTATTGTATATATATTTGTTGCATGAAAAACACTTCGAATTGTGGTAATTTTAATAAAATTATTTTCACTTTACTGTGTTGCAAGCGGAAGTGGTACCAGTCTTCTTTGTTGCTTCCCCGAAGCTGTCGTAGTTACTGCGATTTATTTATACGCTGTCCCCCGACTTGCGAGCTTATGAGGAAGTGGCTATAAATCGTGATTGTGTCCGATCGAAATTGAAATATGTGCATGCATATCGCAGACTGACTTACAGAAGATAAAAGCGAACAATGCTGCCCAAGGGGAGATTTTTTAAGAGCTCTTCTGGCTAGTTTTTCGATTTTGATTGTTTCTAAATATAAATAGCTTTGTAGAGTGCCATAACGACTTCCACTTATTTTAAGACTCTAATTGAGCAATGGAAATTTTCGCCCCTTAAGGAAAGACCTATTTTTGTGGCTATCCATGACTTGCACAAGCGGAGCAAACGAAAGACTTAAGGCACGAACTTGACAGTCATTCGACATGAAAATTGGCACACATGAGTGGAGGCGAAGCACTCGCCGGGATATAAATACATCAGAAACAAGAGCTATGGCCACAGCCTGCGGTCGCGATTGCCATTGCGATTTGAGCCAGGGAACTGGGGGAGATTTATTTTTAAACCTCGAGCACTAAGTCGAGCTGACAGATGGCGATGGAGCGAGCGTACGGCGCACTCGTGCTTTTATTTATAACGAACTGCCTGCGGCTGGGAATTGTTGAGTTGTCGGGTTCAAAAATAAATTACCGAATAGAAAGGTAAGTTTGATTAATGACACTCGCCATTAATTTACCATCACTCGAGGAGCCCCGAAAAAGAACACGCATTCCGACCAATTGTGCAATTAATCGCCGGCCGCGTGAACTCATCGCCTATTTTTAAGCAGTTGGCGCTAATTTCTTATAGATTAGTGAACCAGTCGCGTCGAAATGCCCGAAATTCCCAGCCAAAACACATCGGACGACCTTCACGCATGAATAATTCAGCAGCAGGAAAATATCTGGCGATATGGCGATCTGGCTGCGGATTGATAATCAATAAGTTTTCTAACTTAAATCCGCATAGCGATGCAAATTAGCAGGGAGCTTGAATAATAACCACATCAGCACATTTCTTATGCTAATTTTTGGCGAATGCGAAAAACCCAAAAAACTTAAATTCATATCTATCTCTATTCGAATCTGTATCTGTATCTGAATATGTATCTGTATCTGAATCTGCTACACAATCGAAAGGGGGCCAATAACATGACAAATTTGAAATTTCATCTGATTTGAGCTTTTGTTGTTTTCGTTTCGTTTTCGCCTTTTGCGTTGTTCGAATTTATTGTTTTCTTTTGTTTATAATTTCGATTTGTGTTTGTTGACGTCAGCGAAAGCTGCCAAATATCACAAACATCTCAACCCATAAATCACATGGCCAGCGACGTAATCTTAAACAAAAACTGCTCGACTTTTGACGTCAATCTTCGGCGGTTGACCAAGAATTAAGTTCTTTTGGACTTTCGAGTGAGTCGATCTGCGAGATCGGCATTCCAATCAAGAATGAGCTAATGTTGGACCTCGAAAAATCATCGCCACAATCGTAAATCAATCACTGAATCGCCCGCCAGCCGCTATCAACATTTAGTTTTTATTGTTTTTCGTGGTTGGTAAAGGTCGCCAATTAATTCGAAACTTAATTGGAAAACTCTATAAGCAAGCATCGAATTAATTGCATTTTTCAATCAGAAAACTTGCCTACATTTTTAATCAAAACAATAATGGAAAGCTCACGATTTTCTCAATGTCGCATTAGAGTGTTTTTTTCCTAAAACTAATTGATGGGGTCATCTTTTATATTATCTACTACATTAATTTTCCTTCTATCTTTCTGATACAATAGTTTTTAAGGTTTATTTCTAAATAAACACTTACCAGGTAGGAAAATGGCGGGCTGGGAGTAAACTGCTGCATCCACAACGCTGGCGAAGATTGCGAAGATCGCGATGGTGGCACAAACTTTATCCACTTGCATTTTGCAGTTGAGTTTTCTTTTGGGCTTGGATGTTGTTAAATAATTTGATAATATTCTGTACGATTGGATGCTATTCCACTCTCGTATTTTTCTTTGATCACTTGCGGGGTTTTGCGCGTTTAGCTTGAGTTGCTGTTGCTTTGTTTGCAGAGCTGTTTACGGGCTGAGTTTCAGTCACCAACTGAAGCTACTTGGCTGGGGGCACCCATATTTAAGTCGGTCGAAGTCGAGAGGCGCCGAAAGAGAGCCCTGCGATCGGGTTATATCTCTTTCGATCTGGCTCTCGCAGATCGGCCGAAGCACATGTTTTCTTTTTCGTCGCGGGGGCTTGGGATATTCCGGAGTTTGGGCGACCGCCATAAATCTCACGGTTATTTCGAGAGCTATCACCACGGGCTGGCGAAATGCTTTTACCCCCCAATACGAGTATGTCGGGCCATTGTTCTGCATTATTTTGCAGTTTCGCGTTATTAATTACACGGCCTCCCCAAATGGGTCGATCACCAGGTAATGGGCCGGGTAATGGGTTAGGTGCCTGGGTGTGCCTAGCATCGGAATGCGGGGTCGCCCACCCCTGATCTTCATAAAAGGCAAACACTTGGCGAGCCGAGCCCCATTTAGCCGGCAATTGTCGAGGCGCATCGAATGGCCCGTCAACCGAGCGAATCTCGGCTTAATGCGACTAAGAGATCTTACCAAATTTGGTAGCACTTACGACGAAGTCGGTGCTTTGAAGATATGCAAAGAGCTCAAGGAAAATGTTGACAACCGATGGCCTATAATGGTGTTGATCAATATGGAGTAGGAGTTCAAAGAACAAAAAACATATTGAGACTTTAAAAATAACATACTGACAGTTTGGGATTCAACTCTTTCAAAAGAGCTTCAATCCTAATTTTCGAAATAAAATGTTTCCATTAAAAATGGGAAATAACACCGATATATTTCTTGATTAACAAATTGCATATTGCAATTAAGGCAACGCACACATTTTGTTAATTGACCCAAACAGTTGGCCATAAAAATCTCATTAAAGTGTTGGTGTCAACAGCATTTTACCTGAATACTGAATGTTTGATCCAAATTCTCCATATTTATACTCACCCCCGATTGTGTTTACGGCTACACTGAAAAAAAGGCTTAAAAAATCAAGTACATATGTTTCCCCAAAGGGTTGATGAACCTGGCGTAACGTGGATATTTAAATTGCTGCTGCCGTGCTTATTATCCCATTTGACCGACGCCAACTTGTCGCCGTTCGCCACCTTTTGGCCAACAAAAGGCGTAACTCTTAATGAAAACTAGTCGCTTCCCGACTCTTTAGTGCTTTTATTGCATGCCAGGAACCTGTACACAGTGTCGTCGGTAAGTTTACAATCCTGGTTTACCAAGAGGTATTTACGATATGTTAAAAAATTATTGCCAACATTTTTTATAAGAAATAACTTACAGCTTAAGCAATTTACCTCCAGGTATCCATATTTTATAAACAAGAATCTGTACTGTATTATTTTCCTACATTAAAGTGACAAGTGTCAACATTGCGTATGCGTAATGAACTTAATGATAACAAATAAACAAACAGTATAATATATTAATTGTGTTTGTTAAATTCAACTATATATCAAAAGTATAAGCAATATACTTTCTTTAATGATTGTCAAAAGTAAGATAAAAAAAATATTCATTAATTAACACATTAAGACAAATAACGTTGAAAGGCCTACACTGCGTATGATTGATTAATTATATAACCGCTTTTTACAACTTTTTAATACACGATATTTAATTTATAACTTTTATGCCAAACATTTATCTTTATATTTTTTACTTAACTTAATTTTTTTGCACATAGGCACCCCCTAGTGCTCTTTAAATCTCACCAACTTCTCGATCGGCCCAATTGTCTCGCGTTGTTTTGAAGCCAGGCAACATTTTTGATTAAGGCCCCGTTGTTTGTGTTTGCTGCCTGGGATGTTGGGATCTTGGGATCTGGGTATCGCACTCGTACCCGCACTTGTACCCGTCCAACCCGTTTCCATTTCCACCGGCAAGCCTTGATACGTATGTCGCACTTGCCGAGGATCGCCAATCTCAATCTCAAGCGGTCAGCGTGACGTCAATTTGTTTTGTTGTTTTGCTGTTTTTTTTTTTTGTTGTTTGTTTGCCGGGGCCTCGACTTTTTGTTCCGATGCAGAGAGCAATTCACTCCGCGGCGCACGCTGGAATTTATTAATTATGGCCGCAGTCGGAGGGGAACAGCCAGTATATAGTAGTATAGTATTCCATGGTATTCCTGATCTTTTGACACAAGGAGATAAGGTCGCCAGCAATGAACTATGCTTAAAATTCCACCCGAAGCGACCGATTTGCGGTTGATTTATTGTTCATTCGTTTTCGTTTTATTGCCAACTTTTTGGCCTACGTGCCATCTCCACTAGCCACAAGTCCCATATGTCCAATGTAAGCTCCACTCAAAGAAGAAATCAATTTTTAATTGAAGAATAAATCCTTTAAACAACATTACATCTCTTTTTCTTAATAAATAAGTTTTACAGGTTTTTCAATATAATTCTTCCTCCTAATAATTGTTGGTAATAAGATGCCTAAGTTTTTCAATTTTCCACATATTTCTGATTATTTTATTGTATTAAATTAACTTAATCTTAACCTAATAGGTTTTTTGTTTTTCTTTTCTGAGTGTAGGGCAACATACATCAGACCATTCTGGGATGTCACAAAAAACCAGAGACAAATCGATAAATATTTATGTGCCTTAGTTTTGTTGTTTTGACGCCGCGCATAATTAGTAATTAATATTGGCTTTTTTCCACTTCGAGCCCAGCGGCGCACACGGTAGCGAGCAGGTAATTTCTGCCTTCAGCCAATAAACGATCAATTTATATAAAAATTAATTGTTGATTAATTGCCGCTCGGGTGTGATGCATTATGTATGAGCAGCCCATCGTTAACATTCACTTTGCTGGAACATGGCACTGGTTTTTGGCCCACAACTGGATGGCCGAGGACAAGTGGTTATAACACCATTTTAATGGCACACCATTTTCGTCCTTGCAACAAAAAAAAAAAAAAAAACAAAATAAAAAATGCCTTGACGAAAAATAAACGGTTAAAAACGATAACGAATAAAAACAATAGGTATTATTTATTATTTTTTCAGGCAATGTTTTTATTAGACAATCATGATTTTTGGAACATAGAGTTTTCTTGAATTACAAATTAAATTTTATCAAAATCGGACGACTATAACATATAGCTGCCATATGAACACTAGTCAAAAATATGGAAAATTAATAGAAAAATCGTCATCGATTCGATGTTCTTTAGCCTTTGTGTATTTTTTTCAAAATATTTTATGACTGCAAGGGTATATTAGCTTCGGCTTGCCGAATAACTAGACTTTGTAGATATTCAAAGTGTTTTTTTTTAAACAATTGTTTTAAGAAATGCATTACTTCGTTGTGCAGAACAGGTTAAAAAAAATACTCTTCCTACTACTTATCAAAGGAATTTTACGCCGCTCATTATGCTAATCGCAAATGCATACCAAATTGAACTTAAATGGAAACTTTTAAAATGCACTTACTACCCCGTGACCTAATAACAGTTCGTGCTTAACTGTGTCAAAAATCCTTTACAACCGTGACTTAAAAACAGTTCGTGCTTAACTATGTCAAAAATCCTTTACAACAATATATATATATATTTTCTTTATTCTTTTTTTTGTAAAAGCATAAACTTCATTTTACACTTTCATTTTTCTCCTTTTTAGGGTTGTGCCTTACATTTTCCATTTTCCTTATGTGGGCATAAGTATTGAGGATCTAATATCAACAATAGACAGAAAATTAATTAAATTAATTAATTAATTTTAAAAACTTACTGATTACGGAGATTGCCACCAGGCAAAAAAGGACAGCTTGTAGAAATACCTTAGTAAACATTGCTAATTTTTTGAGCCAGTATTCAATACTTACTCCCTTTTATATACCATGAAAGTATTGGGTTGCATAAGCTAGTTAGGGCGTAGCATGCCTAAAAGCCGAGAAAGGTTGAAATTACTTAACTTTTTTACTAGGGTAATCTTTTTTTTCGTGCGCCTACAAAAAATTAAAAATAACTCGACTTTGTTGATATTCAAACTGATTTTTATTTTTAAAATTAATAATTGTTTTAAAAAGTTCATTACTTCGTTGTGGAAAACAGGTAAAAAATATATATAGGTACATTATTTGAAGGTTCGAATAGCCTTCCTTCTACTTATTAAAGGAATTTGCATGGATACTTAGCAAGCCTCTTACTAAGTATGGTCATTATGGTAATCGCAAGTGCAGACCAAATTGAACTTAAATGGAAACTCTTAAAATGCATTTGCTAAATAATAATAATGGTTCACAGTAAGTGACTTTATTGGTTTCTTACCATATTCCTAACTGCTAACAATAGGAGTTCCACTTTAAACCCTGCGTATAAATGCCAAATTGGCCAGCCTTTTTTGCATAGCTCGACTGGAAATGAATTTATGGGGCGGGCACTGGGCTGTCATGTACCATAAAATCTGTCAAATTCCCAGAATTTACTGTGGCGACTTGGAGACGCGACAGACGTCGTCGCATCTGAAATCTGAAATTCCTGCATAATCGGCTGAGATTCGGCATAGGGAAATAGACTCGATTCGGCAACGGACTGGACCGGTCAGTCCGGCTATCTTTTCCACGGCGACAGTAGCCAAGGCAATGTGTAATAAAATCTTCACGCCGATCAGCCGAAAAGCGAAAAAAAAAAAAAACAAAACATACCCATATTATATAGTAAACATCGCAGCATCGCAGCGTTCCCAAAGACGATTAGCACATGGAGCGGACGTGGAGCTCAAATAACTTGATGGATTATTGGCAATTTCTTTGGCGCCAGACTCGATTCCAATTAGCTTCTGCTCGTATGCGGATTTCGGATTTCGATGCTCGGGGTTTTTACTCCCGTACGATAAACAAAAGGCATCTGTGTTAAATATGCAAATTTGAGTCAAATTAATTTATCGAGTCTGGGATTAAAGAAATTTCTTTCCCTTTTCCGTTGTCCGCTCGTCCACCATTCTGGGGAATACCTGATAGAGCCATTAGCTGATTGATCTCGGATTCCATTTGCCAATTTAGGGCTGTCGAACTAGAAACGCCCCAAAACTTGGGCTTCAATCTAAATGAAAGTGCTCAGCTTGTTGGGCTAATATGTTGGGAAGACCCTTAGGTGTTTAGCTCATAAATAACTACAACTATTTTAATAATATGGAAAAACCAAAATTTAAATTAACATATTTTCTGCCATATCATTTAAATATTTTTTCTCCAATAACCTGAATGGAATTTAATTTAGAATCTGGACTAGAATCGCCTGAGTCATTAACTTTGAATTGGGAATGAATTTAAACCGAATTTTATTGACTTAATTCCTAGTTTGAAATCAAGCATGTCTTATGATGCTCAAGATTTTGTTAATTTCTTTGTTTGCTGGTACTTCTAGTAGATTAAGTCCATAAAAGCAATGAGGAAGCGTTTCCGATTAATTTGGCTACGCCATGACTAAGTTAATTAGATCCACCAAATTTGCAAGAATTTCTGCATAATATACCATTAAAGGCTATCTTAGATGTTGAAATAGGGTCACTGTTGTTGGTTCTTATATAAAATGGTTAGCTGGGCGAAATACATCCCGAAAAGTTCGATTCAAGCAAATGAAATCAAATATGGGCATAGCTAATATTGGGGAATTTCCGCATGCCTGTCAAGTGACTAACAAGGCACAACAAACGGTCCAAAAGCTGTCAACTGATATGGCTATATCGCGAAATATTGAATATCAAAGTCAATTCGTGACTGGCACACGCTTATCAAGTTAGTTAAGATTCATTTATTCGGTGAAATTCCAGCCAATCGTTCGGAAACATTATGAGAAGTTCAGATGAAACATTGTTTTTGTTTGTTCATGAAAATATATATAACAGAAAGGATGATTTGTTATTGAATCCAATTATATAAATGTACAATTTTGTATGAAAATATTTATATGTAAATTTAAAGAACTGCATAAATGATTGATCATGTTTTATGACTTCATGACTTTAAACTACTTTATTTTCAAGCCGCTTAATTACTTTTGCATAAGTTGTTAAGCAAGTTTGAAACCTTTTGTAATCGCTAATGTACCGATGTTTACGACTTTTTGTTTCAATAAATCCGATATAGCGGCACTCGGCTCGCAAAGTGCCTGAATTAATCCGCTAATTTTATTTGCCCACATCCGAAACGGTCAATTTACGCGATCGCCCCCGCAGTTCGGCTTTAACGCTCCGCTGGCGAAAATCACTTAGCGGAGAAACCGGCAGCGGAATGCAAAGCGAGGAGAAATAAACTGGGAAACGATTAAATTACATTTGTGCCTGCGACTAACACAATGGGAATGGGATGATGGGGTTTAACTTTTGGCAAATTCTTTGTTCGCAGACCCTCCGCTTTGATTGCCCATTTCGGGGGGTTTAACCCACTGGATCGGCCGATCTGGCCGGCAACTTTCACGATCCGGTTTCGCGGCAAGTGACGTGAATTAAACATAGAAAAATCGTAGTAAACAGCGGATTTTCGTTTGCCGAAAACAGCCAATAATTATGCGAATTCGCCAGCGAAACAAACAAAACAAATGCCAAAAGAGAGGAGGGGCAAAAAACAAAAAAAAACAAATATGAAATGCCAACTAAGGTCGCCGCCGGAGAACCTGCACCACTGGATCCCCAGATGGACCACGGGGCCAGGGCTATGGCTATGATCACTAGGAATTCCCCGATCGACGTTGCTAATTCAACTTGTTATCGGCGGCGAATGAAATATTCGTTTTAAAGTCCGCCGCACGACGGAGTTTCTTGGTCCACTTTTCAGTTGGCCGTTGAACGATTTGTTTTGATGCTTTGGCACCGTTACTATTAATATTTGTCATTGGCTAATCTCAAATCGTTATTTTATCCATATTTTATTTTTTGAATACAATTTACGGACATAAGCTAATAAACAATAGAAACGCCTTCAATTTGTTTGTTTAGTCGATTTAATTATATTAATTAGCTGATTACAATTTTTGGATAGATTTATTTCAACGTATAATAATAGATAAACCGAAAAGTATTGCTTTATAAGTTTCCATGTTTAAAAGTTGAAAAAATAATTGTATACATTGGGTTATTCACATTTTACTGAAAAAAAAACCAAAATACAAAGTACAAGTCACAAATTTATATTTTATATTTTTTAAATGCTTATCGATTCAAACAGAAAACCCGTTACATTTTAGCGAGGCCATCAACCTGGGGTTGAAAACCTGCGGGTGATAAAAATTATGCGAAATTATAAATTTAACAATCAAAACATTAAAATTGAATTTGTTACTAATCTGTCTACATATTTTTTTTTTCAAATAATGTCCTGAGAGTTTGTTATTTCTGTAATGATTTGTCGGAAAAGAGATTTCCCGCCAAAAAAAAGTGTGGCCATCGAACAAAGGTCTTTGGTATTGCTACCGGAAATATTGACGCCCACACTAAATTTATGCCTCCGAGTTGTTGTTTTTGTTTCGTCTCTTAACTTAAGGTAACTTAAAGGAAATAAACCGATTGAATCTCAATAAAACCTCTTGGTTATCTTATTTGTTGCGCAACCAAGTAGAAAGAGTAAAGAGCTTCCAAAGAAGCAATCGTAAACCGTATTGAATCAGGACATCAACAGGTGCGGCGCCGGAAAATGGGAGACGTTAAGGATTGGCGGCCTTTTGTTTACGGAGGAGTTGCCTCAATCACGGCGGAATTTGGTAAACAAATCGCAGGGGGTACACCTGCAAAGAACCTCCTGAGACACCCATCACTAGTTGGGTGTTGACTTGTTCTTATCAACCCGATCGAATCGTTGTAAACAAATCCATTTGATTGCAGGCACCTTTCCTATCGACACTACGAAGACGCGCCTCCAAATCCAAGGTCAGAAAATCGACCAAACGTTCTCCCAGTTGCGATATCGCGGCATGGCCGATGCCTTTGTAAAAATCTCCCGCGAGGAGGGGACTGAGGGCCCTGTATTCCGGGTAAGAATATTCAGGGGGGATCTTCATTTGGCACGTTGTCAAAACATGGTCTCATCATGGCATTCTTATCGCGGTAAACGTGACGGTCACGTGTTCGTTTTGCTGGGGAGCATTAAAAGTCGATGGCACAAAGTACAGTGAAGCGTCCTTAAGATGGACTACAGAGTAACCCGCACTATAAGCTTTGAACATCTCTGGCTGTAGCTCTAGAAATCAGAATGGATATCGCAATGGGCAGCGAAATTCTTGAAATGCCTTTGCATACTCTTTTTTTTTATTGCTCAGCACATCAAATGTGAATGCTATAGAAAGTAGACTGTAAACAGACAACCATTGATAATGCCTACTCACGGTGGGCCAAAAATAAAACATTTGTTGGGGCGGCTGGTTTAATCAGTTAGAAAACTTTGCCCGTCAGCTAATTCGGTCGACTTTGCATCGGATATTGATAGCAAGGCACAGCAAATAATAATCATATTGGACCTGATACTTTGAAAAACTGCGAATTTCGCAATTTTGCTAATTTCTAGTATAAAATCTTTTACTGTTTCAAACTTTTCGAACATCTTGCAGTATTTGGCCAGCGGTATTGAGGCAGGCGACCTATGGCACCATTAAATTCGGCACCTACTATACGCTTAAGAAGCTGGCCACCGAACGTGGTTTGCTGACAAACGAGGATGGCAGTGAAAGAGTGTGGAGCAACATTCTCTGTGCGGCGGCGGCAGGAGCTATCTCCTCGGCGATCGCCAATCCCACGGACGTACTGAAGGTCCGAATGCAGGTGCACGGGAAGGGTCAGCACAAGGGACTGATTGGCTGCTTTGGGGAGATATACAAATACGAAGGAGTACGTGGTCTCTGGCGAGGAGTGGGCCCAACGGCCCAGCGGGCCGTCGTAATCGCCTCCGTGGAGCTGCCTGTCTATGATTTCTGTAAGCTGCAGCTAATGAACGCCTTCGGAGATCACGTGGCCAATCATTGTATGTAAGTGTGCGGAAGCTTGTTAGATCGTGCGGCTTAATAGCTAATTTGCACAAATTGCAGCTCGAGCTTTATTGCCAGCTTGGGTAGTGCCATTGCCTCAACCCCCATAGATGTCATACGGGTAAGTCCGGACTAAGCGCTGGCTTAACTGGCACTGAACTGATTTATTCTCTTTTGCAGACCCGCCTAATGAACCAGCGACATGTGAGCATATCATTAAATGGAGTTGTCACGGCGGCAGCCACACCAAAGCTTTACAGCGGGAGTCTTGACTGCGCTGTGCAAACGATCAGGAACGAAGGACTTCTAGCCCTGTACAAAGGATTCATACCCACCTGGGTGAGGATGGGTCCGTGGAATATAATATTTTTCATTACGTACGAACAACTCAAGAAATACTAGCATAGGCGAGTGGAATGTGCAGGGAATCCAAGTACAAGTCGTATTCTAGCATTCAAACCAAAAAGATCAGATCTGCTGCCAGACCTGGCGTAACTTTAGGATCATAGTTAAAGAACAGAGGGGTCACTAAAGTGCCTGTAACACACTGGCTATTCTATAGCCTCCAACCTGATCCAGTCTCATCTTGCCTTGGGCAAGAGTGAAAACGATTTGTCGCATTTAAAATGTTGGCGTATTTAAGTATTTGCATTTTTGGGAAATTTTTCAACGAAGAATATTAGCTGTTGCCATGGTTTGGTCGTTGCACTCTATTTAGCTAAATTAAGCTTTTAAATTAATTACTCTCTTAGTGGAAACTTTGCATGATTTGAATTTGTATTAAAAGCGCATTTTGTTTTCTTCGAAATGTAGACATAATTTTCGATCGTATTAAATATGCATCATTGTAAATATATGCATTTAGTAATATTTATCTTACTAATAATGTTACTAATACAGAATGTACATGTATACAAATTTACTCAATAAACTGTTTGTTGGAAATCTCAATTGATTTAACCATTATTAAAGGTTATCGGGAAAAAATTATCCCACCGTTGTTTTTGATCATATCGACTTGATTCTCCCAAATTATGTTCCTTAACTATTATTTAATTTATATTCATATTTAAATTTAATCGAAATCGGATGACTATATATATATAAGGCTGTCAAAGCAGCATTTATTAGCTTTCAAATGCATACTTTGACGGCGCCAAAAAACAATCGATATTGATTGGTCAAACTGATCGTGCTTATTACTTAACACTGCCTTTACTGAACACCGCCATTTTGATTTTTCGGCGTTTTCCATCACGGCAGACGCCAGGAGAAAGTTTAAAATTTCTGTTTTACTGAATTTAACTGCCTAAAATGGATTTCTTTACTGCCCTGTCGACTTTAGGCAATTCGGAAGTGAGTATACAGGTTAAGAGTTTGTAATTTTTGATGGTTAAAACCAAAATTTAGTCGGTAGCCGGGGAATATGCTTGTGCTTTCCTGCAAGCCGTGACTTCGGACCCGCAGAATTGGATTGTAAAGGTGTCACATAAATTTGTGGGCCAGTGCTTTCGTATTCTTGGCCTAAATTTCAATGTGAGCGAAGAGGCCTTTAGCAGGACTCAGGACCATCCATATCGCAATGATAACGCCAACTATATCTTCGATCCAGTTCCATCTTTAATGAAAGAAGTTGACTCGTTTTTTATTCGGCTGCCCAGTATATTGGCCGAATTCGGGGATGAATTGGCTAAGGCTGGATATCGGACAAGATTTGATGAGCTGACTCAGCCATTTCCATGTTATCTCAGTCTGATAATAAAGTGGATCAGGGTGGTCCACGCCTTGGACCAAACAATGGAACTGCACAGCAGAACCTCCTCGGATCGATTCCTCTGCGAACCGCTGTCCAGAATGTGTAGGTTTTGGTCTACCTATTGAGTACAATCTTTTTAAACCAATATCTACATTAGCTTTTAGCATTCTTGGTGGCTTGGCCAAATTACTGCCAAAATATGGCGAAGACGTTCCGAGACTTAAGGAGATTTGCATATCACTTTCCGTAGACGTTCGCTATGGTATACTGTAAGTAAATTTGCGAAATATACACAGAAATACACCATTCTTTTTAAATTAAATACATATGTTATAGTCATTGAAACCAGATACTTGCATCAATTTATAATTAAAAACTGTAAAATTAAACTTTCGTTAAAATGTTAAAATATTTGTTCAGCTACCAGGATACCTGCCCAGTGGTGGTTCCACCCATGCTGAATATGTTCAAGGAGAACTACACCATTTTCGGTGGCCCCGAAAAATCCGCTTTGGACTTTGTTTATTGTATCTTGACCGTTGTGGTAAGATTGTTGTGCAAACAAAAAACTACATATGTTAAATACCTGAACTTCTAGGAGACCAATGATGATAGCTATATTCAGGCTTACGAATTTTTGGAGGCCATGATTAACAAGTTTGCCAAGATTAAAGATCAAAGTCAAAACTTATATCTACGGCCATTTACCAACGAGTTGATTTCTGGAAAATATCTAGTGCTGATATTTGAAAAATTAACGTCGAGCAATTCAAGACTTTTGCTTTTGTCCGCCCTAAAATATTTGATGACCCTTCAAAGGTAATAATGTATATAGCTAAAACATTTGTGTATTACCTAAAATCTTTCTACAGACATGTTGTAAGCACAGAATGTTTTACCGTTCGTTTCCACGAGGCCCTGTTGCAGGTGGTTCTTCGAATGCAGAACTCTGCTCCGTCAGTGGCAACTCTGGCAGCCGAGGTTTATATCACAATGTCCCAGCGTCAGCACCAAGATCGGGATATAGCACAGCAAATTCTGGAGACCTATGCAAAGATTAACAGTAATCCACGAAAAAATATCACCTATGCGCAGTTCCGAAATGAACTCAGGCGCTATCTGAAGACCCTTATTCGACATTTTCCCGCACTGCAAGAGTTCGAGTTCTACGCTAGTCTTCTCACTGCTAAAAATGTGCGCTATGAATTGAGCGTTATAGCCGCCCAATCTGCGAGCATTGTCTTTGAAATGCATATGGCAGGCTACAACTTGTTGCCAGAAGCCTGTGAGCAGGTCAACAAATTCCTGCGCTGCTGGCCACTTTTTCTCCAGTCATCGATAAGTCAAACTCGACCTGTGCTCTACAGTTTTTATGGCATGATCGATTTTGACTCTGTAGCGCAGAATGATGTCGATGTAAGCTTTAGGAATGTTAATGTAATATATTTTATGCAAACTTTAATATGATTTTTTTTGCAGTTGCTTTTGACCTTGGAGACATTTTGCCTAGATCACTTTTTAAATGACGACACTCTCGGTGAGGCTGAGCTCTATGGACTTTACAACGATTTATCGCGTTCTGTGGATGAAACGGGCAATATTCAAATACACACAACAGCCGCGAGAGCTTTACGTGATCAGCAATCTGAATTGAAGGATCAGTTGGATAAATCCAACTCTAGTGGGCCGGAAAAGAAGAAGCTATTGGACGCGTATGCCAAAAGCATTCGCCGCCTTCATGCGCTTTTAATGGCCAATAAGCTTCACAGTCGCTATGTGGTGGACATTTACGAGACATTGGTTAAATATGTGCTGGAAATGCCTACTCAAAATGACAGCATAAGTAAGTATTACTGATTTAAAGAAAGTTCATTTTAATTGAGAATGTGTATTTCAGCGCTCTATGGCTCTGAATGTTTGGCTGCTATTTTAATCCTCTTATACAAAGATCTAAAGGAATCGGACGACGAAATGGGTGTCAAGATTACCGTTCTAGTGAAGCAGCTGCAAGAATTTTGCGTTTCTAAATTTTCTAACGTCAATCTCGACTTGAAACGAGCCAAGTTCTTTTTCTGTTCTATTCTCATATTGTATATCAGCCCGTTGCCATTTTTGACACTTGATAGCTCTACTTATGACAAGCTTTTGGACCTATTAACCACTCCACTACCATCGCAACCAGAAAACGATCTGCTTGCGAATAGTTATCTGCCAGAGATGCACATTATCTTTCGGCAACTCATTCGGGCACAACATATTGAATTGCCTAGTAATCGTATATGGAAGGTGTTAATGCAATACAAAATGGTGAGCTGATAATATATAACACAGTTTATGCTATGCTAATACTATTTTTATCTTTTTCTAGTCAGCAAATACGTTAAAGTACCTCGACCCCGAAATTGAGGAGCTTATTGCTGACCTCTTGGAGTGCCGAGTCGAAAGTTACGTGCATTGCCTGCCGATCATTGAGTTGCGCATTTGCAACGAGAACAACGTCAAGAAGCGAGCTTTAGATGCTTTAAATGCTCACCTGGCGCTCATCGATAAGCACGCTTCCACTTTGGATTCCTGGCTGCTGCGGTTTATAATTCTTCAAAATTCGCTTAATGTCTTGAACAAAAACATGCGCATTCGGCGATTCGAAGCGACCAGTTCACGTAAACGAAATCGGCTTCTTCCGCTACAACATTTCATGAATTTGGTGTCGAATTTGCGACTTCAGGAAAAGCACTTCCTTAGCATGTGAGTTCAATAAATTTAAATATTTTTGCCTTTATCTTATGTTATGCTTTTATACAGCGCCAAAATGTTGCACACCTTAAAAGAGGAGGCGATTGGACCTCAAGAAAATTCGGAAATCGAAAACTTTATTACAAAGATCAGTGTATTTAAATATCAGGTCGAAGATGAACAGCTGGAGGCTACGAATAACGAGAATTTCGAGGGTAAACTTATTGAGTTGCCTCCTGGTCCACTCAATTTTTGGCAACACAATGCTCTTCATGATAATGGGGATTCGTCTACATAACTCGTCAATGAAAACACTTAAATTACTGGAGAATTTTCGTTGTTTTATGAATTCCACTTATTACTTTAGTGATTTTTTATTCCTAAAAACTGCAAAATTTACAATGTTCTGAAAACTATTTTAGTTTTAATGTTTATCTGAATTTATAATTTTGAGTTGTTTAAATTAATAAAGCAGGCGAAAATCATAGTTGACTTTGATGCTATGGGTACCGACTCCTTTCAAAATCTCCTGGGCCATAGATATAGAACACGATATAAATCAGTGCCTTGTTTCGAAACAAAGATTTCAACAATGACTTCCAGCAACAACAAATCTCTTGCTTCCTCGGCCATCGAGGTGGATGCTTTGGATGAGTTGGCCCAGGAGCGGTTGGAATGGGAGTCCCTGGTTCTTTGGCGTCGTCCGGTGAAGACCTTGATGTACGGAACCCTGGAGGCAGGTCAATTACTGATATCGTTCATTGCCAAGCTGCTGAATTTTTGGCTATTGGGTGTTTTGCTGTTTCTGGCCATGATCTGTTTTCTGCCCGGACCACATGCGGATTTTGTGAATTTCTGCCAGCAGAGGTTCGGATTCGCCGTCTACTGGCTGGGATTGGGAGTACTCTCAGCCGTGGGATTTGGCACCGGACTGCACACCTTTCTGCTCTACCTGGGCCCACATATAGCGGCAGTCACTTTGGCCGCCTACGAGTGTCAGACGCTCGATTTTCCAAGCCCACCTTATCCAGAGATGAAAGTCTGTCCACCGGAGCCGTATAAACGCCAGTATATAGATCTCTGGCTGATTCTTTCGAAGGTTCGGCCGGAGTCACTGCTTTGGGGATTAGGAACGGCTCTCGGCGAGTTGCCACCTTACTTTATGGCCCGTAGAGCCAGGCTTTCCAGTAAGGAGTTGGGCGGAGCAGAGGCGGAAAAGCTATTGGCAAGCAAGCGAATGAGTGGAAACCTTAATATTTTCGAACGCGGCAAGCTATTCATGGAGCGGGTAATGCGAAGAGTTGGCTTCTTGGGGATTCTACTCTGCGCCAGTGTGCCTAATCCGCTTTTTGACCTCGCTGGGATCACTTGCGGCCACTTCCTGGTTCCCTTCTGGAAGTTTTTCGTGGCCACCCTGATTGGCAAGGCATTGGTCAAGGCCACAATACAACAGGTGTTCGTGATTGCCTCTCTTACGGAAAATCTGGTGGATAAGTTTGTGTCCTATATCGGACAATTGCCGTTCATGGGATCCCCTTTGGAGCAGATCATCAAAGACGTTCTGCGGTCCACCAAGATGCAGATGCACGGAGAAGGAAATTCCGATTCTCTGACCTATCTGGGTCTGATAGTTCGGGCCTTTGAGCTGTGCGCCTTCATCATGGTCGCCTGTTTCGTGATATCCTCGTTGAACTGTCTGGCCCAAATCCATTGCAAACGGCGGCAAGAAAGAAAACGTAAGATGCGAGATCTGGAGCTAATCCTATATGCCAATGGAGATTCCTCATCATTGGAGGAATTCGCCGTCTAAGCGGCAGTTAATATATTATATTTTTGTTTCTGATGAGTAACTTTTGACTTAATTGCTTTTATCATTTGTTGAGCTATACGATATATTTTCTTTAATCCTAATATTCATGGGGTATATTTATTTTTATATTTTGAAATCTGCTATCTATTGGAATTTAATTTTTTTACTTACTTTTTTTAAGCCAAATGCCAGTTAAACATCTTAGTTATAACGTTTTATATTCTTTATTTTATTATAATTAGTTTCTTTTGGATTTGGGTTCTGTTTTCTGCATTGTTATTGTTTGATGTGTTCTGTTGATGATCTGTGTGTTTCTGTGTGTTCAATGCCATCGTAATTATTATCATTGTACAAGTACATTTATATTCAACAGCAATTTAACACAAAGCTAAGCATTACTTTACGCGATCCCTTAATCATATTCCTTCGATTCGGGTTAGTATGTTTCTCAATTGTTATTGTTTGTTCGCTGGTAGGTATGCATAGTTTTTTTTATTTTAACTCAACCAAAGGCTTTAACTCTAAAAGTTGTGGACTTTCTGTGTTTCGGAATGCGTGCAGTAACTGAATCAGGAAAATAATGCACTCGTTGCTCCCTAAAGGAGTAAAACGATCCGACTTCGGTTCTATGGCGTAATTTCGTCTAAGATTTGCACTACGATTTACTGTCCGTGGCTCTTTTCGGTTGTGTACCTAGTCAATCTATGCTTAAATAGCCTTTAAGCCCATAGTTATCCATCGAGGGGCTCGAACCCCTGGCTCTCTCCACACAAAAAGAATTTAATTTACATCTGCGTGTACACGATTCTCTACCGAACTCAAAGGTTTTGATAGTAACTTGCATCACACTTGCATATGATTGCGTGGGAAAAGCAGGAGATTTTAAAATGACTTATTCGGAATATTTTGTTGCTATTATTTAGGTACATACCCACATGTATTGTACCATACATTTACATATAATAAGTAGAGTTAGACTAATTGCGGCAAGTCTTTTCGAGATTTAGAGACGGTAGAAGGTATTTAAAAAAAACGAATCTTAACACATTGTAACACTTACACTGGGAAAAACGAAAAGCTCTCCCCACCATCCACACTCGCCTATTATAATCGTTCCACACAAAACATCGGGGACCTGCAGGGTCTACAAACTATCCGGCTCCCTAATCCTGATCTCCGGACTTTCGTCCACAGTCCGAGTCCCTTTCCGATTGATTTGCTTTTAGGTAAATATATGTATATTTTAACTACACTCATATACGACATGATCTAACCGATTTTCACCAGTGGGGAGTAGGCATGCGATTACGAGTACAATTACGATTAGATATTACAATACAATCTTGCCTAAACGCTTTATTGACGCATAATTTTCAGTATTCAATATTCCTGTATTGCATAAATTAGCTTTGTGGTTATTCAGTTATTATTTAGTATCATTTATTATCATCGGTTTTAAGTAATTAAGATTAATTTGTTGCCATGTATGAATGTGGTTTTAGCTCATACACACATAACATACATATCTATTCAATGTGTTTTTCTTTCCTTCGGCATTTTGCCTCTTGGTTTTCATTTCTCTTCTAAAATTTGACGCCTAATACAATTTGCTTATAATTTTGGTTAAAAATTCAATTTATCATAATACCATTTTCCTATAATTTATGATATAGTATAAGACGCTTGTAGTTTTACAAATAAGAGACGGGCAAAAGAGGGGTGAAAAGAATATATTTTTCAGCGGAAATTATGCCTAGAATATTAGTTAATTTAGTTCTCGGGTTTTTCATTACTGCTAAGTACAAAACTAATTTAATTTGACTTATTCGCTTTGATCGGGCTGAACGTATACCTAACACTTTCGCACTTAATTGAATAAATTGTATTTTCTGGCTTAGCAAAAGGAGAAAGTGTTTTTAATTATCGGCTATTATCTGGGAAAAGAATATCGAGGAGCCACAAAACTTTTAAACTAACCGGGCCTATGGAAGTATTTTGAAAGACAATTTTTAGCAGCGGAAAATTCTTACTTATTGCTTCTTAGTATAAGTATTATTATTAAGACTTGCATCTGTATTTTGTAGTATGTACGATATATTAAAAAAATATTAACGGCGGGAAGTACTACAATCATTTTGAAGCATTTTAGTTTGGTTTTCTCGAGTTACACATCGTCGTCAATACGAGTATATATATATATGATCGTTATCATTCGATTTTGTAGCAAAATGTTTTCAACTCTGTTTGGTTTTATGTATTTTACGTTTGTTAAATTTTGTGTAGAATTCGATTTTGGTTGATTGTAGAAAATTGTATCCGGACATATATTCTGTAGGTTAAAATGCATGCCACGTTACGTTCTCAATTTAGTTGTATCAAAAGCAAAAGATTTCACTGTATTGTCCTTAATGTCTCAGAATATTTCCGTTAAGCATTGGTTGTTTTTCGGCTCTTGAATGAGGAATGAGTCTCTCGGTGAAATGTTTGCTTCTGTCGGAGTCTCTGGATAATGATCCCAAGGATAATGATCATCGGGCAAATGCAGACTTCCCAGTGGACAATGGTTAGTGGAGGTGAAATTGTATAGATGACAGCTGCGTTAGAAGTTTTCGATTTGGTTTTGGTTTTGCTATGTAAGTATATTGTCGACTACTTATGTACATCCCTTGTTTTGGTTGATCTTCTTGTGTCCATTTTGTGATTAGAATTCAGCTTAATTGTTGTAAAAACGCCCTGGCCATTATCTTCGCCAGATATCTCAAATTTGTCAGATTCGGAAGTTGTATATTAATGACAGTTTTCGGTTATTCTTGTTTGAGCTTTAATACTTCTTACGGTTTCTGTTCACAATTCAATTAAATGCTTACGATTGTTTCTTTCAAATGTTAGTTTACCTCAATGAATCTGCGACTATCTCCGATTCGTTATACAAATATTTTAGGGATCTTTCTCTGTGCATATTGAACGCAACCCGCTATGCAAACTAAGTGTCTTTAATCGAAGAGCAATAATTCAAGTCGAATTGCTTTCTAAACATACGTAATTACCTAAATAAATGCCAACATACTTGCACAAAATTAGGATAGAGGACTCTTCCGTATTACTTTTTGTTTCAGTGGATATGGGGTTTGGGATCTTGTTTTTTAGCCAGCTTGTTGTATTAATCAGTTAAATCATAAACGATATATTTATAAACTATTTACAGGTGCACTGGTTATCCGACAGAACCGACGAGTTCTGCCCAATGCGATCGAGATTCTGCTTGGGTACGAGGAGAGATCTCTGTATAATACACCCTGCGCGGTGATGTCCACACTAATTGTTGTTAAATATAGTCTTACAGTCCTGCAAAGAAAATGAGTGATATAATTTGTCAGTTATATGGATATTTTTTTGACTAAGAATAGCTTATACGATATATACAGGGTAAAGAAGGATAGCAAACAACTATTTTTAAGCTGTTCTATATAATATATAATCCATAAGAACTCATTTTAAACAATTTTAACCTATGTATATTGAAAATCATGCTCGTGGAATTAAAAACAATAACGGTATAATTTGTATACCCTTGCAGAACAAAGGGTATTAAATTTTCAGTCAGAAGTTTGCAACGCAGTGAAGGAGTATAATTATAATTATAATTATAATTATAATTATATATAGTCTTAATCAGCATCACCATCAGAATCCAAATACGTCTGTACGTCTGTCCGTCTGTCCTCCAGTCTGTTTATATGTAAACTAGTCTCTCAGTTATAAAGCTATGTTCCTGAAACGTTCCCAAAAGCTATGTAGTTATTGCACGAAGTATATAAGCAGGAACGAGTTACCATTTAATTGTTATTAAATAAGTTATCGATAAGCAAAGGGTGGTATACGGGGTTGTTGGCCTAGGCTTTGGAGAGAACACATGTGAATAAGATTAAAAATAAAGATTTAAACTAAAGACTACTAAAGTTTTGACGTAAGCACAATAAACATTAACTTAATTTAAAAGCTTATTTTAAAAGTTCTCAAAGTGAATTCCTGATAAGAACCATAATAATGTGTTAATAATTCCTAGGGGGGAGGGGGGGATTGTGCGATAGGGGCAATGGCCCCCTCCCCCCTCCCCTGCGTCCGACCGCCATTTAGATTAAAATTAATTAATTTTTTACTTCAAATTACAATTTACTTTTATTTTAATTTATTTTTCAATTTTCATTTACTTCAGCTACTGTACATCACATTAATACAAATTTGCATTTATGAATAGCGTTAGAGTTTAAGTTATATTTATGTTCCTAAGATATCGAATGAGGTTGTGAATTAGACCTTATGTGCAATGTACAGTGTGTTTTGAATAAAACTATAGTATCACCTTATTGTTTGAAACTGCGTATAATTTTTTATTATTTGCCACCTGCTACTTGCATTATTTAAAAACAATTATGATCGCCCTCCTCCTGGCATATACCTGTATCCGCCCCTGAATATGTTTATAAACATTTTATTGTTTTAGGTCTTATCGCCTAAGTGTTCGGAGATCTTTTATATAGTGCAACATTGGCTGTCTAAAGCCAGTGTTATAATTTCTCTACCAACGACAAGAATGTCTCGATTGAAAGGAATACTTTCACTTCTGTGCCTTCTTCTCGCCACCTGGCAAGTCGAGTGCGCTTGTGGTGGAATGGAGGGTTTTGAGTGCGTGGTCCGTTCAAGGTGCAATCTTGATTTGGGTTTTGGAACTCTGGAGGCCTCCAGCATGGGATGCGCTGCCACGGAGATCTGCTGTCTAGATTCTCTAATAGTAAGTATAATAGTGAAAGTTACAAAAATACTGTGCCAAAGAAATCACTTAAATAAATAAATATATACTATATGTACATATTAGGGGGTAAGGTTTTGAAGGCAAAAAAGGCAATTTTGTGGTTTTTTTTTTGTGTCGACATGAGTCATTTAATTTTGTTAAGTTTATTGACATATTATTATTCAAATTTTAAAGAGTATTAGAAAAAAATTTGAGTGGAAAATATTAATAAATAGAAGCGCCTAGAAAAAATTGTTTTGCTGTGAACATCATTCCTCGTTATCGGATCATCCGAAACAAAAAAATGTATATGCGTTTTAAAGGTTAAAGGTTTTTTTGCAGCACTTGGAAACAAAAAATGCCATTTTAGCTCAAAAAATCGCTTTTAATTTATTATTAAATAATAGACAAAAAAAATTTTAAAAAATCTTAGTGTGTGTGAAGAATTTATGTTGAAATTTTGAAAAGGATCGGTTTAGTAGATTTAGAGTTAAGATGTTCACGGTCTTTAAAAATAACGTTTTCGGGAAAATCAATTTAAATTTTTTGTATAATTAGCAGAGAGCGGCAACGATCACAATTTTTTCGATCATACTCGATCATTTACTCGGATTTTTTGTGATTGAAAACATTGGTTCAACAAAAATGTATGATCGTAAGCCAGCCATTAAGATTGACATTTTTTTAATTTTTAAGTTTTTTTTTTATCTTATTGAAGTTTGTGTTCTTTAATATTTGAAGCATTAGTTTTGTTGATTAATTTAAGAATTAATTCTATTTTAATTTTGAGCTTTAATAATGAAGAAATAAATGAAGTTTTGTATTTTGATTAAATAAATGCGTCGCAGCTTGTTTCCTTTAAAATAAACATACATATTTACATAACAACTATGCACACATTTTCGATCTGATTCGTTCACTCATATTCAATTTAAGTGCAACTTGATCGAAGTCTGAGCGGTTCGTGCGTCGTTGTACTTGATCGTCTTTTTCGGTACGATCATTTTCGATCATCATACTTAAACCAACAAATCAGTTTGAATCAGTAAGCAGAACACTCAAGTGAATGGTTCGAACTTCGAACTCGTTCGTTTTGTGCACGAAACTCGATCGTACCACTTCGTAGCGAAGCGCTGTGTTGAGTTGTGATCGGTTTGAGCAAGTTTGATCGAACATGAACGATCATACATACTCGATGCAGTTTTCTACTAAAGGTTTTCAAATAATTTAAATAAATTAATTAATTTATTTATATATTATATTATATATAGTTATAAAAATTAATAAAATTTATATACAATAAATTTATGTGAAAACATTTTAACTTGCGATAACTTGAAAATGTGTTGTTTCAACATAAATTATAAAATATACAAAAATTTCCTCATAGAAAAGCTTTTGTTTATTTTTTTGCCTTTTTAGATCATCAATACAGTTGGGCAAGTCGATGAGGTATCAAATACCGATTGTGGACGACGTAACTCATATGGAGAATCAACTGGATTTGCCCAGGAGGCCGAAATCCCTTGGATGGTGGCTTTGCTTAGATCAAATCTCAGCTATATGGCCGGTGGCGCCCTGATTGCCGATAACGTGGTTATCACCGCCGCCCAAGTACTCGGAAACCTAAGTGAAAGCGATCTGATTGTCCGGGCTGGCGAATGGGATTTCAAAACGACCTCCGAGACCTATGGCCATGTAGACGTTGGCATCCGGAAGATTGTGCGTCATCCTGATGTGGATCTTTCTAACGGGGCTAACAATTTGGCCATCCTATTTCTTAAGGATCGGATCAAACTGGCCAAGAACATTAATCCCATTTGCTTGCCAAACGAAAAACAGTATCCTGACTTTCGTGAGTGCATCTTTACTGGCTGGGGACCCAACATGGATCTCATGAGGAAGGTGGAGTTGCCGGTGGAGCCAAACGATGTGTGTGAACGAAAAATGGGCAATTTTTATGGTCTTGACTTCCACAACAGTCTGATGTGCGCCGGCGGGGAGGAGGTCAATAATTTCTGTCAAGGCGTCGGAGGATCCCCGCTGGCCTGTCCGATGTTGAGCGATCCTACCCGCTATGAACTGGCCGGGGTTATGAACTTCGGCGTTGGATGCGGAGAAAGGGGTTATCCCATTGTTTACACAAGTATTGCAAAGCTTAAAAGCTGGATTATACAGGAGGGCTATAACAATTTCATCCAGTGGAAACCACCGAACCAAATCAATTTTAACGATCAGCAAAGAGGGGTCAATTCAAACAATCCTCAATTCATTTATGGAATCAATAATTATGAAGTCCAATGGGGTGTCTTTTCCCCTCCTACACGCCTTCCATGGACAATCCCGAGTTCCCGAATGATGCCGACGCCCTAATAACATCAAGAAGGGAAGCTAGCTTTGGCAAGCCGACTTTATCATATAACCGACATATCGATAATATGGAAAATTAATAAAAAAAAAAGTCATAGCTTCGATGCTGCTTAGCCTTCATGTATTTTGTTCGTGTGCTTGATGACTGCAAGGGTATATAAGTTTCGGCTTGCCGAAGCTAGCTTCCTTTCTTGTTTTTCCATTATTTATATATATATTTTTCGATCTTTCCTATGTATGACAGCTATATGATAGAGTTGTCCGATTTTAATAAAATTTAATCAGAAATTCAATAGTAGTTAGAAAACACCATCTGGAAGAAATCAAGTGGATCTGATCAAAAACAACGGCGTAAGAATTTTTTATTTCATTCTCTCGTATTGGAGCTATCTGATAAAGTTGGCTGATTCGGCCCGTTCCGACTTATATACTGCTTGCAATAACTACACAACTTTTGGGAAAGTTTCAGCAAGATAGCTTTAAAACTGAGAGACTAGTTTACATAGAAACAGACAGACAGACAGACAGACAGACGGACAGACGTACATATATATTTCGATTTAGATGCTGATCAAGAATATATATATACTTTATGGGGTCTGAGGTGTCTCCTTCACTGCGTTGCAAACTTCTGACTAAAATTATAATACCCTTTTGCTCTGCAAGGGTATAAAATAAATAATATATAATAATAATCTTTTCATAGAAGTCTAGGAATATAATTTTAATTTCTTTGTTTTTTTAATAACCTATAAAAGTTATTAAATAGATCTAAGTATATTCTTCAAGCATACTCACTTCATTTAATGCTCTGCAAATATCCATAAATTTACTTAATAAAGTACAGATTATTGTGCTGAAGTCAATCGGTCGATGCACAGTGTTGCCTGGCCCTAGACGAACCACTCGTCCTTCTGCGCAGCGCCGACGGCGTTGGCATTGGGATGGCCGGCTCCGGCGATGTTCGTCTGACTGAGAGCGGCGTTATTGTGCGAAAGATCTTGACCTAATTGACGGAATTTGCCAAGCACCAAATGGGACGGACTTTGGTGGCCATCTTCAAGTAGTTGTGTGGAGTGCGGTGGTACCCGGATGGTCCCGCAGGGTGATGCCAGTTTCCCGGATTCGGCAGCTGGGTGTGCTCCCTCGTCAGCGTTCCGCCGACACTGATGCCGTGGTAATGCAGATGTTTCGACGACCCGTTCGTGTCGGCCGTGTGGTGCACTGCAACAATAAAACCACGATTTATTACTGAATCCTTTTCTATTAAAGGAGATGCTCTGATTTGTCCACTTACGCTGGAGCGCGGTGTTCTGGTTGGCGGCGTTCTCGTCCTGGCGACGACACACGCAAATGGCCACCGCCACGATGAGGGCACTCAGGACGAGCAGGACGCCCACGACAATCAGGACGAACCAGGTCATGTCCAGCCCGAAAACCGTGCTGCTCGTCTCACCTAAAAAAGGATAAACAAATTTAGAAAATAATCTACAAATTTCTATAACTTTTACTTGAGATTTTATTTTGTATGTAAGTAAGTAAAATAAATATTTTATTATATAATATTTTATAAAATATTTTAAATTAAAGAATGAGCTCTTGCTCAAGAGAACTGGCAAATATATAGCAAAAAAAATTTTAAAATTCAAAATACCACTACCATTTATATAATAAATTCAAAAATGAAAGTAGTGTGCAGTTTTCTAAAGAATAATTAGTTACACAATTAATTAAGCAAAATCTATTTTATGCAGTTTAGCTTTCCAATTCGGTAAATATTATTATTTAAAAATAAAAGTATTTGTACAAGCTTTTGTAAATAAAATATATATTTATAATTGAGGAACTCTTAAAATACATCTTGTAGATAATCTTTAAGATATTAAAATGTAAAAGAAAAGGTATTACTTCTTCTACAGAACTCAAAATTGTTCTAGAATCTAGATAATGATTAGGAAATTATTTGTAAATTTCGTAACCTAATATGATTGTGGTAAGCGGAGAATGCACTTACTCTGGCAGAGATTCTGCACGGACTCGTCGGAGTTGTCGCCGCAGTGGTTGATGCCGTCGCAGAGGAGATCGGGATGGATGCAGAACTCGCGGGTGGCGCAGGTGAAGTCCTTGCAGGTGTGCTCTGTAAGGAAATTAGCTTGTAATGGGATCTGCAAGGGAAGACACCATCCTCCTCCGCCAATGCCACTTACTGGGATCCTTCACCGACGTAATCACCAACTTGAAGCCGTTCGCATCCGTTCCCCAGCCGTCGGTCACGTACTTCAGAGTCACAAAGTTCGTGCGCGTGAGGAGCGCGTTGACGGTGTTCTTGGTGTTCCGACAGGAGATGTCAATCTGGAAGGCGCGGAGGTATCCACAAATTAGTATCTGCTGGTTTATCATCAATTACAGTAACGAGCGCACGCCGAGTGCAAATGGGAGCAATGATTTACGTTTCAAGTAATTGCGGGCCAAAGGCATTGGAATTCAGCCACGATTGTGGGGCTTTGATTTATAGTCACTCATTTCAATGGGAATAATTGAAAAAAGGTGGCATTTCATAAACGAATTGGAAATAAATTAAGTGTTGGCCTGGCAAACTAGAAACTTAAGAGCTAAAAAGTAGAACGCGACTACTCGAGTCTTGCTCAGCATAAATTCATGAAAAAGTTATATTTTTTAGTCCAACTTTGAAGTAGTTGCAATAAAACTCAAGACTTAATTCCTTTGACGCTGTCAATGCTTTCTGATGAGAAAGAAAGTCAAAGGAGGGAAAGCTGCTTTTCTGCAGTGCCAAAGAGCTGAGTGGCAACTTTTCGCATTACGGGAGGAAACCATCGATGAATTGCCATCGGGCAACCCGCTTAAACTGCAACCCACATATGTACCATATTGATATTGATGTGCTCTGATTCTGATTCTGATTCTGTGGTTAATTTCACATCAGCATATGTACCTGCAGAGTGCACTGCAATCACACAATCAGACAATCAGACAATGAGGCGGGAAAGGCGGGAAAGGCGGCACAGGTGGGCTGGGCATTGGGGCACACTCGTGTGGCGTCACTTTTGCTTGCCACTCCCACGACACCTCGCTCATTCGCCCGCATTCAAGTGTGCAACAGACTGGGTGGCAAATGGCAAATGGAAATTAAGCCCAATTTACACCTACGGAAAAAAAAAAAAATGTATTTTCCTGAAGAAGATGCCTTTTCTTGGTCTGAGGTTTACAGTTTCATAGTACTTTCTTAAATCGAAAGTTTGTTTTTAATATCAAAAAAAATTGTTTTTCTATTAAAATTGAATGAGCCAAATATTTAGAAAAAAATTTTCTCGTTTCACATACATTTATAACATATTAAAAATTGGTAAAGAAGAAATGTTTTCAAGATTCATTTAATATACGTTTTGTTTCATTTTAAGTAATTTAAACCAGTAATATTAGTATTTCCTTTCAATCTTGGAATATTTGCCTAAAAACATTTTTCAAATTTAACTGTTTGATATTTGAAAACAAATGTATTTTACATGTTTTACAGTCTTATAAAAGAGCTACAACAGCCGTTTAATTTGATTCTGCAATTAATTTGCAGAGCTTGTCGAACTTTTTCCACTGTCGTCTGCTGGTTGGTCACGTTATCGCCATCGCCATCGTCACCGCATCCTCATCCTCAACCGACGTTCCCATCCCCATCCTCATCCTCTTCCTCATCCGCCGATGCCGCAAAGTGTAAAATGATGATGATGTCTCCGCCTCCTGGAAGGACCTCCTGCCCCACTCACTCCCCTTTTTGGCACGTGTATGCGTCACGTCGCCTGGTTCATCACCAAGGATTCACTGCCACTCCCACTTTCACCTCCCATCGCTTTCCCAGTCCATCGACCACCCGCAGCTGTGTAAATTTGTAATGTTGTTGGCTTTGGCTCATGAAAGTTCCACTGGGGGTTCATCAACGTCCTCCCAGGATCCCCCCACAATCTCCCCTTTCCCCTCCTCACACATTTGTAGGCTTTGCTGTGGCTGCTTTTCTTGACACAACGTCCTGGTCTTGGTCCTCCATCTCGTCCTTTTTCCCCCTCCATCATGTGTGTGTGTGTGAGTGTTTGTCTGGCTCGGGCGTTCCTGCATCTTCGACGTGCGGCGCTTTGTGGCATATTTTAATTTTGTTGCAGCCCGAAAATGCAAACTTTTCTCGGCTTTTTTCCCCCGCACGACGACGACGACAACGCTTTGTAAAGCTTGTCATCGCTTCTTCTATGTACATGTGCTTGGAAAATTTTAATTTTGGATTTTTGCGGCCACCGCCCAACTCCTGATGCAGTGACAACTTCTTTTGTCAAAAACTATTTACATATTCGTAAAATTGTATTCGTTTTCCCCCTCAGAGTTTTTGGGCCTTTGCTGTGGGCAGCGTGGCGTATATTTACATACTTTTGCCACTTTGCCGGCAACTGAAGTGTTTCGCGTTCAAGTCAAATTCATAAATCCTGGCCGGCAAACGGCAACTTCTCCGCCGTAGAAATTGTGGAGAGGAACTTACAAAGCTGCTTAGGTGGCAAATACCGCAAGTCGTCTGATTCGCAACTTCTGCAGCTTCAAATATGCACAGAGGGACTGCAAAACAAGACACTCGACAAATATATATCCGCTAAGGTGCTTATCGCAACCATTTAGATGTCAACCGAAGAGCAAAGAGGTCAGGAAAAGGTGGAGATTCTCCATCGTAGACTTTCAGGCTTATTAGAAATATGACGTGCAAGGGGAAGTCCTTTAGAGTCATTCGAAATTCACTCATTCAGCTTAGTTTTTAATCATTTGAGGGGTATACTTTTGAACATAAATATTGAATATAATATTAAATATATGTATAAAAAGTTTATTATAAATGCTTTTAAACTAGGCATTTAATTAATTATAAATAACAATTTATTTAAAAAGCTATCTACTATGGTAGTAAATTTATCAGACTTTTAATCAATTAAGTAATTGCAACGTTGCTTTAGTTTATTAATTTCTTTCTTTCTTTTTGAACTTGTTGTAATAAATAAAATTCAGCCTTAAAGATAAATATTCCATTTAAACTTTAAAATGTTTTGAGATCTTCATTTAGTTTATCTAACAATGGATAAGCTTTAATCAAATAAACTTAGAAAAATAAATGGATAATCTAAAGTACTGGGCAAAAGTTCCTGGCTAATCCATTTTGATTAAATTAGTTCCAGAGATGGGGATTAAATATATTTATTGCAACAACGCCTTGCCCCAAATTAGTGGCTTTGATGGACGATGGGTTGGTGGGTCGTAATTCGACAGGCGGCACTGCATCCAGCTAATGGCCGAATCAGGCGGGTGATTCGGGTGATTCAGTGCCTCATCCATCCTCATTGTTTTGGCCATGAAGGCGTACGTGCGTGTTGACCTTGTTTGATTTAAGGTTGTGGCCCCCCTTCAGTTCGTGTTTCCCCTTCCCCAATCGCACGAGTATATTCCCCGTTTTCAGACCCATTGAGTGATGGCGCCTGTTGAGCTCGCTTGTTGTCCTTGTTTTGGTCCTTGGCATCGCCGTCGCTGATTTGGCAGAACGATTTTACGATACTTTTACTTTTATGGCCTTCCATTCGCCTGCTAACTTATTTACGATGGGTTCTCCTCTCCGCAGGGCGAACCTGCCTCCAAATCACTGTCGTCCTGCTCCTTGGTCCTTGGATAATAACTGTCACACGAACTGGCATCTCGAGCACTGAGCTCTCATAATTACGGCTAATTTTGTTGCCATCGATATCGACGTGGCCGTTTGGAGTACCGCTCAATAATGTTCGAAGATGACTCTTATTTCGGGGGACGCAAAAACCAGCAAAATTACTTTCTTTACGACCTCATCTCAACTGGCATTTCCACTCGCTTCTGTAGCCTCTGTTGCAGGTTATAACCCGACTTTTATTTCTATTGTTTAGCCATATTTAATGAGCGTACTTTGATTTAGATGTACTTGAAGTTACGTTCATTTCGAATTTTTTATGGGAGTATATCCGAAGTTTTTCACGTCCTTAACACTTATAATGTATATAAACATATTTTCCAAAGTTAAAAGGTTTAAGATTTCTGTTATATTAGTAACGTTTCGAATAGCAAAATAGACAAGGTGGCGTATACGTAATATTCGTATACGTAACAATACAATGGCTCAGCATTACGTATACGCCATGTATATACATTTTTTAAGGGGCACGGGGGGGACGGTGGCCCAGCAGGTAGAGCGCTGGCCTCCGGTCCGGAAGGCCCGGGTTCGAGTCCCAGAGGCTCCCCGAGAAAAAGAAACGGTCTCTTTTTCCAAATCTCCACCACTTCTATGCTCTATCACTCACTTAACTTTAGTAACAAATTTCGGATCCCCGGACCCGCACACCCCCTCGTCCACGTTACTATGGACCCAACAATAGAACTTTCGTCACTCCTAGATGGCACCAGGTGGAAACCCCACCGCTAGGATAAGTCGCTACTGGCTTATCACCGGTACGATCGAAAATCAAAAGATAAATGAATCCTCTACAAGAAATTGTAGAGGCTCTAAGCTCCCGGGTGGAGTAAAAGAATGTAAAAAAAAAAGGGGCACAACTAGTGTGACGGCCTAAAAAAATGGTGATGTTTGGGAATTTTTATAAAAAAAACTACTTGATCAATTCTTTTCAAATTTTCAGAATATATTTATACATGTTTTAAGAATGTATAGTAAAATTTTTAAAGAAAAAAGTTAAATATTTTTTAAGTTATAGTCGATCTCCAACGGCGCTAAAAAAAAAAGTGCCTCAACTGCTGCAGTGATTCCGGCCCTCTCCGTGGACGAAATCAAAAAATGAAAAATTCTCGTGAAACTAGATAATATTTTCCATACCATGAACTACGATAAAAAAAATATCAAAAAATGACAAAATGGCAGCGTTTTAAAAAAAAAAATCGAATTTTAACCAAAATTTTGGTCGTTTTTGGCCTGCCAAAATTCGATTTTTGATCGGATCAAAAAACCGATAGTTCATGGTACGTAGAACTATATAAAGAACATGTAAAAAAAATTTGGTAGTGATCGGATCACAAGTTTTTGAGTTATCACTGCAGCAAATTTGGAAAATGCTGTTTCGAGAAAAACGCGTTTAAAGATAAAATGATCGTTTGCACTGCTATGAGAGCGGCTGCTCTTAAAATTGTTATAACTCAAAAACTATTTGAGATATCGATTTTAAATTTTAATATGTTATTTTAAAAGGTGTAATCTACCGAAATATGAAAAAAAAATTTTTTGATTTTTTTAAAACTTCACACTAGTTGTGCCCCTTAATCAAATATAAAATTATGCTATCTTTTTAGCGAAACTTCGAAAAAAGTGGTGTTTTTAATTTTTTAAGGAACCTGTGACAATTAAAAAAGTTTTTTTTATAAATTTTTACAAATTTTTTTTTTTAAATATCTTGGATTGATTTATTTTCTCAGAGAATTTTTTCAACCATGTAAGCCAAAAAAGTATTCTTTAAAAAAATGTACAAGATGTTGCTCGCAAAATGCATACAAAATTAGGTCTGTAATAATTTCGCTTTGGCCCCGCCAATCTGACCAGTCCAAGTGTCAGTCGCACTCAATCTTTTCCCGGGGAAAATGACAGGGCTTTGGCAGTGGCCCAGTGGCACGGGCTCCGCCAAAGTAGCCCTAGATCTGGCAGAACCACCACCGCTAGAACCGCCAGGAGATGGGAAATTGGGTCGCGCCACACAGGCGACAAAAAGCGGCAGAAAAATTGTTATTTTTTTTAGCTTTGGCACATTCAGTTTCAAGGTTTTCCCCAGAGAGGAAAACAGAGAGTGAAAGTGGGAGGGCTGAAGAGGGGGGAGTGGAGGGGGGGAGGAGGGGGTTACGGCTGCCTTGGCTGGCATTTTTCTAATTTTCTAGTTGAACATTTTTTATGCATATTTTTTATGTGTTGTTGTTGCATTTGTTGTTGTTGCTACTGCTAGTGGCACAATGTCGCAGCTTCCTTTGGCAAATAAAGGATTTGGCTTATGCGCGCTCTATTTGTGGCCACTTTCCTTGGCTCACATTGCACAGACCAACATTTTGCCGCTTTTCCCTTTCCCCATTCCCATTCCCTTTGGCAGACCGCATTAAATAATGCACTGAGTGGTGGGGGTTGGGGCTTCCACGGGGGGGTGGAACGAATGAAAAATGGAAATTGTTGCTGATAAAATCACAGAGCTATCAGCGGCACCAGAAGCTGTTGCCGCAATGCAGCCAGCCCAGCCCACTTTTCCCCCGTCCAACCCAAAACCAACCAGCACACAACATCCTTGCTGGCTGTCATCATTGCAAATGTTGCAGCGGCAAAATTATGCCTGCATGAGTGTTTGTGTGTGTGTGTGTATTTAAGTGTGTAAGTGTGTATGTGGAGCATCGCATGTTGGCTGAGCGGAAGCCCCACAGGGATTGAACCTAAAATGTCAGAGGCATCAACGTGATCTGGATAATGTGGTGGCTGCGGCTGCCACGCCCCCAATCCCCCTGCAGCTGCCCCCTTTGCTGGCAAACAAATTGCAGTGGATTCATATATAAAACACCCACACACCCACACATCTACACACACCCACACACACTGGCAACTATGCGCCTTCGAGTGTCGCAAACTAAGCAATGATTGGCCTTAACTATCGACATGTGATGCCAGCGCATATTTACACACACACATGCATGCATGCAAGGATGTGCAAGGATATGCAAGGATGTGTGGCGACATCGGATTCCTTAAACGTTACTTAACCGGGATGCAGCTCCTGGGATCTGGCATGTAATCGATAGGGGAATACATCGATGGCTTCTCCCTGGCCAATTTCAACTGAATTCGACAAGGCATTACCCAAATTAAGATGTCCTTTGACTTAAATAAGGCCAGTAATTGAGATGCAATCCTTACAGGACTGTTATTTAACTCAGAGGCAGTTTAATTATGATTGCCTAAATAAAATAAATGGAAATGTAATAAACATAAATTTAGAGATGGAAAAATAAATGGCCATATAATGAGATAACAGTGCATGAAAAATAATTATTTCCACTATACAAAAAATATATAAATATAAATAAATAATATTTTTCGCTAGTTTTACCTTTTTAAATTAAATCCCAAAAAATATCTCGAATATATTATGCTAATAACCACAGTTAAATGCCAAAAACTGATTAAATAAATAAGTTTTTATGCATATTTAGCGAACGAAAAGGTTCAGAGTATAAATATTAGGCTGGCAAAGGTTTTTTATGTACGTTAGCAAATGATTCCATAATGAAGGTATGCAAATATATATGAATACGCACGCTGATGGCCTGGATAGTATCTTCTCCCATCAGGGACAAATTAAATATACATTACCCGACCCAAGTAAACACAACGGTGTTTCCGTTGGTTAAACAAACGAAACAAAAATCTATAAATAAATATTTATATTTTTGTGGGATGGGCCCTTTTTTTCTCCTTTGTTATCGATAGAGTGGGGTATAAAATCCGATTTGCAAACAGTGCACTGCAAAAGTATCGATGACTTTTATTTGATTACGAAAATGGAGAAGCAACATCATTTAATTCACTTAGCATATATCCGCATTTGCATACATATCACTCTGCCGTGAGTGATTCTAATTTGAATTGCCTGTTTCACAGTTCACTTCGTAATAATTCAATCTACTGTGCACCGATATCCATCTCCACATTGCCACATCTCCACATATCCACTTATCCACATATGTGTCCCCGAACGTATGCACATAATTACAGCTCCGTGCACTTCTCCCCACTCCCCTCGGGAGAGTCCTTCTCCCAGGAATTCGATACAAACGCACGGTTGCAAGCTCAGACTGCGTCGCTACCACAATTTAATTGTTCACACGGCGCTGCTCGACTCACTCATGTGATTAGCCGTTTCCAGGCGAGTCAATAAAGGGATGGTGCAACAATACACTCAGGGAAAAAAATGTATACAAAATATTTAGAAAAAAAAATGGTTTTAAGCTAAAAATAGGAAGCATAGGGAAACCTTAAATATGGTAAATAAAGGGATCCATTCCAAATTAAAAAGTTTCGATATATGGAAATGGTAAACATAATCTATGATGGAATTGATAAACTTTGGAAAATTCTGTTATAAGTATAAATGCAATCAGCAAATTCCTCATTAATTATATCAATTGTTGATTAAAATTCTTTGTCTTATTTTATTTTCTTGCCAGTGCAACCTTTGTACAACCTTTGTGTAAAAACCAGTGAAACGGATTTGGTTCAACTTTTCGATTTACATATGCAAATGAGGCATCTCGCTAATAAAAATGTGGGGCACGTACCGCACCCACATTGGTTTTGAAATTCACCCAAGGCAGATTCCGATACCACCCTTTGTGGGAGTAATATCGGTTTAATTACCGGAGGAGAAGGGAGCAATACGTGTTTAGGGGACTCACCTTGGGCGTGGATACGGCATGGGCTCCATCGTAGACCAGCAGGTGATCGTTGCAGTCGAGTTGCAGCATATCGAAGCGCAACATGAAGCGCTGCAGCACGGAGTGCGTCTGGAAGGTGATGATGCAGTCCAGATTGCGTTCGTTCTGCGACCAGAGAACTGCTCCGTCGATTTTCCTATAGAGCTGCTGCAGGAAGTGGTTCTTGCACAACGATTGCATGTAGTCTGCAGAGATACAACAAAAATAGGTAAATTAAATTTTACTACCTTTATATTTATATTATATATATTTATATTATAGTATAGAGTATAGAGTTTTCTTACGACTCTCGAATTACGATTTAAATTTTATCAAAATCGGATAACTATATCATATATCTGCCATATGAACAATAGTCGAAAAAATGGAAAATTAATAGAAAAATCAATGTTGATAAGCCTCTATGTCAGTGTTTCCCAAACTTGTCGGAACCGCGACCCATCTACACGAAAGATTGCAAGATCTGTACGACAATTAGAACCCACCTAAAATCTACCCGCGACCCACTGGTGAGTCACTTAGGGATATACAGCTTTATGTATTTATTTATTTAATTATATACAGGCTTCGGCTTGCCAAAGCTAGCTTTCTTTATTGTCTTAGTTTTTGTTTTGGATTTTAGAAAGTATTGACGTAAGCACAATAAACATTAATTTAATTTGAAAGCTTTTTTTAAAAGTTCCCAAAGTGAATTCCTGATAAGAAGCATATTAATACACATAATCATTTTATTGTTTTCGGTCTTATCGCCTGAGTGTTCGGATGAGCATTTATGTAGTGCAACATTGGCTGTCTAAAGCCAGTTTTATAATTTCTCTACCAACGAAAAGAATGTCTCGATTGAAAGGAATACTTTCGCTTCTGTGCCTTCTTCTGGCCATGTGGCAAGTCGAGTGCGCTTGTGGTGGAACGGACAATTATCAGTGCGTAACCCGTTCAAGGTGCAAAGTTGATTTGGGTTTTGAAATTCTACAGGCCGCCAGCATGGGATGCGCTGTCACGGAGACCTGCTGTCCAGAATCTCAATTAGTAAGTATAATAGTGAAAGTTACAAAAATACTGTGCAAAAGAAATCACTTAAATAAATAAATATATACTATATGTACATATTAGGGGGTAAGGTTTTGAAGGCAAAAAGGCTTTTTTGTGTTGTTTTTTTTGTATCGACATGAGTCATTTAATTTTGTTAAGTTTAATGACATATCATTACTCAAATTTTAAAAAGTATTCGAAAAAAAATTTGAGTGGGAAATATTATTAATATAAATAGAAGCGCCTAGAAAAAATTGTAAACATTCAAAAATTTTCTAATATAATTTTTTTTTTTTTTGCCTTTTTAGATCAATAATACAGTTAGGCAAGTCGATGAGGTATCAAATACCGATTGTGGACGACGTAACCCATATGGAGCGGTCTCTACTCATAGAGAATTATATGGATTTGCCAAGCAGGCCGAGATCCCTTGGATGGTGGCTTTGCTTAAACCAAATCTCAGCTATATGGCCGGTGGCGCCCTGATTGACGATAACGTGGTTATCACAACCGCCCAAGTGCTCGGAAACCTAAGTGAGAACGATCTGATTGTCCGGGCTGGCGAATGGGATTTCAGTACGGACACAGAGAAGTATGACCATGTAGACGTTGGCATCTGGAAGATTGTGCGTCATCCTGATGTGAATCTTACTAACGGGGCTAACAATTTGGCCATCCTATTTCTTAAGGATCGGATAAAACTGGACATAAACATTAATCCCATTTGTTTGTCAAACGAAGAACAGTATCCTGACTTTAGTCAGTGCATCATCACTGGCTGGGGACAGAAGATCTTACAGCTTTATCCCAACTTGAATCGTATGAAGAAGGTGGAGTTGCCGGTGGTGCCAAATGATGCGTGTGAACTTCGAATGCGCCATATTTATGGTTCTGATTTCGAGCTCCACAACAGTCTGATGTGCGCCGGCGGCAGGATGATCAATAATTTCTGTCAAGGCGTCGAAGGATCCCCGCTGGCCTGTCCGATGTCGAACGATCCTACCCGCTATGAACTGGCCGGGGTTATGAACTACGGCGTTGAATGCAGAAAAAGGGGTTATCCCGCTGTTTACACAAGTATTGCAAAGCTTAAAAGCTGGATTATGCAGGAGGTCTCTAGCAATTCCCTGGATTCCCAACCGGAACCTCAAGGAAGGAATCAATCATATTAGGATCTGATCGTGATGCTGATCAGGAATATGACTGACTGAATATATAATACCCTTTGCTCTGCAAGGGTATCAAAAAAAAAATTTTTAGAAGTCGAGAAGTTCAAATTCAAATTATATATGAGTTGTTTGTTTTGAATTGGGAATCAAATTGGGAAACCCTTGTTTTGGGGTGTTCCCTTCATAAATAGTGTCTGTATAAAAAAAAATTCAAAAGAAATAAATAATCAGATCACCTTGATTTCTTCCAGAAGGCATTTACTATTGAATTCCTGATTAACTAACTAACTACTGTTGAATTTCTGATTAAATTTGATCAAAATCGGATAACTCTATCATATAGCTGCCATAGTAAAGGTCGAAAAATATATGTATAAATAATGAAAACAAATTATAATATCGTTGTTTTTAATCCCACGAGCATTATTTTCAAAATATGGAGTTAAACATCTTTTTTTTTTCATCAGACAAGCATGTTTTTTGGAGTTTTCTAACGACTCTTGAATGCCGAATTAAATTTCATCAAAATCGGACGACTATATCATATCGCCGTCATATGAACAATAGTCGAAAATATGGAAAATTATTAAAAAAATCGTCATAGCTTCGATGCTGTTTAGCCTTTATGTATTTTGTTCCACATTTTTAATGACTGCAAGGGTATATAGGCTTCGGCTTGCCGAAGCTAGCTTCCTTTCTTGTTTAATATTTCCATAACCCAAATACAGGATAAACTCAGTCACCGCCCACCGACTGCCACGCCCTTTACGCCCCCAAACGCCTGCAGGACGTCTCCGCTGGCAACTTCCTTTCGGCTTAATGGCGTTGCGGCGTCTCGTGCGCTGCGCCGGAAAATGTGCACTTAAATTTTAATGGAAGGATGAAAAATTCATTTACGCTTCGCTTCGCGTATTACTCGCACATGTTCCCAAGCTCACTAGTTGCGTTTATTATGCCTTTCCATACTGCAAACTGAAAACTGCACTGCAGTTTTCCAGTTTGGCAACTGAATGCGGTGCATTTGCATAATGCCCGATCAGAAATTCAACGCACACGTTAATACCTAATCTACTCGTAAAACGATCCGGAGAAGAGCTTTTCCCAGCAGTAGATGGCCAGAAAGGATTTAAAAAGAGGAAATTCAATTATGTGCTAACTTAACTTAAGCATTTGCTTAGGGAATAGTGCAACACTTACTTGTTAAAACTTATTTATTTAAACAAACACTCCAAAGTAGCACATTTGTATGTAGATTTTCCAGAAATAATTAAATTTTACTGATTGGCTAACAATTAATTAGAAAACTTAAACAATGCAGGAAACATTTACAGCATAAATGAAACTTTTTCATTTGCTAATGTCAGCAAATAGAATTGGTTAACCAACTTGAATGGAAATAGGACGCCATTTCCCACTTTTCACTCCATTTTAAACCGCTGTTCCAGCGAAAATACATTTATATATATTGTATATATATAGATGAAAGGAACTTTCCTATCGTTGGCCACTTTTAGTGATAACTTTGAATGGTCCGAGGGGACACTTTCCGTGTCGCAGAACTTTTAATTTGCCCGGCTCAATCAAAACGACCTCAAGTGAAAGCCAGCTGCAGACAAGCGGCAATGCGAGAATAATATCCCATTATTTAAGAAACTTTTAATTAGTTGAATGGCGCTAACTATGGCGCTTAAGTGCCAAATGCATTAACATGAAACGCGAGCCATTGCGAAGGAGCTGTCCAGTGGCTCGTTGCATGCAAATGAAGTCAGGATTCTCCTGCCTCACCAACGCACACACACATTCTCATAATATGCCGTAAAACCAAAGGCGGGACATCTGGGCGGGTTTTTAATGAAACATAGTAGTAGTAGTGTAGGTGGGTGGGGGTGGAGAATAAAAGTGGGGCAGGCAACCCCCCACCGAGCTTACATGCGCCTGATTTCAGGCAATTTCCTGCCTAGCAACCGCTTCCGTTCCCGCCGCCGCACTAATTCAATTTCGCCCCCAATAAAACGCACACGAAAAGATGACGCCGCATCCTGGCCAACTGAGAGATTGGGAGTTGCAGAGGGAAAGGGGGGAAAAAGAAGCACGCCCAAGGAATTTACTACAAATTTGTTTTACGCCCCGGCACTGGGAGCGAATGATGGGCAAAAAGAGCCATCATGTGAGCTCCTGGGCTTCCGGCAAATGCCTCATTTTCGGTCACAAATGTTGTCGTCGCCGCGCTGCCAACTTCAAAATTGAATTCACAATTTGGATTGAATTGCTGACAGACTTGGCTGCCCTTTGTTTTAGACCCTATTGCTTTTCTACACAGAGAAAAACACGAAAAAGGCATTAACTATTCCTTTTGTAAAAAGTATAGCATACTTTTTTGGGCAAATATTGTAATAAACTCAATTAAATCTTGGGAACATATGTATTGAACTTGTATTGATCCCTAATTTACTATTGAATCCTAAGCTACTGTACAGATTTTGAAACAATTTTTAAGATGATATATTTTCTTGTGTATTTCCCCTAAAAAAAAAAAATAGATTTCCTACAGCCTGAATAGGTAGACAGTTTTCCTGCTTTATATGTAATTGGCAATTTCGTTACACATTTCGCTTTGATCTCCGGCAAAGTAAATAGCAGAGTGTAGCAAAGAGCCCAAAACGGGCGTAGAATGGGAGGTGAAAATGGGGGCGTGGTTGCTCCGCTCCTTTGCCACCTGCACAAATTGGCCGCAAGCCACTTGGTGAGTAATTTTCCGTGGCCTTTCAGCCAGTGGAAATTTTTGAAGGCAGCCATTCCGCCGCTGGCTTCTGTACTTAGCTCAACAACATTCAACATTCTAGTGAGTAAACAAAGCAGGGAAAAATAACTCACAAGTCATGGCCTTAACGAGAAATTAACAGATTAGCGTTAGGTAATGGCTGGCAATCATGATACCAACAAAATATGAGCGTAACATAACGCCCAGTTTGTATTAAGTTTGC